CATGTTCTCTGGAAAAAGTAGTCATCCTTCATCTCGCTGTATCTTTTGAGATCGCTTACAGCAAAGGGGAGCATGCTGCACTTCACTTTACCCAGTTTTTGAAAGTCTTCATAAAGCGAAAAAGTAAGGGAGCCATAGTTGTTGCATGTAGGAGGACCACTCACTTTCTCTCTCTCTCTCCAGCGGTAAAAGCCTCTGTACGCGACGTGTGTAGGGTAGTAGTGGCACACATAAAAAGGGTTGAAGATTACAACACTTGACTCAAATATGCTTGAATTGAATGCTGCTGGCTAGTTGGTAGCGAGCATTGTGTGAGTTTGGACTGCTTCTTGTCAGAATTGGAGTTGAAGTGAAAGATTGAAGAAGAGAAAACATGTGTCCATCTGCGAGCTGCAAATAGATAGAGTAGTTTCCTTAATGTGAGTCGGGTTGCTGTAGACTCTGCGATATCAATTTGGCTGGATTAGGTGGACAATTTAATGGGTACTCGTTGATTGTCCAGCAGCCGTCCTCGTTGCGGTGGTGGTGGTTGCTGGCTGTCTCGAAATATCGAAATATGTACTCCCCAGCAGAACATGGAGTCAGTGAGTCGAGCGAGGAATGATTTCTAAGAATACGTACGTGGAGAAGACCATCAGGCAGCAGCAGCATACAGAATATACACGACAACTACAAGTGAAAAAGGTTGATGGCTTTTTCTTCCGACTCAATGAGACTGAAAAGATTGGTTGGTCGACTTTGCTTTGGTGGTGAACATATACAACACAAAAATACATGGCGGATGTGTCAGCCCCAGTCTCTCTCTCTATCCTCTCTGTTTTTTAACCTCACTTCTTCCATTACTGCCAATCATTGAGAAATAAATAGGACCAGAAAAAAAATACGCTTGTCCATGCAACTTGCATGGTGGGCGAGTGTAAATACTGATATTTTACCCATTGTTCCTCACCAGCCTTTCTCTCCGGGAGAAAGTACAATGAAATGGCCAGAAAAGTCATTCAAGATCCATATCTACTGCTCCATTCTACAATAGCCATCCTGAAAACATTCTTGCCCTGTAAAGTTAGCACACATTGCTAACTATATTTTCGATATGGTGATGGTGATTCTTCGAGTGCTGCATGGGTTTCGCTTTTGGCTGTTCTGCTTTCTTTTCTGTGCAGTTTCCATTCACCAGCAGCAACTTTCTCCGACGTTTCTGGTCTCGGTGTAGTTTAAAAAATCTCAAGAGTACGGGACAGGAAAGTTCTAATAATTTCGGTCGTGTGGTCTCGTCTTCTCAAAACATTCACCGCAACCGGTTTCGCATAGCTGCTGCTCGTGTGTTTGAAGACATTGATAAGTTCGTTATACGTAGATGGCACATTTAAAGATGGATGATAGACGGAAGAATACGGAAGAAATGTGTATGCACTCGATTTGATGTCGTCTTCGTATGCTTTCTTGTCATATTTTCTTCAAAATATTGATTTCGTCCTTGTGATGCAATCTCCCTTTCTCTCTGAACATTGTGTTATGACGTGAGTTGTTGTACGTGAATCGGAAAGAAAATGGTTTCTAGTCTATGATCATTTTACAAATCTTTGCCTACAAGCAAAGTGACAGTTACAAATTACTCCAGTTGCCAAAATACAAATAGTATCGGAAGTTATGAAATGAAGGTAGAGTGAACGTTGGATTGAAAGCGTGTCGATCACCACCAACCAAACAACCAACCAAACGGGTTAAATTTAATGCACCACCGAATTAGTTGAAACTTGCCACAATTTTTAGCCGAATTTGCCACTGGATGAAATTTTTTCAACTTTGGCCTTTTTAGCCACCAACTTAGATGGTGGTTACCACAAAATTAGATGAGCTGCCATTAAGATATTTGATGACCTTAAATATGGATATAGGATACAAATACAATGCACAATTTACAATAATCTCTAAATAATTATAATTTAATTATCCGGATATGTGTACATATATTTGCACAGCATATGAAACACACACATATGAACTGACGTACATATTACCTTTGATATTATCTTAGGCATCAGCCAAAGTGTGAAAGACGAAATTGTTAAATTAATGGAGTAGAGATTACTAAAACTAAAATGATTCTAACCGAGTTACGCAAAATTGTCTCAACAGCTCAACAACTCAACTAAAAAGCTTTTTGGCCTATCATCGCTCACAAACCATCCACCAATTGTTTCCCTTGAAGGCCTCCAGGCACTGGCAAACAACAATTCACAGATCACAAGTATCATTGATAAATCTGTAGTCCACTCAATGTTTAATTATAAGTACAAACGCTTTGGCATACTAGTGTCAACTCCAAGATTATTGACAATTACTGAGATGACTCATTTGTCATCTCCTATATGTTAAGTCAGACCAAAGATTGATCGCAGCAGAGAGACCCTGCATATAAAAACCACAAAATAATTGTACAATTTCCAAATATTTACCTCAGACTTGAGACCGATGCTTTCAATTGGAATAATTCAAAAACCAAGCACCAGGTATAATACATCTTGAGATGAACCAAACGTTAGGCATTATTTTGCCTCTGTTTCACGCCAACCTTGTTTGAAAGAGGATGGTGTAAGAAGAAAATTTGCAAATTGCGGATTACATTGCGGGTGAATACGGACAGGTCATCAACAATTTTCAATTCCTGCGTCGCCAGCGTCACAAGATTATGGATGGTTCACACCAATCAATGGACTAATTCTACATGTTCACGTCCCGCGTGTAAGAACACGTTTGGCATATAATTGGCTTAGCAATCCAGAATACGCTTTACATGTTGGTCGACCGGAAGCTAAAACCGTTCCATTGGGTGAAAAAGCGCTCATTGTTATTTCAGTTGCATTTTAAAACGATATAGGCAAATAATTATAACTAAGTAAATCATAGTATTGTAAATTGTGCATTGTTTTTGTAACCTATATCCATATTTAAGGTCATCAAATATCTTAATGGCAGCTCATCTAATTTTGTGGTAACCACCATCTAAGTTGGTGGCTAAAAAGGCCAAAGTTGGAAAATTTTCATCCAGTGGCAAATTCGGCTAAAAATTGTGGCAAGTTTCAACTAATTCGGTGGTGCATTAAATTTAACCCCAACCAAACAACAGAATCTCAGGGTAGTCCCGGGTTTTACTGGGTTGGGGGTTTTGGGGTTTTATTCGGTCACAAGTTAATAAAACCCAGCGGGGATTACGGGTTTTATCTAAAATTCGAATAGATAAAGTCTATCGAATCAATTTGGAGGTACTTATCCAACTCGAATTAAGTCCTCTGATTAAAATTTCATAGATTTCTACATTTATTTCAGGCTTTCCTTTATGATATAAAAATGACAATTTGTACCATTTTAATCATATTAGTATTACTTGTGGCGTTCCTGGCATTTTGCATTAAAGTTTCATGGTAAAACCCAGTAAAACCCTGCTTTTCAAGGCAAAACCCCGGGTTTTCCTAACCCTGGAATCCTGCTTTACGTGTTATTCTCTTACTACATATGTTTCTCGGTGTGAAATTACTGCTGGTAAACTACATACCGTTCAAATACATTGATACTGTTGCGTCATTGTATGAAGTGAAATATAGCATCAAATGAATAAAATGCCTCTGGGAATGACGACTTTTGTCCCCTGTATGATAAACATCGAAATAATGCCTACCCTTGATTTGTAACTGTGTTACTAGTCCCTACAATAAAGTAGAAGTTTGTGTAGTTGTGGTCGGTGTTGGTAGCTCGACATGGAACGCGAGTGCTCACTTTTTGGACGCAGAGAGAAAAAGAGAGCCAGGAAACTCGGCTCAGCATTATTGTGAGCGAAACTCCTATAATTTCATGTCCGGACCCGGAAATGTGTTATCAAGCCGCACATTAGAGAACGTGTATATACGGTACTTTTCCATCAATTTTGGCCCTGGATCAACAGACTTAGACTTGACCTAAGAGGGTATCAAAAGGTGATACCACACACACACCCATGTATCTTTGCCTCGTTGAAAGGATGCAATTTCATATGTAGGACAAACTACCCTTACTTATTGTCTATCCTGCTCTTTCTCCGCCCAATAAAATGTTGAGGGGGCAATATAAATAAATAACCTCGAAAAAGGTGTAGGAGTTGTTGCCGCAAGGGCGAAAAGTATGGAAAGAACAATGCAAAGGCATGCTTTCTCCTCCACTTTGTTTTCGCGTGTTCTATACGAAGATCACGAAGATAAGAATCATGATTGAACGTGAGATTGTAACGATAACTTGGCAAATTATGACGTTTGTTAATTCTATTAAATCAGACGGTGGTTGCAACCACAAAACAACAGAGTTTGTTTGAAGGTGAACTCTCTGGTTTGGTTTGTCCATGAGCATTCAACTTTATTATATTTGATCCAATTTCGCTGAAAAGTTTTTATGCAGGCAGCCAGCCACCCAGCCAGACCAACCCAGTGCATGCTGACATTGCGGATATGCATAATTTTATGTGCTTAATTTATACAGATACGTATGCAAAGGTACTATAGAGTAAAATGTTTACTTTTCGTGGCATGAAGGCAAGGCGAGATATTGCTTTTAGTGTTGGACGCTTAAATTTAGTAGTAAAAGTGTACAAGAATATTACAACTTTCTTCTTCGTGCTAAATCAGTATATATTACGGCGCCTTGGTCGTGGTACGACCTTCTTCTTCTTCATCAGGAATCGTCGAGCGAGCTGCATTTCATTTCCTACCACGACCACCACCAAAGTGATGGAGAAAGTATGTACATGAAACCATCCACCCCAAAAACTCAAGATTTAACCCAAAACCCTCTCTCTTCCAGTCCAGTTCCAAATGAATTTCTCACCATTTCAGAATTGCTTTCATTGCAGTTGAATGCGTGCTCTTTAGAGTGCCCGTTATGGCTTTGGTCCCGCAGGTGTGGTTAATGAACACCTAGAGCAGTGAACCGGAGGAGGGGAACATGCCAATTCAAATCTGTTATCGTTATTATTAGTAGTAATAAATTCTTTTATTCAATAAAAACGTCCACTTTTACACATGAATCGTATTTAAATTTAAATTTTCTGTACCCACATTGATAATAATTCTATTAATTTCTCTTGGCCAATATATTGTATTTAGTAGTTCTCTCTAATTGTGTTATTTCATTTTCGTTTTTACACATAATTCATGATGGAAGAACACACATCACAAGATTTATAAAGTAATAAAGAGTGGTCACATCATTAAACAACATATAATTTCCATACATATTTAAATTTATACATACATTTACTTTACCTCTGTGGGCTCAAAACTCTGAGAACAATGAACAACAACGCAAACTCGCTAAATACACAGAACACAGAACTACGTACATATTTTACATGAAAGCACAACAACAATACATTGAGACCAGTGAGAGTATGTACATATTTAGATGGTAATTGTGTTTCTTGGTGGTATACGGATAGGAACCTGGTTGATAACAACCTGTTGTTGTTATCCATACTCTCTTGGCAAAAATTGATATTACAACACTGTACGAGAGAGAGTAAAGTGAAATGTTGATAATAATTTATATACATATTTTTATCTGGTTTATCAATCTTTTTGTTACAAATACATATACAATAACGCTGCATCATCAGTATCAATAAGTACAAGTATATGAGTACGAGAATATAAGAGTAATACTTTTTTTCGCACCATGCAATCACATCACAACATTTTTTACCCAAGACATTTTGCTTGCTGTTGTTCCAGTTAGCACATGCGTATTAAATTAAGATTCACTCACTCACCATAAAGATAATGATCACCAGCACGATGCAATATTCATGACTGACGAGTAAAAGTGTTTGAGGTACTTTTGTCAGGACACCAATCATTCTCTGCCTTCTTTTTGAAGCAGATTTTCCCCTTTCTTTTACCACGTTCTGCATTGTGTGTGTATGTATCTGGTGTGTATAATAAGCTGCCACATAAATCTCTTTTTATTCTAATCCACTACATCGTGTTAGCACCGTCGTCGCCACATCCTACTCCGGGGTTGGCGAAACAACGCTACTCCTAGGTCAACATGGGCTGAAGAGTGTGCGACGTACGGAGTCTCATAAACTATTCCATAGCGGTGTTTGTATAGTCCCCCTGAGACGGAGAGGTACAACAAATCATCACATGCGGTAATATATCCGGTCCAGATACCAAATTCCTTGTTTGGTCGATGGGACTTGTGTGTGGTGTGTACGATTGGAAACTATGTACATCAGAAGTGACGGTATAAATTGATCTAAAGTAGCGATGTGATGAAGTAATATTATCTATCAGCTTAATTTTAAGTCTATCCGGTATCCGTATAATAATGTAATCATAGCCAAGCCATCCACTTTTCTCTCCCAAAATCCGACAAAAAGTGGGCTTGGTGACTTTCCCCTGTTCAAGTTAATATAATAAATAAGCTACGTATGTACGGAGAAAAACGTACGTAGAAGAAGAAGCATCATCGTACGACGAGTGAGTTTTGGTAAGTAGTTTAGTCTATGATTATGATGGAGATGACTCGAGAGTTTCCTCGCGCCACGTTCAACAATTGTGCTCCCAACCATCCTTAGTGGCTACATGTTCAGAATCTACGGGGGGTCACGTCCCACTCTACACGACATTACACCACAAATACTAATAGAGAGAGAGAGAGACCCTGGGAGGCAGCAGGTATCAATATGAAGCATGGCCACTCTACAATGGTGAGCAAATTCCATATTGACAGTCTTCTTCTTTCGAGAGGAGACTGGTGCGACTCAGGAGAAAGTATGCAGGAGAGATGTATGGATAGAGGGACTCTTGTAATAATAATGATAATAATGAGTAGTTAGAAGAATACGTATCATGTACCCCGGCATCAAAAGACGTCGTATATTTAGAACAGCCACACAACAATGGTGTAGCATTCGCTCATTCACTCACCATCACGTTATCCTTGAATTACGACCACCCCCTCATAAAAGTAATTCCCAGGCTGCTGCATTCACCCAAGAATTAGGAAAGGAAAACAAGGAGGAGGAACGTTTATGGGGATGAGTATCCTGGGGCAGTGGAGACGGCAAATTAGTCGGCCATGACAGTGTTGTTTTCGTTGCTTTGTTGGCCAGAGCAGTCTATTTGATTTTGGACGAACGGGATGTGCACTTCCACTTCATTGGTGGAGGAATAATAGGTCGCTGTCACGTTTTCATAATTGACGTTCATGACTGGCGTTTGCAACTGTGAATCCTGCTCGTCAATCGTGTCCAGAGTTCCAAGGTTGGTGGATCCAGTCTGCTGCCCGTGTTCGGAGGAGGGCGAGATGACCTTCGTTTGCTGGGAGGGAGGCATCAACGTCTCCTGCACCGTGTCGTTCCCGTTGCACGTTCTCTCTGAGACCAACCGTCGGCTGGTCCGGTTCACGGCCCGTTGGGCGGATGAAAAGCAGGGCAAAACTTGTTTGAATTCCTTCCGGAAATTTTCATTCAGCCAGGCGTACAACCACGGCTGCAAGAGAGAGACAGAGACAGACAGACAATCACAACAGATCAATAACAGCGACATTCAACTCGATAAATGGGGGGCGAAATTCGTGGAAGATGATTTCGAAATCATATTATTTTACAATCCGCCATCCTCAAAACTGTCTTATTTCCTAATAAACAAGCATTAAAAATGACAGAGACGACTGAACCATAGCGGAGAGGAACCAAGAAGGGAAAGGAAATGAACAAATCACTTCCTGCCATTCAACGTAACTATGCTTTTACTACGAAAATCTGCGAGGCTTGAGGCAGCTTGGTGTCAAGAGACTGAGGGAGGAACCTACCACGTCAAAAATTCGAAACTGCTTCTTAACTATATTCTCCTTTGATTCGAATAAAGAATTTATTGTTAAAAATGAACTTTCGTGATTTGGATTGGAATGTCTTTGACAGCTGAAGATTCATGGGACACATTTTCATTTCCTCATTTTATCTCAAATGCACATTACTACATGTACTTTGCTGACTGCTGCATCACAACTGACTGCATGGCTTTTTCCTCCTCCTCCAGCCCTACTTTCCCCATAACTTTCACCACCACGCTTTCACCAAGCACCATCAACTATCATGAATGGCTGGGTTGATAGGATGCGAGATGGAAAGCTGGCCACTAACGGTTCTTCTTCTCATTCATGATCCGACAATTTTCCAGCTACTTTATGCACCCCGCAGTTTTTGGACCGGATTAGGGAATTGGAAAGAAATTGGAATTTGCTTACGTTGTAACAGCACGATGACATGGCGATGGCATGAGAGATGAAGAAGCATAAATTGTAATACTCCCATGCCGCCGCATCCGGATACACGTCATTGAGAAGGTTGAGGACATTGATTGGGAGCCAACAAACTCCGAAAATCATCACCATCGCGATAAGCATCCGATTCGTTCTGCGTTTCCGTTCCCTTTCCAGGGCCTCTTTCTTACTGTTCTTGCTCCCAGGTTTCGCCTTGGCCCGATCGGCTAGTTTAATGGAGACTTTGATGTAGCAAAAGAGGATGACGATGAAGGGGAGGATGAACTGCATGCTGGTTGTGCAGGCGGAAAAGACGTTCCGTTCTTTAGGAGAGGGCCAAGCCTCGCTACAAGTATACTTGCCACTTTCCATCTTGTACTCGAGGAAAATTCCGTACGGAAGGGTAGCCAGGAGGGCAAAGATCCAAATCCCCGTGATGATGAGGAGGCATACGGTAAGTCGCATGCGGGGCTTGAAAGGATAGATGATCACGAAGAAGCGATCCACTGCGATCGAGGTCAGAGTGAGGGTCGAGATGTAGACGGACGTACCTTGAGCGGAAAAATGGATACGTCTACTTTCACTCGATGGCATAAAGGAGGCATATCAATTTTTGGAAGATGAGACGACATACCTTGAGCGTAAGGAACGAGGTGACAGAGCACGCGGCCAAAGATCCACTCCTCGAGGAAGGTGTACAACGGGGTGAAGGGCACGGCAAGGGCGCAGAGGAGGATATCAGCCAGAGCGAGATTCGTGATGAAAAAGTTGGTCACCGTTTGCATCGCCTTGTTTCGTCCTACGACATAGCAGACGAGGACGTTTCCGAAAATTCCAAGGACAAAGATTTGGGTGTAAATGACGTAGAAGAGGGCCTGCACACCCGCATGATTAATTACGTCCAGACTCCCGGAATCATTCGTGTACATGTAGGACTGATTAAAGTAGTTGCCGTCCGTGTAAATGGAGGTCGTCAAATTTTCATCCCAACCATTTTCGTCCTCCATGATGATGGTGTGCCTGTTGAATTAATGTAAAACACTTGTTAGTTCATTTTCCCTTGTCCAATCTCGCCCAGACTTAATAACTCTCTAATCTCATTCCACTTTCCCCACCAGCTCGCATTCCCACTTGGCTAAGCACTCTCTCACTTTCTCTCTCACAGATCGTCGCGTCTGGTAAAACGTCTCCCTCTTTTTGCCCCCTCATATCAGCAAGAAAATGGTAATATAAGCAGCATTTAGAGAGAGATGGAGAAATGGATAGGACGTGAAAAATAATAGGCAAGCATACATGTATGGGCAAAGGTGGTCGAGAGAGAGAGAGCCAAGAATCTGCCACGACCAAGAAGCTAACAAAATCTTCTTCTCCATTGTGTTTGGGCATACATAAAAGTAAGCCAAATCCCAAACCAAGCCTTTTTTTCTCATTCATATTCTCGCAGTGGTACCTTTAAAACCTGACAGGAAACTTTGATGGCGGCACATCACCGTTTGTCGCTTGTACTCCGTCAGATAATCGAGCCCTTGGTTGTCACCATGATTGAACCATACACACGGCTCAAAAGGTTGTGATTGGGAGGCACAAAAGGCAAAATAAATAAAAACAGCATTATAACAACCTAAGAGAATGTATCGATCTCGAGAGCATCGACACAGTTTATCTCTCCACCAACAAAGTCTCCACGGAATGCTCGTCGTAAACTTGACGGCTTTCCCAATATTATTCTCCCCGGCAGAAGGTTCCCATTTCCTAAAACATGGCCCTTCCTACGACTGACGGGTGAGAATTCCGTCGTGAAGAGGAATCAAATCCTTGCACAACGACAGCTCCATAAATCAGCCAGAGTTTAAGATTGCGTGCAATATGAAACCAAGACGGGCCACAGCACATTCTACTTATGTAAGTGCATGCATACACATATTGCGCAAAAGGCCAAATTTTTACCGAGACAAAAATAGCAATTCGCCATCATAACAATTCGACTCTGATTCACATTTCTTGGTAAAATTTACCACTTTCTTCGTATCGTATCCCTCCTCAGTGTCCACCAAAGTCACATTACCGACCAGTCAGTATTGCTACTTGTAACAATGAGACGATCCATCACGTCGTAATTGTGGTTGATTTGGAGGAGAGAAAGTACAACGCAAACCTTACATTCCTCCACTCAAGTCTCCATTACAGATTGTTAGTCTTTTACTTTTTTTAACCTTTGCTTTTCTCCGGTATCAGTTTGCAATTACGAAAACAGCAACTAACCACCAGGGACGGGGGGATGACGACGGATGAATTGTGCGAGTGCGAGCAAAACTTTTCGTCGGATCGTTCCAATATCACCACCACCACCACCACCGACCGTCTTTAATGTAAAAATAACACATGGAGAGTCTTTTAGTTTCGCATTTCTAAAATTGTTGCTCTCACTCGATTTGCCTCTCCTCGCAGTTTTTCTGTATCTCTCTCCTCAACCTGCCTGCAATGCTGAGGTCGAATGGAACTAAAAGTAAATTGGAATAGGAGAGCAGGAAGAAGAAGAAAAACAAGTTTTTGTTACACTCTCCACTTGTTAGCGAGGAGGAGGAGGAGAGAATGGTAAACGTGTACACTAAATTAATTTGAAAGCCACTTCAAGTCTCCTCACGACCCGAAGCAGCAAATATTACAGCACTCTGAAAAGAAAGTTGGAGAAGGAGTAGGATGAAATCCGTAGCAATAATCATCTCAATAACAGCGTATTCAAAAGGCTTACATACTCACATCTTCTCCGGCCTCGACTTCCCAATAACCCGACCGAGAAGAGAGCTTTTAAAAACCTAATACCCATCCGACTCTGTCAATGCACTTTGCAAACTGTATAAACACAATCGTCCCCATAATCTACAATAATTCTTTAATTTTATGGGGCCTCCAAAACTGTTGGGTTGTGATTATTAATGGCTCATTACGCTTCGTTCATTTGCCAAAATGAAGAATGAAATTGAAAGTCTATGAATTAGGAGAACATTTATCCCGGTCTTTCTCTTTCTCGCCTCAATGTTTTTCCTAGCAAGCTGATAAGCAGGCTCGACGGCAGCACCAATGTGTATCAAACGATTTTAATGATTTTCTCTCCCATTTTGGCTGCTTAATGAAACCAAGAATTGGTTTCCTCTCCTCGATCTGTCTGCAGTTTTTCTCCTCCTCCTCAACCAACCAGCTTAGCTCGCGAGCAACTTCAAACAGAATATTCTGATTTTTTCCTCGTCCTTTATCTCTCCCTATACTGCTGACATGGCTTGTTGGATGGATGCTTGGCTGGCTGGCTGGCTGGGGTACTGCGAATACAGAATGGGGAATTAAAGAGGAGTGTTTCACCAGCCAACTATGCATGCACTGGGTGAAAGCAGCATGGTGTACGTACACACACACACCCACCCACGTGCATACGGTTAGCTGGGAAGGAGTGAAAGTGGGAATAAGGAACAGAAGGACTGGAAGACTTTGAATTCTACGAGATCGCGATACAACTGTAAAAATTTCGATGTTGTTGCATGCCCGGTTGTTACTGTTAGTGGGGTGGTGGTGGTTGAAGGGAAGTCTTCTGTCATGGGATTCAACTCTTTGTGGAGGGCGAGAAACTCCCCAATGATCGTATAAAACGTAAAAGCATTTTGGAGCTTTATGTATTCGATTCGGTGGGCTTGAAGAGGGAGACGTGTGATTGTGAGTAGCTGTTTATAGTTCATTGGTGCCATTAAGATTTCACTTGAGGACTTCTCCTCTCTCGTCCCACAAATTTAGTCCGGAAACGTGCCTGCCTACCGAGGAATGTTCACCAATTCTGCCAAATCCTAAATCATGACGGCTTTAGACGCTGTAATTGAAAGCGCCCATTTTCACGGGTAATGATTGCAAGTTGGTGGGTGGATGTTGTGTTGTTGTTGTAGCTTAAGGAACGCATGGTACGACTCCCTTTCCACTCTTTGCGGACATATAATTTTGAGAATAATGGTGCCAGAGAAGAAGAAGGTCTGAAGAGTCTCAGTACTAATTCTCAAATGGAGGTGAAAGTAGGAAAGCCTTCCAAGCAAACTAGATACACGCTGTCACTGCACTCACTCTCCAACATTTAAAGCTACACATACAACACGGAAACAATTTGGCAAACCCCAACCCAAGATTTGGACGCAGAAAAGTTCCAGGCGATGCAGGAATAAGGAGAGACGGAGGACCAGCCTCTCTCGCGACTTTCCCTCAAAAACCCAAGTTTTCGAGTTTGGCTCGTTGGAATGGAATAGATGTTCAAAATTCTGTGGCTTCTCTGTTGAAATCTCAAGCATCCATTTGCATTTATATACAAACCGAGCAAGCAAACAAAGTGTATGGCTTATAAACAACTCGTGTTCATTCAGTCAGTCAGTTTCGAGTGGTTCTGGTTATTTGGTAGTTTTCTCGGTAAATGCATTATTGTCAAGAAGGGGAATGAATGAGTGGAAGAAATCACATCAAATCTGTTGATGCTTAATGGAGATTTTGTTGAAGTTGCAAGTTTCATTTTGGAGATCGACAAGTGCTTTCCAACTGTGTTAAAGTAAAGTCTCATAATTTCTTCCCCACACAGGATCAACGCTTATCTCCTAATTAACTAGAAGTAGGACAGAAGCGCTGATTCGATTATGTAATATCTAATAAAAATCTTGTCTGGCGTGAAAAATATGAGAGCGTAGATATGTATTCGTTCGTCTGTATATATAAGGAAGATAAATCGAGTCATAAAAAAGTGACAAATTTTTAACGGGAAGGAACCCGACTAACTTTTTTACACTCTGTAAACCTAGATAGAACTGCTTCCAAAATTTGTGTGTCAAATTAAGATTTCATTTTTTAGTCTATATGCAGAAAAAGTTGTAATGTTTACTTAATTTAGAGAAAACTTTCTCCCAGATTTGCCAAACCATCTGTACTAACCATGCAGCAAGGGGGGTGTAGTTAGTTAGCGGAATGAAGTTGTAGGGAGGGTAAGTAAGCAAAAAAGTGGAAAATGTCGGTTTGAATTGTCCCGACTAGTTCTCTCTCTTTCTGCATATGTTCTCCACGCACGAAAAGTTCACAGAGTACGTATGCCGACTTTCTTTTTCGCCACGATTATGAATTACTTTAACCCGGCGACGTGGCGAACCCCACTCATTTTATCCCCCTTTCCCTCCCGCTATGCCGTAATACATATTGCAAATAAGCCAACCCGACCAGTCTGCTAGCAGAGCCTCAAGTCATCATCTCTCGTTCTTGCCACTTTCTTCGACCATCTCGACTCTACGAACTCCGTCCTCCTCCGCGCGGAAGATAGCTTTACTTCAACATAAATAAAAATATCAAAAGTTTCCAAACTGCGAGAAGAGGAGAGAACTTCGACTTGGGGGTCTCAGACAGGAAAGTGGAGATTTTTCACAAGTTGGACGACAAGAGCAGCACTTGGCTTTGGCAGAGTGTACCAGCAGGGTGGACATTATTCATTCAAACATTTGCAAGCCAAGACAAGGAAGGCGGGGGAGGAGTGTGGGTCGTCCTAGTCGTGCTGGCTGGCATATATACAAAATCTCCTTTCATCCAGATACTTATCTTCTCGGATAAGGCTGTCTCTCAGCCAAAAACTAACAGATATTCATACAAAAACGCATTCAATCCTCTTATTTGGTTAACTATTTAGATACAGGTTGGCAATTCATACCAAGTGAGCATACTTAGTTTAGTCGTAGGGGCAAAAAATCACCTAGTCAATGAGCTTATTGTAGCTGACTAAACTGCTCCGTACCCGGTAGCACCACTGCCCCGAGAACCTTTTCCAGATAACACAAATAAGTAAATGCAGACACACAACTTTTGCACAACTTGTTAAAAACTGTTGAACACTGCCGCATTGTTAAAAACTTTTGCTCAGCAGGGCAGTTGGTTAAAATAATAGTTACTCAACTGAATGCTCACGCTGTCCTAACTTTTTAAGCGCACCCCACTAATTTCGAAGGAAATAACACTGTGTAATTAAACTTATTTGCTGAAAATATGTAATGAATTGATTGACTACAATGTCCTACTGGGCTGGGTGTCGGCTGCATGCATACGAACGTAGATACCTATAAACGGCCCGGGCTCAAATTACCTTTTACGTAAAATTCGGAAACAAACTTTCTCGATCCTTCTTACCAGAGATGAACAAAATTTTACTGTTATAGAAAACAATTGAGGACGTCGAAAGTTTGTTATTGGACATAAATTCATGCGTCACACGATTTGGAGATGCAAATTTATGGATCACGTTCCACATTTTTTAGTACAAAATTCATTTCGAAGTAAGGGCCAAAACTATTTGTAGCCCAGTTTCTCCCATTATATTACATTTTTCAGACGCAATATGCAACCTTGTTTTAAAATGTCGTCTAATTTGTGTGAATCCATTCGCACTAAAAAAGTACAACTTGTCATTTCGCATATGTACATAGTTCCTTTTGTCACTCGTGTTATTAAATTATCTCAAACCGGGGAAATGAGCATTCCCTCAAGGATCGTAATGCCATAATATCTGCATGAATTATCCTTAAAATTATCACGCTAAGGTATGATGATGCATGATGATGATAATTTTCTCCAGTTTTTCAGATCAACCTGAAACTTTTTTGTATTAACAAGCATCAAATTCTCAACTGATGCATGAACCAGAGTTGTATAAGAAAGAGAGGAGAATTGACGTCTTGGCAGAAGAGTTGTGAATAGTGTGAGAGAGAGAAAGAATAAGAAACTTACTTGGTAAACTAAACTAAAACTCCAAGTTGGGATTGAGTGGTGGTGTTGAAATAATTTGGTTTTCACAAGACTTGTTCATCCAGTGTAACCTTTAGCAAATCTAATAGAAGAATCCCTCTCAACCATGCATTCGGTCTAATCAACTTACTCGTAATTGTGTCATTTTGCAAAATATTATTTGCAGAAACAAGCTTTGCCGTAAATCTTTAGTGTGTGTGTGAGTGTGTGTGTATGTGTGTATTTACGGGGTACATTGATTAATTGCAACAGTAGTGGTGATAATGTCCCGAGTAAATACAAATAGAGAAAATGACACGTTATTTCATTTCCACGGCTGACTGCACCATCCGCGCCTGCCTATATTTATCTATTTATTTGACTTGGTTTGATCTATTGGGCAAATTTGTAGATTTATTTGAAATCCTCATCATCATCCTCGTGATCATCCATCCAAACTTGGAGAGATACAGGCTCAGCCAAAATTTGTTCGTCAAATAGTACGAGCTGGATAATTGCATTTTCTTCCTGGTGTAAATACTATGCATGTCTCGTAAGCGGGGCTGATAAGTATTTCAACACAATATTTCCACCCCCGGACTCCTTCAGCGTAAAAATAATCTCGTGTGAATATCACCCTTGTCGGCTACATTTATCTCAACAATCCCACTTGCCTCATCATGAAAATAATTATGATGACATCCACCAAAGTGTGTCAGGGTAATCCACGAGCTTATGAAATCACACCGAAAGTTATAACTTTTATGAATCCGGGTAGCTTCGTTTTATGCAATTATGAAACTTTCCCCAAAGACGTGAACAATGAATTAGGCAAAATCCTTCTGTCTGCTGCATCCATGCGCCACCAGTTTCTCAACTGATGATGAGATTGCAAATAATTAAGGGGACGACCTTCGTTCATCGAGTAGTGCACTACAATTAATTGGCATCTGTCATTTCGCCCCAGACTCTCCGCTTTATACTCGTCGCTACCATTGTGCAATTGTGAAATCCATTTGGCACGAGGAGGGCAATTGTATGGGGAAGCATATGCTGACTCGCCGTTTATGGGCAACGTGAGAGCCGAGTCAATTAAAAGTATTAAATTTTGTTGAGAATATTGGAAACTGTGAGTGCAATTTGCGTACCTACGGAGCAGTCGGGACGGCTTTCTTTTCAGTTTCATGTCCTCTTTTCATCCCAAATATTTCAACCCAGGATGAGACCGCATTGTACGAAGGCTTCGTAATAATCTCACTTTCCCTGCTTTCCTAGTCCTGCATCGTGTATCGTTATGCATTCCGATGATGGGCATGCTATGCACTGTCATCAAAACCCGGATAGCATTAGCAGCCCTTACCCTGACTGCTTACTGCTATCCATGGCCAACGAGTTTATTCGTGGGTGTAATCTTTCCCCAAGTGAAATGAACTAACTGGAGGAAAATCTATGTACTTATCTTTTGGCATGCTTACAAAACCCCTATTTGTGTACACACAAATCTCAACAACTAATGTCTGTCAATTGCAAAAAGGGTTGAAATGCCAAATAAATGTTCTTACCGTAGTAGTCGTCGCAGCAGTTTGTGAGAGGAGGTGGCAATAGTTTCGATGTATGTATGGAGAGAGAGAGAGAGAGCAGAGAGAGCAGAGTTGAAGGATGACGGGTGATGATAACTGATGGATGATGAGTGAGCTGATGCCCTTTTTCTTCCACAAATTTTCTCCAACACCACTCAGTCAGCCCGACACAGAAGCAGCTCAGTTCTCTTGATGGTGGTGGTAGTGATGATGATGATGATGCATTACGTGATATCAAGTGTTCAATTGTTCGCAATAGTCTGAAAACAGGGAATCAAAATGTATAGGATTGGATTGTGAGTGTCTGATTTGCAATATTATGTATTCCGGATTGCAAACAGAACGTGCATTAGACTGCTCATGCATATATAATAAGTGGTTGTTGAATTTGTTCTTAACTTGTCAAAAGTGAGACCTTCGCCAACTAACCGTAATGTCAAAAATGAAGTGTGGTGCTGGTGGTGCTAAGTATGAGAGGCTTTGCGATAATAATATCCAGAGAGTTGATAAACACGATGGTTCATTCCTTCTCTCACTAAAATGATGAAATCTATCTGCCAACCTGCGACGAGGACGACCTTAAAATATACATGGAGGAAGGAGCCAGGGGGAGGTTCAATGATTGCGGAGCTGACATTGAAGGATGAACCCGAGCGCCGTAAAAGACCTCAAAAGGTGGAGCAGATCAGATTTTAGGATTTGATTCCCGAGTGGCAGTTGGAACCACTTTGGAGCAATGTCTCTGTGAAACAAAGCCACTTGGAAAATTCCACTTTGTTCGACAGATCAGAGGTTTCTGACAAAACTGCCACCAAATCATTCAAGGTTTGAGGCTATTTCTGAGGAGAAAGCAATCACCCGCTGATCTAGAAATACAATATACGCGCATTTACTTTCTCTCACCACGAACACCACCACCATGCATTCTGACTTCCGAATTTACAACTCGGACGATTAAACCTCAGGCAATCAAATGGAAGTAATGATAGCATAACAAACTGGTTGTGGTGGAGAAGGGCGGAACCTCCCCCTCTCTTTCCTGGAGAGCTTATTGTCCATCCGCAACAATGCCCGAGTGAACGCGATACAACCTAATTTTCTCTGCGGGGGACTCATTTTTGAACACAAAGTGGTGGTACCACTTCTTTCTATTACATACATGGCACTTCTTTCAGGAGTCGGTGACTCTGGAAAAAGTGAGCCTCCTCTCTCTTTCGTCTCCTTCGTCTTTCTCAGATTTCTCTCTCCTTCTGCTCCCTCACTTCTCAGGAGTCTTGGTTGTGCATGAGTGTAAAATTATTAGTAAAAGTGAGGAGTAGAATTAATATATGAAGGAGAGAGCCTGATGCCGATGTGATGCTGCGTCAAGGGACAAAGGAGAGAGAGAGCTGGAGACTCTGCAGACAAGTCTCATGATGATGTTTAAATGATTAATGGATTTTCCTAGGCGGTCCATGAATTCTGGAAACTGAATTCTTCACATTCTTCAATTCAATAATACGCCCCGAAGAGGAAGCCGACCAAGACCATTCTCTCAACCTCCGGTTACAAGATCGACCACTACATTCATTCCGGTACGCGACCAAAGCACCGAGGTCAGTTTCAAGACAAAATTCGATATATGTGTTTTTTTGACACATGCTTACTTTTGTGGGCAATCCTTTCTAAAAGATCTATAGTTTAGCTGCCAACCATCAGAGTGAAATAACCCTCTCACAAATCACACAAGGAGACCTATTTGTATCGACTGCCATCATCTCATCATCCTGTCGCAGCCCCACCAGCCAATTCTAAAGTATGTACACCCTCTCTTTCTCTTTAACTGCTTATTTCCAATCAAGTTGTGTCCTCTCTCTGCATCCTCTGGGTCCACACTTCAACTTCAAAGTGCCCTGCTGCTTTCTCCACCCTCCTGACCATGCAGTGGCAGACAATGGACCGAGAGCCAGAATAAAGAGCTAAAGATCAAACAGAGGAACAAGTAGAAGAAAGTGGGTGGCTTACTGGGTGTGGAGATTACGGCGTGGTGGGTGATGGCAGGATGCAAAGAGATCTCTTTGATGATGCGATGCTAACTCTGTGGCTGGCTCCAAATAAGTAAGCGAAAAGTCTCAACGGAAGGAGGAGTAGGAGGATGAGGGACAACAATAACTGACCATACCAAGTAAGATTGAGTGAGCGAGAAATATGTTGACCACCGGATGGATGTGGATGATGAGATCCCAGTCAAAAAGAAAACCTTCTTTCTTCCTCCTCTTCTTCTTCGGTCTGCGTAGAATGAACAGACTCGAGCAACTGAGCCCACTAACTGACGATACGGGAGAGAGTTGACGGAGTGAGACTCTGGTCTGAAAAAGACGACCGAAACCAACCAAACATGCTCTTTCGCCCGTTTTCTCCAGCCAGCCACCCAGCCAACCACCCATCCAACCCTTTCCTCATTATCCCAACCAACCAAACCAACCCAGTCTGTGTGTATGTGTTATACAATGAGTTTAGTTGGCGGAGGAAGAAGTGGGTAAAAGTGGGCTGTAGGATAATACACACGTAAAAAGGAGCACTCATTCCGTCTCAGTCTTCTTGACCAAGTTATTAGACGTGTATATTATGTTTAACTCTCTTTTCGAACAATGGAAACACCTTTTGTTCCCTCATCATCATCACCTTCTTCATTCTTCTAAGGTTGGCGAGGGTGACGATGATGACATGACTGGGTCGGGAGTCGGGCAGTAATAATACTACCCCACTTATTTATAGCCACTTTTAATAGATTCGACAATTTATTGATGTATCCATGCAATGCACCTCTCGTTTAAATGGGGGCTGCAGAAGGGAAGAAGATTAGGAAATAATGTCCTCCATAATTATGCTCAGAGTTAACTTAACGCACAAAGTCCAAGCAAAAGCTAAATTCGACTGGGCGTGCATTCCTCAGCCAAATTCTTCATTCTAAACTTGGGCAACCTAAACTTTGTCTGGAGACATTCCATTGAATTTTATTGGCTTTTAGCATCTCCTGACAACTACTTTATCTCCCGTTTCGTACATTCCGAAATAAATGCCTCTTATTCTTCGCCGTAAGGATATACATACGAACGTACGTATCTCTCCTGTGTCTCTTGGCGTGTGTGAGGTAATGTATGAACACACAGAAGTTCCGCACCCAGAAGAAGAAGTTCATTCTAAATCCGGCTAAAAGCTGCAGAGATTCTTCGTGTTGTTGAATTAAAATATTCATGACGTTTATTATTATTATTATTATTATTATTATTATTATCACGACCATTATCCCTTTTCTTTTACATAAGTTCCTCCTTATTTATACAGTGCAGCCCTGCTTGCTCCCTGTCTAATAAGGAGAGACGAAGTGAGAGGGAACATTTGTGCAAGTCGTGTGTCCCTGCCATTCATGATGATTATCCTCTCTCCTGGTAGTCGGATTTAAACGGGGAGGAGAAAGACCTTGTCGTGGTGGTGGTGAAAGTGGTTTGTTAATTTGCATGACTGCCGCAGAGGATAGATTTTAAAATGACTTTCTCCTCCAGTCCTTGTCTTGCTCATTTAATTTTAAAAGCTAAGCCACCCACCAATCCACCCACTTTCATCTCTGCAATCTGCACCTCTTGTCGTCCTCCTTCCGCTAAACTTTACACCACACACAAGCAGTAAAAAGAGACACGTTTCCCGGAAATTGATGCAAACTTAACCAAAAACTATTATGGAATGAATAATGAAATGAATTATGAGGCAAACTACTTGTTTAACAACGATTCTGATTCATAACTTTGTAACCAACCAGCCAACCAGCCAGACACCAAATATCCACCAAGAGACAGACCAACAGGAAGAGAATCACCAAATTAAGTATGTCGCAAGCGCAATTGGACAAGTTACGAACGCACCTGTGATGAGTGAATGCATGTTCATGACATTTTACATCTGGAATCCTGCGGTGTTACACAACACGACGCAATATTGCGAGTACTTTTTCTCTTTTCAAAGTCTCGAAATAGCTGAGGCATTTGAATTTCAAGAATTTTCCTTATAAAGCAATACGTTCGGGACAGATTGATGGAAACCTGTCACACTGGTCGGAGAGAGAGAGAGAGAAAAGGAAAGAGAATGGATTGAGAGTGGAAAGAGTTGGAGAAGAAGGATGGCTCACAAGTTGGCAAGAAGAAGAATAAGAAGAAAGCATAAAGTGACTTTGAGCAGGGGAGAAAGGAAGTGGTGGGGGCAGTACATTCGTACATTGTGGTGGTGTTACTAGAAGGATGAGGGGATGGGGGGACACACTTAAAGGAGAAGAAGAACAAGTCGAGACCAAGTTAATCCATCGGTTAAAAGAGTTGTTCAAATTTAGAGAAGAACTGACTAAGGGGAAGAATAGCTATTTTCTCAACTTTATGTGTATATATGTCTGTATGTGTGTGTGCCGTGTGCCTTCTTGATTTAAGAATCTGTAAATCAACCTTGTTTGCCAAGCGGGGCGAGGAATGAGAAGAAGAAGAAGGAGCTGAATGAATGAGGTAAAGAAGTCTTCTCTTCTTCGAAACTCTAACTTTTTGGTCAGTTCGGGTTCAAGCAAATTAATTCCTCTCTAAATATTTCCTTTCGCAATCCTTCTTCACCTTTTTCTTCCCACTCGCGAGGAGCTAAGCCAGTCAACTAGCCGTAGTTTCCTTGCCTGTTTGAACACAATCTCGAAAACTGACTGTGTGTGTCGGTCTTCTCGTCGTAGATTAGTAGGAAGGAGACCACCAGGACTGCAGGGAAGGGAAAATTGTTCATAGCTTAGCTGACACTCCAACTCTCACTCCCGTCACATTAAAAGCACCACCAACCGACCGACCAAGGCTACCTTTCTCCAATTCGTGTATACATTCGTGCGTATATGGAGACGACGTCTTGTTACGACTCACTCACTTTCCTCACCATTACAACTCTCTCTCTCTCTGTCGACTTCTTAATAATTCAATAAGTTTTCTCTTGTGCTAGACTCACGGATTAAGTTCTCTGCATATTGAACAGTCCTGAAGCGTGGCGTCAAGCTGCGTTTCAGGCAACTATTAGTCGAATTATGAGATGCCACTTATCACATTTGGGGGAGGAATGGTATATACTTTGCAAATCTGTAGTTCTGCATTTCAACAGAGTATGATCCAAATTATGTGCTTCATTGTATGTAATGAATTCATAGTATTTTTTAGAAGAAACGTGGGATTTTAAAAATTTAAGGAGCTACATTTTCCACTGGCATTAATTAGTAATTTAAAATTTGAAGTCAATTTCGGTGATTGATTGAAACACTAAAAACCTCAATTCAGATCTGGATCGGGCGGTATTCCTGTAAATGCATTCCCATCTCTCGTAACATGTCAAAAGGTGCTGAAGTGATGTCAAGTGCTCTTCTCCCCATATTTCCACCTCCATTACTTCAACGTCGGCGAGGTATATATAGAAGAAGAAGGGTGTAAATGTTGACGAAATCTTTCTTTCTTTCCTTCCTGCGTAGAAAGTTATTGGGGATACCGACCGGAAATTTTACATGGATGGAGAGGTGATATTAATACTCTGAGAGCACTTGTCCAACTTTCACCACCTTTCCAGAAAGGAAGCGAGAATGCCAGGAATCTTGGAGTAATTGGTTTTAAAACATTTTTCTATTAGCATTTGTATAGCGATGTGTACGATATGCAAGATTATTTTGGGTTCTACTTGAGATTAAAAATTCTAAGAAACCACGAAAAGTATGTATGTCGTAATAGGAATAAGGCTTTCCCAAAAACGGAACTGCCATCCGCATCCATCCAACCAGACACCGAGCCTCCTGCCAAACGTCTAGCCTCATAACCTAATCATCAAAGGAGGTGGGCGAATAAGCGCGGCTTTTCTGTTCCAGGTTATCCAACTAACCAAAATGTAGGATAGAAGAAGACGTATCGGTAGGAAATTCCCACTTGAGAAGTCATTCATTTATAATCCTTCCACCATATACAAATGCACACACGTCGCTCCTGCTTTCTCTGTCTCAGCCCCACCGACACACACTGCTTATAACGAAGAATTAAGAGGAGGAAGAAGAGAGAAACTTGCTTGTTGTACTTGTTAGTTTGAGAAAGAGAGAGTGTGGTTCAGCTTTTCGCCAATCGCTGCTGGCAAGAAGAAGGTGTGCATTACTTGGTCCATCCATATAACTAACTAACTAACTAAGTAGTCTAGCTCTCTCCTTGCCTGATGCATGCATGATAATACCCTCCATTTCATTATGTAGGAAGATGACTCAAAGTCAAGAGAGGTCATTGAAATTGTGTAGGAAGAGAAGGAGACGAAGAGCAGGAAAGTGATGTTCTTCCGAAATTTCGAAACTCCTTTTTCCCCTTTCTCTCCTTCAACAATGAATGCGCACACATGCGAGATGACAAGATTGTTAGGAAGTGAAATTAACTGCAACATATGGAGCCACCAATTTAGTCGGAGCACATCTCATACTATAAATCCAAATTAGTGTGTGCATTGTACATATGAAGGGGGCTACATTTAAGCGTGAAGAAGTAGACTCGTTTTGTAGTTGGAGACCTTGAACCAGGACGACGTGCATATTAAGCGAAAGATCACAGAGGAGAAAAGTTATTCCTTTGACTCTAATCACGTACAATCTTCATATCAAGATGAAAGTGCGAATAATAGTGATAATAAGAAATAAGACTAATGATATGTTTTTCTACACGAGCCGAATTTTTTCCTTTATAAATAAACACAAGGTTTAAAGAATTGCAAATTGAGACGAAAATGAAAAGGCAAGTTGAGAAAAAAAATGCATAAAAATTAATGTTCATCATGAAATATTCATCGGTAAGCGATTCACATATTTAGTTTTACTTGTACATAAAAGAGCCCGTAATGTAATGCAGTTTGGATTGATGTGTGTCTAGTTTATATGTACGTAACGTGCTGTCTCTCTCTCTACCATCCTTTACTTGCAGTAACTCGATGATATGCTTGATAATTTATTTACGACTTCTTCTTCCCAGTCAAGAAAATGAGTTTGCTTCCACGTATTTGGTATTCACTCGACTTGGTGGTCAATTCCCATCAACAAACAATCCATCATTATTTCCCCTTTCTGATTTCCAACCATTTCATTCCACCCATCAGACGATTTTCGGACCCAAATCTACTCCATCACAACCACCACCACCACCACCCCTCCTCCTCCCTCCTACATATGTACTGGTCGCCCAGTATGACGACCACCTGGGATATGACCATAGCACACTTTCACTTTAAATGAAATGCATGCATGTGACTCTGAGGAGAGGAGAGAACAATTTATAAAAGGCTTGACGACTCCTGGCTGGTGAGCTAGCTCATTGAGGTGCAGATCACATCACTACTTTTGATGACATACACACACACCAGTCTGGAACGGAATTGAAAATGGTTCGAGTTCATCCGTCCATCCATCCACCTTTCTCCACCAAAAGTAGTCATGCAGTCACCCACTCCCACATACTGCGAATGAGCTTCCTCGAGTAAATACATGTGTATCACAAGTTATCAAATTATTTATATGACTCTGAAGAGAGGAAAACAATCACATGTTTGAACGAGCAGTACATAACATATGCATGCATAAGAAGTAACGTGTGGATGACAGAGTAAACAATGTAAAAACTAGAAATTATAAACTTGTCAGTCTTTTCAAGGTAACATTTCCTTCGCCCACGTGCCATTTACTCGTCACAGTTTGCTTTGAATACATTGACATTTACAGAAGAAAGTTGACGAATTTCTAGAAAGACTATAATACTAAAAATATATTTGTAATGATACCCCCTCTCCCCGTGTGTCGCCTACTTTTTGCTTTGTATTTGTAAACAAATACTTCTCGGAAAACGGCAATAAGATTATTCTTCCTTTTCCTACTTTCTCCCTGCCTGCCTCAGATAATAGAATATTGCTACATCATTTATTATTGTTAGCATGTGCTCCTTAATAAAGGAGGACGAGTTTCGTTCATTGAAAAAGAAGAGAGCTCCTCCTGCCACTGCTACAGCAAATTTAAGCAAGATCCCAGTTAGGTGGAAAGCATTGTTGGAAAGTGCTTTACCTAGAAATCCGTCGGGAGAAAGCTAGTCGAAAGAGTGAGTGCATATTCAGACCCGGCCAAACAACACGGCCGTTACTGGAAGGGAGAAAGCAAGGAGAGAAAGACAGGCAGGGAAAGCTGGGCATTTGTGACAGGGGATTAGAGAAAAGTAGGCAAAACCTACTACTGCTACTGGGGCACGGATGGATTTGTGCGGTGCTCGTCGTCGTCGTGTGCCCTGCATAGCAAACCATCCACACTTTCTCCATCCACAGATTATTATTATGTGTATGCACCAACAGAAGGACTTGACATTCCAAAATGTGAACCCACCAAGAAGGAAATCACGAGCAATTAACAACTTATTGTGTTTCTCGTCTCTTCTCCTTCTCTCTACCAAAAGTCATCAATTTTCCAATCTCACATTTTCCACCGCACGATCTCTTCTGCACCTCGTCGACAATTCCAGTCAAGCAGCCTCTGTCTCTCTCGTCACTCGTACATTAGGAGTTCATTATCTGTATCAACTATTCCCATTTTCCAGCACGTAACATTTATTGTTCGTTGTAAATGAGCCTAAACAACAATGAGCGGAACGGGAGAGAGACAAGGTGCACCACTAAATTTCATCCTTTGCCAACTGTTGAGCCTCCTACTCATATTCCGTCTTGGGAAATGGCGACTACTTACAATAATTACACTTACAATGGAGATAATATCTATTCAACTGAGCAACATCTTCTTAATAATTATGCTGGAGATAAGTACATCAAAATTGTATTTACGTATGCTGTACAATTCTTATCTTCTTTTCTTCCTCTCTGTAATTTAATTATTTATTTGATAAAATGATTGAAAATTGCCCTCTATAATAAGAAAATCAAATATTTGGCGTCCAAAATAAAACTGAAGGCCACCAATGACGACGATAGCGATTCTTTTCATTATTACCATTGTATAGCAAATGACAGGCCTGGGGAAGCAATTTAGTCATGTTTAAACAACATAGTTAAGTGCGCCACTTATTTTTCCCTTATTAAATTCCTCCAATAATACATAACTAATTTCAATCAGCAATTTCGTAAGGCAGAAATGTCATACGTAGTGGGGATGATGTGCAGTAGCCTGTATGCTAATTTGATTATGCACACACATGTACCTCTAACTGCGATTCCATATTTATTAACTATTAATTTAGAAACGTTATAACCTTTATGGTTGATTGGAATAAAAATAAAAATGTGGAAAGGAAAGACGTAGAAAGTTGTTATCTCTTTTATCTATTACCCAAAAGACGAAGTTTCACCATGACTCGTAATAAATATAAAGCTGTTGATGAATACGAATTTAACTAACCATTAATAATTCACTCGTTTGATTCTCCCAACCATTATTTTCAACAAGAGTATTTGAGTCTTCTTCTTGAGCACTAATTTGCAATCAGGAACTCCACGAGCACATTGCTTGCTCCTATTTCACTGTAATCAACTTTTTCTCGCGTTCATCAAACGATCACATGAACAGAACAACACTATGATTTCTGGATAAAAGACGTTAGAAAATATTTACTGGAAAAACATTCCAATTATCCAATTCTTGGATGAAATTATGGAAATATGAGACATATATTTTACTTGTTGTCGTTTTGACATTCGAACAAAACATTACGGAGAACTTGGCAATATTTAGAATAATGTGAATACTGCAGATCGAAGAAGAATAATATGCTGCCATCGAATTACATCTCTCTCAATCCGACGACTAGTCAACCGGATTTGCTTGTATTTTCCATACAAGGAACATTATTCACTGCCAATATCAACTTTCATATCTCTATCTCATCCCATTATTGGACAAGTTACGTTGGTCGCCAATCCTCCTGCTGCTGCTGGCTGGTCAAGGGACTTGTGCAGGTAGATACATAACTGATTTCACTCTCATTTGTTGAATTTCCACATCTCCGGAATAATGGATATAATGTGATCATCTTCACATCATCATCATGGGAGGAGGATGCCAAGAAGAATGAGTTATGTTGAATTGCCTCTTTCATTGGTGCAACTGAAACTGCAACCTCTTTGTTTCTGAAGCAGATTTTCTCAACTCTTTTATATAAATACGAATCCGATTGCTTCAGGCAGGACAAGTCCGTAATTATCGTTATATAATGCAGCCAGCTAACTAACTAGATAACTACCCGACATGTAAATATTATCTGGTCCTAGTGTCGTGTAGTAATACTTACATGTTGTAGTTGTATGATGGTGCGATGAACCTGACCGTCTGCATGGTCTTTCAGCTAAAAAAAATAACAACTTCTTTCTCCTGATACAATAGTACAAAGGTCTGTCATCGTCATACAATAATTCATTTCTTCTTTGCACAAGTAGGGATCCAATCTCATTCCATAAATTGGTCGCCTTCTTCTTCTTCTCCTCCTCCTCCTACACGATACAAATACAAAACGAAGCAGCAGCGGCAGCAGACATTTGATAATGTGCACGATTATTCATTCACTTTGTTCTCCGTTTCCTACTTTTCTCAACTTCTTGTTCAAGTAGTGGTGGTAGTAGTAGAAGTGAAATAATAATAAAATGACATATCCAGCCCCAGAACACGGGCATAATGATAAGTCAGTCTTTCCGTCAGAGTGACGACTTTTTTCTTGTTTCAGGAAAATGTCCAATGTAATGTCAAGTTTTGGACGGAAATCCATTACTCGTCTCGTCTCTTTTCCTCGTAGGTCAAACATTTTACCTTTAAGCAAGCCTCTGCTGGTTCTGTCCTTCTTATTTCCGAGACAATTCCTACAAGATGGATAATATGCTAAAGTCCGTAAATTCGCTGATGGAAAACCGTGCATACATATATATTTATCCTTATCCGTCTCGACTTTTATGACTGCGGAATTATCTAGGTTTGTCTTAATATAGGATTGTAGACTAAATATATGCATCCAACCACTGCGTTCATTCACAGTTGGTTAGCATCATTCATCATCTCATTTGCTAGTCTCTGGTCAACTATTTCCAGGACAGATTCTTACAAAAATTCGCTAGTCAGTTACCAGCACATGAAAATGTACGTGTACGGAATACTGAACAACATTATGTTATCAAACCAAGCAGGGTAGAAAATCTAAATTTTTAAGATATGCGAATGACCTAGTTAAATTCTCGGCTCTAATAATTAATGAAATTACATTTCAGGATACCTCAAAATTATTAATGCATTTGATACACCACCGAGAAGGCTGACTCGCATGATAAATATTCTCATTCACTTTGTTCACCACGTCCAAACGAGAAGCACCCTTTTTCTTCATCCAAATTCATACAACATGAGACTGGCTCCAACCAACTGAATAAAATCCAACGGTCTACAAGGCAACGCGACAGTGGAAAAAGGCAACGAGGATTTTATTTTATTTTGTTTCTTCAGTCACATAGAGGGTCAACTTCCTTGCTCAAATTTTTCCTCAAAAAATCGGATTATTTGTTGGTAAGTTATCTTAATTTATCTTTTGGAGTTAAGCATAGATATAATTGCGTCCTTGTCCAGGTTTGAAAGAAATTGTCGTCCTTGCCGGATTTGACTTGTTGCAGATTAATTCATTGATTCTCACTCGCTGAATTATATCACAATGGAGAACAATAGCAGCATCGTGAAGAAGGTATTTTATTTAATACGCCATTTGTCTTGTTTGGCATTAAGCTGAAATTTATGATAACCAATTATTGTGTGAGGAATGCTTTTGACCAGTGTGAATTGAATTGGATCGTTATCTCATCCTTTTGTTTTGTATTTCTGCGTCTTTGTCCTTCACCTTTTACTACTGTACAATACTTGGCTGACTTCCTTTACATATATTTCGTATCTTTCCAAGCAAAACGATTCTATAGAACATTTTAACAGAGGCGACATGAAGGCGACATTGACAATGCAATGCAGATAAATGAGAAATACAAGTTTTCATTTTCATTCCCTGTTCGGACCTGATCTGACTAACTAGTCATATTTCTTAGTTGACATTGTGATTACAAATTTGCAACACGTTTAGAGAAAATTATGTTAAAGTTTAAATAGTAAAGTAGCTGATCCTTCGTTGCGTAATTTCAATTATTACAGTCCACCTCGGAATCTACGTCGGCATCATTGTCAGCTTCGCCTCCTGCTACTCGAACTCCTCTCGCAAGAATTCAAAAGGTTGGTTCGGGGTCATCTGAAAATGAAATGGTAGGTCGAAGATCTATCCTGACCGTACAGAAGGGGGGAGAAGGGGTCATTTTGGACAAAAAATCTGGTGGTGGTGGTGGGGGCCGTGTAGTAAAATTATCACTGAAGGGAGGGAAGCGTGGATCGTGTCAGAAAAAACTTGTCAGCAAAGCGGTCCAGGCAGTGGTCAATGAAGATTTAGAATTCGTAACGGGAGGTAAATAAGTCGTGACATTATATTTGTAATGTTGATGTGCTAAAACTTATTTTTCAATATTTCCAGACGAGCCTCCTGCGAGTTATTGGAAGCAACTTGCTGAGACAAGACAACACGCTTTGGAAGATACGTTGATGGAAAATGAGGCTTTACATCAACGAATTGAAATATTAGAGAACTCGAATCATGAAATGCAAGAATTGTTAAAACAAGCTAACCATCTTTCCCAACTACTCTTGGTAAGTACTACAGAATGTTGAAAAATCGTGGTGATAAGGCATAACATTGCTTTAAATCTTCTGATCTTTGCAGTTGTTACCAAGTGATGATGAAGATGAGGATGCCGTGAACAACAATCAGATTAGTGAAGCAGCAGCGAATGAATCTGGCTTTGGTGGAGAGGAGTTGGACGAGTGAAAATTTGCATACTTCTGCACTGCATACTTGATCTCAAACATTATATTTAGTGGAGTAAGAGCAAAATTAAAATAAGCAGGTATGTGGAATTTTTTGTGGCCTTTGATAAAATCTGCTTTGAAGTCGAGTTATTGTACAGGCTTGGCGAAAAATAATTTCTCATCGTTATTCCTTTTTCTAAACTTTTGCGTAGAAGTGTGGGTACATATATTAAAAAATTTGTGCTTTATCCTAGTGATATTAAGGTTAATATTTAAAATGAGATATTTTTATATGTTGTTAAAAAATTGTAAATAAATCAAATGTTTAAGTTAAAAAGTTTATTCTGAATCACAAGTTGTGAGCTTGGTCATTTGTACAGTTCTTCATGATTTATACTGCTTTATATATATACTTGCTGCATACGTAATAACTAGATTACTTTATACCCTAGTTTGTTTCTGAATAAGATTGTATAATTAAATGAGTTTAGGATGGCAGTTACAAACAGCAGTTACAAACATGAACACTTATGTAAGTCTGGATGGAAATGGTCATTATTCTTTAAAGAATCCTTGGTAAAAGTCATCAGCAGAAAACGTGTATTTTTGATCTTTACTGAGAAGAGAGAGCAGCTTATTGCAGGCAGGGTACTTGCAGAGAGAACTGCCATTACCGATAAGCAAAACCTTGCTCTTTGCTCTGGTGATGGCAACATTGAGACGCCGTAGATCATTTAGGATGCCTTCCTGTAATTAGGAATTAATTGTCGGCAAATATAAAAAAATATTATAAAATAAGCAAAACTATTACGCAATGGTTTAAAATACAATATATATATATGCAATGTACCTCTGATGTGGCTTCACCCTCAGCATAAGGGACGCTTTTAGTGAACGAGATCACAATAATAGTCTTCTCTCGGCCCTGATACTGGTCAATTGTATTTACCTCTACAGATTTATCCAGGCTTTCCCTCAGTATGGTTACTTGTCCCCGGTATGGAGCAATTACTCCAATATCCGAAGCCCGAATCTCACACTATATGAATTTGGGTGAATCACATAAAGTAATAATTATGAAACTAGATAAAGATATTTAGTAGTGCTACACACAATACAAATCTTAAAACTTACCTTCAACAGAAGATTAACAATACCTACAACAATGTCTTTCTCTTTTTTGTTATGCAAGGTTGATGCTACTACAGACTCCATGGCCCCGATTAATTCCGTATCAAAAAACATCATTGATCGAATCGTCTTTTTACTAATAGCAAGACTCAGCCACTTTTGCATCCTTACTGGGTAGGTTGACCCCAGGTGTTGCTTGGTTGAATGTATTTGATATTCGATGCACCTTACGGCTTGCTCTCCAGATCCACATGACATCTGATTGTCGTACATTAATTTATTCGCTATCTTCATGATGTCTTCATTCATGCGGTATTGTCTTGACATGTGAAAACTGAATTTAGGGTCATCGAGCATTGCAAATAAATTTTCTTCGATCCCCATTCTCCTGTGAGATAGATATCAAAATTTTAGACTTGAGATAATCATACTCTGTGATCCCGAATAGCAATATTTAATTGGTGTTTACTTTATTTCACGAGATTTTATCAAAGCAGGTAACTGATTTGGGTCGCCAAAAACGATCCACTTATCAGCCTTTAGCAGAGCTCCAATGACAGCAGTTGGCAATGCTTGAGATCCTTCATCCACAATGCAGTAGTCAAATTGTCGATTCATAATAATCGGGTGCTTCATGCTGAGAAGGGTCGTTCCAATCACCGGCTAAAGTTTACCATAAAAAGAGAGTTAGCAAAATAAACAAATTAATATCACCATTATTTTTATGAAATATTTGAGTTACAGCAGAATCATAAAGAGCCTTCAATTGATCTGTTGTTTCAACAGTGTCACGAAGATAGTTAGTGCAGTAATTCTCTAGCTCTAAATGTCCGCTTGAGCCAATACGAAGAAAGTTGCTGCTGTGCTTCTTATATCCGAGCAATATGTTATCAAGAGCATTACTTGTATAAGCGCTCACAAGAACGGTCTTGTTCATCCCAACCAGCATTCTTATTAGGGTAACTAGAGTGGTGGTCTTACCTAATATAAAGAAATTGATTAAGGAATGTTACGAAAATAGATGCATCAATGGATTTCAAATTCATACCACATCCCGGAGATCCTTTGATAAGCAGCAAGCTATCAGTTAATAAGGACAGAAGCAATGATGACTTCTGGAATTCGTTAAGATCTTTCAACATGAATTTAACCTCCTTCGACATTGTAATACTTTCAACGGGTGCAAATACAGGAACTTCCCTATTTTAGAATTATTTTTACCATTCAACATAAATTTTATAACTAGCCAGCTGGATTAAAGCACAATTAGATTGATATGCATTAGTACTTGTTAATTAAACGATTTCGTAGGTTCTTCGCTGTTTTCGTATTTTCCATCATGTAAGATAAGTAGACGTACTGTATCATCCCTGCACTTTGTGAAGAAACTTTATCTAGGGTGAACTTGACACCACATTCCGCATGCCGTCCCATCATCGGCCTGCAAATTAGAAAGACAATAAATAAATAATCAAAAAAACAATTACAACTCTATAATTTCGGTAATTACCTGTCTATAGCCACTTTAATGAAGGAACCGGTCTCGACATTTATTTCTTCAATGAATGCATATCCGACGCATGGTTCCTTGAACGTTCCAATCACAACGAAATCCTTCTCGACAAAATTAGCTGCTAAATGGAGACGATCTTCTGGGATTTGGAACACTAGGTTAGTTGACGTTCCTTTGGGGTTAGTCTCCTGACGAGTTAAACTAAGGTAGCCAATGCATTTCCCACAAGATTCCCTATTTAAACAATTATGAATTATAAATAGTATTGGACTTGCATACTCCCGTACATAAGCAGCATGTAAAGAAATAATTCGACACTTACCGTTGCGAGATAGAATCCAGCCAAAGGCTTTTTGTAGTACTGCTCATTTCACTGTCATTGGCTTCAAGTCTGATTACTTTTAGCCATTTCTTAAAGAAGCTAATCTCTGACATTGTGAGATAATCAAGTGATTCTCGCAATTTAGCCTCAGTCAAAGTTGGTAGTTCTTCCGGGTCTGGATCACTATAAGTAAATAAGTAAATAAATAGCTTCACACTCCATTTTGAAATTTAAAAATATCAAGCAGATATATGCAAGTGACCCAGGAAAAGAGTACGAACTATACCTTAGCGTTAGCGCACAAATGTTTTTATATTCACACTTTGCACATTGCCTATCGAAGCTTACACCGGAAGGGTTAGGAAAGTTATCGAAAGCCTCGGTTGAGTCTTTCGTGGTATTGAAGATAATACGATTTCTGGCCATAATCAACGACTGAAGAGACGATAATTTTGCTTTTGTCTCCATTGTGTGTTTGTCTCTAAAAAAATCATTTATTTGTATAAGTAAATTTACGAGGAGCACTGGTAAACTGAAAACACATATGAATACCTGATATAATGCAATATTCCGTTCGGACCAATTAACTTTAGTGTGTCCATCATTAGAGCGTAAAGAAACACCTGTCCAATGTGCTCATCACGGCTAACAACCGTTTTTCCCGAAGTGGCATGTCCAGTTTTAAACTCCATTGGCACAACCTTAAAATACAAATTGCAATATATGCCAACTTAAATCATGCTCAGCAAACATACATAGAATTTGCTAAGTTTGCTGACAGCTTACGCATTTCTCATTATGAACGTTAATTGTTTCCACTGAGCAATCCACCTTGCCTTTCAATCCAAACTTTGGTCTCCAGTAGCAGTCTTCAATATCACGAATGCCAATCACTTGAATTTCTCGAGAACACGTAGTCTTCTTATGAAAAGTAGGTGGAGGTAAAGGTTGCATATGTTCCTTAATCCCACTCACATACTGCACCAACTCATTCCCCAACGTTTTAAGATTTTCATGCGATAAGCCGATAGTATACGCTCTCTCCAGAATAGCAGAATGTTTCAGCAACGAGTTTAACTCGGCCTGAATTTCACTAGTTCCAAACGACTTTTTCAACATGACCTGTATCAAAAAAAAGCATGATCAGCCACGCACATGATAAACTATATTCATATACTAATGTACTGTTACTAACTTGGCATATCAAATCGTGAGCAAGCGTGCCCCTCAAAGTATCAATATTATCCCCAGGGAATCGAAAGTTTTCCGAAAACGCGACCTTCCGTTCACACCACGACATGCTTACGACACTCGTCACGGAGATTAACTTGTCTGGCTCCACAACTAAAAACCCACCATCGCGTGAAATGATATAATGGTTGTTTTCGTCAATCTTATATTCGCAGATATTAATCGTGGTGTCTTTTTCTAAGGGTGGAGTAAGGAACCTGTAACATAAAAATTACAACGTTTTTATCACGCATTTTTGTCCAATCCACTCATAATTCAATCCACAAGACGAGAAACTACAAATTCCTCACCATAAATCTCGCAACTCAAGCAGCCTTATCGCTCCAGTCTCCAAGCATTCAATCTCATAAGCAGTAAACTTATCACAGTTGACGACTCGCTTCAAGCAGCGAACGATTTTATACCGGTCATGCTGATTTTCCAGCTCAAGATCCCTCATTTGCACTAGCGACGACATGATGGAAGAAGACGGACGTCGTCCTGACTAAGAACTCCTGCCTTTCCAGTGGGAGTGGTGTGTGTGGGGGAGATTCTGTCTGTCTGTCTGTCTGCTATTTGGTTGCCCAGCGGAGGCAAATTCGTCGAGCACATTAGTCCTCTTCCCGCCAGAAAATACGATCTTCGACCGCCTTCTCGCTTTCCCCGAGCCCCGAGGAGAGCAAGTCAGTCTCATATCTCACACTGCCTCTCATTCTTCTCCTCAGCTCGTTTACGATAGTGTAAAAATGAGCAAGTCTCATTCTGCCTCCAGCAGTCAATATCAAAAGTAGCACTGTACGAACGACAGTCTCAACCATCGTCCCCCGTTCGAGTTATTACCAGCACGAAAAGGTGACCATGTCCAATTTTCAGGCAATTTCGTTTTAACGCTAAATTAAACGCTAAAGTAAATTAATTCTTAAACGAATTCTAATATGGGCGAAGAGACGAAACTCAAAAACGTATATGTATCATACATAATGTATGATTAACTAATTTATGTATGTCGTATTCATACTGACGACTCGTAATTTGACCCGTCTGGATCGCACATTTAATGCGTATATGTAACTATATCCTTCTCTTATCATTCATTTCATAATCTGTCTGTGTTCAGTAAGGTTATCAAATTTCCGTCAACTTTTCCCTCTCGTGATATTTTCCAACGCTTATTTTTGTCTGTGCACAACATCCGTTGAAATAAAATAAAAGTTATTGGCATCAGCCAAACAAAGAAATGAGTCACCCACCACATAGTTTGCATAACAGAATAGACCGTGAACTTGTCTTATCATCGCTTCCCATCCTCCATTCCCCTCTCTCTGATATCACACCATGTTTTAATACGAACCCACCGTCGTCGTCGATTTCCACGAATATTAGTTCCGATTCAACACTGCGAAATACAATAGCGCGCCTCATCTTCCTCGTCGTCAATTCATCCATCCAATCCCTCTCCAAAAACACAATAATATTACGCTGTTTAGTTAGTCAAATTCAATCCCACATATAACACCTCGTCGTCGTCATAAACGAGAGCTGAGGACAATAATCATTCATATGCACAAAACAAAAACAAAGGAACCAACCAACCAACGATCCCCTCCTCTAAATAAAACCATGAAACCAAAATCCAAAGGGGTGCTCTTAACCAATTCAGTGTCACTTTACGTACCTTGCTCACGAGTCCTATTGTTTGCTATTACATACACAATGCAATATATGCGTCATAGCGCATACATACATAGCAATAGTGCATGCAGCATTTTAGCATGATTCTACATAAATGCATCCAATACGAGCTATGAGCACAACCCTTTCCTTCCCCTTCAACTTCATCATCAAGAGAGACGACGAGAGAGTCCCTTTGTATTACAATTCTATCATCTAATAAGTAACTCTTAGGTCTTTTACATACACGTATATCTCGTATAGCTTCAGCACCAATATTGCTTTTCCAGTACAACTCGTGTTATGTTAGCTAGGTCTGACAAATAAATCTCCTTTGTAGGCGTAGCCTGCCTGCCGATGTCCCGACTCTACAAACCTTGCCTTGGCTTGAAGATAGCGACCATCATCCTTATATAAAACGAGTCTCAACCAATGTTCACAATTTTTGGGACAATTATGAAAAATGTGGGTAAAGAACTTGACGAACTTCGACCTGAAAGTGGTGCATATTTATTCTTAAGTTGGTATCTTGCCCTAATTTGGATCACTGTAGGGGTCACATTTACGTCATCTCACCCCACATCACACGTTTGGTGGGGGCCTTCTCGATGGGAGAAGTTTTGTTATGTATTCCACAAAGCAGAATGCACTGAGGAGATGCCGTAGTAGAAAAGTGGAAGTAAGTACGTAAAGAAGTTCTCTTGTTCTCTACTATGCAGACATAGACTAGGAGCACAAAAGTAGTGTACTGTGTGTGTGTGAGCATTATAAATTGCCATTACTAATTACATATTAAAAGTAAAGGTTAACTCTCTCATTAGGCTCAAAAAGGCAGAGTCGAGCTGTATAATAGGTTGAAAAAAGGCTGAGTCCGATCCTCAATAATTGCATTATTTACTACTTAATAAATCCCCTCTAGTTTTTCAAAATATAAACACATACGACAGAATTTATGCATTTATTATAATAAATAGAGTGGGGTTTGATAACTGTTATGTGCATCGTCACGTTCATTAGCTTAGCATAATAATAATCATCATCATCATTAAGTAAATATAGGAAGGAGGAAAAAAAAGGATAAAAAGTTGTGTGTCGCACACTCAAATCAATAAACCAATAAATAAACTTAACTAGTCATTATAACTTACTTATCAATCAGATAAATCAATTCACTCAATCCAGGAAAAGTAAAGAGAGGGGGATAAATACGTTCAGGCACGAAATAACACCTTATATCACCAACCACCAAACCAACCAGAAAGAGCAATCAAATAAAGCTATTATATTTCGGTAGCTTCTTCATCTATATCTCAGCAGATTATATTATTTATTTACGAGCGTAACTCAAATAGCTTCTTATCGTCCATCCGAATATCAACCGAGTGAAATTTAGTATGTATGGATGCGTTTGCATTTATTAGTGAATAACGAAACCACGCAGTGTTCATTACTGAAGCCAAGCCAGCAAGCAGCAGAAGAAGAACGAATATAAATAAAGGCATTAATTCTCTATCATTTGTTGGCGTTGGTTCGTTTTGCTACATTACATTTCATTGCAAGCAAGTATATTATTGTTATTATTAGTCACACTCAGAAAAGACAGGATCAATAAGATTATACCACCGAAACTTAACAAAAGAAGTAGCAGCATAATAATAATTAATAAATGAGATTCCTTCCTTCCCATATCAAAGTTATATTATTGCGCTTCAACAAAAGTGAATAGTACATCTTCAACTTTTTATAAAATTTAAGTCAAAGCAAATCAAGTGTTCATCGATCTCACCGACATTATAAAATTGGTAAGTAAGAATATCACGCTGTTTGCTATACGCTTTGGACAACTTAAAATATTAACTATTAATTTCATGCTGCAGGATAAGAAACAACTGGTCTCCTGGGTCTCTATACAACCAGACACGAGAGTCTCACCACTTTGTGCAGAAGAAAAGTAAGGCTAAACTACTACATATAAGCGACGCATATTATTATTATATTTCATATTTTATTGCTTATTATTTAACCACAATGGAACTTTCATAGAATAAAAATGCAATAAACGGGTGTTGTTACGCAAATTGTAGTAAAATTAATATTTTACAACTTAAAATTATCAGATAATTTGCAGAGGTAAAGTAGACGTGGAAGAAGATATTGCAATGTCGGGGGACGATTCAGACTGTGAGATTGAGGACGACGACTATGAAAACTACTACAACTCTCAAATTGAGGATGAGTTGGACATGGGGGACATTCGCAAGGATGACCCTGAGAGTTTCCAGTACGAGTGCCTCCGAGTGGAAGAAGTGGAAAAACTACTCAACGAATTAGTAGAAATGATGTCCATCCAATTGACTGTAAGAAAAACAAGACTTGAGTAATTATATCATACTTAATGTCAACGTCAGCGCAATAATCATTCCCTCTTCAGGTCACACCAGCCTTGGCCAAGCTGCTTCTACACACTCTAAAGTGGTCACTTCCCGAAATCATTGAGACGTACGAGGGGGATGCACACGGGACCCTAGTGAACGCACGTGTGAAGCCAGCCAACAATAACGTGCCCAAACCTCTGATGCACTGCTCCTCCACGGCTGGGACCCTTATGTGCCCTGTCTGCTATGGAAATCAGCCCTTACAGTCATACAAGGCACTCGCGTGTGGCCACTTGTTCTGCCAAGAGTGCTGGGTATCTCATTTCGGAGTGCAAATCAGTGAAGGAATTAGTACAGGTATAGATGAGTTAAAAAGAATTAATTTTAGCTTGTAAATGCTACACTTTTTCATCTGAATTATCATTTTTTGAATATAGGAATCGGTTGTATGGCACAAGATTGTGTAGTTTTGGCCCCCGAAGACTTTGTGCTGTCAATCGTCACCAGACCAATAGTTAGAGAGAAATATCAACGCTTTGCATTCGGGGACTATGTCAAATCTCACCCGCAGTTGAGGTATTAAGGATTACACAATCCTGCAAATTCCAGTAAATGCAAATGATAAATCTAATGACATTTATTCATTTTGTGTAGATTTTGTCCAGGACCAAATTGTGATATAATTGTTCGTTCCAAGGAGCCTTTAGCGAAAAAGGTTATATGCCATAATTGCAAGGCTGACTTTTGGTGAGTTTCTTGTGATTGTCGCGTTTATTTTTTTTTTTTACATAATTCGAAGTTTGTGATGAATCTTTCTCTCTACATAGTTTCAAGTGTGGCACGGATTATCATGCCCCCACCGATTGTGAAACAATCAAGCGATGGCTTACCAAATGCGCTGATGATAGTGAAACGGCCAATTACATCAGTGCTCATACTAAAGATGTAATAATACTAGTACATATGTTTGGATATTTAAGTTAAGTTCTTTCATACATCATTGAATAATAAAATTCCACTATTCCTATTGCAGTGCCCCAAGTGTCACATATGCATTGAGAAGAACGGGGGGTGTAACCACATGCAGTGTTATAGCTGTAAGCACGACTTCTGCTGGATGTGCTTAGGAGATTGGAAGTCTCATGGGTCTGAATACTACGAGTGCTCAAGATACAAAGAAAATCCTAATATTGCGTATGAATCAGTTCACGCCCAAGCTCGTGAAGCTTTGAAGAAATATCTTCATTACTACGAGCGGGTAAGAAAACAAACTTTATATTAGAACAAAACATGTTGTTAAAAAATAAGTAGCACACTTAAATAAGTCGTAAATTATTTCGCAGTGGGAGAACCATTCAAAGAGCTTGAGATTGGAAGAGCAAACGTTGCAAAGAATTAAGGATAGAATCGAATCCAAAGTAAGATGATTAGACGAAAGGCACAAAGCATCACCACCATAATGTCTCTATTATATGAGGCCATTATTTTCTTTTAGGTCATGGAGTCAGAGGGGACCTGGATTGACTGGCAGTATTTGCTCGACGCTGCAAACTTGTTGGCCAAATGCCGTTACACCCTAAAGTACACCTATCCATATGCATACTACATGGAAGCTGGCTCTAGGAAAGAGTTGGTGAGTCTGCTTGTGAGACATCGACCTTTTTTTGTTACTTTTAAAATCCATACATTTGTTTTCCTACAATTAAAACTATATGAAATATATCCTTTGTAGTTTGAATATCAGCAAGCTCAACTGGAGGCGGAGATTGAAAATCTGTCGTGGAAAATCGAACGGGCTGAGACAACTGATCGAGGAGATTTGCAAAATCAGATGGATATTGCAGAAAAGAGGCGCAGCATCTTACTGAAAGACTTTTTAGAAGTATAAGTAATTAACTCTATGACACAAGGAATGAAGTGCATAATAGCTTTATTATTATCCACTCTTTGAGATTTATTATTTCAAGTCAAATCGAATGCACAATACTATGCATCGTCGTCTTCTCCTTCTTCTTCACTGTTTCTCGTCGTCGTGCTCGTCGTCTAATTTAATCGTATTTACGTATATACATACGTTATATTAAGCAATCGTTGAGAAAGGGTCAAAATTGTCAAGTAGAGTTGGGTTATTCTCCATGTTTTGTATTTTGATAAGTTTTAAATTATCATAAAAATTGGATTATTTATATAATACTATTCGTATAAGTAATTTATGTTATTTACTTAAATTTAACATGAATTGAAAAAATGTAATTTTCTGCTTTTCGTGACGTCTCGCTAAAATCTGATTTGAGTATTAGTATTTTATTCGCTCAATATTGTAACTGCGAATAATCATTTAGCGCAAAATAAATGTGCGAGTGCATATTGATGAATTTCGAATTGTTACTTGTTTAAATTTTTAATAATATTGGCATCCTAACAATGCATCAAATGTATGAAAATAAATTCCGCGCATTTGTCATTTGCACAACGTAAAACTTTTGGGATTTATGTAAGGGATTGATGAGTATTTATTTAATGAATGAGGGATAGCATTATAGTACCGACTTATTACCACGTAAAATTTGACATAAATAGGAAAGTGTATAAAATCATGCATTCGAAATGTCACGAGTTTTCAAAAACTGGGATCGTTATCGACATAATAAAAACTTAAATATAATCAATTTCAAATACCGGGTAAAATCGACAGTTACAACATAATAAAACGGCAAATTTAGATTACTGATTAGTTCCGCTGCCCATATTTGATCATAATACTATTTTTCTCAACATATTCTCGAATATCTTCTGGATAAATCATAAAATCCTTTAGCTCAACTTTTATAAATCTGCCTTTGAGTTTTTCTTTATTAGCTTTTCTAACAGCTTCCTCTCTTGCCAGGCGTCGTTTCTTGTCTCGTTCTTGAATATCTTTCACAACCTTGCTGGCTATGCGAGTAATTGCGACCGAGAGGGGAGTACATCTGTCTAGCTTCTTCTGAGTTTCCAGGCTTAATCCTGTGAGAAAGATTATCGAATGCTTAATGTCAATATTCAACAATAAACACATTTCGATTATTAAGTTTGCTTGTTATTGTAAAACTTACCAACGATCAACTCTGTATTACGTAGCAGTCGATCAGTAGCACCCAATGAGTAGTAGTGGAGGTATTGATTGTCTTTTAATCTACGTTTCTTGGGAGTTACAATCTTCGGAGTACAATACGGTTCTGTCGTAATTTCTGACCTACAGTCTTTTTCGTGAGCAGGAGCGTTAGAAATCAGGGGTGGTGGTTTCCTTTCTCCGAATTTCTCCAGACATTCCTGTCCCTTCGTTGAAGTGATTGCCAGAAAGGGATGGTCTTTAAAGAACTTGCTGCTTTTGTTTCGCGAAGGCACACTCCGCAAATTCCTAGGTCGAGTCGTCGGTGGCAAAGGAGCTTTAAATTCAGGAACAACTGGTTCAGCAACAATAGGAATCGGAATCGGAGTACGAGACCTTAAAACTTTGTCAATCTTATTTTCAATTTTAATTTCCTCTGGATGGACTGTTTGTGTCGGGACGAGGCCAAGGACTGAAGCAAAAAATGTCTGAAACATTGAAACAACACATGTAGTTCCACCAAATAGACAATGGTTAATCGTATAGGAATATATGAACGTCACTGATTTACAAGGAAATAAACTGTTACAACGCATGTAACCAAGGGGTGAAATCAGTACATAAACTGAATATAAATATGTTAAAATTAACGTGTCTAACGTGTTCTCATTTTGCACCAATTCCACACCCCTTCGAAATTTGGGAAAGGGTGTGGTATTTTGGGGCTACCAATTTATAGCTCGTTTATCAGATTTAAAAAATGTTGCACCATCCAAAAGTTATGTTGATTTAAGCATTTTATATTTGGACACACCCCTCGAGATAAATCACTTCCAAATGGATTGTCTGTCATAGATTACCCTTGGGTACAACATATTAAGAAATACAAAATTAGTTTGAAAATTTTAATGGCCACACCCCCGTCGTGCTCAAATTCTTTTAAGGTCTGACCATTGACGTAAGGAACTTACATTCAAAATTTCAAATCTGTACTAATACATCGACACCAGACAGACAGACCGACATAACGATCTTATAAAGAGCTTTCACCACTTAATAATAAAAGCAATAAGCTTACTTTTCTCTCGGCAATGTCGCGAATGTCTTTTCCGTTTGGTAGAATTTTCATGCAAATGTCCTCATGTTCCTAAGGTGTAACAATGTTCAGAATTAATGATTCTACCAACGAGAAAATAAATTGAATATTTCATTGTGTGAAATTATACCGTGCACAAGTACTCGTCAGAGTAATGAGCATTGCAATGTTGACAGTTTTTCGGAACTTCAGGAAGCAAAGGGATCTTTTTAGTACTTCTTGGTCGCTTCATTGATATAGGAGATTTCGATTTTACGGCGCAATTGGTGGTGGTGGAGACGGTGGATTTTTTTATAACAATCTTTCTTTCTCTCAGAGTGGGAGACATTTCAGAAATTGACTTTCCAAAAGAAACTCGCGAGTTAGATTTTAACTGGTTGGTAATATCGTCTACTACTTTCCTATAATCTAAGGTTCCCTTGGCCCTTGCTCTTCTGACGAGCAGGTTTCTATATCGTGGTAAGTTTGGATCATCAAATCTAAACAACACTGGTGACAGACAAAATGTTTTGCGAAAATCCGTAGTTGCAATCAAATTAGGATCGAAGAATCGGCTTCCGTACCGCTGATTATTTTGTCGAAATGGGTCGTCGTAGTGCTGAACGTAGATTGAAATTAAAACAAAAAGCAATTCATCAAATGAATTTTTATCGACTAAAAGAAGCAATTAATTTTAAGTTGTAACTTACTCTTGTCGATGCTCTGATCACCACAATGAGATGCCCTTTATCGCTTAAAATTCTACAAGTTCCATTACGAAGTTCTACAAATGTAAGCTTGGAATTACAAAGCGAACTGCTGAATGAGATTATGTAGGAACTACGGTAAAACGAATAGCAGGCCGAAACTATTTTGAGATACTTTTTCATGAGTTCCTACAGATATCGAGAAAAATCATTACATTTGCATGGTAATCAGCTAAACAATTAATGATATTAATTATAATGAGCATTACATTTGCTGGCAGTTCTTCCGTGAAAATTTCTGTCGAGAATTGAATATCCTTTGGCCACCAAGCCGGTAATGGGACTGACGCCTCAATATCCGATGGAATGTCCGATTTAGAAACTGTTTTCACGAGAAATGGTACAAACTTCTTCAACTGGCCCTGCAAATATAAATTGAACCTTAGCTTAGTTTATATTATTTACAACGCCCAAGTATGATTATCATCATTTATGCAGTAATATGGAATAGGGTCAGGGGCCGTCCATAAATTACGTAACGCAAAAATCGGGATTTTCTAGACCCCCCTTCCCTCTTAAACATGTGTAACATAGGCACGATATCATTGGAGTCTAAGACCCCCCCTTCCCGCTCTTGCGTTACGTAATTTATGGACGGTCCCTCATCTCTATCCCATTTTACTTCATGCAACACCATTTCAAACGCATGTAACCAAAGGGTGAAACCAATATGTCACACGGATGTCAAAATGAATACTATATATTGTTTTTGCCCGTCGAAAATCTGCAAAAAATCATTTCGTTTGACCTCGTTCATTCGGTCACCGTGGTGTTGGAAGTCAAAATGGGTACCATTGAGATCAACACTTAAAATTTGCTCGAAATAATAGTTCTGGCATGTTTTCTTATTTTGCTATCGGTTCCACACCCCCTTGGCGGGAAGCGGGTGTGGTCTTTTGTGGATCCTCGTTTCTAGTTCATGATACCACAAACAGATTTTTGAAATATTGCGCCGTTAAAAAATGTAAATTTATATATGTAAATTTTAGCATTTGATCTTTGGGCACACCCCCTGGCCACCCATCGAGAGATTGTTCCTGAGTGGCTTGTCGGTCATAGATTATCTTTGGGAACATGTAAGAATGAAAAAATAATTCTAAAATGTAATCACCACACCCACCGTTGTGAGGGGTGTGGCTTGACACGCCCATCTTGGAACTCAACGGCCAAATAAAAATTAGAAACACATTCACGAGATATCTGACCAACAGACGGACGGACGAACGGACAGACATAACGGTCTTATAAAGTGGTTTCACCCCTTAATATATGACATCTACGGTAGATGATCTACCTAATGTCATATAGTTTTACTTAATTTAGAAACATGCATAAACTAAACACAGTTGTTACAACTTAACCTAATTCAGTATAAAATTCGTTAACAAATTAAATATCGAATAAAGATCCATTTCTTACAAGTGACATGTCATATAAGTTGACAGGCTTCCCGTTGGCCATAATTAATGGCAACTTCGATCGCACTCTCGTCTCCATTTTCACACCCAATTTGACACGATTTATTTAAATTGTTCCTAATAATCACGATATCTGAATCCTCTTTTTTTTTAAAAAAAACTAAACCACAAAAACACCCATATCAATATGTACACTATACAAATGCGAGTAACCTATTTTGTGATTTTTGACATAAATATACAAAATATAACAAGTCTCCTTCACTAACAATATAGCCCTCCCGCAATCAATCCACGAAAAAAACACTGCCTGCAGACTGAACCACCTCAACTATGCACAACAACACCATTTAAAACTTTAGTATGTTTTTATGTAATAAAATTTCATTTGTTCACACGAACAATACTTCATCTTAATCGTATGTTTACAACAGGCGATGATAACTGATAAGTAGATTAAAACAAGTTACATCTTGGTATTAAAGGAGTGCGAGTGGAAGACCGAGATGCAAATCCCAAAAGTTAGTGAATATAGAGTTTAGACTGAGTTCGAGATTTGGTGGCTCTCTTGGCGCTCACCAACAGAATCACCCCCGCCCGACCCTATACAGACAGCCCCACCAAATTCCGTTACTTGTATGCCAGCAGTATTATGTCGAGTCGGTTGGCTCACTGCTTGACGGTTTTCTCCTACCAATTCTGCTCTCGCTCACGTTATAGCGCCCTATCCTACAATGCAGTTTTCCAACCCGACAAGAAAATTCAACATTTCTCTGTGAAGACTGGCGCATGGTATTACTTATTGAACGACCAAATGTTCCTGCTGCTTGGGATATGCGATCCCTTGTGCGTCATATCTTTTTTAGGTCGGCGTCTGTCTACACATTTCTTTGTGTTCGACCTAGCGGAGAAGTTCTCGGTAGCTACTAGCCACCACATCATCCCACCCAGCAACCGTAAATGTTGCTGGTCTTGTATTCTAACTCTCTGTCACTCTTTTTTATTAACATATTCTATTTAGTATAATTTTTGGTATATTTAGTATATTTCTTTTGCTCTACGTATTTTAATCCTTACGATCATATTATAAAGTGCAATTAGACTTAATTTTTGGTTTATCTGGATTGAAATATAAGCAACTGTTAGTCTCAATTACAAACTGTTCGAAAGAAATTGAGCTCCTATTCAGATATAAGCAGAACAATATTCTCAGGGTCAAGAGAACCTACGTGTAAAATTAAATTGCCCTGACTCTTACCTGATAAGGGATTTGGTTATTCCGCTTTTCGGTTATTCCGAAAACTTGGGACTTTAACTTGTAACAAAAAATACAATTTAGAATATAGTAGGTCACTAAGCCGATCGTGTTCAAGCGAGCTTAAGGGCAGGAAACACAAAGGCGGGAGTCAAACTTGAAGCCACAGACTGACCACTTTCACAACTATTTATAGTCTAACTGATTATGCAAGGATCCGCTGAGTTTAATAGTCAAATTCCTCCCTTCCAAGTAGTACTAACAACTGAATCGCTAAAGGTTTCTCTCTAATACACGTTGTCTACACAAGTGTGTATGCAACTGTCTCGCCCAACGATGAAGCTAGCTATTTATAGCTGATTTGGGACGAAGCGACATTTCTCTCCCGTCTCAGATATTGGACTCTTCCAAGTAGAAAGTAAAACGAAATCTTGAATCTAGCGTGCTTTGGAGTTTGGACCCTAGACACAAACTGCGTGCATTGAAGATTATTTTTTGAAATCTTATCTTAGTTTGCCAACAAGTAAGCTAATTTTTCTGCAGATTTATTAGGACGATATTCTAGTACCAAATCTATTAAAAACTATCTCGACATCCACCGTAAGGTTCGAAGACACTTTTGCGTTTCTCAATTCTAGTACATATCCCTATTCATTCCATAATTAATTAGTACCTAGTTAACACATAAATTCTACATACACTCCATATGACATCAACACTATTTAATTTGTTGAAATCAATCTCCTGGCTTGACTGATTTAATATGGTAAAACAAGTAGTCATTTGCTATTAAATAAACAATAATCATGGTTGGTTTGTTTAGATATTACTCGGGTCAGGTAGTGAGGCGTCGGCCGACGCCTCACTGTTAACTCTTACGCGACCTAACGAGAAACCCCGTAAAAATGTTCCGTGGGCTGGGATACGTTACCTAACCCGAGTAATACCACTGTGATAAACCTCCATATTACATGTATTACAAAAAAATATTTCGAAAGTGAAGAATCCAATGTTAGATCTCAAGGAATTTTGTAGTTGACGCACTCTATATCACAACTAAGAAAATTAAATTTCAACCTTCAAATTGACGTTCTCTTAGCTTCTCTCAAAATTAGAAAATTTATCAATTAATCTATCAATTAATCTTATTTTCTGTCCCAACGGTGGGATAATATAGTTTATCGAAGGAAAATACAAAAAGGGTCTGATTTATTCATCTTTAGAGCAAAGCCCTGATAGTACAGCTGTCCGCACATCACTTTGTATCTGTTTTGTCTGATGATAATGGCATAGATAAAGAGCTATTTTAGTAATAAAACCGGCAGGAAACGTTAGGCATACTTTCCATGGGTATAAATCTTAAGTTCCTAATTTCAGCGAAACGGATCTTAAGATTAAATAAATTATTCGTTGCCAAAATATGGGGTGGCTGGCTTAAATGCCTGTTTTGGATAGACAGTATCCTGAAATTATTGTAGGTTCCGGTAATTTGTATTTAATTATAAGCCCACAAAATTCCCTTGCCAAATTCAACTGGTACATTCGTAATAAAGTTGAAATCCTCCGTTGTGGCATAGATAGATCACAATAGTCGGCAATTAGCCTTAAATGCGCTACCGCCGCTGGCCTGGCTGTCTCTATTAATGAGTAGTCTGGTCACCCCACATAGTACATAGATCACAATAAACTGATCAGTGGTCTAAGGTCCATGATGGATCAGGTTGTTTGTTTGTCAAGGTCACCAATTTTTTATGGTACATTCTGCTTTTGGGAAATCGAGGGAATTATTGTGAATTTTTGAAGTAAAGGGGATCGATTTGGTTTGAATTTCAGCCGGCCTACAATGATAATAAGCTGGGCACATGATTTTGGCCCGAAGAAAATCCTTCGAGATATAACAATAGTGACGAGCTAATCAAAATCGAATGGATACCCTAAAAGGCATGCTGCAATACTTAATGGTTAAAAGGGTTACGGTGTTAATGAAGACTGAAAAAAATAATAAAATCATTGTTCAAGCAGGGAAGGAGCATAAGTCTGACAATAATAGTTGGTGGTTGCTTAGTTTAGATAATGGCATTGAATCTGCTACATCATGATTAACATGCAATTACACGCATTGCGTAAGTCAAACGAAAAAAATGGTAACATAACCCTAGTATAGGTAGGCTGCAAATATATCGTATACAAAAATATGTATGTAGTTAAGTTCATTGCGTTACTCTGAATAGATTGTATCTCAAATTTTATAAAGAACTGCTAAAAAATAGAAATAAAGTAAAAGTTATTCTTAGTAAATTTAAACTTAGTTGCTGAGAAGATTTTAACTACCAACAAACAGCTATAAAGATTTAAGCGAAGTTGAAATTATCTATATGATTATATAGTGTAAACTATGTCGTGGCATTACAATTAAGTACATTTCTGGATAAGGCATTGAATTATGTGCTTAATTTTGATTACTTGACCATAGCTTTATTAACAACTACACTACTCATATATCCTTAAATTTATCCTGACTAAATATTACATGGTTAATAGTCAAGCTCATTGAATGTAACTATGGCCAGTTCTGCCTCAAGGGGCTTTTGAGTATACTAATAAATCGATCAAAGTAAATCATATACCAATTTTGATGCTAAGTAGGTAGAAATAGCTGATCAAGCTCGATTAAAATTTTGATCCCAGATCAGTCTGGATGCTTTCTGCTTTTCAGGAATGTCCAACATATTTTCATCATTTGCCTTGCATTTTTATGTTCCAATCATCGCATGAATTTTAAAAATGTTTAATATAAATCATTGATTCAATCACTTTACAATATTTCAAATAGAAAATGTCTCCCAAGGGTCAATACTAAATAATGTAGAGTTTAAAGGGTGTTAAAATGGTGATAACCAGTTAATTTGTCTTTATAGTACCATTTATTGTCGCTAGTTGCGGTGGAATAGTTTTTACCAGCACGCAAGTCGTGCGTGATGCACTAAAGGTGGCTCTGTACAGCTAGGCTTGAGCCGATAAGCTTGATTGCACATTGTCCAACTCTACCATAAGGATCGATGAGTCTATGATTTTACGATATCAAGTCATATTATGTCGCTTTCAGTCATAGACTTGTATATATACTTTCAGTTGAACCTATTGATAAAGTTCAACTATTAAATAAAAAACTTGAAGTTTCAAACAAAGATATTTTCAAAATGCCACTTTCAAATGGGTTCCCTTTGCTTTGTGTTATACAAAATCAAACCACATCTCAAAGACAGAACTTACCAATGCAATAGGAGCAGTGACTGGAAGAAACAGTGTTTCTACTTGAAACTGTTCTCCGGATGGATTACAAATAAGTTCTAAAGTTGTTCTCTTGCTAATTGCGATGAATTGCGAAGGGAATGACTCTTCTGATCTACTTGTGCAAAATTATTCAAAACAATCCTCTGATAGAGGGTCCTACTCATAAATAAACCCATGGCAACTAATCATTCAAAATATGCCATTTTCATATGAACTGTATAACTTAGCATTGAACATGCAAAAAGCGACTACACCGGACTCCAGATCAGATCTCAAGCCTTAATTATGTAGTTGGGTTTTGTTTAGTTGTTCTCATTTTCTTCTTTTAGCCGTCTCAAGTTCTTACATATCTGTAAGTGTCATTCTGCGAGCAGTGAGTAATATGATACTCAATTATCTCAACTTTCCCAACTTCCAGACATGACAAATGTGGTATGATTTCTTTCCAACCTATACAACTCCGGTAAATTCTCCTGCAGATTTATTTTTCATGGCTCATGTCAATTTCGCTTTTCCAACTTATGAAAAATGAATATGAACTTATTAAGAAGCCCTTCGCCATTTCAGTCATGCATATTTGCGTATGTATAAATATATTTAATTTACTATTTTCGTACAACCGTATAAAATTGCATTCATTTATTATTTCTCTTGTAAAAATAGTAAATGCCACAGATATGATCCATCGACCATAAGACCGATCAAGGTACGTATATCAAGATTATAAAATTAATTAGCCTGAAGAACACTTCTTAAATCATCTGGCAATGTCTTCAGAATAGCATCAACATGCACTTGTAGTTTATCCCTGACATCAGGTTTAATAGGGAGATTCGATTGAGCAATTTGTTCTCTCAGTCGTAAAACCAGATCAACAGCTTCCACCTCATCGCGTCCAGAAATCCAACTTTTCACGTCCTGAAATAAACAAAAATGGCGGAAATGATCAATATGTCCAAAAACAAAATTGTATTTCAAACAAATCGTCAAATCTGAGTCTTACGGAATCGGATAAAATTTCTAAATGCAAAGCCTGAAGTTTTTCTGCCGCTTCCTTATACCTCACATTATACCACTCGGAAAAGTTTATTGATCTGAAAAATTTCTTGTATAAACTCCCCCACTCTCCTTTTATTCCGGTCGTTAAATGTGGACCAGAAGTTTCTAATGTGGCAAGAAATTCGTCAGGATTGAATGGTCTTGGCAATGGTGCGGCCTGTAATAGAAGATGAAAATTTACAAATACAATTTACAATATAAAATTTCTTGAATTGTTTGGGTTGGGTTAAGTTAACACTCACTTTGCAAGGGCAGATATTTTTCTGTAAAGGCATCAAACTTGCCAAGTATCTTTCCAACGGAATCATGAAACTTTCCGTCAGCTAAATTTTTTTACCAAAATATATTTAACACATACACTAAAATACTCACATGGCCAAGTCAAATCAAAGAATGCATACACATATGTACTTACCTCACGAAGATGTTTTCGAAGGATGATGGTCTGAACTTCTCCTGGTCGTTGGGATTGCATTCCCAAAAGTATTTTCTTAATCAAATTCTTATCCTTTTGAAGGAACGGCCTACAGAGTTTACAAAAAGTTATAGCATTACTTTTGGTAGGTAACATATAATTTATCAAAGTTTTGATTCAAATTTATACCTGTAGCTCGTATACACGCCGGGCTGAGAATCCAATAGTTTGATATTATTTGCCTTTTTCAATTTTCCATTTTGGACAGCTAGAAATGATGAAACGAATATATAAAAAATGAGAAGAATGGCACGCAGTATCACGTGTAGCAAAGACAATCTAATATATACCTGAAGGATCACCCATTCGTATTATATGTGGCCAGTGCTGAAGGGTTTTCGCAAAAAAGGGATTCGTTACACCCAATACTACTGGAGGTGGAGCGCTAGATTTTAGGGTGTATTCCTTAAAATCCGTGTCATGAATTGTAAAATAGGGACGAAAATCAGCACAAAACTTTAGTGGAAATATCATACTATAAGACAAAATTATGAATATTATTATTAATATTCCTTTCAAATCAATTTTAGTATTTTAGAAACATTGTAGTGATGTACCTTTGTAAAGCGTAAACTGTGTTGGCACACATATCGGGCAGTGGTGCCATTACAACAATAGGTTCTGCTGTTAAAATTAATTCCCAAAACAAATGGAGATGTGATAAAACTGGTCTAAGACACAGGAATAAGTCTGGTTGAAATATCGACGGTATCACAACGTTTGGTAACCCTAGATGGGGATTCGCCATCATAGTCTTATTTTCATTCTCAAATGTTGTTGGAGCCGTAGAGCTTGTTGGAGAGTCAGTCCTCAAAGAGTTTTGAGATGGGACAGAGATCTAGAAAAATATTTTCACATTATAGCTCACGGAATCGTAAGTACATGATTTGGGAAAGGAAGCATAACATTGCAACGGTCATTTTTTTAAATTCAATTTCTCTGAATTATGGGGACGTTCGTAAACTTCATTGTTTTCATAAAGTGGACACATGCATTACTGTAAAATAAAAGTTTACATATTTTAAAAAAATGTACTCACTTGAATCTGTGTATTCAAAAATTTGATAGACAGCGTTTGACCAGGTGTAGGCGGCGGCCATCTATATATATCCGTACAAGCATTTTCGATTGCTTTAGGACCACTATCGAAAAATTCAGGAGCCAATACGTCCAGCATTTGATTGAAAAGATTCAGAAAAGGAAATAGCGAAAGAATCACGACGGACTATAAGAAGATAGAATATGTATAAATGTACGGTCAATCTTTTAATTAATTCTCATTATAAGTAGTATCCCTGATACCTTTTGAAAATATCCTCTCCTTAAAGTGGGATCCTTCACTTGACGGAAGTATACATAACCATTGAGAAACTTGTGACTCACTTGCAGGGGTGGGGGACACTTAACATTATACGATAAATAAAATTGCTTCGTTGCAGCTAAATCTAATTTTGTCGGAGTGTATCGGATGCGGAAATGAAATTGCGTGTCTCCCATACAACCAGAATTTGAATCTGGGAAGGACAGATAACAAATATTTGTCTTTTCGCTTTCAGACAATTTCATATGTGGTGGATATATAAGCTGAAAATAAAAATAAAATAATTATCAAATGTCATTAAAGTCATTAGTAATATTAATAGTAATAGTAAATGTCATTAATAATGTAAGCAATAAAAATGTTTTTACCTCCAACGTTTGTCCCAACTCTAGGTCAAATGTGACGACTGCGACGCAATGGATCCAGTCCCTGAAACGGTCCCATGATGGTGGCACAAAAGTCTCCATAATTTATTTTTTAGTCTAATAATACAAAATCTTCACTCGTTCTTCCAATATCTACAAGTTAAATCAAATGTATTCCTATTAATTTCACCCATTTTCCGTGATCAAACTGTAATTCAATTAAATCAAGGGTTCCTTAATACTTACCTTATTCTCGTATTAGATGTTAACAAATTATTCGTCTATCTAAATTCAGAACAACCGTCTCTATTGATGTCCATCATCACCACGAATCGACATTGGCCTTGATATTGGTATTGATTCAACTTTGCCCTTGATTTTACTCAATTGTTCTTTAACCTATAAATTCGAAACAAAAGTAACAAAAATCAACAACAAATTCAATGACCCAAGCAATTAAACTTGACAATCGGTCAAACAATTACAAAGATCAACATACCAAGCCACGTTTACCACTTGAGAATCCAACCAAAATATTTGTTAATGGTAAACAGAAGGCAGTTAGTTATTTAGAGAAATTTCTTACTCAAATATTTAAGGTTTAATTATTATCAACATGAAGATCAGATCTGCAGGCCTCGCATAGCTCGTAATAATAATAACTTTCCCAAACTTAGATTTTTTAGCTCGCTAGCTGAGAGATTAAGGCAACAGTTAAGACAATGAGTTAGACTTAGGAGAATGATCAAGTGGTAAACAACAAAGGAGCTTTTTCACATAAAAAATGTCATGTTGATGTTTTCGCTTCCTGTATTTCTTTCTATATAGACCACACACCGCTGCTAAATCCTACCACCACCATTCCCTTGCCCTGGTGGCCTTCCTAATTATGTGATTAATTACCAATTAAATTAACTACAGTTTCACAAATCAAGAGTACAAAAGAGTAACTCTGTGCAATGGAAGTTTTATTAACGAAGGGGCTTCGTACAATTATTTCTTGTTGCAGGCAGATAGTGAACACAAGTGGCAGCAGCAGCAGCGTAGCAGTCATGATCAACTGGTGTGAACAAAAGAGAAAGTCTGCATTGATTTTTCCATGTAAAAACCGTTTTATTATAGGATCCGTGTGAGATCGGTCACAATTTCAAAACAAGATTTTGATAATTTATCCCTTCTATAAAATAGGATGTTTCTACCTTTTATTTACTATATATATGTATGTATTTTATAGTATATTTGCTGCGAAGTGATGGGTGGACTGTTTTCTCCAGAATCTTCTTATTGTTTTACATATGATGATAAGAACAATTTTATAGTTGCATCACAAGTAGTAAATAAAACAAGACGATTTTATTAGAACATGTAATGCGTATGATGTGTAAATGCCTGCGTTTAAGTTGTAGAAGCGAAATGATAAAAAACGAGTTTAGTTAGTAGTATTCTTAACGTGTGCGATACTAACTACATATATAACATAAATATTCCGTAAAGTTACTGTGTCTTAATTCACAGTAATAGCTAATTGGTATTTTCATTTCACTCTTAGTATCTGTATGTTGAACTAAAGCCAAGGAAATATAAATTAATCAAGTTTCATATAGCGGGCCAACGTTAATTTTCTAGCTTTCGTTTGACGGTCGTCTGAATCGTCGATATCTAAACCTCCCGGTACGTCCATTCCCAATCCGAACTTTCCAATGCGTCCTGCAGCCTGGAACAATAAGGGATATTAAGTCAATAATTGTCGCTAAAATGCCAACTTGTAACATGTATGCATAATAATAACTGTACTATTAGTACCATGATGGGATCCGTGATTCCAGTGTTGTCCCGTCCAAGGCCTTGACCAGTTTGCCAACCCATTTTTTGCAACATTCTGTTACCAATGTTATCTTCTTTGATACCCGTTTTCGTAGGTTCCTCTACATATTTGGTGACCACATCTTCTTTCACTTTCATGTAGAGATCCTACAACATTTTACATATTTAGTACGACACACAAGAATTCAAAAGGACTAAAAAATATATAATTACCTTAAGGGAATTCTTGAATTCTGGCTTCACGTCAGTACCAAATTTCATTCGACGTTCTTTTGCTCTGTCGCGATATGCATTAGCTGAACTTTGAGCCGAATCAACAGAATCTCCTGCTGCAGGTTGCACCCCTAAGACTTCTGATAAATTTTGTCTGTGTAGGGTCGATTTATCCACATGCCTGAATAATAAAAATTATTCATTGTAATTAAAATTAACCATAGGACAAGATATATATGGCTGGTCCTTGATATTACCGTAATAGAATATAGAATAATACCGTGAAATCAAACCGTATGGGACCAGCTTACTTATGTAATTTTAAATTTTTTGAATAACATAAAATGCATACTTGAAGAGACCCTCAGTTGAAGAAAACTGGCGTTTGCATAACAGGCATGCAAATTTTTGCAAATCCAAGAATTCAGACCCAGGTTCTGGCGCTTCTATTGGTAAACAGTCACCGTATTCATTAGGGGGTCGAGGAGGTACTTGAAATGGATCAAAATCGTCGGGTGGGGGCTAAGAAAAAATAGCATTGAAAACTTTACTTATAAAAGAAGTATCAATAAGAAGAGGAGGATAATATACATATATCTACGAAAAATGGCATACCAAACGAGATGGTGAAATTTCAAAACCGGTGGACGAAGTCTGTGAATTGCTCGCTTCAGTTGACGGTGAACTCTCTTCGGTTTTTGTCCACTTGGAAAAAACATCAGGCTCCTTATAATATTCCTTCCGCTGGTTCAAGTTTTTAGCCCATTTCTCCATTTCCTATTATATACGTTTATCGTATCAAGTCAAATTATTAAGTATAATAGACCACTTGGGCCAAAGTAAAATCCTTACCTTTGCCACATTTTGCGCAGCTTTATCCTTCCCAACAATAAGAGTCAGCTTCTTACTAGTTGAAGCCTTGGTTTCAGGTATCACAATGGTTCTAATATTTTGCCCGGAAGTTACATACTTATTCTTCTTAAAATCCCATTGCAGAAATTGCTGAGTCTTAGAATCGTAGTAATGTTGATTTGTGGGATCGTAGTAATATCCCGAAGCAGGGTCAAAGTAATAACCACTAGCCTGGTCATATGTGAGTCGAGAAGAGTCTGGAGGAGCTGAAATAATATTTGATAATAGTAACATTAATTGTCTATTACTGACATTATATTATCATAAGCTGAATTAATTAATCTAAACTATATTTTTTACTCACTTTGTGATGGCAAAGTACTCCGTCGTTCGCTCCGTCCTTGACTTTGACAACCCTATACATATAAAATTACATCCGTGTAAGTCAGGATAACATGAGGAATCATGATACATTCATGAACGGATGCCACTGATAACGGATTTTCATACTGAAACTGGCATTTCAATTCTATTGGTCAAAGAAGTTTGCCCATTTGAAGCTTCTATGGAACAAGACGTTTTAGATATTCCTTCATCGTTTTTCTGTATTAACCAGAACACAGCTTTGATACCAAAAGTACTTTATTACATAGCTGCTATTGGTAGTAGTTATTAATACCTTAGTAGCTTCAGCTTGTTTTGTATAATAATCCCTATAGTAGACAAGGTATGATGCGTATTCCTCATCAGTTTTAGCATATAATCCAGCACTGTACTCTGCCATTTTCTCGGTATCAGTCTGAAATGGAGCAAAATTATTAAACAAATGATGGAATATATATTAAAGTGATTCAGCTTCAATTGTTGTATGCCTACCTCATCTGCGGGATACTCAACTCCTGAATTATTTGTCCATTGTGCAGCCGCGAGTGCGGCAGCTGCTGCATTATTTTTTACAACTGGCGTATGAGGTCTATGATATGTAGCTTGCACTAAAATAATTTAAAACAAGGATTAGTATGTATGCATATTGTCGTGTGCATAGTACAAGATATAAACGCTTGAATATTAAAGTAAAAAAAATACGCACCAATCACACCATCAATCTCGAGCTGCAGCTGCCTTAATACTACAAATAATTTAATGGAATCCGCGACGCTGTTGGACTCAAGATAACACACTCTCTTAGAAAGGCTTGTGGCTGCCTCCCGGGGAACACGCACACTTCGTACAGGCATTGCAGCGAGGGCAGGATAGTTTTGAAAGGCCTCCAAAACCCCTTCCTCCGTAGTTAATGGATCCTGTTTAAAAGGGGAAAGAAACATTATTGAAAAAAATTAAGTTTAAATTAATAAAACTCATCGATATCAGCTACTTACCAACTCATATAGCATAATGCCTACAAAAAAAGATGCATAACATTTCTTAATTAATTCCATAAACTTCAAGTCATGTTGAATATTGAATTTAAAATATTAAATTTCCTAATTACTTGTAGTTGGAGTAGTACTTGATTCGTACATGGGTTCGGTTTCCACATCGGGGGGTTTCACCTCATGGCATTTGTAACACAGTTCACGTCGCTTAAAATTATACGCGTTACACTATAAAATTGGAATAAAATGCACCCTTAATTAAATAAAACAGTCCAACCAAAACTTAGATCAATAAATTACTAAAAACAACGAAGGAAACTGACCTTACTACAATACCAGTCAGAACACGAAAGTGATGTAGTATCCACCGTAGCAGTTTTGGACACGCTGTAAATAAGGTTGGCTTCGGACTCGTCTTCAAAGATAATCTGGCCCTGTAAAATTTAATTATGTGCTAAACAGATGATGCAACCAACCTGCAACCTGATATTACTCTATGACTGTTATGATATTCTAAGACCAGGCTCCAGTCTCCAGCGGCACCACCACTTGGCTCTCCTATCAGCTTTGAATGGCGTGGTGGTGGGAGCCTGATTTTAAGAATAAAACGAAAACAACCTACCTTCTTAAGGTCCATCCACTTCTTGGCGTCGGCGACGGTATGAAACTCCGTAAATGCAAATCCTCTAGAATTTCCTGCAAGTAAGCATAGTGAGTAATCAGTATTTCAACATTTCAATTGATGGTTAAACTTTATTTTTTTAATAATTCGCAACTATACGCTTACCTGTCTCACGATGTCGAATCAAGCGAATATCTTTCACAAGAATCCCACACTTTAACAAATCTTTGCGTATCTTTATTTAATAAGAAAATTGCAATTTATTCCAGTCCTTTATTAAAGTGTCGGACAAGGTGCATGCCACCATAGAGTATACTTCAAACCTCGTTTTCAGTTATGTGCTCTCCCAATCCACGAACCATCACAGTATTATTTGGTGTTTGAAATTTGTACGAATCGTGATTCCTATAATCACCCCTTTTTCGGGTAAATATAAATCAATTAATTAATTCTTAATTAATAAAGTAAACGTGCATAATGGTACAGTCTGTTGGAGTCTCTAACTTAGAGATGACTACATGGTAAGTAAGGTAAGGTCAGGCAAGCAAGGTTTTTGCTTTGGCGATTAATTCGATGTTGCTACTAATTAAGGATTATTAATAGCATCGAATTAATCTCCAAAGCAACCTCTCAAGTGCAAAAACCTTAACTTAAGTAAGATAAGAAAAGCGTTTATACCTAAATTTATTTTTTTTTATATATAGCTTACCTACTACAGCCCCAACTATCATCCGAGTTTGAACTGTGGCTTCGACTTCGGCGACTACTACGTTTCCCACCCCTGTGTCGTCTTCTCCTCTCTGAAGATCGATTTCTAGATCTAGATCGTGACCTTGACCTTGACGAAGATCTCCGGCGATGATGACGCCTTTTCTTATGTTTACTGCGACCATCGTCAGATGATGAATGTCCCGAGGACGATGTGCTTCTCCTCCTAAGCAATTCATAACCAAAACGATCATGACACATGAAAGGGAGTAAAGAAACTCATTCTTGGTCAAAGACAGTCGTTTTAGATTGATCTACAATCTCGGATCACATTATCACTTTATCATCATCATCACACGCCTTCCAGTTCCCTCCAGTTCTTATCACAGTTTGTCAGTGAGACAATCCCGTCGTACATGTTTTGTTTGGCTTGGTTGTCACTACCTCTCTCTCCTGTGCGACTTTTTCTTCCTGTCCCGTTTTCGACTCGAGGACGGCGAAGAGTAGTGACGATCCGCAAATGGGGGCGACTCCCCGTCTTCTTGTCGCTCGTCATGCTCCATCCTGTTGGCGAAAAATTCGTCCATGTCCATATTCCCCACTTGAAAAAATAACGACACAAAAATACGTCATCAGATAAATATAACCAGTCAAAAAAATATACCAGATATTTTCTACTTACCAAAACACTTCACAAAAATATTGTCTATTTATAAAATCCAAACGAATAAAATGAAGAGACCTAATAAACCCATAAAGGGGCTGGGTCAACTTATCAAAATCTTCTTGGATCTTGGTGTAAAATAACTGTAAAATAACTGAAAAGTGTCGTTTTTTTTAAATTTTTTATATTTACGAGAACGAGAATAGTGGAACGACTTAACGTAAATGGTCCTGACCTGTGTCGTAAGGTTGCTCAGTTGAACTGACTGGCACTGAAATTCAGTGACTGAATGCACCAAATCAAGCTGAGACGCTCATGAACGTGTAAGCAAAGCAAGCAAACACGATGGTACGCGATGGCGTGTAATACAGCTTTTTCCGTGGGTTCAAACGCGACGAGAGAGTTCAGTGACTGAACCTTCAAACTTGAACGGAGCAAAGCTGCTCAGTCCATGCTGCAAAAAGATTATTTTATGTTTCTAGGAATTTTAGATTTTTTGGGATATTTTTAATTGTGTCTAAAAATATCTTACAAAGTCACATAATTTTAACTCCCTTTCTATTTCTATCACTTCAAAACGTGACCCCAGTATCCAACGCCACAAAGATGACAAGAATTTTTCCAAATCTCCAAAAACTAATCACTAATTTTTCCGAAAATCATTGTGACAAGTTTCTCATGTTCTTCGCACGTCTTGATAATGAATGGCAGATAGCATTCGAAATATTGACAAATAAAGTAAACTTTTTTTCTTAGTTTTTCCACTAAAACTCGGTGTAATCTGATTATTAAATAATTTCAATTAATGCAACCTGTCAAACATCAAAATATTAAGTTTGTTCATCATAAAAATTTATTTAAAAAGGCAACATTGTGTAATTGTACATACATACTTCATCAGATTGCACAAATGAATACTTGATTACGCCTTAATTGGCCTAGAATAACGAATCTCCGTCATTTCTGCACACTTTGATACGTTTAATCCAGTGATACTTGCTAGTTGTTCGGGTGGAAATATTTTCCTGAAACACTTGTCCACATGTGGAACGAGCAACTGTTCGAAAAATGACCTCATCCTGTAAAAGAGTTGTTGTTCCCTCTGCTCCCACGTGACCCATTCGCCTTCACTCCATCCCTCCAACTCATGGCCTATTTTGCTCACACTCTGATTCAATTTTCGACTAAAGTCCACACTTTGACTGAGAGGACATTTCCCAATGAAATTGAGCAGGGTTAAAACATCATTGCAGTAGATTGCGAGAGGATGGAATGTCAAAAGTTGGGGTGGTGGGTTATAATCATTTCCTTTCAGAGGCGACGGAAGTTCTGCTCCTGGGGATATACAACATTATCATGACCAGGTGCATGTACAAAAAATGTATAAATAGTGATAAAAATATTAATAATAATAAACCTCCCGCAGAAGGATCCTCAAATCCAATTAGTCCCAGTTGCTCTACCCTTTGCTGAATAAGGCACGTTGACAAATTAAATTGATGCAGATTCCTGGAAAAGTTCATTTCCGCTTGGAGAAGTTCATGAGTTCCTTTCTTGACTAGAAAATCGCTAAAAAGTGGAACAGAGAGACCCCTCAAATCAGCTCCAACACGTGCCAAACTTTCCCCAAAATAGGATGCATTCATAAACAAAGAGTCCAAATTTTGACCCGAAGTCTCCAGTTGCTTATTCAAGTCGAGAAGGACGCGTTGAATTTGTAGGGCAATGAAAGTGCTCAAATAGTGAGAAGAATCCTGGCCAAATGCAGCCCTGTGTTGCGTTAGGGTATCAAAGATCCAGGAACGAGCATTTTCAAAAGCGAGTCCCGGATTGTTTCGTGATTGAAGGAAACGGAATCGAAGGGCTTTATCCGAAGGGAAAAAATTTCGAAGCAGTTGAATCGACTGGAGACATTCAGAGAGCGTGATGGAGGGTGAATGTAGCTTTTGAAGAAGAGCAGACTGAATTTGGGTCTGAAGTTGGAGGACGGATGATATTGTTTCCTGAATTCGAGTAAATTAGTAAATAATTATTTATCACACATATTAATTTAATATAATAAATTTAGCTCGTACTGCTAAAGCCGGTGGTACATAGTCTTGTTCCCCACTGTCACCACCAGTTCCCATACTCTTCTTATAATCCATCACAATGTGAAGAATCTTGATGGCCGGAAGCATTTTGTCCTCGCCGGCAGCCAAGCATCGCCTCACCACCCACGGCATGTCCAGGACTTGATTGAGTTCCACCTCCTTCTCCAACAGAGATTGAACACCGGTCATATTTTGCTGAAATTGAGCACACGGCCCAGTCACTCCAACAAAGGTTTCAGTCTTGGTCTTAAAATCCGGGAACGTTGTCGAGGACAAATTTTCTACGCATGATTTGGCTTCAGATAACTGTGAGAAATATGAATGACACGTATCTTTAAAAAATGATCATATATCCCATTAAAGATATGTGTCACTTACAGATTTCTTTATCAGATTTGTAGTTTGAGCTGATTGAACAAAAATTTGGTAATTTTGCGATGCCATGTCTCTCGTTTGATGTTCGATAATAGCAAGTTCTTCATTAACACGGGCAACTTCTCCCACTAAATAATAAATATCTCATAATTAGAAAATCCCTTTATGTTTAACCTTAACCATTTGAAATAATAACTTACTCAACGACTCGAGACCTTGCGCTCCCAATCTTGACAGATATGCAGCTTCATCAGGTCCTACAAAAACCAAACCGACTTCAAATTGAATTGCGTAATTACAAAAAATTAATTAACGTTGATACCTATATTTCCTGGAATTATCCCCTGTGGGAAAAGCACATTGAGCACTTCGTCCATTCCGTCGCCATATGAAGTTAAGCCGGACCCTGTTGCCTGCACGGGTGGTTGCAAATATTGCTGGTCCTCTTCCATACTAAATTGTTCTTAACAATGACCCCAGCCAGCCAGCAAATTTAGTTAATTAAGGCGCACGATTTGCAAAAGAAAGAATTTTTTTCTTAGCATAAACACGAGCCGGACAGTGACAGACCAGCTGGGCCTTATGTTTTTTTATGTAGAGTTTTTGCCAGTTGTGCCAACAACCACAAACTTGATGGGTTTTTTGCATGAGCTTTTCGTGTGGAAAATTTCCACTGGAAATTCTCATGGCTATTATTGATATAGTTTGATTGGTACTTAATTTTTGAAGATATATTTTCCATCATTTTTTTTATTATCGAAGATACTAAAACGTTAACTTGGACCCCCATCCCCCTGTAACAAAAATCTCAATTTCCCCAATAAAACTTATTTTTTCTGTAATTGTAAAACGGTAAAGAAGTGTAAAGAATGTGCATCATCAAAAATTATGTAAAAATTCTTTTCGATGTTCGGACATGGAAAATTGATACATATGCTTGGGAAAAAGACGCACTAATCTTGGTGCCGGAAAACGCTGTGATACAATTAACATGCTATTTAGTATGTGGTCCACAGCTTTAATCAAAATTTTGCGTCGATATAATATCGCAATTCAATTTTCTTCATCAATCGAATTATTTTTACGAATCGATTTTTGCAGTAGTTTGTATTTTTAGTCCGAGCCCGAGCTTATGGAATCATCATGTCTGTCACTTTTCTGTCTGAGACCCGACAGCGGACAACCACTGGATATATTGTGACCAACTTATTCTTACAATGGGTATTTTATAAGGACTTGTACGAGTACGAAAATAGGGTTTGAGTGGTTTATTTAGTTTAAATGTGGGTATTAAAACTTCGGAACGTAGTACATAAGTAATAGCTGTGTAGTAACGTTCGTGTTTAATCAAAGCCTTTCATTCATAAACAGGAACATTATCCATTTCATAGTATTACTCGGGTAAATTCGGTGGTTGGACAAGTTGTAAAACCCGATTTCGGGAATTCGGTGGGTAAGCATGAATTTCAGCGGGTTCTCTCTTTCCTACTTTTCCTTCAATTTTCGACAGTTCGGTGAAAATTCTTGATTAGATGACTTTTGCAATCCATCTCCTTTGCTGCACATGTAGGGTTAAAGCCGGTTCATCATTTTATAAAGGCCTAATTACTGTCAATTATACTTTTACATTTCTGGTGTGGTCTACATCTCATCTTGCGTGTGAAAGTGCCCTTGCTGAACTCCTTACAAACTCAATTAACGGCTGGACATATATGACGGATCAAAACAGTATGCAATTTTTGTATATCCTATTTTATATCCAGTCTCACCTTAATCATTCAAGCACATACGTTGTAGCATAGCACAAGTAAATCAAAGTATTTAGTAGAATTTACTGTGTATCCATCAAAAAGACATTGACATTTATTGCGAGCCGAACCGAGATGGCTGAGGAGGTCAAGTATTAATAGCTGATTAAGGATTCTCCTTGTATGCATTGCACCTTTGTTCTCATTCCTTGGGGTCATCCCTTAGGGATGCTGAGTTTAAAACCCAATATTTGCCTCATATTATCATTACTTATATTCAAAGAAAATTCAAATGCTGCTGCCTACTGGGGTACGTTCATGCAATAAATACGTATCTAAATCAGGCCATAACCTTGAATCGCTGAAAAGTGTTTTTGTCTTGTTCCATTTTTAATTTAGAGTTGCAGCTGCAACAATGCATATGCACAAAAGTGTGACCTTCCTCAAAAATGAGAGAAGGGACTTCAAGGCAGCTTGCCAACGAGCAGAGGTGACAAAAGGAATTAAACTGATCTCGGTCACTTTGTCGAGAAGAAAATAGAAAGTGGTGCAGTCAGATTATGCGAGAAGAAGTAATGCTAAATATTATTATTACTGTGCTCTCAAAGAAGGCTGCTAGAATTATACCACCCAAATCAAAATCACCAACCTGACTGATACAATAGAAAATGTAATTGATCATGTATTTTTTATAATAGTTTGATAATCATCCGCCTTGTTATGGTCAAAATTACTTGTGAACTGGGCAGGTCTCGGGTAATTTAGAAACAATTCTTCCATAACACGAGCAACATTCATATAACGACTCGTTGACCTTCTCATCACACTTTTATGTGAATATCATTAGGATTGATGCATGGAATGTGCATATACCCATGCGGACAGTTTAATGATTTATTTTTATCTGCATCATGCATGGCTGGAAAGTGTCCAACTTTATATAAATTGTAAATTTTTTCATGAAATTGATTCAATAAGCCGTCCGGACGGACGTGTCCGTGAAAATTCGCAATATCTTGTTCTGCACATTTACGCACACAATTCTCTTGTGTGTATGTACATTGATAATAATTCCACTACAATTTAAGCATATTATATGCACGATAAAGCAAAGATAAGCTACTGCAACCTGTTTACTATTGTTCAAATTGTCACGAGCCCACATGTATGTATATACAACTTGTAAGTTATACTGTAAAACTCTGAAAAATGTATTTATTTTTCTACTGGAAGCAACATGTTTTTATTGTGGGGTATAGATGATAGCAAGAAATAGCAAAAAAACAGAAACCCTTGTTTACACAAAATATTTTGGAAACCCAAAACCTTAATTCCAGGAGAAGTCATTCTGTATCCAAAAGCACTTTAGCACATCTCTGTAAGTCAAACGGTTTCGCTGTACGAGCGACCAACATTGCCCATAAGCTTGCTTGATAACATACTATATGTTCCACATATAGCACCAATTGTCTCACGCTGTCCCAACATTGGAGCTTAATATGGAAAAAATAGATAAAAGTGGCCCAAGATCAGATCGGTGATGAGTAAATTAGTAGTGTTAATGATAACGCAATATCATGTCACCAATGTCACGAATCATCAGGAATCAGTTGTTGAATTTGTCACATAAAGCGTATGCGGGAGGAAGAGTTGAATAAGCATATAAATTAATTTGTCATTATCTCATTTCCTGCCGGACAGAGACACATTATGGCAGTGAGGATGTATATGCATAGCATCTTTTTAATTGACATGCAATGAACTCTTCGTCTGAATCATCGTCTCAAAAGTTGTTTGGATCTTATCTTACTCCATTTTGTGCTATTTATTACCAATTAGTGCATTTCTGAGAAATTTTCTAAGCTCAAAATAATTAAGCCGTACTCAAAGTATAACCTGTGCATATATTTATGGATACTAATCTTAAGAATTCGGTTAGTTTTGAATGTCGAGTAAACCATTATGACACGGGGACATTGCCCAATATTCTCGTATATACAACAACTCGCCAAATGGCATCAAATCAATTTGATACACATTTGTAAAATCCAAAGCAAACAATTGCTTTCGTGGTATGAAAACGTATTGTCGGGACAGGACCATCGAATGTTTCATTTTTTCGGGTAAATATTACACGTGTAATAAATTCAATATCTCTCATGCAAGTAGCGTACAGCTATTGTAATTGAATAGCGTACTTATTGACGCAATCTGCTCTCTGCGAGTATATATATATTGTCATCGAACGCCCATTTTATGTACTGTCGGATATCTGAGGTAGGCAATTCCAGAAATCTTTGTGTAGACAGGTCTCCAATTTTGCAAATCCAATGCAGATATTGGATTTGTCATTGCTGTTCTTACCATCGTTTATTTGCAAACGGAAAGACTGGTTGTTGCTAAATTAACAAGATTAATAGAACTACATACTGCCGTCACTTGAGATTATGCTAATGAAGGCGACAACATTAATTTTCCTAGGCGACTCTTAATTGGCCTGTTACCTATGGCTGGATGGAAATGAAGACAGGAATTAACATAAAGGTATGACTATATTTCTTTACATGTTTTCCATTATTAATACCTGGCTGGGTGTGCCTGTCAGTAAATGCCCCTTGCGGACATGTGCTCCAAAGAATTAAGTTTCATGTAAGACTATCGTCTTAAATAGTAGTATTATTGCACCCATTTAACAAAAACGACTATCTCAAACGTACACTTGCTGGTACATACATAAATATATTAAAAGTTGCTGTTTCTCTGGCTCATTGATGCCTAATAAAAGTTGTGAGATTTTAGGGACGAATGCATTACATGGCATAATACGGCTATTGCTGGGAATTGGAAAATGAACATACTTTACTTGTGTACTTACTACATACTACTACTGACCACAACATACTATTATTGACTGTGATGATTGGATAACTAAATATACATACGTGGCATATTATTTCGCTATGACTGATGTTTGATGTTTAGTTACTCACACGCCGTAGTGAGAGTAGCAGGTCATTTGCCGTGGTCTCCTACGTTAACACAGTGGTCGTGTAGTTGTCCATCCACCCATTCTGCATTTCTGGTAATTTAATTAGACAGCAATTTAATTAGACAGCAATTTAATTAAACTTCACACCCGCAAGTCCAGCCACATTTGATCTTTTTTACCCCTTTGACTGATCTACAAACCAGTAAAACGACGCCGAAGAATTCGAGGTATGTATCTCAATCTCGTCTCATGCATATTCATTCACCAAGTTTTTGATACGATTGAGGGATTCAATTTCACATGCATGGATCAAATTTTGGACTTTGTTCCGTTTCACTAAATATTTATCTGTGTGGTTAGTTAAATTTGGAGGAATTTTTAGAGATTCTCTCTCAAATTTTGCTTCATCAACACTCGATCTTTAATATACTGCAACAGATAAAAAAATGAAAACTTTCCCGTAAAACCGCAAATTGCAGTACCTCGTTTGGGCTTGTGACGTTAGTTACAAAGCAAATGCATTTTTTTCAAGATGACAATTCAGTGTCGGTAATGGTGTACAGTTGTAACAACGATAAAAATAGGGAAGTAAAACGCATCCATTATTAGGACATGCATTGTGAAGACGTAACAATTCTAGTGTCACGTCCGTCTCAAGACATAGACATAAAACATCACAGATTCGCATGTCTTATTGGTTTGGTATTGCATTGCGAATCTCTTTGTCCCTTTTGTCTGCACTTAGCAGTGCAACAACAAAGACTTCTTTTGCATATGGGAGGAGTGTCCCTCCTCTCATTCATTTCATTGTGGTCTCAATCCAGTCACAAATTCTAATCACATCTCAATGTCAGCCTGTTCCACTACCTATTACTACATATTTACTACTGCTACTACCACTTTCGTTTTTTTGTCACATTTTTGCACTGTAATGGATTTAATTGATAGACTGAAATAGGAAGAGTATTGGCAGCAGGGTGGTTTAATTCCCCTTCACTCTTCCTACCTGTTCAATTGTCTTTCTCACCAGAAAAACTGAGACTAGGAAACTGAACGAATTTTGCTGGATAATTGAACCAGTAGCTGAGGCGTGATTGATTTATTGCTCTTGGGTTACATATGCAGGAGCCACCCTACAAAAAATCTTGGGATTCTGAACTCGATCGCCATAAATAAGGCTGGTCACTTCACGACAAAATTAATTCCAATGGTGTCTGGTGTCTGGCGGTGGTTTTTTAGTGCTTTCTCAGGGTTTTTCACCACCTACCTATGTAAATGCATATGTAAATATGACCTGTGTATATACTTACCCTGCATATTTTCTTAACGTGTGCACAAGACTTTGATCAAATGGTGGATGAGTTATGGGCTAATTGCTTGTTGTATTTATGTATTAGTGTTATTTCTCAATACTGCAACTCAGGTAGTTTTAATGGAAGGGCTGGTGACAAAGTTCACACAGATAACCTGTTAACCCTTCCTCTTCGTCTGTATTTCTGCTCAGTTTCCATTTTCGTCTACTTTTATCAATCATCAGAAATATGTATGTATGTATATCCACTATTAAGTGATACTGAAGAGTAAATCTCTGTATATACATACTGTGCATCCTGACAAGTTGAATAACATCAATTCAGGTTCAAAATGCAAATGAGTGTCATTGATTTTTACACATACCTCACACCTCATCAAAGGTTATTGGATAAGCTATTGTGCAACTTTTATGCATTTGCATTTAAGTTTCTAAAGGATCACCTCATATTGTGTTCCAAAATATGAACACTATTAACTGTGAAACAACGTAATAAATAAAATTCATGCACCTTCATGAATACTTAAGCCAGAAAATTGCAACATCCCACAAGTCATTATATTTTTGCAAATCAAAACCATATTTACATTCATACGATGCACTTTTACAATTATATAAGATCGAATCAGTGTCACTCTTGCGTTGGATGCAAATTGCATCCAATTGTGCCATTTTTAGAATGCAACATCTTTCACTGTGCATAAATGTGCATCTGATAATAATCAAGCTAAAGTCTAATAACCGTACAAGTTACGTAAAATCATTGATGGAAAGTGTCCTATTGTAGTAAATAACAAAGAATGAATGAGAATCGGTATCAGCACAGCGAGTCGTGTGGAATTCCAGAAGCACATTAAAAATCCAGTTTATCAGAAATTTGAGATATGCATACATGTAATGTTACGTCAATGCGGAGGAATTTATTTTGTCTTTCCATCCAACCCATGTTCATACATTTGGCCATGCACTTTTTGTATGTTTGAGATTTTTATTGAGCTGTCAACTCCCCAGCCACGGTTTCGATTCGATGGGTCGTGTGTCGAAACAGAGTTTTGAGATTGATTGGAAATTGAATGCATTGATTTGACTCCAATGTTCTCGACAAAGTATTGATTGAACGCTACCAAGCTAATCTCCCACTCAATCTGATAATAGCGAAATGAAAGTGATTATTGAACTGAGCTGGTTGATTGGCTGATTGGTTGGTCAGGTAAATGAGGTAAGTCAAAGTCAATGCAAATGCAACCAGTACGAAAACACAATTGATGTAGTGGCGACTCTGTAGGTGTAGGAGAGCATAAACTAATTTAGAAGTGGGTCAGTCACAGAGTTGGATAATACATTATTTATGTTGGTGCATTACTACTACAGTCCCCCCGTTGTTCTTCTCAAGTGAAATAAATAAATTGTAAGTACAACAACATTGTTCATTTGTACAATGCATGTGTAAAGCGTGGTTTTCCCCGTGCTTAACCGAAATGGATAGCATAACAATTCGAAGAAACGTATTTCTGGTGTTGGAAAAAATTGAGCCCTATGTTCATTTTTGCCTTCGCGTGAGACTTTTAAGCCCATTGTTCCTGACCCTTCTTCCTGATTACGTTCCAAGACATTGTTGTTTTAAAAATATTTTGGTAGTTCATAGTTCAGCAGTCCATCCATCCTCCCATTCATCCATGCTCGTCGTTACTAATATTTTTGGTGGTGGTGTAAAGTTTCATGCGGTTTATATTTCAATATATTAACAAATTCAATGGATTCCTCACAATCGATGAGTTACAACTTACTATTTACTATCCGTAGTACTGCATATACGCCTGTCTTGAAAAAATAATGCATGCTAAACTGACTTGACAGAGAGGTGGATATTGGCTTTTTTATATGAGCACAAATGTAAAACAAGTGGTACGTGCATTATAATGATGTTGTTTGTTGCGGTATCTCTGCTGCACTGCATTCTTCTCAATAATCCAATCCATCCACATGCCCTGTATTGTATTTTGTATTGTTGGATGAATTGTGGAAAAGTTGACTCAAAAGACTTGTGACACAACGAGACTCTTACAGAACAATTTCTGCATCATTGGGAGAACTATCGTCGTCGTCATCATCATCACCATCATCACAGTGCATTGTTTAGTTTGATGAAAAGTTGGTTGTGGTTATTGCTGATTCTCGTCGAAACAGTTTTTGCAGTGCATATATATATTTAGTGGCGAGTAGTGGATTACTTCATATACATATCTTATCTTACGCAGTAAAAATAGACTTTTAGAATGTAACGTGACTTTAATTTACCGCATAGTTACAGTTATTTGTTTGTGACTTTCAGTTTCAGTTCTTCTCCTTCTCCTTCTTCTTCTTCTTCCAATTCGTGTTGAGTTATTACCTAGTCATTTGTGACTATCAAAAAAGATATCCAACAAAAAAGTTTGATCATCATGATGGACGCGGTAGAGATGAAGGAACACCTCGCTCGCTATGGACAAGAGCATCTTCTCCAGTTCTGGGACTCATTGGAAGAAAGTGAGCAGAAAGAGTTGTACAAGGATATCAAAGAGTAAGGAAGAGATCAATTTCCGATTTCAGAAACATTATAATTCATCCGCCACATGATCATGCGACAATAAATTTACTTTCCATTTCCAGCCTCAACTTTGACGAGGTGACGCGAAACTTTCAGAACACCATGTCCTGCGAGAATGAAAATGCAGAAAACGGCGGAAAACTGGACGATCGGTTGCAACCAATTCCGACCGAAATTCATGGCGCAGTCGTTCGCACGGATGCAAATACGTTGCAAAAGTATGAAAATGAAGGTACTTTTATTGGGAATATAACGATTTTTTAATATCAAAATCTCACTTTGCCCCGGAATTATTTATTTATCTATTTAATAACTGGGTTGGTGCCGTGCTCTCTTCCAGCTTTTAGAATGCAGTTTTGATTCGTCGAACAAAAAATGACCTTCTAATAAGATGTACATGTTTATCTGCATAACTGACAGCTTTTTTGCTTATGTGGCGTTGTTTTAATCATTTCCATGCGGAGGTTGCTGTCAGGCAGCAGCAGTATCAGTCAGGAACAACAAACATCATCATCAAGATCCAGTCCATCATCCAAGAAGAAGAAGAAGGATTTGATTGTATTTCCTGATCTGAGAAGATCTTTTTGTAATGTGGACTGCAGAGACGAGAAGAGATCGAGTAGTGTGTAATAAGTGCTTTTGTGAACTTCCTCCACATCTTCTTTCTTCTTCCAAACACGATTATGATGATGCTTTGCTTGGATTTATGACTGCTATAGTTGTTGGACTTGTGCTTGTTGTTGATGATGATTGAAAAGTTGAAATGACATTGTGACTGAGAGAATAAAAGTGTGTATCTCTGATGCTGATTGTGTTGATGTAATATGCAGGTTTGAGACTCATTAGTCTTGGGAAAGTTGCCGTCTTGCTGTTGGCTGGTGGTCAAGGAACTCGTCTTGGAGTGTCCTATCCTAAAGGCATGTACGACGTGGGGCTCCCATCTCGAAAAACTCTTTACCAGTTGCAGGCTGAACGCATCTTGCGACTCGAATTTCTGGCACATGCCTCCGCTTCTTCCGACCATGATGGCAGCATTCCATGGTAGGATTACCAATAATTCCCCTCTAATTGATCTCCAGTACTACCCACATGTGCATATGAATGAGTGTAGAATGAATAGGTTAGGTGCACAGGTGCAGAAAAAATGTACCGCAAAAGTTTTTAATCATAATAACGATGACGAACGAACGATGAACAAACATGTGCAGATTTGTCTTTAAGTTTCAATGTCAAATGTATCCTGCAGATGCACAAAATTGCAGTAGGCACTATTTTATAAAACTGTTCAATAATGTCAAATTAAACCATAAATCTTTGATGGATAGTTGATTGATGATTAGCAGTTTAAACCATAAAAATTTATTCGTCGGAATGTAAATTGTGTTAGCAGTTATTGATACACATTATATAAATGTAGATTCAGGATACACACTACATTTTACATTTCAGGTACATCATGACAAGCGAGCACACTAAGGAGCCTACTTTGGAGTTCTTCCGACAACGGTCTTATTTCGGAATGAAGCCAGAAAACTTGGTTGTGTTCGAACAGGGAATGTTGCCCACTTTCACCACGGATGGTCAAATCATTTTGGAGAACAAGCACAAAATTTCCAAGGCCCCGGGTAAGGCATAAGGTCTCACACCCAACCACTTTTGCGGATTTATGACCAAAATGTCCCCTAACGTGGGAAATGTTTTATATGTACAGACGGCAATGGAGGACTGTACCGAGCTTTGCGTGAAAAGGGAATTTTGAATGACATGGAGAAGCGTGGAATTGAATACGTCCATGTTTACTGTGTGGATAACATTCTTGTCAAAATGGCAGACCCAACATTTATTGGATACTGCTACAGCAAGGGAGCTGATTGCGGGGCCAAGGTGGGTTCACGATCAGAGATACATACATACTTGCAATTACAAAATCCTGTATAAAATAAAATATTTAACATCATATATCTATAAATGATCAGGTTGTAGAAAAAGCCTTTCCCACCGAGGCCGTTGGCGTAGTGTGCAAAGTTGACGGACATTACCAGGTCCAGTAATTTATATTTATTTTCAATTCAACCCACAGTCACCAACGGTCATTTTTATTTAATGTTCTTTTTACTACAGGTCGTCGAGTACTCAGAAATCACGTTGAAAACTGCACAGAAACGAAATATTGATGGACGCCTTGCCTTCAGTGCGGGTAGCATCTGCAATCACTTTTTTACTACAGAATTTCTTCGAAGGGTCACCAGGTAAGTCGTCAACTGAACTAATTCCCTTATCAATTGTTACACAAACTTACTAAAAATATTGACCACTATTATTTCTCAGCGGGCCCGAGAATGAGATGAAGCACCACATTGCCGAGAAGAAGATCCCCTACGTGAACAGCTTGGGTGAACTTGTCCACCCCGAGCGTCCTAACGGTATCAAGTTGGAAAAGTTTGTGTTCGACGTATTCCAGTTTTCCAACAACTTTGTCGTCTGGGAAGTCCTTCGGGAAGATGAGTTTAGTCCCTTGAAGAATGCGGACGGGGCGGAAAAGGACACTCCCACTACGGCGCGACACGCCCTCTATTCCCTCCACCAACGCTTCATCCTCTCGGCCGGGGGCCGTTTCATCGACGAAGCGGGACACCCCATCCCACTAATTCCTAGGTAATTCCTTCCTTTGGGACAATGCAATTCTGTGTAGCTGTAACTTTTGCACAGCATCAGCAGCATGTCATACAACAAGTCACAGTTTTTTTACCTATAAATACCATTAATTTGCATGCACGCTGAACTTTAATTTGTTTTGCATTTTTTTTATTTTGTGTTTTTCTAATTAGCCCCGCTTTTTGTTTTATGTTTTTTTTACTTTAGTATCTTGAATAACAACGCTATTCAACTGGAGAACAACAACAACGAGATGTAAGTTTATTCCCAGGTCCTGACTGGATTTTAAGATTTTGTTTGCTTTTTATGTCCCACAATTAACATGCACTTTTGACTACACATTCATATACACGCATTACTAATTGTTCTTTTCTTGTGTTCTTTTTAGTCAAAAGTCCTGCACGAGTTACAAGTCCCCCGTGGTGGTGGAAATATCCCCCCTCGTTTCCTACGCGGGTGAGGGGTTGGAGGCAGCCGTTCTCCGCAAGGATTTCACCCCACCCGTCTGCCTTATCTCCGGGACCGAAAAGGTCACCCCGTCTTCTGCAGATGGTCACCCCGACCTCAAAGGCGATGTCTCCCTCAAAGTGCACACCGTTCAACCCATGGCTCAACAACTACCTATCCGCAGCAACTATTAAACACAAAAATATTGTAAATTTCAACATGTTGAAAAAATCAACTCTAAAAACAACTCTTCATCTTGGACAAAATAAATTCGTCGTCTTCATCAAGTTCAACGTTTTAATACATATATCCATATATACAGGAAATATTTTTAATATCTCTCGAAAGACGGACAACTTTTGAAAAATTCTAAAACATGACACTATTGTCTAGCGTCATATATATTTAGATAAGTATAATTATGTGAGAATATATGTACATAGGTATACATGTAAAACAAAGGGTCAAATAATGGATCAAGTATATTTTATCATGTCCAAAACCATGCGAAGAATAAGTGACCATGAAATTTTATACAGCTCATTTTTATATCAAGAAAAAGATTACCTACTACTTTAGAAAACATACACACGCTCTGTTCGTATGTAGGAAAAGGAAGAAAAAACTAAATTCTGAAGACCTGCCGGAAAGCTTATCAAGTTTGAAAAGATAACGTCGTGTCCATATCCTGTTCGTATTATGATGATGCTGTGCATTACACTATATGTATATCAGCCTAAAGTCTCACAAATAATCTACGCAGTCACTTGATTTGCATATTTCCTTGCGCATTAGCGAGCGAGATATGAGAGTTGAGCCGTTGGGCTCAATAATAAATCTTGAGAAATGAGATAGATCGAGCTGAGCACTGCGCGTTTTATTCAAATGAGGTGACAGACTATTCTAGATATTGACTTTACCTTTTGACTCTAAACATTATTTTATCTTTTGTCTCTTATCTTAATATATAAGCAAGATTTTTCATTTATTGTGATGCTAATCGATAACAGAACTTGTAAGTAAAACATTCCACTTTTATTCAAATAACGAAAACTTGGGTAAATACCTTTATTTCATGCGCACCTCTCGAGTTCAGTAAATCCAACAAACAGTAATGTGCTTAGAATCTAAGGAGGAGGTGTAGGTTTTACTTACAATCTATACAATTTCGGATGTTGTCTTGCAGTATTATTTAGATTTTGACAGTATATATATGACTACCTGCCAGCACGACATACATCACATAGTTTTGAAGGAGACAACTGTATGACTTATTTGGGTAAGAAATACTTTGAATATCATTTTTATCTGGCTTGTTGGCATATCTGTTTGGTCGAGTTTTGGAGACTCCTTTAAATACGTTGGACTTGCAAAGTTTTACTTTAGTCTTGATTCCTTCCCAGGGAAGGTTGACCTGTAAAGGAGTTTCGACGAAAAAGAAGAAGACGACGACGTAGTTTTAGTAGTAGTTGTTAGTTAGTTAGTGGGTGGCTGTACTTTAACTATGGACCCTGCGACTTGGGAACGAACGATGGATCTGATGGGACAGGAGATGGTCAAGAAGCAAAGACTTGGATTGGGTCTTTGGAACCGTCTCAAAACCGTTGAGCCCCCACCACAAGAGACATTACGGGAAGTGGAGGAGGTGGAAGAGAAGGAGGATGAAAATCAGCATCAAGAGGATCTGACGACGAGTACAACTGCGACGATAGAAGCACCAGAACATTCCACATTATTACCACCAGGGTTTGCAAATACCTCTATCGAATCAATACCAATCTCTTCATCGGATAATGAATCCCCAATCCCAAACTTCCTCGATACAAACTTTATCTCGGAGAACTCGCTGAATAGCATTCTTCGAAATGCGCAGGATAATACTGATGGGTAAGGTTTTGATTCTCTATATGTCTTGTTTATATGCATACATCTAGGGACGCGTAGCTTTTCTTTGATTAAAGTTTCTTTGATTTGCATTCTTTATAACATTTATATAGAGAGAATGTGGATGGATAGGTAGGGATGTTCATCGATATAAAATTATTTTATAATTGCGATTCATCGTACGAGTTCCTCCCTCTTTCTACGAATATATCTTGCAATTCCGTGTTTCGTGGTTGACTCTGAAGTGTTCACCAACATTAAATTTTGATTAGTTTGATTTAACGGACAATTCTGTGTCACTCCAGGTTTCGTCAGGATCAGAGTTCGACGCCACCTTTGTTATTTCCTGGAGAAGGGGCAGAAGGCCCTTCCTTGTCCAAGATGAACGTCACTTGGCATGACCCGCAAACAGCTCATGCTGCTTTTCAAGATTTTTTTACTCCGAACACATCCAATTCAGCGTTTAACATTTCTGACGACGTGGCTGATCAATCTTCAAAGAATTGGGATGAATACGGGGAGAACTATTATATGAATGGTGTAGCTCAGCACAGTGAAGAGTTTCCCGATTTTTTTAGCACTTCTTCTCCTCATGCTCTTGTTAGGAAACGCAACTATGCAACCGAAGTGGTCGATACAGACTTTCAATTTCTGGTACGTTCTTAAATTGTCTAGAGTTTCCACAATGATGGTTTCCTCATTACTTATGCACGGCTTAATTTTTTCAGGACTCAAGTGGCGAAGCGTCTACTAATGATCATGAATCTCCTAGAAACTGGGATAGTCCTACACGGGAGACAAAAATTGGTAATCCCCTGCAATTCAACAACCCATCTGCCGTGGTTGCAAGATTGACTACCAGGGAATGTATCCAATTAATCAAGGTTTGGGTTTTATTTGACCTTTTGTATTTACGTATTTACATTTGTCAGTCATTATAATTATGTTATTTAATAATTATTAATTATACTTATGTTTTAAGGCCTTAGGAAATAGTCTTAGCGAATGTCAGGAAGCGGATAGTGCTCAAGCATCTCAAATCGTTTCATTAATGCAATTGATTCAGGGCCAGCTCATGACAGAAATGCAGTCGCCCATAGACTCACCAACAAGTCCTCGGCATCCTTCATCTTCGACGTCGTTAGAGTCACCGGTGGATCGTACGGCCAAGTATCACCGAGAGATCACAGGTTTTGCCTCTAAATGTGATTTACCAGTGTATTTTTCTCATTCTTTTGTATGAAAGATAATAATTTAGCTTAATACTTTTACAAAGTTTCTGCTGATGCTGTATTTACTTGGAGCGGACAACTGCCCCCACGGATTCACCGAAATCCTACATACTCGTGCAAGGTAAACAATAACCAAGAAAAAATTATGAAAGTTGTTACAAGTTGGATTGATAGGTTTACTATAAACCATTCGTGTTTTATGAATTTATAGATTTTCTTGGGCGGTGTTCCATTCGATATTACCGAAATGGCACTGATTCACGCATTCAAAATATTTGGTAATGTTAAAATCGAATGGCCTGGAAAAGACATTGCTCCTTCTCAGCCTAAAGGATATCTGTATGTCATTTTTGAGCACGAAAAGCAGGTAAGTAGGAACATTGAATAAAATTAGTTAATTTAATTAATGTCATTTAGCTGATTAGACTGTAAAACAATCACCTTTCTTTATGTTTGCGTAGGTGAAGCTCTTGCTACAAAATTGTTTTCTGGACTACAGCAAGAGTGTATCTGGCGATTGGTATTTCAAGTTGACCTCGAAGCGATTTCGTGAAAAGGATGTTCAAGTTATTCCCTGGGCCTTATCGGGTAAGGTCCAAAGATAGTTATTGAAATTATTAAAGTAATTCATTTATTATTAAAAAAGAAGAATGTGGTACATGTTGTCAGAGGATTTACTTATGTTTATATATAATGATAATTTTTTTAAATTAAATATATCTTAAATATACATTTTAAATATATCTTTTCAGACAGCAACTACGTCAAGTGCCAAGCTGCTAAAATTGATGCGAAGAAAACAATTTTTGTTGGTGCGCTTCACGGAATGTTAAATGCAGAAGGGCTCGCTAAGATAATGAATGACTTGTTTGATGGCGTAGTTTACGCAGGTATAGTTGATATACATGTATACATATATATATTGATCTTTTCTCAACACATTGTTTGTTGGGATAGGATCGAAACATTTCGAATGAAACACTAATTATCATTATCTAGTTAAACATTCATCAGTTATTCGAATTCTAAATTTTGTAGGCATTGACACAGACCGACACAAATACCCCATTGGATCTGGCAGGGTTACTTTTAACAATATGAAGTCTTACATGAAGGCAGTTTCCGCTGCATTTGTTGAGATTAAAACAAAGTTCCGAAAGAAGGTTCAGGTGGATCCATACTTGGAGGATGCAACTTGTTCCGTGTGCAAACTTCAACAAGGTCCATACTTTTGTCGAGAATGGTGCTGTTTCCGATACTTTTGTCGCACTTGCTACCAAACCCAACATGGGTCTGAAGAATTCCGAAAGCACCGACCACTGATGCGTAATGCGAGCAAACCAGCAGGTACAGCAGGATCCGTGACCTCTGTGACCTTCTCCCCACTTGGAAATCGTTCGAATTATAACTCGAACCGAGCATTCTTTGGGAACTCGAATCGCAGCAATAATAACTATGCGCACAACAACTGGGGTTCTGCCAGCGGAAACTACAACGGAAATTTCAATGGAAACTACAATCAGCAACGACAACTAAACGACTATGGTGCTTCACGTTATGTGTTGCATTGAAAATATAATTTATAAGTATAATTTTGTAGAGGTCATGTATTTAATTTGTATGAGCTGCTCCAGTTTTTGGGGAACTTAGATCTTAAAGAATGAGAACATTCCATCCGTTGTGGGCCCCATCAGCATTGGTACTTGGTTCTTATGACTCACGGTCAGCTGCGGAGGAAAGAAAATGGTCAAATTTTGTTATAGAAATTTATACGAGACTCAAAATTGCTTTCATTTTGTTTAAGCAAACTAATAAAATAGTAAAATATTAGAGAATACGCACAGAACATGGTGATTGCATCCAAGGTTCTCCATCAATTTGCATGGGGAGTCGTTTCTTTGTCCTAATGACCACGGTTGAGCATTGAGCTAGTCGGCGACCTGACGATCGCAGCCCAGTTCTGACTTGCCCCATGTGCAGACAGTTTTCAAGACCAATCACCTCAATCAATTTGTCCCCAATGTCTGAGTAAGAAATCGAAAAGTAAAACAAACTTTCTTAATGTCCCTCTATTCCTCTTTTTACTGTCCATTAGTTCACTGCGAAACGATCGAACTGCAGCGTGCAATCTCAATTCTCAAGTATGTGTGTATCTCGAGATTGCAGTGAATGAACAAATTCAAGTGACTTGTTTGAAGTTACACAACAGGATCCATACATTCGTATATATGTACAACAGTACATACATACATACGTATGTATACGTACCTTGAAAAGCGGTTGACAAATTAGCAACAGGGGAACTGCTGTTGTCTCGCTTCTTCTTGAATTGTCTTTTGACTCTTCGCCGTGATAAATGATCACCCCACATATTTGTTCCGCCGTGAGTGTAAGGAATGTTAAGCAGTGCTAGTCCCTGAAGAGCAGGACCCCGATCCAACTCGAGAGAAACGCCGTCGCACTATATTATTTAGGTATCAAATGGATAAGTGAGATTTTTTTTTCACATTTACACAAACAAATACATGGATAATTTAGTCAGACAAATCTCTTCATCAATCTCACTTCAATCTCCAACTCTTGATGGAGGTTTTTACATGAGGATGAGAACTGCTCAGTCATCCCGAACTGTTGGGAAAAAAATGAAAACTGTAAACATTCGTCCTTTAAGGGACCAAGGGACGAAAAATATCACAAATATACTCGCCTCAAAGTACCACATTTTATTTCGCATTCGAGAGTTGAATTTGTGCGGATTTTTTTCTCTCTCCAAGTGAAATTTTACACAAATAGCGGCATCCTATAGTGGATCAAGCATTAGCATAAATTTCTCTTCAATCTTGGTCAACTCGTCGTGAAACTTGTACAAGAGGGCTTACAACTCCCACGGAGAAGTAGTTGTTGATAATGTTGTAGGGCATTGGATCTCCTTGAGGCTCCGTTTCCGTCGGAGCAACGTCAGAAAGCGAGATTTCCCAACGGTCCATCATCACAGAATTGGACCTCTCAATTTTCTTCCGGACACAATTATTATACACGATTCCATTGTGTGCAAACCTCTCATTGTTGTATCATGCAATCATGAAATGTACATATGCGAACAGAACAATTACCTTCAAGACTTTCTTCAAAGACTCGCCTTCATAACCTCCACCCCATTTCAAGCACCTCGCCAAGTCATTCCCTGTTCCCAGGGGAAGTACACCCACGGGGGGTTGGGTTTGGTATTTTATCTTATCTGAATTAAACAACCCGTATAAATGCCCGTCACAGTGTTATAGTCGCATACATATGCATAGCAATAGTCCTCCTGTGTCGTAGTATACATATAATTAGGTGTACTTAAAGTAGCATAATTTACCCATGCTGTCCAACAACCACCCAACAGTGCCATCACCTCCACAGCACAGCACGCGTAAATTGTTTACATCTTTAAACATTTGCAAAGCTTTTGATGGACCCCCGCAACTGATGTCGTAAACCTGCATGAATTCATAAGCGATTGGTTCATAACTATGCCAATTATGTATTCTTATTGTCATCCAATAATTAATAATAATTATTTAGCATCGCTTCTACATATCTCTACCTGCCGAGGGTTAAGCAAATACTGGAATTTTCGGAAGAGTCGTGGACCCTGCTGTCCCCCACTTTTGGGATTGATGAAAACCTTTAAAATGATGCACGAGCATCAATATTACTTGCCAATATTGTTACTCAGCTAGTCTCGTTATCAATAAGAACATTACCAAAAGTGGTCTCGTGCCTTCAGGTGGCGTAATTTGGAATGACAGCGGTCCATCACCCGACGGGGCTGGAGGATCTCCAGAACCTCCTGCTTGAGAACTGGACGACTCTCCCTGAACAAAGACAACCCAAATGCATAACAATACTCGTCTTATTCTTGAGTAAACAAGCTAAAGTGTTGTATGCAAAACCTATAAATCCACCACGATCAATACCCCCATCAAACCAACTCTAGTTCCTTGCTAAACTAGTTGCTAGACCAGTGGAAGGAGAGAGGGGGATAAAAATAATGAAAGATAAAACATCAACTCACCCCATTGTCGGAGCCTCTGGAGAGACCAGATATTGAGCGACCCTCCCGAGTAAAGGAACGCTGTCTATCCAGCACCACGGGGTAAATGGCAGTTGGTGGAACGATATGACATTTCAGTTCCCCCAACGAGCATTCCAGTTTGACCAGACTTTTACATTCATCATGCACCTAGAAGGACAGCAGCAGCATCGATATCATTTCCCAGCTCACTTTCCGTCTAAAGTTGTTTTAGACAGGAGAGATTGGAACGCAAGATAATTCAAACTCACCGTCATTTGGCACCAACGGCAGTGCTGTCCATATATTTATATGCATATACATATCCCAATAAATTCTCAGTAGTTATCATAAATAATGTTGGTCATACCTGTCCAGCAGCCCCGTTAAAAATCCTCATAGGTTTCTTGCATTTTGAGCACTTTCCGGCACAATTGCCGGGTGTCCAGTGATGAGTCATGACCTGAATGCAGACATACGTGTTGTATATGCATATAGGTAGGTGATGGCTTAATGTCAAATCCCCTCCACTTTTAGGAGATGCAGAAGAATGACAATATTTTATGAATAAAAGTAGACTACATAAAAGATGGGTGAGCGAATGCACGGCAAGTCTCAATGCGCCCCCAATCCTCGCTCTGCTTTCTCCTTCTGCTCCTATCTTTCTCTCTAATCTCGCATCTCCCACTTTCACTTTCTCCTCCTCGCAAAACGATACACGTTCTGTTTGACTTACTTATCGTTCACTATGTTAAAACCGGCCCAAAATATGACCCGTTTTCATAAAATTTAAACAAATTCTGACATTACATTGGGTCTAAATTGGCATTTAAAATAAAAATGGACGTATTATACTCGTTTTTTAAGCGACCAGTGGGTAAATATAGGGCATTACATTTTCCTCATTTCAACTAACCTCTGATGCCATGCTTGTTGGACTTACTTGTTCCTTCTTGGACTTGACGTAGGTGGTGATGCAATTTGTGGGAGCCTTCTGAACACACCGCTCGTGGGCTGTGTACTTGCAAACTGCTCCATAAAATAAAACAAGATTGCTGTAACTTTCTCTCTCACTCACTCACTCTCTCTCTCTCGCCAAATACGTGTGGATACGTAGTTAGTGATCAAGTATACTCCTAGTCAAAAAAGAAAAGGGCAGCGAGAAAGAGTGTGTGTTTGATACGGCAAGTAAGCACTTACGGACGCAACAAAGCCCTTTTTTTCCCACGCCACCACTGGCCAACATTTCCAAGCACAAGTTGCAATAGATTGGTCTATTAAAGTGCTTTAGGTCCCACAAATGGTTCCCATCTTCCTTCACGTTCTGTGACATAAGAAGAACCACAACGAACCACACATTCTTATCCACTTGTTCTATTTACACCAGTTCGTTCTGTATTAAATTGTGGGAGAGAAAAGTAAGCTTTTACTTGATCCAGTCCGAGAAGAACGAGAAGTGGAATGTTGGTCAGTCCGCCTCGTTTCCACTCGACCAAAGTTACATATCCATTCGAGTCGTAGTCAATTTCTACCATCAAGTCAGTTAGAATCTAAAATGACAAAGTGTGAGTAAAAAAAGGGAGGAAAACTTTCCCTTCTTTCTTTCTTCGCATTATTATTATGCACCACTCACCGGCCTCAACTCGGTCACATCCCAGCCCAAGTAGTCTGCCACTTTCATCATTTGGTTCACGATGGCCACCATCTCCTACAAAACGAAGCAACCCAGACGGTCAGACGGTCTGTTGTTTCAATAAATGGGCAGTAATATTCTATCATAAAACTCCTCCAGCATAGTGAATGACCACCCCACACACAAACAGCAAATAGAGCTAACAAAGAGTAAACAAGGCTTATAGAATGGTGTCTAAAAACATCTACGAACCAACCACTCGAACTTATGCCCTTGGTCCTCATACATATGTACACTCACCACTTTTTTAAGATTATTTACAAAGCGTGGCGTAAAAAACCCTTGAAACGACTCACCTGAGTGTCCAAAACACCATTTCCATCCGCATCGTAGAGATGAAACATGACTGTGAATAAATTATAATTGCTCTTAAAACGTGTGGGCTGAAAGACCGATAGAGTGAGGGTCTAAAGTGATGATAATATGATATGTTTGTCCTCACACTCCAACTTGTCCTCGGGCCGGGCACCCTCCATCAGAGAGAGATAGCAAATCACATCTTTTATGGGGATCGTCGCCGTATCTATGTCGATCGGCGTAAGTGCCCCGGACTCATCCTCTCCGGGGGTATCTGTCAGGAAAACACAACACATCGATCTCTTTCTCACGCTCACCAGTTCTGACAGTGCTCACAATCAGACCAGTCCTCGGCATAATTGACAACCGCTCTGCACGTGAACAATATAATGTAATGAATGCTATATTTATTTCAGACTTATGTACGTCAACACGAGCGAACTTTACACATTTAATGAACGCCTACTACCCACCCAACCGACAATGCAAGTGTCATTGGAAAACGGTCTTGGGACACAGTGTGCCGTACTTGACCTTCAAATTTCAACAATGGTGAGACCATCCACGCCTACAACCAACTTCACTCCTCTTTTCTGCTCTACCTGCTGCTGCTGCTAATTAGACAGCCAACGAGGGAAATCATTGAATGATGACTTAGTTATTAGGACCGAGGAGACTATTATAGTTTCGTGGGCCGCTCTTTCTCCCACAAGTTTGTCAGTGTCCGGAATATTGCATTAAGGGAACTGTGTCGTTGCTCTGCGACATTTCGGAATGACATTTAAAGTTTATTAAGTTTAAAATTTGCAAAGGATGAATGGTTAATTTTACCGTTTGTATTTAGTTCTCGGCTAGTTTTTCATTGTGTAGAAAATAATACTTGGTGTTCATGAAACTTATTTCTTAAGACAAGAAAAGTGAACAAGTTGCACTTTGATAAATGGTTTTACATAACTTGTCTAATTACATATGACATTTTACGTAATTTTTTCATGGTGAACTGATGTGGCAACCGGCTAAATGTCAACTAATTCAATTGTGCTTCCAGTCAACCAGAAAGAAAAAGAAGAACGCTTTTTCATCTGCGTTTGCCAAAATCAAAGTAAAAATCCGTCGACAACAGAAATACTTTAGCATCGGGTTCTAGTATAAAAAACTAACGTTTTCCCGTGACGTCATTAGTTCTTTCTGTTCGTTCTGTCACTCCAACAAAAAAAAGACTATTAAAATCTCATATTATTATTTTTGAAAGTGAAAGTTGGCCTGGTAATGGAAAATATATAATTCTGGACTCAAATGCCAGAGCAGAAAGCCTGACAAAGAATTTTATCTTCCTTCACTTGCAATCTGTCAATTCCCACAAGTTCTGCATTAGTAATCCCAAAGTTCCCATTAAGTCTCGGAAATTAACTGCGTTTCTCCTTTGAAGAGCTTTTTTTTAGATGTCACAGGGATAACTACATACGAGCTGTAGCTGTGCATGAAACTAACGTTTTTTCCACAGCTAGCAAGTCAAAGATAATCCTTGCGTCAAATTGGACAAAATCAAAGAATTTCAAATACAGAAAAAATGATGGGCAGCAAAAAAAAGTGCACTGTAAAATCCAATCTCCGTCAACGGGTTCAATACTCCTCGCTTTTTGCTGTACATACTTGAAAAAGTTGGAAAGGATTCTTTCTTTTTCATTCGAGAAGAGCTTACATTGCAACTCGTACATATGCAATAAAAGATTACCAAAAACATTGCAAATCTTCATGTCGAGATTATTAATCAAAGCAAATGAGAAGTACTTTTTCCTCATAAAACTGCAATCCTCCAAAGTTATAAGCTCATTAGAGAAGAAGTCTCGCAAAATGTGACTTGCACATATTCCTCGTTTGAATCTTTTACAGGATGAAACAGTATAAGCTTATTAGTTGGATTCATGTTTTGGAATTACAAAGTAATTTCTGAGAGCTAACTAATACCCAAATTTCTGCACATTATTTATCTCTCTCTCTCTCTCGACTCACTTATTTTCTCTCTTTATTATTCTGAAGCGTTTGAAGTTGTAATTCATCCGAGTCCTATTTGTGGCTCACTTACAATATATTTCTTTGCTGTGACGTCTCTCTGTCACAGCAGCCAATCTTGAAACCCACCAAGCATTCACCATCATTTAGTTTAAGGTGGGTTAGGTTGATGTCGTCCACGAATAAGTACAGATACACATAGATGAGAACAGACGACGACAACGACGATGGCGACGACTACGGAGTTTCATTTTGCTGCTTCTGCTTTAAGGGAGAATCGATTTTATGTCACTTTCATCACTCCTTCTCATTCTTCACTCGCCAATATATGTATTGGCGACATGCCGCAGAGAATAAATTATTTTTTGGATCATATCCGCCATGCATACTTCAATCCCCCATACTCATCATGGAAATAATTAATTTCAGAACATGACATAAAGGGCGAAGGTTTGGCAAAGAAGGTCGTCAGATCATAGGCAGAACTCACAGTGAGAGAGAGAGAGAGACTGATTGATTACGGAGTAATTGGGGCCAACCATCAGCCACCCTACTGACAAACTTATGGCGTATTTTGGGTGAGGCGGAAATTACAATAAATATTCGGTCCAAGTGAAAAAATACATATGCAGATATGCAGCCATAGAGGGTGGATCGATGTAAGGATGAAATTATGAGACAATTGGAACGAGTACCTGCATCTGCACCCGATTTGATGGGACTGCTCTCCATCATCTCCAAGTCCAAGTGCAACTGGCTGTCTCTGCGGTGGTGGTACTTTTCTGGGAGCTCGTTCAACCTGTCGACAAGCAGATTGTGGCGTTTCTCCACCGTGGCAGAGTCGTTCAGTTGGACAGAATTGGTGGTCACAAGGTTCGTCAGAGAGCCGGCACTAAGCGGTGTAATCGCTGCGGCGGCCGTCGTTGTGCTGCTAACTGCCATTTCCTGGAGAAAATGGAAACCGGAAGTTAGGATGAGGATACACGTCAAGAAAGTTTGGACCTCAAATGCATTTTCTCTCCTCTGACTTTCTCCAATTGGGAGAAGAAGAAACCACCAATAATTTATTATAGATGGGCACGACGCCGCATTATTCAATCGGACAATGCTGTTCTTGGCACCAAAATGCGGTGAAAGTTTTTAAAGTAGGTCGACATGTCTCAAGTAGAAGAATCCCTTTGGTATTTAATAGGACGATGGTATGTAATAATGTGAGAACAGATTCTCAAGGCTTGCAAAATATTAAGTAAATGTTACCACATTTCTCACATTTGACACCCACCATGACATTGCTTGCTTGTGGGAATGATGTTGTGGGAAAATGCCTGAATGTGTGACGATAACGAAGAAATGACACGAACCTGTATCAATGTTGTTCCACCTTCAGCAGGAGGGGGGTTGCTGCAACCGTTTTGTGGGATGGCAGCATCTGTCGGTGTCGTTGACGACGACTTCTTGGGTCGCTTGATGAATGAGAGAAATAAATGTCGACAGAGCTCATCCGGTGTGTCCACTTCCAGATATGTGTCCATTAGCAGTTTGAACCCAGAGTATCCAATTTGCTTCAAAATTATGGGCAAATTATTATTGTATGTAGCTTCCCATTAGCGTTCAAGATGCTGGCATAACTCAATTAAGCGGTATTTGTGGGAAGACACGTGCACATTTATGTTTGAACACAAAAGAAGAAGATTGTAAATACATAGTTGCTACCTCGTCAGCCTGACAGTCTGGCAGTATCCCATCTTCGCATAACTCTGCGATGACGCTGCGAATGTTGTTGTTACAATCTGCGAAAGATGAACAGGGTCAAAGCAATTTTTGATTGATTTTAAACACTGAATAAAATATGACTATATCGCCTGACTGACTAGTAGATATGAATATGCATATCTATGCATTGTGACCCACAATTTGTGAGTTGCCCTAAAGTGCAAGAGGCCAAGAGAAGGAAAACCCGGTTCTTCTCTTATCTCGATAACATACTTTTTTGAAAATGGATACGCTTCATTAATTCCGAAAACTAACGGCGTAAATAATAAGCCGACAACATTACTACGGCATAAAACACTTTTACAAGAGATTGTGAACTCTTTGACAAAAAGTCGACTTCTTAAAATGCGCACTCATTCGGTGAGTCGATTGTGCTGCTGGATAATGTTTTGTCTGGAGCCAGCTAGCATTATGGAAACACATCTGGACCAGAAATGTATTAAATCCGGGTGCAGCTCTCTGATGGAAAGTTCCGGCTTTATATTCCTCTCATTCTTATAGCTGATGAGGATCATACCATGTGGTGAAAACGGAACTAGGAAGAAGAATTAAAAACGGAAATGCCACTTTGCGCTGTTCCTCGTCATTCCCATCGAAGGCCATTTGCACAGCGAGTGACCCGATGCCCAGCCCACCCACGTGGTGGACGTAATCCATCCAACCACTAGTGCATCACCTTGGCTAAATTATTTGGTGCATAACGTGCGCGTGTGATGAATTTAAACGAGAAATGCAAATTATGTATGTAGGGATTGGAGGACAAACGTGATTAATCTTACATCTGGAGAGAAAGAGAGAAAAGAGAGGAAAAAGAGGAATCTGGACAAAAACCATGTTGGACAACATTGGACCGGATTGGGAAATGTGTAGGATCAGATTACGTCCACTGTTTGGTTTCTCATCATCCATCTTGAATTTGAGAAATACCATGTGGGCAAATTCATTCATCCAGCTCTATCATATGAAAGAATGAGGTCTGAATTCCACACTGTTTATTCTTCTATTCCCACCACCAACCACTAAATACGACCACAGCAAAAAACAGCAGTCGTGTTGAATCACAAAGACAACGCAAATCTCTGGACCAATAAAAGAGGTTATGACGACATATCCCGAGAAGAGAGAGAGAGATAAATACCAAACTTTTTCGACAGTGCACAGCAGCCCCTTCAACAGAAGATGGATTAATGGACAAGAGTTATAGGACAAAGTGTCCCCAAGGATGCAAGTTTTTGGGTGATCATCACACCAACCGAGCAACACTTGTGGCTATGTATGCAGTAAGTAAGTAGCTCATCTGACGAATCCCACAAGTTACGTACTTTGCTTGAGTACACAAAACTACTCAATATATCTTCTCATTCTCATTACAGGCCTCCTTGTTGGTGGAGAAATCCAATCATTTCACACCATGAAATTGTCAATGACTATTGAAAAGGCGTCACAGGAGGATTACATGCGTAATCAACATGCCATTTCCAAAATTGATTTCGAAATTCCTCAACAGTCCTGCCTGGTACGGGAACAATTAAACAATTACTTTCTCCAAGCCAATCAGTTGTTCAACTAGTCGTGTATGTACATGTGGTGGTCGTGTTACAGGTATTTATGCCGTTGTGATGAGAGAAGAACACGCTTTCATGACGCGAGTAATAATTTCACAAGTTCCGTCCTAACTAATTAAGCAGCCTTGGAGAGAGAGAGAGTGCTACATATGCGGATCTCTCTCCTACCAAAGTGAGATTGGTTGGCCCAGCTCCATTTTCATGCGAGGAGGAGAAAGCAAAGCTTTATTATGCACTCTGGGTGAAAATGCTCATAATGCCACGACCCGGCCGCACAATAAAAACTGGTGTTATTGCTACTGTCGTCATAGTGGGGTTAGCCCAATTAATTCCGTTGTAAATGAAATGAATAAACTTACACGATGCCAAATCATGAAGTTGTTGAAATTCTTCTGGAGAAAGTTTATCCCAGTGAAACTTCTTCAGCTCATTAAACGATTCAACAACTGTGGACGTCTGCGGAGGCGGTGGGAGTGATGGATCGACGGTTGTGGGGTCAGTTGGCGGATTGGGTTTCTGCTGCTGGTCAGGTTGAGGGTATTCTGGGTGATTAATACGGCTTGGAGTGTCCGATCCGGGGTTAGGACGTAGGTTGGGGTGACTTGTGATTGGAGTACCGGCAATTGGGGGATTAGGGGACATCATCTCGAACAGGTTGAGTGGCTTGGAATCCATTTATAATGGCACACAAGTAGGGGAAATAGTGGATTTTGGTCTTGTAGCGGAGATATGTAGATGTATGAACTTTTTCCTTCCAATTGTTGTACGTTGTACAATATTAGCAAAGTAAGTAGTTCACAGTGGTATCCACAACCCGGAGGGAGGGAAAGTCATCATGAGTACTTAAGCTCTCAGGAGTAGAGTCTGTGACACGTCTAGCAGCAATCTCTCTTCTGATCTCACGCGTGCCCTTCCTTTGTCCGTTCTTGTTTATCTTTTCATGCGAGATGATCAAAGTCTCAAGTTGAACTTGGGGAAAGTTTTGCTATGTATTTCTTCTCCCTTTCTTCTGCCGGAAGTGTGTGAGGGATTCGATACGAAGAAGAAGAAGGTGTTCAAACGGGTTGCAACAAGTTGGTTGCGTCTGCTATTATGCTGGGAATATGAGAAAGAATGTGACGCGTACCTGTGCCCGTAGATTGATGGATGGATGAATGGATGGATTGATGGGGGTCCTCGTACCGAGAGAGACAAGGGTCAAGCAAGGTGACGAAGAAATTACTGGATTAATGAATGGATTAAGGAATGTTGTTTTTGGAGGATAAACTGGTCAGCTGCTGGCTTAGTTGGTTGGTTGGTGGATGGACGAGGACGGAGATGAAACCAGGATGACAGACAAGCAGGCGAATGGGATAGCGTGACGGGTTGCAGTGTATTTTCTCGGCCAGATTGTGAGACTCTGACTCTCTGAGACTAATACATAAGTACGAGACGGAAGGAAGAATGAATCTGGTCTGGATGGAGCAAACTACTGCCAACTAAAGCACATGGAAGAAAATATTGGGTGACTTTCAAGAAGCGGAATATCTCTCGCTCAGCGCAACCTCGTCCCCCCGATTACTCGACTGAACTGAACCATCAGTTTGAAAATGCTCTGAACAACTTTTCCCGAGATGCTACTTAACCGTCTTTAACTGACTGACTGACATGGTGTAGAAGAATGGAAAATAGGCAGCCAACTCATCCATCCATCCATCCGTCCGTCCACCGCTATCTTCTCCTTGCCCAACCAAATACTATCACACCATGCTCAACTCTTGTTATTATTCTTGATCCTTTCTCCTTGGAAGTCACTATTAGCCCACTCCTATACCACATGCCCAATTGACATACATATGTACATGCATATGGATGGATAAGCTAAACCCGAATTCGGTCTTTTCGGAGCATCCACTACCCAGTTATAAGTATCATCTCATAAAGTATCATTCCACCAAATTGTACACACGCCACGCCACCCACCTCGGCACACTTTCTCCTCATCAACCTCTATTTACAATCAGTCCAATGGATAACTACTCAGCTTATCATCGTCCAGCAAAACAACCTCACCTCGCTCGTCTTATTACCCTTTCTTTCCACTTACACACATGCACTTTTCTTCCCGTTGGGTGTGGTGAATTGCGACCATGCTATTCCCTCCCTCTCTCTCCGTCATCATCATTCAGCAACCAGCAACCTTTACAGTTTTGCACTCATCATCATCATCATCATCACTACGAAGCATCATCAAGAAGCTGATGGGCAAAGACGAAAAGAGAGAACAAATCCGTTTCGGCTCGTCCATCAACCTCAACTTGTAAGACCTCCTGTTAATGTCTCAGCTCTAGAGCTCCGTACTGCATCTGCTTAATGCTAATCACACGCAGAGAAGCAGAATTGCAAATTCTCCCTACGTATACATGTGGGTGCCTATCTACATACATATGTATGTCCATGGCAGAGAGGAGGAGGAGGAGTAGTAGTTATGTCCCAGTTTGGTTAAGTGACTCCGAACGTATGTATCTCACCACATCGCAATATACGGCACACAGGTAGATGAAGAATGTCATGATGACATGCAGCAGTTAGATACTTCTCCTTGCCGGCCGTGCATCCGGCTTTCTCCAGAGTGAAAGCTGGTAAGGTTTGTTTTGTTGGTCGTAAAGAAAACCTTTGTCACTCCTGCCTCGCTTGCTTTCTTTCCTTCGTGCTCGCATTCTGTCTCTTTTTTATCATGGCATCCACCAACACGGATCCGTCCGGCCGTATATCTACTTTTTGCCCCAATTTGAACACTCTCAACGAAAGCTAGAGTCGCAACCTAGGCTAATATTTCCCATCTCTAAAGACACACGTATTCCTTTATTGTGCTCTAATGTGAAATCACTACAATCTACAATTTCCACCCATATATTTCGAGGAAAAATGAGAGAGAGAAGACCACGGTCTCTGTTCTATCTCCTCCGTTTATGAATATTCCTCTTATGATGGGGCTTTATTTCTGGAAAAATCAGAGTTCCTTGTGTAAACCAGGATGGAAGAAGAAGGAAAAATGAGGTTGGTAGCAACGCAATTTGTGAAGAGTTAAGTTTGCATTTAGCGTCATTCAAATAAACATTGTGATGCATCACTTTCGAGCAGGAGAGAGAGCTTCGCAGCATGTTTTTCGAGTGAGAAGAATAAACCATTTCCTTCCAATATCTGCAATGAAGCCTTTGTTTTTACGGATGAACGTTTGAACATTACTACACTTTTACTAGCTTTCCTGTTAGCATGCATTCATAAAACAACACTCTCCTCCTTCCTCCTTCTCCACGACCTTCTTGCTTTCCATGCGTGTGCTAGCTCAACAACACTCAACTTTTACCAACCAATGATGATGATGATGATGGTCATCAAGAAGATCATGATGATAACGTATTTAATGGGGCATATTTACAGGAGAGGATTTGCCCAGAATTACCTTATTATTGCGAATATTTTATTTGGAAATTTTCACATTATTAGCTCACCATACGTACATAAATTCGTAAGTGTGCATCTTGTGAGACGGAATTTCCTCACATGTCCAACACCACCACCACCACTATCTTTTAACTCCATAAAACAACAGCACTATCTTCTTGAGAAGAACATCATCTGTGGTGGTGAAAAGGTCAGGTGGTGAGTTGATCAAAGGTGATGAAAGTTGTTCCGAGGACTTCACCCACCTCACATGATAAACGCTTCAAGTTGGCACGACTGGATCAAGGTCGTTGTTGTGATTTACAGTGATTTTATGTGACGATGATTCCTTTGGATGGGTAATATTTATTTATTTTATTGAATGCAGCGTTGCTTTTATTGTTGAGCGCTGTGTGTGGTTGTGAAATGGATAGGAGGAGGATGATAAATATAGAACGGATTGACGGGCAGTGTAGTAGTCGTCGAGTCGCTGGCAGCTAATTAGATTTATTTCATTAAGTTAAGCAGATTTGTTTTACTCACAATTATTCCAAAGTCTGAAAGCACCTACGAACGATGCGATGCACCAACCACGCTTTGACGGAATATACACGTTATATTTCTCGAGGTTGAATGAAATGAAATGCTGTTGTACTTTATCACGCGAAGCTAAATACGTATACCTATGAACTTACCTACTTAATGGGAATAGAAGCAAGCAACAAACATTAGTAGCAAATGACTTGTTCTAGTTGTATTTTATACGGTACTGAATGCATACGTTTGTCATCCGGACCGATACAACTACAGAACTGCTACTCTTGGCACTAAAATGATCCAATTGCTTAATTTTTCTCTCCAACAACTGCATGTTTCGCATCAAGTTTGAGCTTCATCATAGCATGGCACTCGTCCAATGTGAATCGACAAACAGTTGTAGTATCAAAGAATAACAATCGTTTTGTGGTTTTACCAAAATGTGGGAATAACGACGTCTCTTGACACACACATAAAATATGAGAAAGATGCCATCTTGTTTACAGAGATGATGGCAATTGGTTCCATGGGGTGCATAAGACTTGAACACCCACAAAGGGTATTATGTGACTGACTCCAATGTGGTAAGTGCGAAAACAAAGACAGCTGTATGCGAATCTCGTACCACGAAAGAGACGACGACGACATGACATGGCGAACGGGAAAAGTGGGAGACTTCACTTTTTGAAACAGGACTCGGGGCCCGATCTATCGGACAAAACCGAATTCCGGTCCCCGAAAAAATTCATTTTTCTCGCTTTGTTCAAGAAATACGACTTGACAAATGCTGCTTTCATGCAACTTTGAGGTAGTTGATTTATTTGCAAAAAAATATTACTGCTTAATACATACGATGCCATTACATGGATTTTCAAATAAAAGACTTTTATTTATGCAAAACAAACTGGACATAATTGTGACTTAAACTTATTTAGAATGATTATTTGGATGGAGATACTCTTAACCAACGCCGTGTTCATGTTGCACTTCGTTCTTCGGTCCATATTATATTCTATGATTGCAGCTAAATTCTACTGGCAAAAATTGCTAAAGAATGAATTCACTATTTCCGAGTCATACGTGAACATCAATCAATTCTATAGCCCACTTTATATACACAATTCACCCGTACAAAAATGTGGGCTATTTTTTAATAAGATTTTTTTATCTGAGAGAGAATCTACATACAATTATGTCAACTACGTAATTCAGCGCCGACGACAAGTGCAGATATCGAATAACAAGTTTCACTGCATCTTCTGAGAAGGAGCACAATTCTTTCTGTTATAAAATACTTGCTAAATGGTTTCTAGCCAAAATTTATTTATTCTTCGTCTTCGTCTAGTTCCCCATTTACCTTCCGCAACCTACAAAGGACTTCTGAAGTCGTACTCTGGAACACCCTTAATTTCGTATGGGTCCTTGAATTGTAAATACGGGTCTGGTCCACTGCCCCGTTTCCCAAACCTGTCAAAAGCCACATAACCAAAACAATTGAATTTCAAAAGACTAGAAAAATACTCTTAAAAAAATAAATCACCTGTTTCGATTTTGGTAGTTGTAATATTTTCCCAAACTGTCCAAGTACATTCGAATCTGTTCCGGCGACTGGAACAGCCGAGGACGCGGTGGTTTTCCCTCCATCTCCATACTCGAGGTCAGCATTGGAATATCTCCCTCGGTAAGCAACTCCGTGGGTGGTGGGCCATTCGCTGCCACCAAAATTGCTGACCCAACGACTATTACCAGAACCCAAGCAGTCATGCAATGCATTCTGCTACCTGCGGTGAAAAATTATACTTTTAGAAATAGTTCAAACTCAAGTCCACTGAGGACTGACGCAATAATTTAGAATGACAAATTTTTTCTTCAAAAGTGTGCCTCCAACCTGATTTCGAGTTTCGAATTCCCCTCGTATTACAGAAAAATTATAGTTAATTAACTCTACTTTGCTCTTTCAACGGCTACACAATAGTTGAGGCCTGCTCTATCAGCGTCCGAGTGGTAAGAATGGAGTGTGGTGGTTCTGCAGGTAAAGCCCGCAGATCGTGGGAGTGTATTGTCTTGCTGGACGCAGTTTTTGTCTCTGATCACTGCAAAGGTCTCCTTCTCCCCTTTTATACTTTCCCTGCTAACTGGAAAGTCTGCGTCGTGGTCCGTCACTCCTCTTTCTTTCGGCCAACGCTTTCCATTCCAGATTGGAAGAGAGATGTACAATGGATGTGTCACACAAACTGTCTCCACAACTTACCACATCTGCTATTTAGTTAGGTAAAAGAGGCTAAAATGGTGAAAATGTTTTTACGCGTCATCGCTTCTTACCATTATTTTAAAAGTTGGAGACACTCTGGTGCAATTTTTCAATTTGCGTAGGTGCTCCGGTGGGTGGGATCGATGCAGAATGACAGGTATGAACATATGCACAGGTGGGGGTTGAAATCCGCATTGCTTTCCCCCCTCCTCCACTTCTCAATTTGCATCACATTATTACATTTACATAACATAACTCATCACTTGATCCGTTTTATTAAACAAAGCCTCCGCGTCAGCACGTTTCCAATACCATATTTGGCATTAGTTCCGCGTAAAAGGGACCAAAGATATGATAAGCGTAATCCTTGCATGAATACATATTTAGGTATATACTTTTCTTCCTCGGCCAGATTCACATTATACAATACAATTATACATCTGTCTTTGTTTGATGTGTGTACATATGTGTCATGACATGCAAATTACTGCACGTTAACATTAACCACATGCATTAATTATGTATACAGAGAGGAAATCAGACAAAGTGGTGGGTTTAGGGAAAGTAATCTTCCGCTGGAGATTTGGCCTGGGCATGTTCTCCAGTTGTTTTCTAGATCAGAACTTTCACCACGCATTTACTCTAAAAATTTTAAAATAACAAACAAACAACAACATTTTAGACAGACCACTCAGCAGAAATAGGTGTCGAACCGAATTTCTTATTTTTGTGTGAGATCAGACAGGTGGATTATATGTTTATGGAAACATGTTTAGCGTCTCTTTTGCTCAATTCTTGTTACGCAGCGAAAAACATCATACGTTCATCAAAAATCTAAAGATATGCACGAAGAACTCCACGTGCGCTGAAGGACAAGGTTTTACACAAAAATATTTCTTGACAAACTTTTTGACAAAAATTTGCCCACTTATCTACGTTGAATGTCTGTTAATTACGATACACGTGGATGAAGGGGTAACAGAAAATAACTCTTGTTTCTTGCCTATTATGAGTAAACACGAATGCTCATTTTCTTCTTCTAAGCCTTACAAACTCCGAACAGAGAACGCACATAGTTTATAAATAACAAGAAAAACTAACAAGATTTCACAATAAGGCTTTCAAATTCTTTCCAGAGATTTGCTTCCCAAGTTTCGGATTGAACAACGTCGCCACCCACGACCCACCACGACCACTAGAACATTCCGTACTGAACTATTTCTCAAGTCACAATCCTTCATTTTTAATCCTTTCGCTAATTAGACAAGATTCAGGCAAAGGTTGTTAGTTGAGATACATGGTTACACCAAAAACTAAATCCCTCTGTCCTAAATTCACTCCTTTAAATCCCACTGTACGTATGGGACGTGTGCAGAATATTAAATTCAATATGTACTGATGCTGACGTAATGGGCTTCCAATTAATTGTGTTTCATCATCATCAACAATGAGATACTCCCACTCATTTTCTAGACAACAGAGATACTTACATATTTACGTAGTGTAAATCACAAAGTATTTATCGGAAATCGGTTTGATATTAAACCTTAAAAATGTCTACTGTTTAACAAGTATGCGATTTGTACTTATTATGCTCATTCATGTCTTTGGTTAACTGAGGAATTATGCTTACAAATTACAAGGGTACAGTTACACAGAATAATTTTCATTCTTGTGATCAGTACTTATGAATTAGGTAAAACACCGGATATGAAAATGTAGTAAATACATTCTCTGTCGAACTTATATGTCAATTATCATCAATATTATGGCATTATTTCTAATGATGACCAATCTATAATTTTTTTCAAATTGGATACATTTATTCCTTTGCAATTTAATCGTCATTATGAAACTTTCATATTAAGATAATTTCTCACATTAACCTTTGAAACCACCCACCATGTCAATTATCTAACCTATATTTGTACAAAACAGCTGCGCAAAAAATTGGCATCCAAAACATGAAAGACGACAACAAAATAATGGAATAATGACTCAAAAAGAAAAATTGGCCAATTACTTATTTATAATTTTTAATGTTGCTCAATTTGTATCTTGCCCTGTAATATGACACTCATTCTATAATGATTTGGAATTGTTCAATTGAGACAAACGATAGGGTAGGAATCGATGCTAACAATTGTGCAATTTTGCAAAGCATATTGACGGCCTAAAATATTGGAGCCCGACCGACCGCCTGGTCGAAAAGGGTTCGGGGAAAGTCTGGTGGTCTGATTCATGTCGACCGAACTGGTCTAGTTTCCTCTTGCTCTCGTGCTTTCTCTGGAAATGGATCGATGTGGACACGAGGTGAGAGAGTGAAATTCTTCTTGTTGCTGGATTTACAACTTCCTCACAACGCACTCCTCATCTGACGACGTTTGGCTGTACAGACTCATTTTTCTAGTCTTTTTGGTACTTCACTTTTAAATTTCGGCCCCACCCCCAAGCTCACATTTCCGCCATTGCCATTATTATAAAAGTTAGTCTGACCACATAATAATTATTCGACTGTAGAAAGTTCTTGAGGAGAAAGCATTTCCTACATACTCTGAAATATTAAGTACTTTTTTAATCATGAGAATCCAAAATGCCAGAATTTATTGGTGAAGCGAAAATGGAATTGGAAGGAAATTCACGGTAAAAAAATTATACCTTAATAATAGTTCAGCTATTATTATTAAGTTGTTTAAATTTTGACCAAAAGTATACTCGAGTAGGAGTGCTTTAGTGTATAGAATTATTGCGTAACGCTAGTGAGAGAGAGAGTAAATTAAACTTTGATTAGTGTGGATTGATGTCGTCCATGATACATATCTCAAATTACCGAGTGGTCATCTATTAACGTCATATAATTCAGGTATGTATTTATAGCTATGCACGTAGACACGTATGTATTTATATATTTCGGTCAATTTTAAGTGAGACAAAACTATACAAAGAGTTATAGCTGTTTCTAAAAAGTAAAAAGTTACCCTTATCTCACACATAAGTATGGACAATTTTACAATTTTGGTTGAAGTTATTCTTGTCAATTAGGTTGACAAAAAAAACAAGTTCATGACTAAGGGACCGGATAAACAAAATACCGATGAGTTAAAAGCATGCTAAACTGACCAAAGTTCACTGCATTACTTGAAAAGCACGGTGCAAACACGAGGAGAATTATATTTAATTACGAGCCATGCATCCACCCACACGGCATTATGATAATCATCACCATTCGCTCTGCTATGCACTTGACTTCACCTGTGTGGTCATCTATTTCGCCTTGTTGAATCAATGTCACATTATCCAATACATTGGCGAAGAAGGATACGTATTTACATAATGATGCCACGACCCGTGCGGACGGGCGGTGTTGGTTGTGTGATTTTGTCAAACTGACATTTAATTCAGAGCATTATCTTTTTACAAGCAAAAGAAAGATAAGTAGTTATTTGTATATGCTGGCCTTTTGTTGTTTGCCCATCAAATTTGTGTCTTGTTGTCAAAGTATATAGAGAACATAGCATTTGAATTAATTCTGCAATTGGTATATTAAATACTCTGACCTCTGAAGCTGTTTTGCTTTTGGCACCTAAATGCCTGATAAGTTATGAATTGTTTCTTATATAGCAAAATATACACGGTGCCCAATTTAGTCACGATTTAATCCTCGCACTCCTTGACCACTTTTTAGTTCAAGTGCTAATAATACCTCTGGAATTTATTTAGTACAGAAACCTTAGACCCTCTTAATCACCTACCAGTTACTTATTTAGTGTACTCGTTAGTTAATTATTGCACTTGTTGTCCTTGTGTTAGCTGTATTATCCATTAAAGGAGTAGAGAATTTGCAAAATTGTGTACTTTTTCATGACAGAATTGTGCTAAAGATAAGAATTTTAAAACAATGACCAGGGGACGTGTGAATAGCATGCCCAATCAGTCCGCACCCACAATGAACAAGTTGTGCAGACAAGTGAGTATAGAAAGCCCTGGTCCGTTGGTGAAGGATTGTGTTTTCAGTTTCGACGTTCCAGTTCCTGACGTCCCAGCCAATGGGGCCCGAATTCGAGTAAATACTTTAGGAATTTTTTTAAGATTACCGTTAAAATCGTTCCTAAATTAATAATGCTTTTGATTTTAATTTTAATGATTATTAGGTGGGATGTGCCGGGGCGTGCTACAGCTCGAAAAGGGCAAACTCACAATCTTCAATGACCAGTATGTCAAGCCAAGGAAGCTTGAGTGGAGATGTTTCCACGATGTGTGGCTCAGGGTCGGTGGGAAGTATCTGTCAAAATCCGTCGTATTATGGCGTTCGAGATGCTGCTCTATTCCCAGGCTACGAGGTGCGTACATATAAACATAGCTTAAATTGGCACATAATCGTGTGCACGTGTGGGTTGATTTGTTATCAATGTTGGTAGGTAATGTAATTATTCGTGATTTCTTAAATAGGTTGCTGGGATAGTGGAAGCATTGGGAGTTGAGGTTGGCTCAGAACCTAGTGTCAAAATTGGGGACAAAGTCGTAGTCTATCCCTATGAAGGTGTGCCTCATGGGTGAGTTGTTTCATACCTTCTTCTTTTGACTAGTGGTTCATTAAGTGGTATGCAAGTTACTAATTGCTCACTCTCATTTCATCACATTCTCAGGTATGCTGAGTACATGACGGTTCCAGAGCTAAAGTACTTGGTCAAAGTCCCAGACAACATGCCACTAAGTGTTGCCGCAATGCTTCCAACGGGTAATGTCCACATATTTCTGTATAGTGCGTAATTATTTTGATTTTAGATTATTATTTGGTTTTTAGGCGCACTTTGGGCCATGAACACAATCCAAGTGGCAAGAGAGCACATTCTCAAAATTCTTCAGGAACAAGGAAATTCCGGTATTTTTTGGACATTTGCTGTATTGCGTACTACTTACGGACTTCCATCTAACTTTTGAAATGTGTGTACAGAGCGAGTAAAAGTTTTGCTGGTTGGAACGGGAGGACTAGCTTTGTGGGCTCTGCGTCTTGCAAAATACTATTTGAACGATGTTCAGGATCAATTGCTCTTGGTGGTGGCGAGTTTGAGAGATGAGGGCATCCTGCTTGCTAAGGAAGCCGCAAAGTATGCATCATTGCATTTGTATTGTTGTATAAATTTGGAAGAAATGGCTTCTCAATAACTGTCTCATCGTGATCCAGCGTCAGTGTGGTACAATGGAACGAAGACTGCTACGAACGGGTTCTAATCGAACGCACAAAGGACTCTTGTGAGGGAGAGGTTAACATTGTCATTGACTTTGGAACCACGTCACGGAGTCTTCATCGGTCTCTGCAATGTCTCAGCAAGGTGATAAGATAACACATACGACATAATTTTACTGCAGCAAATACCATTTTTGGGGTTTATTAAACAATGAAAATTATGAATAACAAATTTTTCTTTCGAAAAGGGAGGGATTGTTTTAATCAGTTCGGAAGTTTCTGATCGACTTCTTCCGAAATTCAGTCGACGTGCCGAAGAACTTCAACAAACCATAAAACCGGTTGATTTGGGGTCGTTGGAACAACTTCGTGAATTGGTGGATTTGGTGTCATCTGGAAAGGTGAGTTGTTTTAGTAATCATCATGAACATGTAGCTACATAGCAGTACGAGTAATGGAATAGAAACAACAACTGCTGGCATGACCCATATGCCGTAGTTGGACCAGTTTTGTTGATTTTATCAAGCAAATTTAAATGGAAGCAGTTGCCTTCTTTGCATAATAATTTGTGTTTTTTTACTCTGGCAAAGTTGGAACCCCCTCCTCACACAGTCTTTCCGGCGGATCAGGCGAAAGAGGTGATCCGGAAGTTGTGCAACTCGGAAATTCAAGGAAGAGCGATTCTTCGATTCCATTCCATTGACTGAAGACCGCATATTTTATGCTAAAACTCACAAAACTCTAAAAATCCACATATTACATTTCCAAAAACAAGTCGTCGTCGAAACGTAGCACGATATCCAATCAAACTCAACTTCTCCGCGTCGAGATCCTTTGTTGTTATTGTCAAAATAATGCGAGCAAAAAAAATCTGATGGAAAAGCGCATCATTGTCATATTACCCACATAAACTGTTTCCGTTGAATGACAACCAATGTCACACACACAATTCAATTACCAGATTACAAGCAGCCACTCATTTAAGCTTTTACGTATTTACCACCATAAGTTTGCAAGTTAAGTATTAGTTAAGCGTTGTTTACGAGTTTCATTCACTCTTGACCATGTTAGTTAAGGCTACGAATTGCGAAAGTATTTTTAGCAGCTTTTCATATGAACGAGCATCTCTGTATGATTTAAACTTATAACAATTTTTACGAAACTGACACTGAAATATAATTGAGATTGTTCATATGCAAAGTGATTTCATGTTCTCATACATGAATTGTCCTGGATGATATTCAGATTATAGATTGTAGAGATACGTATGTATACGTAGCTAATTAGCCAACAGGAAATGAGACCTAATCATTTGCCACTAATTTGAAGAAAGTTTCTTAAATGCGTTTGTTTGTTGTTATTCAGTGATAAATAGTAGGTATTTATACACACTCTTATATATCGGAAGAGAAGCCTCATATTGTTAATTTATTGAGTGGCATGTAGTACAGATAATTAAGGCGTTGTTGAATAATTATAACATGTATCCATTTAATATGATGATGATGATGATGATGATACTGCATATACTATATTCTGTATAAATTTAGTCACGTTGAATAAACTCTATAGAACTCTATGTACATTGTATTTACTGACTACTCATTCCACACTAAAGTTAAGACCGAACGAATTTCAGGATACAAGAACAACTTGTCACAGAAATTACTTGCATTATAAATTCATCAATATCAAGGCAGATTGTGTCCTCACAAAATTGCGAGAGTGACCAGTACAACAACAACCACCATGCATTTAGTAAACTATTGGCTGTCATTAGAAGAGGAAATCGCTATCTCTAAAATAGAAATGGAAACTACTGACCAAAATCGTACTTTAATTTAGCAGTGGGACTCTCAATTCGCCAATCCAGTAAACCAACCGACACGACATTTAATTAATTACGATGGGTCAACTCTAGAGCATACGTACCAATGTAATACATACTTATGCATGTATCCACCAACACATTACTGCTTGCTAATACCACATTTTAATTAACTCAATACCCCTCCGTCATGCATAATGTAACGTTTGATATCAAATCAATATAAGGAAACTAAAATTCGACATTTTCCAATCTGTCTCCATGATGTATCTCATTACATAAATATTTTAAAGAATCGTGCCATGAGCAAATTCATTTTGAAAATTGTAGCCAGACCAAATAAATAATAGGTCTAGAGTTTATTTTATTGTTGCATAAAATCAACTCGGATGAAGCTGACTCTATAACACTCATTTTATGCCATGTTTTTTTACATACGTTTACCGAGCGGCCTGGCTGAAACGGAAGAGGTTTTTATTCAAGAGCTGTTGCCATACATAAACTGAAGCTCGCTGAATTGTGATGTAACGACTAGATGAAAATCCAACCATGATGACGAGAGTTGAGGTAAGTTCGAATCGCTAAGTGGGGGAAAACATACATGTTATAGGTGAACATTAATGAATGAGAATTCATTCTGCTGCTGCTGTTGTTGTGTGGCATTTAAAATTCATGATGATGACTTTCCTATTTCACTCGACAAAAGGGTGTCCGAGTGCATAAAATAAAGTCCAGTGCGGAAAAGGAACTAGGCCTGAGGGGTCTGAACGAAGGCTCGCCAACCAGTCAAGCACCTGTCATCCGCACCAAAGGATGTTGCTTTCCTGCCCAGGAGATATAATCCACCCTTCGTTCGTAACGTGCGATGGCGTGATCACGTAAAGTAAAATCCATCTAAAAGTCTTTCGAGTAATAAAATGTCATGTTAAAAAAAACAAAGGTCCTTTAAAAGATTAAATTGTGCAATCCAATCGGACACTAAAAATCTTCAAGTCTTGCGAAATTTTGTTTGTTTGAAGGAAAAGGTTAACCGCGTGTCATAAGTACATGTCAACTTGTAACACCGACGTTGAGGTGTTGCTCAATCGATGTCGATGCGATGTAAAAAACAGAAGTGCTGGAGAAATATTAAGGTATTTTAGAGAGCAGAAAGAAATGAGAAAAAGAGAGACGGTGATGGAGGAAAAACACTATTTTTCGCTCAGGCAGAACTGATATATGTTTCAGCTACGTATGCCATGAGTTTAATACATTTAGTCTTGCTCAACACCCTGTGGTGCTCAAGTTTCAATTAGAATTATGTACTGAAACTCTAGAAATAGAGTTTCTATACATTAGTTATTGAATTACCCGTGTTTCGACGGTAGGATTATAATTGCATGACACAAAATAATACAGTCCGAAATCGTACAGGTTTCGTGTAGGCGTGGGGGGACATAGATTGTCAAGAAATGAAATTTGCCCTATTTATGAAATCCAGCAAATAATATAAACACGATATGTTAACCCTTTTATATTCATCGTAATCTCCAATCTTTCCAAACGGACGACAAACACAAAATTGCATAATAAAGCTATTAAAACAAAACAAGAGTTTTAGCCAGGCTGTGAGAAAACTGCAACAAGGGACACAATCCCAACAACAACACTGCTCCAAATTAGCGGTATGGTCGTGTAGCCAATAAGAATAATTCGAAGACTCGGGAATGAGGACAATGGTCGAATAATCCGCTTCGCGAAATATTTTGAGGAGAGAAGAAACGCCATTCCATTCATCATGAAACTTTCAATCTTGATAATGTACTGGAATGGGGCACGAACAGAAGGAAAGCAAAGAAACGAGTTAGTTAACAAAGGCAGCAGAGAAAGTGATAAAGGTGGATTGGGGGAAAGTTGGGCAGCCACAGCACCATATTTATACCTACATGAGTGCCTTACTCCTAAACGTGCATATACCAGCATATCCACCTCCACCACCCCCTTCACACTCTCCGTCGCCGTCCTCATCCTCCTGCCGATCTGGAAGTTGCGAAATTGCATTAAAAATCTCATTTTTCTCATAATCAGCCCCTCTCGCCAGCCTGAGCCCTTTAAACTGGGGACATGGATTTGACACTGTTTGTAGGTGTGTTCTTCCCCTCGTGTCCTGTCCATCGTGGGAGAGGGAGAAGGAGGACGAAGGAGGGTGGTGGTGGTGGTGAGTGGGGGAAAGTGCTGAGCAAGCGTGGTGCCGTGGAGAAAGGTTGACTCGTGCTCTGGCTGAGGAGTGAGAGCACACAACAGCAGCAGCAGGATTGATCAGAGTCAAATCAACTTCTTATACCTCCAGCTAGCCAACTTTCCACCACATTTTCATTCCACCACCACGATCACCTCCACACCAACTGTTCATGCAATCTTCCACCATTTACTTCTGGTTCACCGACACAGGAGCACACCATCAGCCATCACCTGTCCGCAACTTCCGCTTCTTTACAATAAAGGCGCCCTCGAGTAGGAAAAAGGAACGCACGGAATAAGAACCCGCACGACTTTTTTAAGTACCAGCAGGGCCCACCAAAAAAAGCCTCCTCCTCTTCACGACCCATACTTACTTACTTTCTTCTCGGCCCCTTTAAACCTCTAGTCTCACTCTTCTGCAACTTCTACTACTTTCCATCACAATTCTAAGTTCAAGGAAGCTAAAAATTACTACTCCCCACAACTAAACAACAACTTGTCCCATCACTACCACCAACAACAAAGAACCACACCACAGACACCACCAAAATAAAATTGCTCCTCATCATCACCAACCAAATGAACAACACAGTTTCATTTATTAAGACGGACGGGGGATTGGAGTGAAACGAGTTAGTTGGGTTTGAGACGGTGAACGGAATTGATAGCTAAAAACCAACATCAACCAAAAGGAAAGCCTGTATCCTACATATCGTGTGAACCACTATAAAACTTGGACAAGTTGAGACGACGTACGTATTTGGTCTGGAAATTTGTCGTGCAATTTTCCATATATAAATATATGTTCATATCTTCGCATATCACTTAATTAGAGCAAGAACGAAGGAATAAAACAACTCTGCAAAAGTAAAAGAAAAAAAATACTAAAATAATACGAAAAAGACGGGGACGGGGACGAACCCAAAAAACTTTTGCAAATTCCTGAGGAAAGAAAGAAGAATTAGTATTTATTGTTGACAAATATCGTGCAAAGCGGAATAAGTATAGGATCGATTTGTCAGGAATCGATTGCAATCACCGACCGACAGAAACGTCGACCAACCAAACATATCATGTTACCCATCCAGGAGAAATAATCAACATCTTCGTAAACCATTTGCCTTGTTCACCATATCATCATCATCATCATCGTAATCGTCTAGAAGAAAAAAGAATATTATTAGCAATTATTTCAAAACATAGTCCTATAAATACTTGGGATTCCTTTAAATAGTGTAAATCGTGTCCTTTTGCCTTATTCTTCAACTACGACAAAGTTCAAATCAATGCAAATCAATCCAGGAAGGAATAAATTGACAAATAGGAGAAAAGTGCTGTACTGAACCCCGTTGAAATCGATACCATTATTATTACTAAAAATAATACTACCAAAGTGGAACTACTCTGATTCATAGTGAATGAAACCCACCGTGCCTCAAGACGGAACGAGCATATCATAAAATCTCTCCGAAATCGAATACAAAAAAAAACTAATAAAAACCAAAAAGATAATTTTTCACTGAAAAAAAGAAGGAATTTTTAAAAGAAAACTTTACAATCCATTTAAAAATTAAGGTAATTGTCGTCAACAGAGGATAATAAAATGTTTATTTATTATTGACGAGCATTCCATCAACGTCAAGACAGGAGACCACGCCACACCAACCACACCACATTTTGCGAGGAGAGAAGGTTTCCAGGAAAAAATCCATAGCAAGATCAGCAAGTGCAGAAGAAGCATCAGCATCCACTTTTTAAAGACGTGCTCACTCACTTCCTTTGCTGCTGTTCAATTCAACGTTCAACCACTAAAGTTGATACTCTTGGGTATGTCATTAATTTGTTTGAGGTTTCATTCATACTGGTCTCGAGAGAATTCGCGAGAGAGGATGTGAATCATTCTGAAAATGAACCACCATGCATCCACCACTGATAGTGGCAAATAGTTTTAGGCAACATTTTCACATATTTTTCACACTCCTCGTTTATCCACATGCTTACTTACATAACCACATCCAAAAGGGATGGCGATTGTCACTTTCAATAAAATAAAAGTGCACTTACTTTGATACCTATTTGATTAAAAATCCAGTAAAAGTGGAGGAAAGACGCAGTATAGCATAGCATACACATTTTACCTCATTTATATGAATGAAATAAGTCGGGTCGTGACTTACGAAGGACAATAATAAGGGAACACAAAAGCGGTTTACGAAACAAAGGGTTACACAAGAAGTCTGCTTTATTATGTGACGAGGGAGAGGAGGAGAGGTCGTGCATTTTTCCGTCAAAAAGTGGACGTTGCCCTATAATAAAAATAAATATGGATGGATGATATAAAGATATGAGGAGTCTCATTTCCGCCGAATTAACCGGGCCAGGTGCTCGAAGGTTCTTAAGACAGCAGCAGAAGCAGCAGCTTAACCAAGAAGGAAGCCCTCTAAGCTAAGCTAGGCCTCGGCTGCATCAATGTATGAGATCTCGACACAAAAAACAATGCCATTTGGCAAACGCCAGTCGCGTGGCAAAGAAGACTTACACACACACACACCTTTCCCACTTTACCTGAAGAACTCACAAGAGAGTTGACTTTAGATTCACTCCACTATTCGGTTCTACAATAATAATACATGCACCGAAGGAGGAGGAGTAGAGTTTCTTTAAACTTTTGTCGTGCCTACCCTTGCGTATAGAAGAAGAAGATTGTGCTCACCAACCAATTTTTCTTGACTTTCCTTAAGGTGGGTTTTAATCCTGCTTCTGTATTGTATTGCCATCATCACTCCACTTCTCGTCATTATTTTTCCTCTAGCAGATCAAAAACTTACTCACTATGTACATCTTAATGCCTTCTTTCTTCCGCTCTGGTGGACTTGTTTTAGTTTGCACTTTAAAAAAAAGAGTTACGAGAGGAGTTAAATTAACGCGTATTGTAATACTTAATCATTGGACAATGCCCTTTCTGTGCAGGGTTCGAGTTGACCCCACACAAAAAGTACGGTTGGTTGTACAACAACGCAACCGAACGAATGAGTGACTTTTTGGGCAGTGAAGAAGTGAAAATTAAATAAGCCGTAAGGGAAACGAGAGATGAGATATTGTTAACACACCGCCCCTTAAATAATGAGAATAATGATGGCACATATGGCTACATGAGTAATTAATGGAACCATTTTTTTGCCCTACGCTAGGTGCGACATTAGCAGCTTATCCACCAAATGACATTTTTTGTCTTAAAAAATAGATTGCATTATTTTTGCACTTTACGCTATAAAAAGTAGACGAGGAGAAGAAGAAGGCGACATAAACTTCATTTAGCTTTGTATATTCCAGATTGTTCCATCTTTTGAGAATTTTTGACCTTTTTAACATTTTTATTACGCGTTAAATACCATCACTCACTCATTTGCGCAACGAAAATTTCCACATTTTCGTCTCTCACTCTCATTAACTCGCTCGCACAAACATTTATGAACTCTCGCTGAGGAAAATAAGAATGTACCAAAATTAGAATCGAAAAGGCAAATTTTTTTGCCCAAGTTTGTAGCCAAGCATGTAAATAAATTAAGGAATTGCTCTTCTAATTGTAATGTGGACACACCACTTTTGAACTCAATAGCTTGATTGACCAGTGAGCTTCTATTGCACCGAGAAGCTTTTACCATAATTAATTTGGCATTAACAATCAATTAGCGAATTAAAAAAGAGCCGCTCCCCGCTGCTTTCATTATCGATTTATATACATACGAAACTAGAGAGAGAGAGGTTCTTGATGCTATCAGGCGTCCTGTTTAACATTCATGCAGCAGCGGCGCCTCTGGCAGTAAAAGTGTCATAAAATTGAGGACAGCAAGCAAACAAACAAAAAACGGGACATAACTGGGTAGACAAATAATATTATTGATAAGTCCACTTATCCATTCTCTGCTCCGTTTGGCTGGTTATGGGAATTAAGGAGAGAGAATTAGTCAAATGGTTCTCAGTGAAAGATGTACGAAGAAGGAACCGTTTATTATTTTCTTCTTTCACTCCACCCACTGCATCCACCTTTTCTCCGTCCTCGCTTTCTTCCTCCCATTATTATCAAACTTGTTATTCTCCTCCTTTGAGTTTCCATTAACTCCTCGGAATAAAAAGGAGGAAAGTTTGGGCTGGGTTTCTATATCATAAATCGATACCTTTGAATATCGCATTTATTACCAACCACCTCAAGTCAGTGGTACACATTATGTATGAGTGAACCTTTGAAAAATTATGTTTTGCACCCATCCAAAGTTCACTCCTCATGTCGCAGTGAGCTGTTTGCTATTAATGTATTACGGTATATGGATGGATACATACATGTAGGTTTAATAGTTGGTAATGTAATGCCGGAAAAAATTGTGACAGCGACAAAACGGAAGACCGGAGATGGGTAAATGTTTAGTTTGCTTTCCAATCCAACATGAGCACTATATATAACGTTCAAGAAAACAGTTTTGAGTTTGCGAGCAGTTCTGGACGGACGGACATTTACTCAATCCAATCAATAACTACTTTGTGATGAAAATTGAGTCCTTCCAATCCAAATCAATCGATGTTGAAGGTTCTTCAATTCACAAGTGTATACAAAGTTGTTGAAGAAGTGAGACCGTCATGCTTGTCACAATAGAGTGAAATCCTTGTTTATAGTGAGAAAGGTCCTCTTGGTCATTTTTTGACAGTTGTAGCTGGTTTCGGAGAGAGTTCCGGCGTGACGTTGATACCAGGAGTATTAATGATCTGGGAAAAATGAGAAGGAAAGTAGGAAGTGCATCATCACAGACTCACATTTACAACTCTGTAGCCTTTGTACTTGGGATGGTTACTACACGAATTCGTATAATAAGAAGGGCCAAGCTTTAAAAAATTGAGTTTTTTGATCTCGAAAAGCAATAATTCTCCAGGATATTGCTCCCAATGTTAACGCTGCTATGCAATACTGAGAGAAAGTAAACCCTGGTTCATTTATTTCATTTTCTTATTTCTGAGAAAGGCATGGAAAACTCTTCATGTGAATAATAATGCTCTCCTTTCCTCCCGTCCCAATTTAGGCAATTTCTCTTAGATTATTCACTCACTCAGTTTTCAATTATCCGTTCGCAATGGTCAAGAAAACATTCAACCTTCCATTAGAACTGTATTATTTGCATCTGCATTAAAGTGGCACAAAACTACATGTGCATACATATTCCCTCACAATTTTGTTAGGGCAGAGTCATATGACGTATTATTATCACGGGACACATTAAATTATCCATCGATAACCCTGCATGCAGGAATCCCTATGAATTTTCCTAATTGAATTTCTTTTTACCACTTGCAGGTCCTCGCCGGGTGTAGGGCTACTATTATTGGATCATCGTCATCTTATTTGCAATGGACACCCCCAGTGCTTTAAGTCAGAGCATGGACTCGGTCAACACGGCTGCGGGAGAAGAAGAGGTAAGAAAATGATGTTGTACATACCGACTAATACCGAGGAACCAATTTCCTCCCGTTTAAATTAATTTCAAAGAGTATTACGAGTTCTTGATAAACAAAGTTTAACTTTATTATAAGTGAACGTACATTAAAGCCCTTTAGTCGCGCATATATTTCCTGTGTACCTCCAAAAACTCCGTCAAAAACATAACTAAAGTCATTTGCCGTCGTGGTCAACAAAGTTTGGCTCAAAAGTTGAGACGAGTGTAACGTCGAACTGACAGACGTGAATTATTGCATGAAATAAAAGCACATTTGCTTTCCGCTACACTACCACCACCTGTATCGTGTGACTTACGATTATCAACTGCACATATATCCATACATGACTAAATGCTAGAAAGCAGACACCGTAAAAGTATGGTGATTAAGCAAAAATAATGGAAAGGTCAATACCAACCAAGCAAAGAGCAGAGGGATCCACCACGTACGTATCTGCATACGTACATATCTACACACACGTCTAGATGACAGATGATGACTATGAGTTTGAAGTATAAAACCAAGTTCATACATAGAATGATAGTTGGCATGTCAAAAGCTGGACTCGGTGCTACGAGAACATTAGTTTTAATCCAATTATAAATTTGGACTTCATATTAAAAGTTTTGACGTAAGTGGAGGAGGTTGTCTCGTTGGTGGATCATGTCGAATAAACTGTCATAATATTACTTCGCAGAGACAAGAGATCGAGTTTATAGTCACTTTTAAACGGCTTGGGGACCTCATATTTATTAGAGCAGCCATACGTGTATTTATGTAATGGGCAAAGTGAGTGTACTTATGAAAAATGGTGGTGCTGGTGGTGTAATTACGGTCATTAGAAGAAGACGAAGAGAGCGAGGGGACGCAAGTAGATCAACAACAAATAAAAAAAATGAGAGAGTGTAACGAAGGGAATCCAATCGAAGTTCCGCTGGCCGGGCATTCTCATTCTTATCCATTTTATGTGCTCTGATTGAAATCTGCGTGCATTGTTACACAAAAACCGTCGTGGTGCTGAAGGTGGTGGTGGTGATATACGTTGTTCGTACATACAACAATGGTCTCGTTGCATTATTTCAACTCTTGCATAAACCAGGAGGAGCAGATGAGTGTCTTGTCTTGTGTGGGTTACTTGGTACGATGATCAACAAATTGCACAAGATCGTTGTACATCATTACTTTGTTGGAAAGACGAGACTATGTTCTCCATATATGTACAGTGTCGGACAGATGTCTACGTCCACATAGTCGCGTCAATTTCATTTTCAAATTGTCACTGAACTACTGAACCTATTTTCATCATTGATATATCAAATTCTCACAAATTTAACGTAATTTCATAAAACATATGAGTTATTTCTGAAAATTCTGGGAAAACTGAGAATCATAGTGCAGAGCGAGAGAGGATGAAATTTGAGCGGACAAAAGTCTACGTCCACTTCACTTTAATTGTCAACAACAAAAATCTCTCCAATTTATAAAATCAGGTAACTTAATAAATCTATCAATAACATATGCCGCATTAATTTTTAAATAATTTTCTTCCAGAAAAATATGATGGCGTCGACACGCAAGGAAATTCCTATCGCTATTCGAGATCTTGTCATTCAGGACTGGAAGGGTGGACAAAAAGGGGGGCTGTCGCAGAGACAAATAGGGACCAAGTATAAATTAGCAAGGACAACCATCCAGACAATCATTAAGAACTTTAGAGCTAATGGTTCAGTCCAAAACAAGGTCAGAAGTGGTCGAAAACCGATTTTGGCTCACCGAGAAGTACGCCACGTGCTCAACAAAGTCAACGTTACACCCTCACTTAGTGCTCCAAAGCTATCTACCGAGATCAAGGAGATGTTCGACAAACAAGTTAGTCCTAGGACCATCCAAAGAACACTCAACAAGGGAAATTTGAAATCCCACAGAGCAGTCCGGAAGCCTCTTATTGTACCGAGGAATGCAACCAAACGAGTGAAGTTTGCCAGAGACCACATTTCCAAGCCACAAACATTCTGGGACAGTATTTTATGGACTGACGAGTCAAAGTTCAATGTCTTTGGGTCAGATGGGCGTCGTAGAGTGTGGAGATATCCAAAAGAAGCATTGAATCCAAAAAATCTCAACCCCACAGTTAAGCACGGCGGCGGGTCGGTAATGGTGTGGGGATGCATGGCTTCAAGTGGGGCAGGAAAAATGGAATTTGTTGACGGAATTATGGACCAATACAAGTACCAGGGAATACTTGACGGCAATATCCAGGAATCTGTTCGAAAACTTGGACTTGGACGACGATTTGTCTTCCATCCGAAACACTCTGCCAAGTCCACCATGGAATACTTCAAGAAAAAAAATTTCGAAGCTAGAATGGCCTCCCCAATCTCCAGACTTGAATCCCATTGAGCATCTGTGGGACCACATTGAAAGAGAAATAAGAAAACAATCTTTTTCAGGAATTCCGGGCCTTAAATCCAGAATTCGTGAAGTTTGGGAAACCATTTCTGAAGATGTGACCAAGAATTTGGTAAACTCTATGACTCGACGCCTTGAAGCCGTCCTTAAAGCGAACGGAGGCCCAACCAAATATTAAAAATTAATTGTTATAACATTCCTTATAAATTACAGTTTTTTTTGTATGTTTTCTCTGACTGGACGTTGACTTTTGTCCATCCAATTGTTTTCATTTTGAATTAAAATACATCTCTGGCCTAAAATAAATTTTTTAGCGGAAAACTAATAATGTGCTATGAAATTACGTTAAATTTGTGAGAATTTGATATATCAATGATGAAAATTGGTTCAGTAGTTCAGTGACAATTTGAAAATGAAATTGACGCGACTATGTGGACGTAGACATCTGTCCGACACTGTACACTGCTGAGGTCGTGTTCGTTCCAACATTTTCCCAATAATCGGCAAGTCCACTTCCACTGTCACTCGTACTACAATCACCGTTAAGCCGGTAGACCTGTGTGCTGATTGTTCATCTACTAAATAACGCAAAGAACACTAGAGTCCACTCCCTAAAAGAGAAAAGTATGTATGTACATATGTATAGGTATGCATAGTAGTTGGGAAACCTATGTATGCGGCCTGAAGTACGTCACATCCATCCAATTAATAAGGCTTCCTCCAACGTCTTCCTCTCGTAAAACACAACAGAAATACACACTTGTAAAGTCTCAGTTGCAACGAGATTGGGCGTCACACTCCTTCGCTGTGAGTCATTCAGTGTCCTGAATGAAATCTGATTGTTACACCAGCTTCAAAAATAGAATATGTATTCGCTTATGAAGAAGTAGTCCAAGAATGGAATGGTTTTATGCAATGTGAAAAGCTACGTAGAAAACGGACTCGCCGTCTCGTTCTTAAATCCGTGATTTAGGATGAACCATATTTCTCTCTCTCGTTTTAGCCTTTTAGTGGTCATAGAAAGAATTTTCCTTTAATACCACGAGAAATTAGTGATTCCTGCAGGAGTGGCTTCGTCTTGTTCATTCGTCTTGAGTGGGATAGAAGAGAGGAAAGTCTGAGAGGAGGGGAGTTGGAAGGCTGGTGAGGCGAGTGAGTGAGAAGGTTGCGGGTGAATGGGGCTTACCCACTAAATTATTAACGAACGAGGGCATGAAGGCAGAGAATTGAACGGAGAATTACAGACAGAAGTATCTAAAAAATTGAATAAATCAGAATAAAGCCAAAAATTGGGATAGAAGCACGTTGCAGTTGTGGAGAAAGTGCTTCCTTCTTGCCTGCGAGACATTGATGAACGCAGCTCAGAGACGAAAGGTGTGCTGGGCTATAAGAAGCATGCATATATGGATGGTCGGACAGTAGGCAGAATTAGTGGATTCCCAATTCGTGACTTTTCCCTGCCTCCAATTTCACCTCCTTTACTTCTTTTAGCAAGTGCGAGGTGGGTGGAAAGCAGGAACCAACCTTTGCGTAGTGAGAATATACATACATAAGTACGTATATACATACGTATATATATCCGTATCCAAGAAATATTAACCCGTGCCATGTCACACCACTAAGAAGTAGCGACGTACGAGTAATTCTCTATCTCATTAGACTTCCATTTCCATCCCTTTTGCAAAAATAAAGTGTAATTGTTGCTTGCAAAAGTCATCCTGGTTCTGGATTCCTCGATCTCTCTCTCTCTCTCCTCTCATGTCTCGCAACCATTGAGATGCAGAGATGGCTTGAGAAACATTTCAGTCCGACAGAAGAATCGTCCTCCTCCTCCACCTCGTCCTCCTTCTGTTTTTCCGTGAATTGCGGTGGACGATGTCTTTGAGATTGGACGGGAGAAAGTTTAGTAGGAGCGTTAAAGGGAAATGGATTCATTTTGCATACTAGAGTAGTCAAGTCGAAACGATGAATGCAAATGTCACATGAATTCGATACTTGTACTGGGTTAGAGTGTAGTTTCCGCCGTCAAGTGCTCTGTTATTCTGTGCAATTCAAGTTATTCTGCGATGCTGCTATGTTACCGTGAGAGAGAGAGAGTCAGAGGGTGAGGCTCATTTTTAATTCGGAATGAGCCGCACACAAAAAGATATCCCCAAAGGGGGTGGGATTAATATAATTAAATAACTACGCAACACAAACCTTCACTGTCTACGTTGTTAATTTATCCCATTAACTTTGTCGCATGGCTAATGTCAATAAACGGGAAAACTTTCAATACATCTCTCTCTCTATCTCGTCCTCTCTCCTGCCTTCGCATAGGTAGCTAAACTGGTCGATCCTACTATCTGATGGCATCTCCCACGTTCATCATATTATTACTCATGGCGTTCCGGCATGTTATGTCCTCCTCTCTTTGAGCAGTGTCCTGTTTCCCCAAACACAAAGGAATGCACAGCATTTCCACTTTCTGTATGAATACACGTTCATCCACAACATCGTAACGTAATGTTTTGTGCCACGGGATGGATGATGAAAATGTCTCCGAGTTTCCGTTTCCAATAAAACATGGCACACAAATCCTAAAAAATTGCCTAGATTACATCCAGTAGTTGACCAGTTTTTGAAGAAAATCATGACCCAGCATTAGTTTGTTGTGCACCGAGTTAATTTCTGACCGTGTTCAGCACGTGGTTTATGATGATGGGAATTGTTAATGGAGAGGATGAAAAGGGTGTGTTCCTCATCGATTAAGCGTGACTGGTCGAAGGGGTCGGCTCCTCGTACAAAATATAAACTGCACACAGTCCTAAATGTGAATATATAGCTTCTGCTTGTTGATAAAGCACGATATTGATGGTGCTGATGGTTTCGGTCGTGTTGCAATGTTTGTATCAGGAGTCGCAGCGGAAACTGTCAAGCCCATCACCCTGCATACGAGACTATGACGGAAATACGGAAACCACGCCCAAACCTCATTCAAAGTTTCATGCATCGCTTCCGCCGCCACCGCCGTCGCTGCTGCTGCTACCGTTCGTAATTTCACCCATATTACATGCATACTATCATCATCCACCTCCTCGAATACAATTTATGTAAATCATACTCAAATATCGCTCTGTTTGGTTTGCAATCAACTCCTCCATCACGCCGGAGTGCGATGATGTATTGCGACACATTACACTGTACATGCTCCTCCTCCCCTCGACTGCTTTGCAAATGTGTGTGTGCCCAGTCCCCAAATTTTGCCAGAAAACATGCAAACAGAGAACAACATTTTTTAAGGGACACATTTTTATGGTGTTTTTTTTGCCAGGTATGCACACACATAAATGCAAAACCATAGAGTGGACTACTAATCAAACTACAACATTAACTACGAGCTATAATAATGAACATTAATTTGTTCACGTCCAAAATTAACGCGTAAATTATTCTCATAAGTTGCTGCATGAATCTAAATTAATGCATATTTGACGGACCAAATTTTTATGGCACGATACAATCCCATGAATGATGTCATTCCCCATGCACATATATCGCACCATTATTCTCTCTTTTTTTGCTCAGAGATGATGAGACGAGCAATTAAATTTATACCGAAATTTGATGCATTATATTCCTATGTGCTCCTGCTGTGTGCTCGCTCGGGTTTGTAGAGACAAATAATTTCATTATTTTAGGCTATACAGGAAGTGAAGAGAATAAAAGGTGGTGGAAAAGGACAACACTTTTTTGGCACCGCCGCTTTGTTGGTTTGGTAGAGATATTTACGTAATACGCAATATCGCCACACGACGACTAGTCGTAGTAGGATTTCCTCTGACCGTGTTTATGGTACAGTAACTTTGGTCATTATTTTTCACGCGGTGGAGTAGAAAGCAGATCATTTCTTGTGTTGCTGACACCTTTATCATTTGAGAGAAAATGTAATAAGTCGAGGCTATCCGTTCCAACAAGAAGAGAAGATTATTTATAATTCAAAAACGTATATGTTGGTCAGATTTCTCACGGTAGGTTTCTCCAACAAGAGCAATAATAGCAGTTCTCTCTCTCTCTTTCTTGCTGAGACAATTGTAGCAATCCTTTCCTTCCCTCATTTCCTTGATAAAGAATTCTGGATCCTCTTTCATCCCAGCTGCGCAAAGTTATAGGTTGTAAAAACCCGTTGTAAAAATGAACGTCTAAAGTAAAATTGCTCCAACACAATAAAGCAAAAAGAAATAATAACGGGGCAGAAATTTTTTTTTTGAAATTGGGAGCAAAGTCTGAACTTTTCGCTTTGATTGTTGCGATGACAAGATGACGGACAGGTGGCGGAATAACATTTCTAGGAGAATAATTGCACTACGTAGCAGTCAAATCAAATATGATTAAAAATTGGCAGGTGGTTCTGGCGGAGAAAGCGTTTAGCCCTGCGGAATGGGAAGCTAACTTATTGCACTTTATGTTTTCTTCCTCCAAGGTGGGACACCCTTGACGAAAATAATTTCAGTTTTGCGGCACATATGTAACAAGAGAGAGAGAGAGAGGTCTAAGGAGGAGAGCTTCACCACCTGCCCCTCTCAGATCTTGATGTGCTTTGCATATGTGGTAGGGTCCTATGAGTGTACTATAACCCTAAAGTGGTTTGACTCCATGGCCACATTTGCGCCCGCCACACCCACTCAAAGGGATGAAAACCACAAAAGTTACCAACTTCAAAAATCCACCAAAAATCCAATTTTGATCGGATTTTGATAAAATTTTCATTTTTGTAATCCCAGATACTTGCTTGATCATATCCAGTAGCAATCTCAAATTTTTTGAAATTTTCGAAATTTTCGGGCATTTTCGGGGTGATGAATTATTCGAGAAAATTCAAAATTTCAAAAAAGTTGAGATTGCTACTGGATATGATCAAGCAAGTATCTGGGATTACAAAAATGTAAATTTTACCAAAATCCGAGCAAAATTGGATTTTTGGCGAGGGTTTGAACAAGTGAAAACAGGGCTTTTTTCGTGTTTTTGGCGCCTTTGAGTGGGTGTGGCGGGCGTAACTGTGGCCATGGAGTCAAACCAGTTCAGGGTTTTAGTACACTCATACCACATATCCAAAGCACATCAAGATCTGAGAGGGGCAGGTGGTGAAGCTCCCCTCCTAAGTTTGCATGCATTTCGTGTTTCGCTGCATGTTTTATGTCGTACTATATGTTGTACTGTAGTTGTTGTGCTATTGACCGTAATCCAAGAACATAACTGAAATGGCCACCACTCCACCCTTTATAGCAAAAGTGAAGAGTGTAACCACAACAAATAGTGGACAGGTGTATGTATGTCCGTATGTTTGTCCGTATGGGGTTTGTTGCCAGGTAAAGTTCGCTACGAGATCGATAAAAATGTGGCAGAGTTATAAAACTCGGACTAAACTTTACCTCTTGAACATTTAGAAATGGAGAGCTAAACAAGGACTATACGTGTATTTACGGAGAAGGAGAGGAGGAATTTCCTGTTTGGCTCGAGCTACAATTTATTTATGTCACTTTTTGATGCAACATTACTCATAATGTTAACTGCGCGATTTCTAGTCTAAATTATTAATTCAAATTTGCAATTCTTTTCCACACGACACGCTATACGTACGTACGTACGAATATGTGCTCTACTACCAGCCATAAGCCTTCTAAGTCTCATTTTCCTCACTGACTGACGTTTCTCTCCTCTCTCTCTCTTTAGGTCTTCAAACAATATTAACTTTTTGGGTTGCACAGTGTGAGAACGAGATTATGAAGACGAAAAGAAATATATGAAGGGTTGTTTGCCGCATGGGTGGCAGTTGTATAAATCCATTTGTATTCTTCTCCCTCTGTCTTCCTTCTTCTTGTTGTTGATGATGTCAGGATTTCGGTACAACCCGGACGGATATCTATCCACTTTCTTCCGCTTCTTCAACCTCCTCCTTCCTTCCTCCTTGACATTTCACCGATACAAGAAGGGACCCGAGGGGTTCACATCGCACGTCGTTTCGTAAATGTCTCTCCGTGTGGCTACTGGCTTTACATTTGCTTTGCATAGACATACCTCCACACATGGAGGACGTTAGGCTCATTGAATTGTTCAGTTTTTGATTGGACTATGCAAACAGAACATTCGTGTCTATTGCAGGAGAAAATAAACGATGATAATTATCGCTGACCAAGTGGTGGTGGTGGTGGTGGAAGTGGACACAACGTACAATATCGGGTTGCCTATTACAGAGCTATATATATATCTACTTATACATACATACACCTTGGAGTAGAGCACGAGTTGAAAACTCAACATTGTAATTAAGTTGGAAATGCCAGTTGCCCATGGACACGAAAGTTCATAACAAACAATCTCATGAAATATTCTGTACATCATAAAATATAAACTTCCTTTAGACTAGGCGACATTAAATCAAGCTAAAAATGTTACTTCGTCACGACCATGTTCCACCAATTTTAAACCCGAGTATGTAAAAACTTGAGTGTGGACAGGTAGTCGAAAAAAATAAACCTGTCAATTCTAAATTCTTGACGAGACGGAGAGGGAGACAACTCCCAATAATGTATGTGTGCAGTAGTAAAAATGTAAGCTGACATTTCGTCTTCCTTGACGTTGACGATGTCAAATTTATGAAACACTTTCTCAATGATGCGCGCATTATGTACAGTTATTACTGCTTCATCTTATATGCTGTGATGCCCATTATCTCCAATTTCATATGCCGCACATGAATGACTATTGAGTTGCATATATACATTCCGCAGCAGCAGCACGGTGCTTAATAAGGTCCAAGTTGCTACTTGTATTCTATTCTTGTACTTATGTAAGTATGCTTAACAACGCCAACACTATGTGTCACGGCGTTAATTGAGATTTCCTTGAGCAAACTCGTAAATTATGGAATCATTTGCATATGTATTCCGCTCCAGCCAATTTTCTCTCAACGGTTTCATGCATTTTTTATTTAGTAAATGCTTTCACTTTGAAGTGTGTCGTAAAATGAGAAAGAAAACTGATAGCAAACAAATTCCGTGTGAGTGATGACTACGTGTAATGTATGCAAGTTGGCCTATTTAGTTTTTTGCTTTGAAAATAGGGAGAAAGCAGTTATATTTAGACATTATATGATTGCGACCTATTGAAGTTATTGACTTTTATTGCGAAAAAAATTATAAAGTATGGTGGTACAAGTCTTGATTGGTCGGTTGTGCCATTCCTGTACATGAATATAACTCGTATGCATGAACATACTCGTTTCTCCGGTGTCGCCGTTGTTGAAACAACTCTTGTGTAAACATTGACTTTAATAAATACTCTCAATTTCAGGTGCGAACCCTTTTCGTCAGTGGCTTACCCATGGATGCGAAACCACGCGAGCTTTATCTTCTCTTTCGAGGATATGATGTATGCGAACCACACATTTATTATGCATTTAATTGGATTGGCAGGAGCAAATTAATTTGTAAAACTCATTATGGGCACGACACGTATGTAGGGATATGAAGGATCCCAGTTGAAAGTGACCAGCAAAAATGGGAAAACTTCATCGGTACGTTATTGTTTATCACTGAAAATGGTACTCCAGTCCGAGCTAAGGGTATAATTTGATATTTGGCTAGCCCGTGGGATTCGTGACTTTCACTTCAAGGTCTGAGGCTGAGGCTGCTAAGCAAGTGCTTCAGGTAACCTTTAACTAACTATATAACCACGGCAAAATTATAGTCTATATACATAAATATAGACCTGTCCTCCAAGTATAATGATACATAAATGTGCGTATGCATAATGTCACCAATTTTTTTCTGTCTGTGCAGGGAGTCCAGTTCGACCCCGACTTGCCGCAAACGATTAGACTGGAATTTGCGAAGAGCAATACGAAAGCAAGTAAACCGAAACAGCAGCAGCAGCCCGTCTCGGCTCCACACCCGACGATAATGCACTCGTTGGCTGGTCGTAAGTTGTGCTTCTTTTCATCACTTGGAGATTCCCGATGCCAAATGTTGGAATCTGTCCCCACAGCATTGGGAGGACCCTTCTTCACCGGAGCGCCGGAATTATGGCCACCACTGGTTTTGAACCATTCAGCAGCAGCAGCAGCAGCCGCAGCGGCCGGCGAGTTGACAGGTGGCCTTCAAGGACCGACGCTTGTCCATCCTGCCTTGCATCCTCATCAGGTGAACTACACTTACACCTTCCCTTGAACTGAGAAATGTCCAAATAATTCAGAAATATACAGCTCCACAATAATAGTATCATGAGTAAATTTAAGCTCCTCTCATACCGTCAAACTGGGCAAAAAATGTATGTCCAATAATCAATTCCTGACCGAAATGCGGCTACATACCTATGAAATTGATCGAATTCTACAATAATAATAATACTGCTCTTCTTCACCATAAAGTCGATTAACAACTCACCATCATAAAAATTCTGTACGTTTGTTGCTAATTATTAGTCGTGGGGTTAGCGGGTTAGCACTTACTATACTCACCCAAAACTTACAATAATTTCACTCAAGTATTTATATGGCCCCCTTTCCTAATGCGTCACAAATAAATCCATGCTAATTTACGTCAATTGCTTTCACTTGTTCACTTTTTACTCGGTAATGTTAACAACTTTTTATATACGATTTATTCTCGGTGAATTTTATAATTTCTGTTCAATTTCCTTCCAATTCGAAAAGGAATTAATAAGTATTTAACTATTAGAGAAAGTGCAGGGAAGGAAAAAATAATAATGCCACTTTCTCCTCTCATAATTGTCAAATATCATTGTCGGGTGTTTTTTTTATTCTACATATTTTGTTCCTTATTCAACAACTTTTAATCCTAAATTATAAATTCTTTTTTATATAAAATTACAAAACTAAATGCCTCCTCTTTTTTTCCTTACTAAATATTCAAATATTTTAAAAACTCTAAATGTATAGAGCCGTTGTTGCGTACTCTTAATCACCGCTCTCACTGAACCACTATAGTTAGTTCAATGCTCATTGTCTCAATTTTTTAACAGCAAGCGTTGACACTGGGGGGGCCTGCACTTCACGCCAGTATACCCCATTTGTTACCTACTTCACCATCCCTGGCATCGCCTGCATCGGTCGGCTCTGCATGTTCACAGCAACTTGGTAGTCATGCCCCCTGCTCCACACTCTTCGTCGCGAACCTGGGATCATTCATTACGGAGCAAGAATTGAAAGATATTTTCGGCAGGTAAACACTCACTCATCATCATTACATCATTTACCTTTGGGGGCGAGGGCAGTCAAACTTCTGGGGCAGAGAGAAAGGGTAACACGATTGCGAGGACAAACACCAACAACGACAGTGTCACCACCACCTCCCCACCCACTACTCTAACTAGTACAAAAAGTATAAGTCCTCCTCCTGCACAGTACTTTAATATCTGGGGGTTGTGGCACTACTACTACTACCTGTCTACCACTCTATTAATTATATAGCTGCAAGTATTTTTAGTGCTGATGAACGCGTACTCCAAGTAATCACGGATAATGATTAAGAGAAAGCGTTTAAACAGAAAAGTCGACGACTTCGATTTCTTGCCCAAAATATTGTTCATCTCATTTATAAATTTTATTGACTAATTTATAATGACCAAGTTTTGACTGACTGATTGCTTGCTGTTTCCAGCTTTCCTGGTTTCAGCAGACTGCGCTTGCACACGAAAGGAGGTAGCCCAGTGGCGTTTGTGGAGTACATGGACGTGCGGTGTGCGACTCAGTCGATGGCGGCGCTCCAAGGCTCCTTCCTCCGCTATTCCGACCGCGGGGGGATTCGCATTGAGTATGCCAAGACGAAAATGGCCGAAATCAACGGGCCCAACAGCGTCCTCCTCTCCGCCACCAATAACGGCACCATGAACGGGCACGCGTCTCAATATAACCACGTAAATTACTTCACTGTTACCAGCACCTCTGAAAATCCCAGTAGTCAACATCCCATGTATGGAAATCCCAATTTCCATCGCCACCTTGTCGACGCCATCTAATCAGTTGCCCCACTTCACACTTATTCATAATTTCTAAACAGAAAAAAAACTGGCAAAAAAATAACTAACGAATGACGAGAGGTCAACTAAATACGTAGGTTGTTCAGCTAGGCTTGTGTAGGTTTCATCATAACAGAAAGTAATTCAGTATCAATTAACTTTCTCTTTTAGAATATTGTCATACGTATAAATGTGTCAGGATTCATCCTCGTTATTGTTGCATATTGTAAATTTAGTAAAAATACGTACATGCATACACACATGATAATGCTTCTCTGTAAAATAATATGCACTAATCTACTCGTCAGTATATACCGAATATCTCACACACATACACACACATTATTCAAGTACTATTATTAACTTGCTCACCCACACCGTGCTTTTTAGCCGCAGTTTGAAAAAACAAATTCTTTGTAAGTCGTAGTCTATCGTAGTGTATGAATCTAAAAATCATAACTCCAGATAACTTTGAGCATGAAAAAATCTGAAGTTTGGATTATTTAATTGTTGTCTGCAGGGACTGATAATCAAGGAGGAAAGTGGACAGTCCTAACTCACTCACTCTCTCGTTTCATTTTTCGACGGGCTGGCTGGATGCATTTTGACCTATTGTTCTATTCACTCTTATTAACATCAGAATACGAAAATATCACTCTCAGTCTCTATTAATTTAGTAGTAGCCTTATTATTTACTTAGCAAAAGTTCCGACACAAAATACGTAACATCACTGCATTAATTGAGAACAGCAGAGTCTCTACAAAACAGATTAAACATTTTAACAGCACTATTTCCACTTTCACCTCTCGAAAATGGGAGAGAAAGGAGCATAAATTTTAGAAGCCATGCAAGAAATCTCTGACATAATCAAAGATCGTATAATAATACCAAGGTTGGATGCACTCTCACTCGTAGCTAGATTTTGAAACCCTATAGATTCCTATGATTTTATTAACATTCTCTTATTCTTATGCCCGCTTGACAAAACCACCTCCCTGACCTATTACTATTTAAAACACGTCTGTTTTTCTCCAAATTAAGTTAATGTGTGTTCATGCATTCTTTCTTTTCCTATTCATTACAAGATGTTGGTGGGATACGACCAATAGTCTTTGAAGATGTGTCCTGAACCCTGTGAACTTGAAGCTTATCGCCACTTCTGGTCAACTCGTCTCCTATCTTCAGTTTATTGTTGCATGAACTAAAAAAAAACATTGCTGCTGTTGCTGTGCATTGCAAACTGCGAACTTTCCTGATCGAACTGAAACTGATTGATTTTCGTGACGCAACAATTCAAAATTTTATTTGTGCTACTACCAAACAAGAAAACATGATGATAATTATTTAGATAAATATATATAAATATATATTGTCGATATTTTAGTTTGCTTAGATTTTTATATTGACGAGAAAGGAAGGAAATAAGAAAATACGTTCATTAGACTGATGATGACGATATCTCGTGGGTGGTGGTGGTAATGATTGTGGTTGGTGGTTATCTTTCTTGAAGCCACCACCAAGTCTGTTAACCACACGTCTTATTGTTACCTCTGGAAACTACGAGTGTGCTTTGAAATCTGCATTCTGATGATTACAAGTTTTGTGGTATTATTTTGTTACTATTTTTATTAATTAGTCGTGATTATCTATTACCTTTCTTAAATTTAGTACTATTTAGGAAAAACCAATAATTAAATATGAGAAACGTAGTAGTGACAGTATAAACTATATACAAACACACATAAACACACAACAGACAAGAACTGGACCAGTCGAAATGCTGCGAGTTATTGCGATTCATAATAATTAGGATAAATACTTAAATATCTATGTACGTTAAAAATATTTTGTAAAACTAGGATATAAGACAAAATATCTTGTTATTTCTTAAAGTTGTGATATGCGAAGTTGCTTGTCGTATAGTGATTGGTGGATCATAATGTTGATGACGAGGAAGGAGGGGTGCTTTCTCCTCGAAAGAAAGTTGGGCTGTGGTGCGTCACTAGTTAAAATTAAGTATACATATCCAACCAAAGGGTTCTCTGAGAAAGAAAAAAAAGTTGTGAGTTTTCCTAGCACGGATAACGTCAGATTTGAATGATTTGATTTGAGACACACGTGCAGAAGCACACACAACTTGTATATTGATACCTACCTACGACGGCTATCCATTACGCGACCACACAATAAGTTCCCAAAAGAAAAACCAAAGTTGAAACATCCAAAGATTTCATAACAGGATAGGAATTCAAGAAATATTTTAAAAGGTCACACTCCCCAATTGACTGATTGTCTACAGTGGCTTGTCTATATTGATATTGTTTTTTCGGAAACAGTTACATACAGTTACGTAATTATCATCGCATAAAATCTAAATAGATTTGAACTAAAGCAACAATTCGTCACTATTTCTTCTCACTCTGTTAGGATCAAACTTTGAAATATTGTTTCTAGTGAAAGTCATTTTTCTCTATATATTCATAGATTACATTATAAAAAAAGTCTGGATGGGTGGTTAGCCTCATTTTTTTGCTGAAAAAACTCATCATTCATAGCTCCAACTCTTTTCGAGCATCTTATTAATTCTTTGTTCTTCTGGGATGGATATGAGTGCGTATCAACACTACTTACAAAAGGAGAAGGGAATGCGTCAGGATAAGCTATAACCGTAAAATTAGTATAATACTGTAATTCTACATCCATATTAGGTAGAGAGAGAGATAGGTCACAAAGAATGCTACAGTGCTATGAAACTAATACATATCATGAATCTCTGAAGTTTCACAAATGACCAAAGCCGATGCCGAGCGTATATCTATCTACTTAGAATCTATAGGGTACAACTAACTAACTACCTAACTAACCAAATAATTGAGGCTATTTAAAATGGATCACAAATATCTATTCGTCTAATAAAACAGAGAAAACGGTCCCATTCTCATCATCCCAGTTATGACATGTAAAATACCATTCATATCATATCATCATCCTGCGAGATAAAGTAGGAGACAGTGTAGTGAGACAACACAACTTGTTGTAATAAAAACAGGATTGCAATTAAAATTTTGAAAAACTCTCATAATAATCTGAAGACAAACACAAAAGAACTGCAATGAGAGAGTTTTTTCTGAAATAAATGGATTTATTCATGCAAACACAGAACAGACTTACATTACATTTCAACTCGTCAATCTCAATCCGTCCAAACGCGATCAATCATATCGGGCCGTTGTGTTTGCTAAAACTTCGTATCGTATTTGTATCTATTTAAAGATATCCACTTATTGTTAGACAAGAAAAAACACTTGATGCATGAAATGGAGAAAGAACGAATTTCTTTTTTGTACTCTGTTCATTTCCAGTGCATACTTTCACCAGCTACGGTTTAATGCCTTTTTTATTGTCAATTGAAAAATAAGTATGTAGGACGTACTCGACTAAATAAACAACCTTCATTCGTAGCAAAGTCTGTAATATTCTCGTCGTTAAAATGATAGGCGTTTATTTTCATTTGATAAGTTTAGTACATTCCCCGATTTTGATATTACTTTAAACTGATGTCAGATAAAAAAAGCTCAAATTTATGTAAGTAGCATATTAAACATCCCTCGATCATAATGCATAATTTCAAGTATGGAAGATAATTTCTAATCATGACGACTTTTCTTTCAATTATTGTGAATACGAACAATTTGTAGTAGTGTGGGCACGGCTGTGATATAAATTGAGGAGTGTGGTTTACATGGAAAAAATACATGAAAGGATTGAAATTGAGGAAGGACGACATAGTTTGTGCTGGTTGTGTTGATTTGGTCATAATGATAAAATAGTAGTAATGCTAAACATTATATATAATTAAGAGATTCGGTGCGATAGTTGGTAGGACGTACGTAGGGTTAGATAGGTTACGAGGAAATAGAGATCATGTAAACTTATAAGGATACCAAAATACTTACCGATGTATGTCTGTAATTGCGTGTGTGGTTAAAAAATCAAGGGTTTCTACATACAGTAAACCGAATTATAATCGGATTCGATTATCCAAAATGATCGCCTTTTGAGACGATTGTAATTTAATAATCATTTTCGATTATAATCGACATATGTAATAAACCGGAATAGTGAAAACTCAATCTTAGTGAAAAAATACATCATTTATCAATCATATAATTATTGTAATATAATTTTTCCTCCCGCAATACGTACTACATATGATGATGATGATATGATAAGTCGAAGGACTTTTTTTCAAAGTATAGCCACACACCCCAAACCACAATCCAACCCAATAATATCATGCAGTTGTATCATGTAGTTTATTTTGACGAAAGAAAGAAATCCAGATGCCTTACAAACAAAACGCAAAAGAAAATGAAGGATGCATTCTGACTCTTGAGTAAAATGGGAGGACGTTGTTTTTAGAAAAAAATTGTGAAGAAGGAAGGTTTCCCAACTGATTTCACATAAAAATAATTCCACCGTTTTGCCTAGAAATCTAGCAACAAATACATATCTCAGAACTGTGCTAGCCTCAACGACGCAGCAGCAACTAATTGTGGTTAGTTAAATATAATAATTATCTCATAACCAGCCCCTTGTTGCTTACATGTTTACAATAATTAGCAACTAAGTAAGAAGGAAATACAGTACTGCTCTATTAATTCATAACAATATAATAATAATAATAATACTAACGATACAAATAAAAAAAAGTGACATGCAACGATATTATGTTTAGCATAAAAGTAAGCAGGTCTTTTACATATTTCAAAAATTCTTATAAAAATCATGTTCTATTCTATTCTATGTACACTCATTGTTGTTTATCAGACTCGGCTTGGTTCAATTTATTTGTTTTTGATGTTGATTCGATAATGAATTGATAGTTATTCAATTTAGTTGTGACTGTTTCCAAATATTATGTAAATGCTTAAACTTTTATTCAAATTTAGGTCTTGCAATCGTAAAATAATATAACATTTGTGAATACATGTGCTTGTTAATAAAATGAAAGGTTTCAAAAAAAAGCTAAAGACTTAATTCATATTATTTTTTTAAATAGCTTCATGGGCTGTAGTCTTTTATGCAGTATTTCAAGAAATCACGGAATGATGTTCAGAAACTTCTCGCCAGTCAGGGTCATCCATTTCGCTCCCACCATCGTCAGATTCTTCATCAATCCCTTCAATTTTGGTCGCGATGTTCTGCAAACATAATCGGGAATAATTAGAGAATTATAGAAAGAATCTCTCCCTCTCTCTTGGTATTAAACTTACCAATGCCACCTGGGCTTCACGCCGTGCTCGCTTTGCTTGCTCTTCCAGGTATGATTCATCCATTTCTTTCACCATAGCAGCAAACTCTTCGTCAGACAATGGGAACTTCCTTGGCTCGTATGGAGCTACACCAGGCTCCTACAATAAATCGACTCATCATTACACATTAACTTTTCATATTTTACTTCAACTATGGTATTATATAATAATTATAAATTACCTCTGGATCTTCCTCTTCAACCTTGCAAATAGATACGGTTCGTCGACGACCAGATGAAGCAGTAGAGGATTGTGCATTAGGAACTGAAATTTTTAAAGCTGTAACGGCCAAAGAAGCATCTGCTGCACTGATCTGATTAACAGTAGTAGGTGGTAGAGTTGGAGACACGACTTCTTCCTTGATAAATATGTTATCAGGAATTTCCACTTTAAGCGGTGGCGAGACTAGAAAAAATACAGACAAAATCATTTTCCAAGATATTCAAATGTAAAAAAATGATTTTAAAATGTGGCTTACTATCTTGTGAAATGTCAGTATTTTCTCCTTTTGTTTCACTTTTACGACTACGTCTATTTGATAACACGTGCATGGCTTTCAGAAATCGTTTCTTTTCCTCCTCCTCACTTCTCGCATGTCGAGCCAAGATAGTTTCTAATCTAATATCTTCGAGGAGTGGTTCGCTCTAAATTTTCAAATAAAAAATTGTTTCGTTTATATTATTACTTTAAATAGGTGAATGGCAATGCATAAAATTGGTATAATATATATATATGTTACAAGTTTCTGAACAATTTCTGGGACGGGTGTTGCTCGTGACTTTCGTGTTCTTCGAGTATTCTTTTTCGGAGGTTCGGGGTTTTTATTTTTGTTTTTGTTTTTGGAAAGTAGGAGCTGGTTAGTTCTCCAGCTAAAAAATAATACGCTGCACATTGTATAATGAACCAGAATTAAATAATTACGTCCTCCTTTTACCTTGGAAGATCTATTTCTTTGTATTCAATCTTTTCCACACGTGTAGTAGACGCGATGCTGTATGGAATTACAATATGATCAATGTCATACTTTTCATCTGCTATCCTTCGTTTTTTCCTACAAGAAAAAAAACAGTCTGATTACTCATTACTCTTTGAGATTAAATATGATTTGAATATAGTGAATAATAAGTAAACTATATTACTGTGAAGAATCGGTTTGCTTCGACGACTTTTTGGGTACCCAATTCACCTCGAATTCTTCCTCCTCGTCTTCTTCGTCGTCACTAGTACGTTTCTCTGAAATAAAGTTAACATATTAGATTACAAATAATTCAATTAATGCTTAGAATGTGATTTTAACAAAATGTAAATTACTCCTTCTGGTAGATTTCCTCTCAGTTTTTCCTACTTTCTTAACGGGTGAAGGTCGACGGGGAGAAATCATTTCTGGTGACTCTTCTGCTACTATGTCGTTTTGAGGTCGAATCGGAGCAGTAGGAAGAAAACTTTCAGCAAATGCACGTTTGCTTTCTTCATCAGAGCTGTCATATGTTGGTAATATCTTTTTTGGATTAGCCGAACTTGCAATTTTGAGGGCTGCTTCGGTCAAAAGTCGTAATGGTTTGTCTGTAATCATTTATTAAATTCAAAAGTAAAAACGAGTAGTTAAAAACCAAAATCTTTTTTACGACATTTAACTCTTACCATCTAATGACGACAGCACTTTATGATAATTATGATCCAACAATGCTGTAGTTTCTGCTCTGGCCATTGCACCGTTTCTCACTCGTTTGATCTTGTCAGATCGTCCAGAACATATTATGCATAGCTCCTCCCGTCCAAAACAGTTGCATAGGGCAGAAGGAAGGTGACCGGGCTTCTCGACTACGTTGTGAATACCTCCAATTTGAAGTACCTTTCTACGTCGGATCGGTCGGCATAGTGGAATGCATCGACGTGCCGTACAATTGGGGTCGCATGACTCGGTAATTCTCAGTCGTAGTGGTATGAAATTACGCTCCGACCTGCAAAATACCAATAAATAAAAAGATGTACAATGACATTCTAAAGCGCAAAACTATTTCCGCTATGCTAATCCTAAGTGAAGATGATCATATAACCACAACCAACTTACTTCTCTGGATTGTCGATCGTTTTCATCAAGTTGTCCGTCCGTTTAACAACGTTCCCGGAAATTGGGTTGACAATATTCTTCATGGTGTGGGGAATTCTATTTAAACAAATTCACATGTTAGACACCTAAAAAATGTACACTATTAAGTATCAAACCAACTTATCAGTATTCCTCTGTTCTCGATATAGTTGAATTGTTGAATAGTCTAGATTTCCACCAATAATGACTGGCTTAGTGATTTTGCGTCTTTCATCAAACTTGAAAGATGGTTTATACTCTTTAATATACCTATATGGTTATTGTAGGAATACGAGATTAAGAAATTGACAGTATAATAAAACTTTGGTGCCTCTCTTAAAAAACTTACTTCAATAACTTATTATGCTGCATCAGTCGCTGATCAACAGTTCTGACAGCGTCCTTCAGCCACGCAAATCTGGCCTTAAGATTCGTACGCTTTCTTGCCCACGGAGTTGTTGGATTCTTTCCTCTGCAATGCGTAAAGTGATATATAGTTATAATAAGTGTTGTCCTCCAATCACCCAAAGTTAGACAATGAGTATTCACTCCCTTTACATTTTACAAACTTTTAGAAAATAAGACGGCACCTCATATACCTTTATATCTAATAATTCTTTCTTTGTCCAAGGAAATTTTGTAAATTATGAAACTTTACACAAAATACAACGCATGATTGAACTACCTCAATGTCTAACTTTTGTAACTATCGATCAGTCTACTCACGTAGGAAGATAAACCAAATCATCATCCCTCCAATTCGTACAATTGTTAGTACTGGCAGTCGCCTGAACCTCATCTTCATATTCAGAACAAGAATCCGTATCCACATCATCAGTCCCAAGTGGAATTGTAGAGAGTAAAAGTTCTCGAATATTTTGTCGAAACATTTGCGCCACATCTCTTAAATCAGCAAGGCCATGTTTCGTGTAAACTGGTGGCGGTGACGGATCCAACTTTTCAACAAAATCCTCTTCTTCAAAGGCATCCGCTGGTGGGATTGGTAATTTTCGCTTCTGGAGAAAGTCAGGTACGATAGCTTCTTTCAATTTGACTCCCTTCGTCTCTGCGAGAAGCTTAACAGCACATTCCATCTGCCTTTCTCCATACTCCTCCAACTCTTGGAGCTGGATTACTTTCAATCTTTTGAGCAAGGTCTGACATCTCGCCATTTGATTTGCCGAGGATCGCTGTACATCTGACAGCTTCTCGGCTATAGTGGAATTCATCTTGGTACTAGAAAAGTGCACAATTATTATTCTTAAAAAGGTCGACAAAAACAAAATGAAGCAGTAACAAAGGGGTAGCTTGGATATAAAACACATACCTATTTGATTCACTGTTTGGCGTAAACTACAAACTATCAATTTCCAATAACAATCCGCAAAATCTACAAGTCCATACAAAATATTAATTTCAATCATGTCAAACCTTACTGCAGTCTTCATCATTACTAATGATTCATTAGCCAAGCACATAGTAAAGAATTCAAAAACTTACATCTCCACTCCAGCAATCACAATCATATCTCTCCGAACCGAGCCGGGCGAACCTGCCTTATTTAAGGACCTTATAGTTTTTAAAAAATAAACCAACAAAACGAAAAGCCCATTCTCTTTAGCACAATAAGATGACTAGCCGAGTCCGAAACTTCTTTATAAAAAACACCCCTTTAAAATTTCAGAAAACCTAAATTTTTCTACTTCCAACCAGACCAGCAGAACCTCACGAACCACCAGCCGAAGAAAGAGTGAGGCAAGAGCAGAAAAGAACGATGTGAGACGCACGATTCAAAGGCCGCTGCAACCCTCGTCTCAAAATCCCCAAACGACCGACAGACCAGACCAAAAGGAGATAAGAAGTATTTTAACGCTACTTACTTTACTTTGCATGTCTTTTTGATCTTGATCTGGTGGTGGCTGGCCTGTCTGGGGACCATTCACCCACGGTGTGTCGATCTTAGCACGGAAACTCGACCAGGAAGCAGTCCTCAGGGTCGAGTGTGAATGGGGCTCTTTTGGTAAAAAAGAAGCCGTATAAAAGTGTTTCTGGTGGTGGTGGGATTTAATAATAGAAGAGAAAGTGGAGGTGGCTGAGAGAAGCAAAGTCTGTGTGCAGTCACTGTTCGTCTATAGCACTGTCCAACCAACCGCCTTCATATATTTCCTTATACACACGGCACGAGCAGAGCACGATGTTGTCCACCACTCGCTGTTGCAATCACAGTATTCGCACCACAGACACTACTCGAACGTGAGTCAATTCTCTAATAATCAAACGCAGTTAAGTTATTACGACGAGAAAAAGTTGCTCAAGCTGAGCAGCTAAAATTCGAAAGTATTTCAAACAAAAGGAAGCAGAGTGGAATAATCTGTTCTTTTCTCGACATTCTTCTTCTTCCCCGGAAGTAGGGGCAAGTTTATACGCAAAAATTCTGTGACCCCATTCGCCAAGGGTGACCTCTAAACCTTGGTGAAGATTTAACTACGTTGATAGCGTAGAGGTTGTTGGTGGTGGGGGTGACTTTGACGGCGGAAGTATGGCGACGGGCGTATTTGATATAGAATTGGAGGATGAGATCATCATCAGTCATGACAGTCGAGTCCCTTTTCTCAACCCGAGAACTAGGGAGGAGGTGGGACATATTGAAATAGAGCTGGATGATGTAAGCAAAAATAATTAAATTATGGATCGGGTTTCACATTTTAGTTCATTTCGTCGTCTAAACAAATGACTCAATATGGTTTCATATTATTGTGTGCAGGCCAGCGAAATGTCGGAAGGCAGGGATCCAGAGGAAATAATGAAGTGAGTGACGCAGTTAGAAATTTGAGAATTGAATGTAGTTGAAAAGAGATTTTATCGTTTTTTCTTTTGCAATTCTATGAATATAGCGATAACACTGAGGAGATTCCATTGGAGAAAACCGGACTGATTGATGTTCGCGCAGGACCTCATGATTTTGAATTAAGGAAGGTCTTGGGCAAGGGCGGTTACGGGAAAGTGTTCCAAGTGAGGAAACTCAGTGGACAAGACTACAATAAGATTTTCGCTATGAAAGTCTTGAAAAAGGCAACGATTGTGCGGAATCAGAAAGACACTGCTCACACGAAGGCGGAAAGGAATATTTTGGAGGCAGTGAAGGTGAGTTTGGAAAATGCTTCTTTTTCGTTAGACGAATTTAAAGAAGGGGTGTGAATATAATGTACTATTTTTCAACTTTATCGATCGACAGCATCCTTTCATTGTGGATTTGAAATATGCATTTCAAACGGGAGGAAAACTATACCTCATTATGGAGTACTTGAGTGGTGGCGAGCTCTTTATGCATTTAGAAAGAGAGGGGATATTTCTGGAAGATACCGCCTGGTAAAGCACAATATTAAGAAACTTGACAAGTAAATGTGATATGCTCTACAATTTGCATTTTACTATAGCTTTTATCTGTCTGAAATCGTGTTGGCGTTGGAGCATTTACACCAACAGGGGATCATTTACCGGTTCGTACGTTGTACTATTGGATTGGATATAATGTATCATTACTTTATTTATGTTGATAACTAATCGCTATTTATCCGGTTTTATACAGAGACTTAAAACCAGAGAATGTTCTCTTGGACATGAATGGGCACGTGAAGCTGACAGACTTTGGTCTTTGCAAAGAACAAATGCCCGAAGGCGGAATTACTGTAAGTGGTGATAGTAATAGTGGTAATTAATTAGTTAGCAATTAGCATTAATTTCAGTAATTTATGGTTTACTGACTTCTACAGCACACATTCTGCGGCACTATCGAGTACATGGCACCTGAAATCCTAATGCGTGTGGGCCATGGGAAAGCAGGTACTTGAACATTTTTACGATTATTGCGGTGGATCGAAGTCAACCGGACAGAATTTCTACGCGCCAAAATCACGTGCCCATTTGATTAACATTGGAGGCGGGCCGAAATTCAAATCAAATCCATCCGGTTGACTTCGATGCACCGCAATAGTTTTAATTTATATAATTCAACGACAATTTTTAATTGTATTATAGTTGACTGGTGGTCACTCGGAGCACTGATGTATGATATGCTTACGGGAGCTGTGAGTTTAAATGTTATAATTCTCGTTCGTGTCTTTCATCATGGAAAATTAACTAATTTTGATACGGTTCTTTCTGTCCAGCCGCCATTTACTGCTGAGAACCGAAAGAAAACTATTGAGAAAATTTTAAAGGGTAAACTACTCTTGCCACATTATCTTACCGCTGATGCCAGAGATCTTATCAGGAAACTGTTGAAGGTAACACTTGTCCTCATCAAGTTGTCGTTTGTAAGCTAACAAACTTTCGTTTTGCTGGGTGCCACAGCGTCAAGCAAACCAAAGACTTGGTTATGGAGCAATGGATGGTGCTCCAATTCGAGCTCATCAATTTTTCAAGAACTGTAACTGGGACGACCTTATTGTGGTATGACACTAATGCACCATTTTGAATAATAATTAAACTAATAATAATAATAACGTATAATTTTAGCGTCGAGTAGAACCACCATACAAACCCCCACTAGTAAGTTGTCTTGAATTTACATGAATCTGGTCTTAGTAAAACTGAAAATAATTCATTATATGATTTCCTATTTGATAATGTTTAGACCAGTGACGATGATGTATCCCTATTTGATACTAAATTCACCAGACAACCACCAGTGGACTCGCCTGATGACACTACCCTGAGTGAGAGTGCCAACATGATCTTCCAAGTAATTTTCTATTTATAAATTTGTTGACTGTTAAAAGTTTGACTAAATGGTTTTTTGTTTTCTTCTCCTATCAGGGATTCACCTATGTGGCACCGTCCGTTCTAGAAGACTTTTTCAAACCTCATGTTGTACGGGCTAGATCTCCACGTAAGCATTCTGGGAATACATTTAGGCCATCGGCGAACAATCGGCAGCCACAGAGCTTCGCTTCTCCAATGTCCCCTCTGGACTCTTTCGACTTTCCAGGAACAGGGCATAATGGACGAGAAGACCCAATGGATACTTCCAATTCAGCACAGTTTCTATGATTGTAAAAATTAAGGTAAATAATGCCGATGCGGAAACGACGTGAATGATATTTCGCTAGATACAGATGTATATTAGGTCATTCTATGCGTTATTGTTGAAGTGTGGGGTATAGTTAATTTAATATATTGTTATTTCGTTACATACAAGAGCGAGATTCTAATTTTTGTTCCATTCAGTCTTATTACTTACAATACTTCCTTCCGGTTTGGAGCCTCTGTCTCCTGTTATATGTATATATTATGAATATATGTATGTGGTAGGAAGCTCATAGGAGACGCACATATAGCCTTGTCTTAGTTTTATTATTTCATTACTCTCAAAACAGTGCAATTAATTAATGAAATTTCGTTGTTATTTGGTTGTTGTTGTTGTTGAACATACTTTTTGTGAAATACTATGTTAAATTGTTTCGGTTGTATTGGCTGTTGATTCTTATTACTTATTAATTAACGTACATAGAGTGACAATAATTTTGTTTTGAGATTTTGCTTCCCTTGCCTTGCGTGAGAGTTTTGCCCTGATTTGGACTACTTTAAATGACTATTGATGATAATGATCCATCAAGTAATTAACGAGTAAGACATAACAAAAAACAATGCTGGTATTTGATAGAGCTAATATGAGAGCACACAGTATATTATATGAAGTCATAATATCTTTTGCTATTAGCCTTGTCTCTGCTGCAGCATCAACACTATATATAAAACACATGACATAGGGAAATGAAAAGAAGACAGAAAAATTTTGAACTTTAGTCATAGAAAATAAAATATCTAGAATATAACATGTATCTAACAGAACAGAACCAAATAGCCTTTTGTCAATTTGAATGTATGTATGACGAAACCCAACCTTCTCCTGGAAAACATAATGTACTTATTACGCGAGTTATGAAAAATTGTTGAACAAGAATGATCCAACTTTCTCCTTCCACATAAACCCTGATTTGATTAGAATGTCCTGTATTTACTTCAAGCTGAACTATGTACCCATTCCAACTTTTATTTATATCAATACTGCTTGGTTTTACAACTTAAAACTTGTGTTAAAATATGTAACGCCACATACTCTTTACAGCAATAATAACAATTGTAGCTAGTGGAAGAAAATCATCAAACAAACAAGTGATAAAGACGATGCGTGGCTACCAATAGAAATAGCTAATTGCACTTTACTACAAAGAAAAGATAAAGTTGTTATTGCAGCGTTAAATGCCCAATCATTTAAATGATGTGTTCATATTCAATTAGTCATTACTCTTATTGTCTACATTTTCACTGAGTACATTGTTCAATTTCTCCAACAATATGTAATCGCGAATCAAATATTATTCAATGCTCCAATTACTTAGAACCCGTATAATATTTGCTACACGAAAAAAACGATATAAAGTTGTGAAAGATAGAAATATATTGTAAACTAACTATAGCAGCACAACAAGCAGGCAGGCAGTGATATGATGATCAGTGACATTACTATTATTATTATGCACCCAATAGAAATTGTATCCTCGTTTCAATCAGTCAAAATCATTAGTTAGAAGAAGTGTAAACCCAACATGATTTTAAAAATGAATTAGGATCGTTAACGGTCAATATCAGCGTTGTTGTTACTGTTAAAGTTTGTCGTCTTATTCCACCAAGTGTCGATCTGGTGCGTTGTTGTCCAACACAGAAATGTCATCCCCTGAAACACTAATTAGACTTTTAATTATTATTTATCACTTAATCCTACATACATACAATAATCATGAGAGTTGGGTCGGTCGGTAGCGAGAGCCGAGTATTTAAAATCATTACTTAAAGAACTGATAACCAAACATACATATTTGTGAGAAAATGCAAAAAACCTTAAATGATGTAACAAGAAATGGGTGAAAACCATGCAAGTTTAATTAAAAATCGAAAATTAATACTAAAATTTAAAACATAGTGATGATACATTAAATTTGTTTAAAAACTATGTATTCCAGAAAATATAAAGGGTGAGCAACATTCTTAAATAAATAAATGAACCAACTGTGAGTATATACCTGTGAATTTGCATACATGGCTATTTAATTTAGCAATAAGAATTTCTCACTTTTCCAAGTGGTGGGCAGTCTCATGTGGCCTCCTTGAAAAAATGAGACCTATGGCCTCGCCGAAAAAGTTCAAGGCCTCGGCCTCTCCAGTTTTAAAAAATATACCTCAAACCTCAGCCTCAAAAACCTTAAAAGAGGCCGAGGTCTGAGGTTAAAAAACGACCTTAAAGAAGTCCAGGCCCCCATCACTGGTTTTACGTAGCTAAAGTGAAACTGCATATGCATAATTGCATATGCATGTAAATGCATTTATTTTCATAATGAACAGGTATGAATGAGAATTAAGGTGATGTCATGTTAGTGATGATGATGATGGCCTTTCGTCGGGTGGTGGTGGTGAACAGGAAGTAAAATTACACACAATCTGCCACTACTTACTTATCACATACACAATAATAACACAATAGCTTTTGTGTGTAGGTGGTGGGCATGAAAAGGAGGCGAGGGTGGCTGAATACCTCGAGAATTTGAATCTTTTCACCCCTTTTCCCCATACATACGTGAATTGGATCATTCGATTCATTCCATTCTCTAAGCACTATGTGGGTTGTTGGTTTTGTTTTAGTCCAGACGAGACTAGCAGCAGTTTATATGAGTTAGTTTTCTCTTTTTTGGACAATAACTAAGAATAATAATAATCTATTCCAAGTGGTGATGGTTGTCCTAACAAGAAGGTGCGTGGAAGTAGTAACAGCTCACAGGTTTGTTGGTGTTATTCTATTTGTGCTTACGTAATAAACAAAATCCAGGTGTGTCATAATGTGATAGTGATGAATAATCCTTTTTGTTTTTTTGGTACGATTTAGAGTAGTGGCCAGACATTTGAAGTTGTTATCGTGAATGGTGGTGGTCATCCCTGGATGTTGTTGGTTTGTAAAATACATAATATTTTTATTCTTAGCTAAAACTAAAGATATTTCTTTTATAGGAAATGAGGCATGTGCTATTCGACTGTTTGGAATTAAGTTCCTCGTCGTCATCTTAATCAGCATTAAGGATGGACGAGTTTTCAGACTTTCAAATGGCCGTTGGGCCCCCTTCACGTCCACCCCTCCAAGGAAAAAATAGCTCGCCAATGGGGAAAGGATGGGGAGGGAACCAGAAACAACAACAACAACAGGGGACAGGAATGTTTGGAGGAATTTCAACACCGCTATCTCGAACTACCAACCAGTATTTTCAAGTCACGCCACAACAACAACAACAGCAGAATATCGGCATTGGCCCTGTTCTTCCTCTGTCCCTTGCCGCTCCTACTAATCCGCAGAAAAAGGTGGACAAGAATGTCGGGAGTCGTCTAGCTAATTATGACCTTGGGAGACAGCCAATCACCAACAATATTTCGTCGCAGCAGCAGACTCTACATCACTCTGTGCCTCCTAGTACTAATAATTATACTACTGCTACGAACCATAATCTCCTTATCGGCGAAGAAGACAAATATGCTGCTCTTAGAGCACTAGTAAGTCTGGAAGTCTGTGATCCTGATACCGCAACACCAACAACAACACCAAAAATACCAGAACAACAACCCTCAAGTTTCTCATCGATTCCAATAAACCACAATGGACACAATACAATTGTGTCCCTTAAAGAGGAGAAAGTAGCATCAAAACCACCAACTAACGAATCGGATGATTTTTCTGATTTTGGAGATTTTCAAAGTTTTTCAAATCCTACGACTAGTATTCATCTCAAATCGTCCACTTCGACTTTTAATAGTGGTTTGCAAAGTGTAAACAGCATGACACCACCAAGTCAACCAAAAATGGCACGACCACCATCATTTGACTTTGGTGATTTCGTAAGTGTCGTCCCTGAGAACAATAAGACTAACAGTGTTGTTTCCAAAGATTACTCAAACATGATTGAAGCTTGTGATTTCAATATTCCACCGTTGCCCAAAGAATCGGGGGATATTTTTATGGCTGATTCTATACGAGATTTCAATAGTTTGACCATCGATGGTTGGGACGATGACGATGATACTTTACACATTTCTGATGATGTGAAACACATAGCAAATGATAACACACTGCGCTTTGATAGTAGTGATGTGCTTTCTTTAAAAAATCACTTTCAAAGCAGCAATAATAATGAACTGCCTCTAACACGCGTTGAAAAACATAATGTGGTCATTGAAGACTCGCCAGGTAGAGTTTATTTTCCTTCAGAACCGGATACTTTCATCAATAGCAATGATACTGAGTCGGCCTCCACAACAACAAACTCTATTTCGAGCAGCAACATTCCTCACGACGATTTACCTGTTGTGTTACCTTTTAGCTTTATAAAAACCTCCCTCATTGGTTGCAGTGCAGGCAGCGGAGTTAGTGATATCGATAACCTCGAGTCCATTAAAAGTGCCTCTTTAATGGAAACAAGCAACGAAACCTTGGAATGTGTTGCCTCCCATGAGAACAAATCTGACATTTCTCCGGAAACTCGATCAATTGCAAGTCTAGATCTCGGCAGCTACTGCCCGACTTTTGATACGTCATTGACGTCCATGGAGAACAAAATTCCTTGTCTTGAAAACAACTGGAATGGAGGAGGATTGACCGCCATGCCCTTAAATAGAAATTCAAACCAATCTCGACATTTTGGTGAAAGTGATGACACCTTCATCAGCATGGAGAGAGGTAGAGGATCCAATAATAATGAGGACAATGGTACATCTGATAAATACCAGTGCTTTAGACAAGACTTGTTGGACACGGTAATAATAACAATATTAATTAACTCTTTATGTTTTTTGTTTTGAATAAGGGCACTGTTTGCCAGGAAAAATGCATACGATTACATGTGTATTTTTTCATGCATACGTATATTACTATGATTATGTATCTTTATAGGATTCTAATGTCCATTACGTGTCCATTACGATCTGGTCGAGATGTCTCGAAAGTATTAAATTAATAACCAAAACCGCAGTTGCTTTATTTAGTGGTGCTGCAAATAGCAACATTGTTCATGAAGTGGTGCTCAGCCAAAAGGGAGAAAACTATATCAATTGTAAGTGAGCAAATATGTATGCATTCGTATTTTTGTTTCAAAGTTTTAAAAGAAACATGTGAATTGTTTTAATTTTTGATTGCAGGCTTGTCTGAAGTTTATCAAGTTTTTAGTCGTGTGAAATTATCTCATAATCGAATTAACAAAATGAAGCTGGAAACGTTGTGTTCTCAGATTGAAAACCTTTGGGACACGCTTATTTCATACTTTATTGGGACGGATATACTGGTAAGTGATAGTACTGTTTGCTGTTTAGTTAATAATCACTCTAAATTTATTTAGATATTCACAACGACGTTTAATTCTATTTTGCAGGATAAATTTACAAATAGTGCAACGACAGAACTGTTTGGTGTCTCTAAAAGATGTGCGATTTGCCTCTGCTCATTTGAAGACGTGCAATTTAGTTCCCCAGTAGATTACGATGGAGTGCTATACCATTCTGGCTGTGCTAATTTATGGATAAACAATGTGGACATCCGTCTACCCTCCCTCTTAGCTTCTGACATGCAATTTGATGCAGACGTATCGAAAGGCATGTCATGTCTAACCTGATTTTAACTAAATACATACCTTTTAATTATTTTTACCTTCGCATAAAACCTCAGTTTTAATCGCAGTATCAGTAAGAATGCATATCCGTTTAAATTATTTTGATTACAAAATCATTAAAAATTTGCTCGAAACACGTTTGTTAAAGTTTCAATAAAATATAATGTCTGAACACGTCAACAATTAATTTCTGTTTTCCCATTTATTTATTGTCTAAACATAGCATAACGCATGGAATGAATTTTATAACTGTCAAGCTAGCAGTCCAACATTTTATTGCATTAACCCCCATGTCAAATTCTCTAGCTTTTTAACAACAAAATCTTTCATAATAATCCACCAGTAACTCCATAATAGTATCAATCACAGAAGACTAAGCAGAAACCAAATTATTACGACCTCATCTCTCTCCCTCTCTCTCCACTAATCCCATGATGCTTTTGGTCGCAAAGTTCTCGGAGGAAATTGAAAATAATCCCCTCATCTCCCTCACAATCCCTGTTACACTATAAACAAATGGGACATTTTTCAACCCAGTCAAGTATGAAATTCAAACCCATCTTGAAAAAAAACGAATTAAGCGTACCCCCAAATTGTACGGATTATGTAGAGCTTAGAGATACTTATATACATACATACGCATTCAGACACAACCGTCAAGTGCACTTTCATACATCAACTGTTGTACTACCTGAGTCACCAACCAACTAATACCAGTTTCCATTTCTTCTACTTAAAAGCTTCTTGTTTTACTAACGGAGAGAAAATAGTCGACGACTTTCTCTTGTCTCTCTGCTTTCACCACCACCACCACCGGGCAAGGAAGGAGCCCAGTCCGGTATACGTACGTAAAGTGGTCAACAAGACAAGACAAAGAAATGAAAAGGTTTTTCCACTATTTGCCAAAGTATTACAAGATGCATCACCACTAAGGGAAATTTTTCTTAGGATCAACAACATCATGGTGAACCCAGGCAGAAGAGATATCTTGTTAGAAGGAGAGGAGGAAGGGATGATGGGCAACATCGACGGCTCGTAAGAAACTGATTTCGTATCATCGTCTTGGTGGTCCAAATGGTATCGTTTCTTCCTAGTTTCTCGCGATGAGGAGCCGTTTTATGCTTATTATTTGCATTGGAGGGAGGGAGTGAAAGTGAGGCGAGGACGAGGAGGACGCTGGAGGATTTCTACGCTCTCAGTCATTACTTGTCTTCGTCTCGACCACCTCTGCTGACTCTCTCTCTCTCTCTCTCTCCTGACCACGTACACATAGATAAGTCGTCACCACCAACCACACCCCCTCCGTCCCAGGGGGGCCAAAATGTGGTCAAGTACTGGTAGAGTTAACACCAGAAATGCCGTCAAATTAGGAAAAGTTGGAGGAATTATAGTTATTTGAGAATTCTTAGATTGCCCTCGTCACTGCATACTCTTAAGATTTATTGGTTTATATTCCCTTAATGTCGTTTGCTAGTGGAAAATCATGTACCCCACTTTTTGGGGAAATGTATTATATAAATTTTTACAAATATTAAATTGTGTCAAGTATTGCATCCGTTTCTGACCGAGTCAGAAATTCTGGCTGGGTTGTTCGGAATAATGTGGGAAGGAAAGTGAGGCACCTCTCTTCTCACCAGTCAGTCAGTCAGTCAGTCAGTGGAGTCAGTATGTTGGGGAAAGTGAGAAAGTTGAGACTCATTCCTTCTCTTATCAGACAGGTTGACTCCAACGAATTTTGCTCTCGTGGAGAAGTAGAGAAAGTGTTAATTTTTCACCAAATCTGTTCCCCTCCTCCTGCCCACGATAGGCTCGAGTAGTATTAAGTGGAGTGCAATTGCGTATTAATTACACAGTGATCTCTCTCTCCGTTGAGGTGTGTCATATACAATTTACTTATTACTTCTCACTTCGAGGAGGTAGTGGGGAATTTTAGCCGTGTTTTGGATTGTGAATAGACTTACAAAGTGTATGCAAAGTAAGAATAATAATCATAATACGTGAATTGGTGAGGAGAAGGTCGTCGTCGTCGGCACAAGAAGAAGAAGAACCAGAAGAGGAAGAGAGTCGTCCAACGTAACAGTTTGAATTGAAGAGCGTACACGCAGCAGAGGCATGAATTTACTCTCCGTGTACTATTTGTAATGAGCAATCAGTTCATAAGACCAAGTCGCTTATTGTTTCTCAACTTTTCTCATTAAGGTTTCTTTGCATTCCATACACCTTCCGAGAAGAAGGAAAGTTGTTCTTTCTCTCCACTCCTGTCTCGCTCGGGCCGAGATGGAGTGAGCGATAAGACAAGTATTGACCCTTTCTGGCACGTATGAACTCTTGAGGAGGAGGGCAATTGAGCCGAACAAGTAGACTAAGATGATGCTAAGCTCGAGGGGAAATAGCAATGGGAGCAGTGCTGACAGCATTGCCCATCCTGCTGACGGCAACAATAGTTTAGTGTCCAGACCACTCACCAAATCTGACAATAATTTGGATGCAGAGCCGCCATGCAGAAATGCCAGCGCGGCCGCCCTCGCCTCCGCGTCGGATGGGAGGGAGACGTGGAACAAGAAGGTCGAGTTCCTCCTCGCCGTCATCGGATTTGCCGTCGACCTCGGCAACGTGTGGCGATTCCCGTACATATGTTATCAAAATGGGGGAGGTGAGTCTCAATACTAAATATTTCTCATACCTCTGCTCCAACAACTCGCTTTGATGGAAGCTCAGACGTGAAATCAAGCTTAATTGGAGGAGGCCTCATCTTAATGATGAGAGATTCATGCGTAACCCATTTAAGTTCACCTGTTAATTAGCCCCATTGTCTCTCCTCTCCATACCTCCAAGGGTAGAGAGTGCATACACATGTACATGTAGATATGTATATCTAGGCCTGCCTGCAGTAGGTAGAATAGCTACTTGATCTTTGCTATCTTTGCCTACAATATAGTTTGTAGTTGATGTAATTGTATGGAATCAATTCATTAACACTCACTTGTCACATTATTTCGTAATCACCTTCGACACTGTCCATTCCATCCTCTTTATTGATGTCAAACATTCCACGTCTTCCTCCTCCCAAGTATTTACTCAACTCTCCATTAACACTGCTAAATGCAACATTTTTGGCTCCATCATTTCCAGTGTCGCTAAAGTTATCGACCATGCAGATATGTGTCTCTCTCTTCTACTATGCGAGCCAGTGCATTAACATGATTCTTTTCTCTGAATCCAACATGTTGGCAGCAGCTTGAGAACATGCGAAACACTGGCAGTGATTGGCATAACATTAATAGCAATGTTTACTGTTTATTTAATGTCCGCTACGTGTGGGGTGTGTGAATAATACTTTGGCGAAATTTGTCGTCGTACATGTCGCCAAGGTGATCATTTCACTCTGTTTGAGTGAGAGTGTGCCGGGTGTGAATTGCTTTTAAATACATTTTTACTCTCCATTTAAGTATGTTCAATGCAAACAGAGCGAATAATCATCTCTCACTCTTTTGCAGGAGCCTTTTTAATCCCGTACTGCATAATGTTGGTGTTTGGAGGTCTCCCCCTGTTTTACATGGAGCTGGCGTTGGGACAGTATTACAGAAGTGGATGCATTTCCGTATGGCGTCACATTTGCCCTGCTTTAAAGGGTAAGTTTTTTCAGATTATGCAATCGTAATTACGGTTTTAAATACTCCAATTGACTTGTTTATGGCAAGACATATTTCTGCCGTATCGCTTAAAATGTGTTCAATAAATTATTCTATTTCTGAGGAAGGAGCATGCATATTTAAACTGGTGCAAAATTTAAGAAATGTTAAGATATGGGATTTTATGGAAATATTTTTTTGTAGTCAGATTTTTGGTAGTGTAGAAATTATGAGCATGATTAAGTCTTATTGTTTGTATTATTATTTGCTTAGAAGATTATGTAATTTTTGAGCGAAACGCTTGTGTGCATAATTACGGATTTCAGAGTGTCCTTGAGACGGCAGGTTGTGTGCTTTGGGCGCAGTTGTAAATGTCTCTAAATGACACGATGGAGGTGTATGAGTTGAGCCGAGGGACTGATTTTATGAGATTTCTTCTATTATACGATACAATACGAGATTTAGATGAGACAAAGATATATATTTTCTGAGAGGTAAAACATAATTGGATGTGAGAGAAAGATTGCTGTTGTGATGTTCACATCCCTTGTGAGCACTTGAACCGTCCAAGTCAATAGGGCGACAGGGAAGAAGGTGTCGAAAGCGGTGGACAGTTTGTGAGTGGCGTACGATGGACAGCGTCAACTATTATTAGTTAGACAAGAAGAGAGAGAAAGTGAGACGACATGGACGACGACGACGACGACGACGACTAGTTTTGGCCACTCGAGAGAGAACGTGCAACTAAGGCTATTACGAAGTCCAGAAAATAACGTCGATAGATAACAACGGGTGAACAAACAGCTAAATGGCACGACTCGTACAGGTCGGAGCGAGTACGATTGCCAGGGGATTTGCAGACATCCAATTACCAGAATCCATTTTAACACTTCACTCTTTGGATAAATGATTCGTCATGATACAGTAAATTGAGGGTGAAAGAGCTCCTGGCTTCCATCACATAATCAGAAACCACTCAATCCTGGCTGAAAATTAATGGGTCCATCCCGATCGGCCCGATCTTGCTCAGTCCGCAGAAATATTTCATGCAACCTCATTACTGGTGGTCTGACCATCCGACACTTCGTCAATCCATTTATACACTTTTGTCCACCACACTGCAGCTCCTCTTCTTCTTCTGGCTTCTGTCTCTCCTTCTTTTCACTGTCCATCCAAATCTCGCCATATAAATTTTTATATAAGTATCTGTCGCCCAGCTTCTTTCAATTCCGATTTCAAAGCCGTGCTCATCCTCCGCTCGGCTTATAAGTGCTCACCACATGCACATGCTTTTCATACTTTTCGACATGAGCAAAAACCACATCAAACCACGAACACTCAGAGTTTACGAGTTTGTCACATATTTTTATTAGCTGGACATTCCGATGTGATGCACGATATAAGTTTTTCCAAATGTAAATGCAGGAATTTCTATGCTAATTACGCTATTAAAATAACATCGGAATAACGGAGATGTCACATACATGACAGACACATGTATCTTGTGACTTGTTTCGAACAGCATGAGCAAACCTGATCTGGATGTAATAATGTGTTGACAGGAGTAATAAGTGAAACGAAAATAGCTTAAACGTCTGGATGTGTCAGTTTAGAAAGAACAGGAGGAAGCAATAGAAAAAGAGGACGATACGAAGATCCTCATCTCTCGAATCAAATCCCCAAATTTCGTCATTGACAGTTCTCATTTTCTCTTTGATGTGTCTTTTCGGCGTACGTGCAGGAAGTCGTAACTGTGTACGAAAGAAATATATAGAGCAGGCCACATTCTAGATGTTCATCTCTTATACTAATCTCTAATCCAGTGGAAATTGGGACTTCAAAACTCACATTTAATTTTAGAATCGTTGAATTCAATGCCTCGAATTTTACCTACGAAGATAGTTGCTTTTTAAACTTCGTCACAAATCATTAATTTTTGACGCATTGTTTAACTGCTGTCTATCAAGTCTCATCAGTCAATCAAAATTTATGGTTTTTAACAAATTATTTTCAGGACTGGGCTATGCAATCTGCATAATTGACCTGTACGTGGGGATGCATTACAACACGATAATTGGTTGGGCAGTGTACTACCTGGTGGAGTCCTTTCAGCCCATCTTGCCCTGGCTCAGTTGTGACAATGAGTGGAACACGGATAACTGCACGCTGATTAAGGATATCGCCAATCTCACGGATTCTGAAGGAGCAACAAGTCCGGCGAGAGAGTTTTACGAGTGTGTACCTTTCACTTATCACCCAAGCTCTCCTTCCACCACTCTTGACAACTTTCTCCCTCTCTCATTCTCCTCCTTTCTCCTTCTTCAACTTCTCGGAGAATAACAAGTCTGACAAGCTCAAACGACTTTGGTCTCAAATGTTATCCTCTCCAAAGAGCATAGTTCTCCTCTTTGTTAGTTTGTCTTCTTCGCACGGTCTTCGTGACATCATGATGAAAAAGTTTGTCCCAACCAACACATACAATGGCACGTTGTCTGTATGTACGGCAGGCATTTCTTAGTTCATCAGTAGTCCGAAGTTGCTAAATACAGTTAATAATCACTCAAAGACCACTTGTCCCAAGTTCACACAAGGAGATGTTCACCTTCAAATGATCTTGTTTTCCATTCTTTTTTAATTGATTCTTATAAAAGAAAAATGCTTGAGAGTGACAAACAAAAGATGATTATTTTGAGTATCAAGATGTAGAAAAAGTTTAAAACTTTTAATATTTTGATAAGAAATTCATGTACTTTGTACTATTTTTCAGACGAAAAGTTTTAGAAATGCATTTATCTGATGGGGTGGACAACCTTGGCACGATGCGATGGCCGCTCGTTCTGTCCGTTCTGGTCGTCTTCGTTCTTGTCTACTTCTCCCTCTGGAAAGGCGTTCGGAGCACTGGAAAGGTACACAATTTATGTATTTACTCTCCTGTTTTCTCTCTCTGCTGTCCAACCTCAGGCTTTTTTAGCACATTTCTCCCTGGCAATAAAGAACGTTCCAGGTGATAACGTCAAGAAGAGCTCATGCATAACTTCCAAATGAGATTTTCGTACTCATTTTCCACCAGATTATCCGCTGTAGGGGGGTCAATTTAGCGAGTTCTCACCCTCCCATTAGTTTAACCCTCACGTTAATTAGAGATAATTAAGTCTTCATTAATTGACTCGAGTACCCAATTACTGTCCATCCAACTACATACGTACATGCTTCCACACACCCAATTACCGTGAGCCTCCGCCTGTTAAATCCTATTAAGTGAAGGGCTGCAAGGGTTTGAAGATGAGTCTTCGAACGGAGGGAAAGCATAATGTGGAAGAAATACATAATGGGGCGCATCACTAGTGGTGCTTCTTCTCACATCTCTCCTCTAAGCTGGACACTCGAACGGACGGCCCGAAATGTTCATTACTCTTTCTTTGTATGAGCAGCATAAGGGAATGCGGAGAGCGTGAATGTGAAGAGGGTTTTGACTGTGTGAGGCTTTGCTTTGATTTAATTTAGAGGTGTAAAGTACATTAAAGGAAATGAAATGGAAGAAGTGGGGAAAGATACGGTGAACCAGACGGTCTTTTTGGAAAGGGATGGATGGATGAGAGAGAGGAGGGAAGCCAATCAGTGGGAAAAGTGGTGGTAGCATTATTGTATCGGCTGCCTGGGCTTCGATCCTCCTCTTTTTCGCCCAGATATAGGGCTTCAGTCGGAGAGAGATACGTGTAAAATTTATGGACTCATCCCCATTACTGAGTGTCCATAACAAGGATACGTGCATGTGTCGGTCTGTCCAGCACAGGGAGAGAGAGAGAGAGAGCAGAGAGAGAAAGTGAAGAGAAGAAGGATTTTAGAATTACAAATAAGTAAGACCCTCTCTCACTTTTGGTGTGATTGGCACTCTTGCTTTCTCTCTTTCTCCATGCCTGCCGCCTGTGATTGCATCTCGTCTCTTACTCAAATTAAACCCAGGGAAGGAACGAACGAACGAACGATATTGCCACCTTTAGTGCCCTTCTTTAAATTTCAAATCAACTTCCTTCCTCACCACTTTCCCCGAAAAGAATTGAAACCTGTTGACTTCTCTCAGTAGCATCATCAGTCAGTCAGATACTCCACTGCCGCCGCCGTCACTGCCGCCGTCGCCGCTACCTCCATTCCAATACTCGTAGTAGCCATGAACTGAATTTTATGAAACTTCCAAGTGCTTCCCCGCACACGGGACCTGAATTGCCACTCCCGCAAATTCATACGAATCCCCTGCATAGGAGGACACTAGGAAAATTCTGAATAATTCATTGCAGTCAAGTCGCTACGAGTACCCCATCCAGCTACTCAGCAGCGCATATGTATAGGCTCCGAAGGACGGGCTCGTTGCACCACCACGAAATACCGTACAATAGGAATACATACATATCTACGTCTCCGATTTAGATAACCTTTCTCTCCCAGCCAGGCACGTACGCATTTAAACAGTTTACTGCACCGTCAAACGCTGTTTTGTCTCAGAGTCTCATCTATCGAGTAAGTAGGCGACGACAATGTATAGGTATTCACTTTCTCCAGCAACCCTCGGCCTCGATTGTTGCATCACCATCACGATCACCACCCGTGTTTCGAGTTATGTACTGAAAATGCTGTTAAACGTATAGTGTTGGAAAGAATGGAGGGTTTTACAGGACCAAATAATATTTGTTTTTCTCTCCGTTTTACGACAGGCCGTGTGGATTACTGCACTTGCTCCCTACTTTGTCCTGTTCATTTTGCTGGGGCGAGGTGTCACTCTTCCGGGAGCATCGGATGGCATCTACTACTACTTGACCCCACAATGGGAGAAACTTAAAACACCAAAAGTAAGTAGTACACTCTTCTCTCTCTTCGGTGATGAATAATAATCCTACCATTATACTTACAAAGTGTACATATGAGAAGAGCTACACTCGAGCTAAATCTTTTCCTCGCACCTTTTTTTTAGGTTTGGATTGATGCAGCAACCCAAATCTTTTTCTCACTCGGACCTGGATTTGGCACACTGCTTGCTCTTTCCAGCTATAACAAATTTCATAACAATTGCTACAGGTTGGGACTTTTTTGGAAAAAGTTTTAAATTTTCTAATGAGAAGGATTGCTTGAACTGTTTCTTCGTAATTTTGGGCGAGTAGAAATTTACGGGTTAAGCTTACGTGGATCTATAGTAAAAGACATTCTGGAGTATGTCCTTACATGATCAGAAAGTGTGTCTGTAAATCATTTATAAAATGGTCAATTTCCTTTGTGGGGTATGTGACTTCATTTCATGTTACCACGTGAGACAATAGTTTGAGGACGTGAGACATAATTTTGAAAATACGTGACGTAATTTTCAAAATTCAGTTACATAATATGTAACTTGAGTTTAGAAAATCTAATCAAATGCAAACTATATGATTATTATACAATTTGCGTATGCAAATGATCCGTATTTGGCAAATATTGCATAGGTTCCACTAGCTTAAAACGTATCACAGTTTTCTATAAGGAATCTATTCCTCGAGATTAAATTATATAAACAAGTTTACCACTAATTACTATACAGGCTGAAGAATGAAAAGGGTGACGCTTTTGGCCTTTTCACGCCGATGCGTATGTGTTTAGTTTATGTACAAAATTGGTACGTGTTTTATACTTGTACAATACATCCTACCCCAAAAACATGTAACACTGTCGCCCTTTAATCGTGACGATGTCTACATATCTTGCAAGAAATTGATTTCACCGGATTTACAGAAAACAGTTGACAAATGAACCTCGCAAAGTAAATCACACCTCCGATTACAACTTCGAAATCCCGTCATTAATCTTTGTAAATGTATGCCTCCCAATTCCACGTAGAATTCCAAACCCGGTATGATTAATCTCAAACGTACATTGATCGTATATGTATGTATATCCGATTAGAATTGGAATTATGTAGAGTGCAATTTAAACAAAAGTAATCTCCGTATTTCCTCTCTCTCTACACAATCTCAAATATTTGAACTTCTCAAAATTTCACACTGAAGCTTTTTTCACCCATTTTTTCAGAGATGCTATAATCACCAGCTCTATCAATTGTCTGACAAGCTTCCTCGCTGGATTCGTAATCTTTTCTGTCTTGGGCTACATGGCCAAAGTGCAGAATAAGAGTATCGACAAGGTTGGCCTAGAAGGTAACGAAAAGGCCTCTGTTTTCCTGCCGACATTTATTTTGTGACTTAACAGTTAACTAATCAAGCTAATTGATGCTTTGTTTCTGGACAGGCCCTGGCTTGGTGTTCATCGTATACCCGGAAGCAATTGCAACAATGCCGGGCTCTAATTTTTGGTCCATTATCTTCTTCCTCATGTTGATTACATTGGGATTAGATAGCACATTTGGAGGATTGGAAGCCATCATTACAGCGTTTTGCGACGAATATCCCACTCTCTTGTCCCGAAATCGTGAAGTATTTGTTGGGCTACTGCTCGTCGTCGTATTCCTCCTCTCGTTACCAACCTGCACACAAGTCACATTTATTATAGAGCTCTAAAAAAAATTTGTATGATTCTTAATAAATATTGTATTTTTTACATGTCACGATAATTTACAGGGTGGAATGTATCTCGTCAACTTTTTGAACATTTACGGACCCGGAATTTCAATTCTGTTTGTCGTGTTTGTCGAAGCTGTGGCTGTCTGTTGGTTGTACGGAGTGGACAGATTTTCGTCGGATGTTGAAAAAATGATTGGTCATAGACCCAACCTTTTCTGGAGGACGTGTTGGAACTACATTACACCGTGGTTCATACTGGTACCTAAACCATATAAGACATGCATTGTCATATGAATACTTTCACTTTTCACAAAATTTTCTTATTTTTAATCTCGTGTTTCAGTTTATTTTCGTCTTCTCCATCATTACGTATGAAGATTTGAGGACGGAGGATTACATATATCCGAAATGGTCCATACATATTGGATGGATGATGACAATGTCATCTCTCATGTGTATTCCGCTGTACATGGTCTACATGTTCATCAAAACACCAGGATCTTGGCAGGAGGTACATAAAAAAGTCGATACAAATTAGACAATACAATGAGGAAAATTTGCACTATTTTATTATAATTGAAATTCAGAGAATTGCAAAAATGATCAAACCGGTGGACCCTGCCGACATGATTGTATACTCTACAACACCCAATTATGGAACGTCGGTGTAAATGGTGTGGGATTCTTGGCTCCCTGTTTTACTAATCTGGCACAATAGGAACAGGTTGCAAGATCATCGAGTGGTCACACCCAGTCACCTATTAAATACGTAACCAGGTCTGGATATGCAAACCACAATTTGGATTCTGTTAACAATTGTGTGATACTGTTACGAGTTTCATACAGACGCTGGCATGTCTCTAATGCTTTCTTGCCAATCTGTCATGTGGCAATAATTGTGAAATTACAATAAATTGTATAAAGTTTATTGTCTAATAGGTTTCCGAGGCTTGTGGTTGTTGTTTTTATTCCAAAATTGTGCTTAATCGTGTTGATCGCCAATGCAGCTGCAATCCTGCTATCGTTTGAAAAACGTTGCCAATGATAAATTAATACCAAAAGTATTAGAAGTTGCCAGTCCTCCTAAAATCATGCCCATGAAAAATACTTCGCTATGAATAAAATACAATTCTTCCACATGAAAGTTGGTCGATTGCGCTTGGCGGAGGTTTATCCGAGTACTTGAATTCAGTGGCTACAAATAACAAATTGTCAATATTAGATAAATAAATAATTGGATCTATCAAAGGCACAAAATATATATGTACCAATAAAGTCAGTGACTATCACCACCGAGAAATAAGCACAATGGAATCTTCCATCTGCCAATTTGATGATCTTCGCTTCGTCGTAAATCCCGGCCTTCACTTTTTGGTGATGATTTGGTGAACCTGTACAAAAAATGATTTGAATTACTTGTAATAGGCCAATAATCAGGTTTGCCTTACATCTGCTTCACTTTATGGATTGGAGCCCATAATGTCAATTCAAATCCAAATCATTCCCCTTAACGCGATCCAAGTAGTGTCGAATCTCGTCAATAAAATTGGCAACAACCATCCTCCACATGTCAAAATCGGGAAGCAAACTTCCTTAGAAAACTCCTTATTCAGTTTGAAGTTGGAGAGTGAAGTTGACAGCAGGGCTCCAACGGAAGAAATCTCGATCTTCTCCCTTTCATCTTCAGGTTGCTAACCTTGGTGTGGCGTAAGTCATCATCACCATGCAGCAGTGACAGTCCCTTCCTCAACCCTATCACTGGAGGATCTACACAATTTTGAGATTTCCCATTCACACTTTTCATCATACATACATACTCATTTTGATAAATGATAAATTGTGAGATGACACCCGTCTTCTGCTGATATAGTCATCTTTTAGTAGTCACTAGCACATTTCTATTAACTTTTCATTACAACTTGGAGTGAAGTGAACGTTTTTTTTTGTTTAACTACAAAAAAACAAGGTCATTCATACGCGACAGAAAATTATTTTACCCTTGAAACCTGTATGTTATAATTTGATGAGACTTTTCTCACGACTTGCGTATGTCATCATCATCATTATAACGCACTAAATCCTCCACCTTGGCATTTCATTTCTATACGGTAAGAACATATCGGGAGATTATCATCAATCGTCTCGCCTCAACATTTTCCTGACAGTTTCATAATTTTTTCAGCCAACTTGTAATGAATGACGAGTATTAAGTGTACAGCGTGGAAAGACGTAGTTTTTTGTATTGATGGATATGCAATAAAAACTGCGAGGCAACGTTCATTTTTTATTAATTGGACCACATTGTATATAAATATATACATAGCGTACGTCGAATCTATATTTATTATGTTAGCACGATACTTTCGGAGTGCAGTGGTGGGGTTCAAAAAATTATAGGTCAAATTACCTTTTCTGCACTAATGCATCCCAACATAATAATAGCTTTAATAATGCAGAGAGAGAAAGAGAGTTGGTCGTCATTAATCAAAAGATGATGGTGCTGGTACTTATTTTATGCTGGCGTAGCTCAACAAAGGTATCGTATCGCCTGCTTTACGAATTCTTGCTGCATTACCAAACTCAATCCACGTCTTGACGTATTATCGTTCTCGCACATAATAAAATTAGACCCGAAACCCATCAAGATCTGATTCAAGCTTTACAGACAAGTGAGAATTTAAGTGCTTTCTAATCTTAATCCATCAATTAGTAGTTAATTACTTGCAAAAAGAATTGTCTGTTTTTGCCAAATTTTCTCAGTGACCTTTGCAATAGAAAATAAGAATGTTATAAATCTGCAAGCCCACGCGGGTACGATTTCACCCGACAAACAGGCTCCTAATTAAAGCCCGGATGCTGCTTTCTTTCACCATCTTGAGCAACAAGAACTTTCTCTGCAAAGTTATACGTTGGGGGGAGCTGATACCAACCATTGTATATTATTTCTGAGGAAAAAGCAGTCTCAACAACCTGCTCTCTGCATTGAATTGTTCTCCTTTTGTCCTTTTCGTCCATATCAGTAAGTATTCCATGAGCCCAAAAGACCACAGGGCTCTGAAAGGTTGCGGTTATTCAATAAACCATTTTCATACCAGCATACATTTTAATTGTCAAGATTGCTTATGATACAATTCATTTATCAACCTTAAAATTCATTCCATCATCACATGTGTGTGCAAGGCTTTTTTTGTGTGTACCTACATCCGACCTCGGTGAAAGTTTGTATTTTTACTCACGGCAAATTTTTTATTTATGGAGGACGCCCTTTCCCATCGGTCTTTTTTTGTTTACCGTTTCAAGGCGAGCAAGTTTCAATTCGGAAAGTCGCCATGTGAGTCTTGTCGTCAGACTGGGAACAATTCTTTATTCCAGAGAAATTTAATATTTTTTGGACCTCAAATCAAATGACGGTGGGCGAAACGTAGCTTTTTTCTTGGAAGTTTGGTTGAAAAGGTGAAGTTATTCATGAGTAAAAAGACAGTAAATAAAAAATGACGAAAGGCTTGCCTACACATATGTACGTAGAAAGTAGGAAAACATGGCACATAGAGAACTAACCTGGGGAAATTGGTAGTTTTTTTAATATCAAAAATGTCTCCCGGAAGCTTAGATTCGTGGGGATGAGAGACAGGGGGATGATGAATTAATTGAAAAAGACGCCTCAAGATCGTACATACAATCAACGAGTCCACCTACACTTTCCTGAATTGAATATATGAAGATTCATGGCTGAATTAAATAAATGATCAAGACTCGCTACAAAACAGTACACTGAATCAAAGTGGATTATCCACATGGATTTCTTTCCTAGAAGTCACTTCTTTTTGTCGTCTTATTATTAAAGGAATGGAGAGTTTGGTGGGTGCGATTTTAAGTGGACTGAGTGTATTTAGTCGACTTCAATTACGCCCTGCATTTGTCACCAGTAAGACCAGCTCGACCCTAAATTTATATGTATGTAGGTCCGGATCGGAGAATGGAGACCATTTGCTGAGTGCCCAATTAAAATTTCATGGCCGATGCTTAGTAACTTTATCGCTGCTGCTGCTGCTCTGCCGACGACAAATCAACCAGTTTGGACAGTCCTGATTTATAATTGCTTACTTGTCCACAAAACTTTGTGATGACCTTCTCTTCCAATCCGTTGGTCATTTTATTTTACGACACGAGGGCGAATATACAGCTCTGGAACTTCATTTAAAATTTTAATTTCTCGAAATTTTGTTGTCAATAGACAAACTCTAAATATAGTCGTCTCCAAATGCTCATATGACCTTTATATATGGAACAGGCCATACATTATGGTATGACGAAGTGTCTTTATATGGAAATAGATTACGGTATGACGAAGTCTCGCAATGGAAATGGTTTGCAAATTTTGAGAATGAATTTAGTGTTTGCTGACAGTTAAAATAAGAAGGATTAGTTTATTTGAGGTAACATTTCCAATATACAGGGTTTTGAATCATGAGATTAAATACTAGTACAGACTCTGCAACATTCTACTAATTTATTAAACCAAAGTATTGAATTGACCCGTAAGACGGACATGCACCAAAACTCGGACAATTTTTAGATTCATTTTATATGTACGCACCTCTTTTTCGCTCTCTATTTCATACTTTTCTACCCTTAACTTTATTTATTTATCTTTAAAAATGACATGTATGGCTTAAAATAAAGCTTAAACCAAGTGTGAAAATTGATTTGAATTGTTAACTAACTACTTCCACTATAGGTTATGCTAGAAAATTGGGAGAACTCTAATTTCAGAAAGATCACATATGAACCACTTGAGACACTTCATTTTCTCAACATAAATACATTACTTGGTTACACTTTCTCAATCATTCATCACATTTTTATTGGTACATACTTTTCTAAAAATAATAATTTACCAACCCACAACCGTCTACAAATTAGATTGGCTTAAATAGAACCAAACTTTTCCTCGCCAACTCAAAGATCCTGCTTAGCCACCAAATCTCTTAGCACGGATAACACAGATTTTGATCAGCCACCACATCGACAATCTTCCTCACTCGCGATAATTACTACATAATATGCTCATTTAGTATATCTTTAAACTTTTGATATTCTTTTTCTTCTTGATAAGTTTCTGCCACACTTAAAAGTTTACTTATGGAATCCAGGATCACGTCTCCTACACGGTATATTTTTCTCCTTATTTTTTTGTGATAAGATTAGCAGACATGTAAAACATTTATCTAACAGGTATATACATTTTAACGTAATACTACTCATATCCATTTAATAATATTTATTACTATGTATGTATTCGTATGTATTGTTGTTGAATAGACATCACACGCATCATGTAAGTACATATTTATAAGAGGAAAATTTATGTAACATTTTTATCCATGTATGATATAGTTCAACATGATTCTACTTTGCTACATAAGTAAATAATTATACGATGCGCTATGCAGGGAGGTTACCTATTCAGCGAATATTATTCAATTACTTTACATAAAGCTGGCTTTTGCAAACATCAAGCAGGAGATCTCCTTTGGGGGATGATGATGATAACTCGCCTAATGCAACAGTCTTTTGGCCTTAGTTAGTACTAGTACTAGTATTCAGTAGTAGTGGTAGAATATGGGGAGAGATAAGATTATGTATGAACTCTAAAGCCAGATAACATTTAAAGTGAGATATGTTCAGAGTTAAGAGTTTTTGCGGCGAAAGGTCACTAACTACGAGTAAGTCGAGGAGGAGACGACATTTGGCAAAACGTGGAAAAGTTTTTCGGCATCCAACTAACTAACATTTACATTGTACATTTAGTGGTGAAAGTAAGTAAGCAAACAAACTACAGAGTTGATAAACTAGTGTGAAGGGGAACAGCGAATAATGTAGTAATACTTGTTGGATTTTACTTTGGAGAGCGTGGGTAGTGACGCTATTCGTTGGTGGTGGTGGTCGGTGCAGACATTGTTGCAACTCAAATCAAGCGTGGGTGAAAGTTATCCCTCTCTGGACACAGGGCCCAGCAGCTGCAGCGGTAGAGTAACGTGTCGAAAAGGGGGACAAAGCGTGTGGGTGCACTACATTTAAATATGTATGTATGCATGCTTGCATTATATGAGACTTGACGCCCATGATTATAATCTGCAGAGGAGGAGGAACGAACATAACCATGCGGAGAGATTTTTGTCACGTTGAGCGGAAAAGTTGGAGTAATAGAGTTATATGTTAATTTTCCCATGGTTTGTTTTCACCATGGAGCCACTTTCGAGCAACCGTTCTTGAGGATCTGGGTTGTGATGCCTGGAGGAGTCGGTCGCCTCGAGGTCCTCCAACTGTTCCAACCTGGGCTTGGAGAAGGTCCATACATCTTCGAAGGAGTCCACTGGGGGGTATAGTTCATTGCTAGTGGTGTCGTCCGCTATGGCTGCCTGTTGTGGAAACGGGTCCATCTTTTTCCCTCTCATTCCCAAAAACCCAGAGGGACCTTTCTTGCCTCGCATGCCGAAAAAGTTGGAGCCCACTACTTTCTTGCCTCGCATGCCGAACCAGCCTGCGGAGGGGGTTCGCTTCCATGGCTCCATGTCGTGGAAGAACTAGACAACAAGGCGCAATATAAAATCATCCGAGACATTCATCAACCGTTCCCCTCTTTGCATAGGAACGGAGGAAGAGGTGGTGGTGATTTTAGCTTTATTATGGTTATCCGTATTATCCGATAAGCAACGAAAAATGATTGATGTATTCTATTAGCACGTTCTCCTCAATAAGTCTACAAATGCACCCGCTCAAGACATCTCTTGATCCATCAATTAAGAAAGAAGATTTCAGACAGCACGGTGCACAAATATCTAAAGAAATCTATTTTGGAACTTGAGACACATCAAAAGTTGTGAGACTACGGCTACTAAATTTATTGCACCGTTTTAATATTTTACTCAAAAAGTAAAAATAATCTTTACTTTTGTCTAGAAATTTTGGCTCGAAATTATTAACTAGATACTGCTAAACTACACATCACCACCCACATGAAGCAAGTTTAAAACTCGTCTCACCTGAAAATAGTTGCGAGGATTTTCTATCGGGACGAGTCGTCTGGTATAGTACTTGGACTCTGGCGTGAAATCTCTCTCTAAACAGGTCGCCATCATTGACACGGACAGCACGACCAGTACGATCATCGCGACGCAGTCCGTCACTCCGGATGGAAATCGTAGCAGACTCATCTTCACTTTTTCACAGCTAAAATTGTCAAAAGTCAAAAACCAACAAATAAATTACTTATGACTCGAAAATAGTTCGACGCGACGACACAACATTTCAGCTCAGCTCGCCTCGCCACATTTAAACCCCCGTTCACAAAGTATCAGAATGTTGTCGAGTGCGTGGGATGTGTGGCTGGCTGGCTGTATATGTAAATATGTGGAGAAAAACAGTGCAGACGAGTAATGGTAAAGATAAACAGAATTAAACCAGTATATGCTAATCGCATCCCCAATCGAATTATTACGCCCTGAACAAACAGCACAACCCTCTCAATCAAGACTGAAGCAGTGTGGTGAATGCTTTCACCCATCTCAATACCGTCGGTCGCCGTGGTGCTCCAAATTTTCTACCTCAGCCATGACTTGGGGTTTCGAGGTACTGACGCAAATCAACTGCGACTCATTTGTGTGGTTCGGCCCCTAATTAAGATGGCTGGTGGAAATCATAGCTGTCAAAAGCTGTTGCAAACATTGCTCCAATCAGGCATTTCTCCAATGGCATACCAATAGCCTCACTTATTTACTTACTGCTCCTACATATGTCGAATGCCTGTTTTTCACATTGTTGTTGTCGATACGAGATGTTTCTTTGTGTGAAAAAGGGTAGCATGATTGGCATTTGACCATGTTTGATGAAGGATTTGTCTGCCAAATAGTTCCGGAAATGTTTGTGTGAGTGCAAACATTGTCTGCATATGGAACAAAGTGGAATATTGCATTCCTCTCTGATACGTCAGAAATGAACTATTAAAACGTTATAATTTCTCTCCCTTCCGTTCTTTTAAGTATGACGATTGTTGTTATTTCAATCCATTCACATTGTGCATAAAGCAAGCGACCAAGCTTAGGCCTCCTCTCATTTTAATTGAAGTTATGAGGGACTCGGTAGCGTGTTTTATGCTCAATTCCTTACGAAACTGCCCGTTATGGTCAGGTTGCCCCCGAAGCGTAACGCCCCCACTAAAAAATGCGATTATGCTTGTGTAAGCATGTGTACATTCATACATACGTCTCCCGCAGCATACTTAATAGGAATAAATCACACCCTACAATTACAACCAATTGACCATCGGAATTTATCAAGTCTGCTATTTATAGTTGAAAAAAAGATAAAATCTGCGTCATGTTAGCAACATCCGTTCCAGCCAACGCAAATTGTGTTAAACCAGTCAAAGAATTAGCCCTCCACCACCACGGAAAATACGAGAGGGCAAAATGAAGAGGACAGATCTCTAGATAAGAGTAATTAACCGTTTTGCCAAGATCTTGATGTCCTGTCGTTCTCTGCCTACAATCCGTCAACTAAACCTGGACGGTATACCGCATAAAGTGAACAACCCACACCTTCACCACCACGACATTCGACAGCACACAACCGCCAACGAGGGTGGAGAGTGTGACAGGTAGAGCATGGATAAAGCAATTAAAACATATCGTCGTCCATTACTTGGAGCAATCAACGTGTCCACATGAAAATATATGCCAACAAGCACCGCACCGCTAGTTGAATCCCCAAGCTAACAACAAGTAATGAGTAAAACCATCAAGTTGCCACTTTCTTCTGCCCCCACAGAATGAAAAGTCATCAGAAAACTATGCCTCAGTCACCACTAAACTAAAATTACAACATTACGTAGTCTCTCATCTCTCTACATTACTGCTTTCAGGGCCAACTCAATATTCATTTTTGGCACACTGCTTCCTGATTTGTGCCAAATTTCTCAGAATTCTAACAATTATGACGAACTAAAAATTATTATCAAGACAATTCAGACCCACTCACCTACTAACCGAGGTACACGATGTCTTCCCAGCAGCAACCAGAAAAACGGCCACGTCCACTTTGACGAAATGGGGAATTTGAGATTTTCTTAGCTTCTTGTGTACACACTTGAGTAAGGTATCGAGTTAAGGACGAAGAGTGAGAGAAAGTGAGAGAGAGAGAGAGAGAGAGAAAGCGATGGGGAAAACAGGACCAGCACAATGAACAGCTTCTCAAGCACTGGACGAGCACTACTTCTTAGGAGGACGACAACTACTCTTGAAGTCGCACTAAACCAAGTGGGTGGTGGGCTCAGGCGTTTAAATACATTTCCGACCCTGTTGGTCCGAGCTCTTGTAATGGGGTTGATCGCCGACCTTTCTCGTACATCGTCGCTGCCACCAACTCGCCAGCACCATACGGAGCCTTATTATTGTAGCCCGTCAATCCTAATAACTGCCTTATTTGCACTCGCCCTCTCTAATGACTCCAATGGCTCAGGGAGAAAATACAACTTTATCCAAAGTGGGGGCTGAAAATTGAATTGCAAATCTGGACGAAAATATTATTCCCATTCACAGAAGTACATATGTGGAAGTGGTAATTGCTCACCCAGTGAAAGGATTTGTTGCGAAAAATGTGAGAATGATGATACAAATTTTCAGTAGCAATACGTTTCACACTTTTATCGTTAGTATTTCATATTAACAAAAAATTCCTCTTCTATTAAATCATTTGGAGTCCTAAAATAGACCTGCCGATGTTCTAGTCTCTACTTCAAAGGGAAATAAGCCCCTCAGTTACGCCCTTTCATCACTTCACCATCGTAATTAGCATATAAGCTAGCCACGCAAACATACCAACCACATCATCAACCTTTAAAAGATTGACTTGGCCACTTTAAAACGTCACCGGTTTGTTTAATACCAACGACTCTCCTTGAGCTCCTTCCACAAGGAATGGAGTGGCAATAACAATAATATTTAGTTGATCAAGTGTTCCGCAACCATTGAATGAACAAACCTCAACAGTCGTTTATGCGCCCAACGACTACCACAAGTCAATCATTCCTTCGTGCTAATAATGATATATTCGATTATAATTCAGCCCTTATTTTAAATCTCGCTACAATTTTGGCACGATTGCTCAACTCGAACATATTTATGTATGTGCCAAATGAAACGATACGCCCTAGTTTAGAAAGGGCAAAAATATTGTGCGCTTGAAATTCTGAATTTTTTAGTTTTGAACACACGCAAAAATTTAAAGGATTCGTAAACTTCATTCATATTCTCGTCGACTATCTGAAAAGTAAATATACACAATTTGAAGGACTTTCTGTGGACGGAATATTTGCAATAGTTGAGGTTTTGCAGTTTTATGGGAACAAAGTACTGAGAAAAGGGAAAGCACACGGTACTGGTCTCTGGGTTCATGCATGCCTACCTTTTATTGGGCTCTTTATCATTAAATTCCTTCCGCATTAAGCGTATACTTGACTTTAATCAATAATTGTTTATGATTTCATAATAATATTCAAAGTAACAAATGGAATGTTTCAGTTCAGTGAATAATATTATTCAATCTGCACAATTTATGAATACTATAATCAAAGAGAAAGGTGCTTGTCTCTAGCTGTGTATTAATACCTCGCTAAGAAAATATAACCATTCACTATTCCTGACCAAATATGTATGTATACATTTTCTCGAAAATAAAACTGTTGCACACACTTTAGCAAGCTTTACTTCGTTGCACATAAAGAAGAATGACTTCTCTGCTCTCCTACATACGAAGAATCATGTGTACGAACGTATAGCATAAGTAAAACCAGTAATTTCTCTACATGGGGCACAATAATTAATTAGAACGCGTGCTTACTTTTTAATCACGCTATTTTCACAGCTCTCTCACCCTCTCGGAATGTCTCGAAAGTGGCAAGTATGACGCGTTATAGTCGTCAATAATGCATGTCCAAAATTAGAGTGAACATATGGATTAATTTTTTTATCTGTCGTGAATAAGTAGGGGCTGCTTGGGAAAAGTAAAATGCTCATGTCTTCAGGTTACAGGAGTGAAAGTGTATCCCGCAGATTACCCCGGCAATCCCTCCTCCTCCATACTTTCTCTGGATGCACATATTATCCAACCCTGCGTTATATTCACACAACGACGGGTTTGTTCTTCTGACGTAAGTAGAAGGACCATAGGGTTGTGTGTGACGGGGTTACTTGTTTGCTGTGAAATAACAAATAATGGGTTGGCTGGAGAGAACAACAACGCCAGCTTTTCTTCGCCTTTGCACAATTGTTGATTGGCTGCATGGTTGTGGGTGGAATGTACGAGATGAGCTTGGAGAAAGATGTATTCGGTGAGCAAGGATTTCAGCGAGGAATGAATATTATGAGACCCAAAGGTTCGATGACGTGAGGATTTTGTGTACAAATTTAAGTCGGCAATTTAACATTTAGAAGAAGAAGTAACAAAGGGTGAGAGGAGAAAGTGGTCCTTCGGGATGCACTAATTATCCTCCAACTCATCAGCCAAATCTCACCCGGCCCGATATATGTACTTGCCCCATATGGAGTCCAGTGGTGTCTAATTAGTTTCCCTTGTTGGATGGAACACACAGCCAGCATTTCGTTCGTTGTACTTATTCTTCTCCCGAAAAATAAGATATTTTTCAATTACAATGCGCATCCGTTTTATTTGTAATTTTATCTCAAATTGATTTCGTTCTCGACTCCCTTGAAAGATAAATTAAGAATGATTACGTTCGCTGGTAATAACAAGATTTGTCTTGTATGCAGATTCCTCGTTTCAATTTATTTGTTGCTCATACATAAAATGTTTCATAATGATAACACGAACTGGTCAATGTATTTTTCTTTCTCATAATTTCTGTACCCTTGTCCAAGAAGGTCTGCATGTATACTTGAGAAAGTCGGCATTCTTATCAAAAAGTGAGATAAGCGTACTTATAGAAATAGTCGACTGGATAACTCACAAAATCTTAAGAAGCCCCATTCGAGTGTCTGACCCATTTACAGGCAGTCTCAATTCTCTGAGAATTGAGATTGGGCCTGTGATCAGCGTTTATTCCTCTAAAGAGGTGAATCGACCACACTTTCAAACGTTATATAATAACCTCTCTCTCTCTCTCATGTACATATTTACGTAAAAGACATCCACGTCATCATTGTTGCTCAAAAAATCTTGATCGTCTTAATCACGCATCAACAACACACTACGCAACAGACCTGTTGCTTATTGCGACTCTTTTTTTTCCTTTAAATAAAATATGTCACTCATCTCGCCCACTTGACAGACAAATATACACACTTTTGTTAAGGAATAACGACTCCAGAAAATTGCCAGTGCCACGGGCACAACGAAATTCAATACATACACATAATGAGCACAAATAAATATGCAACACATATTTATGTTTGAGTCGTCATGATCATCTCATGATCTCTCAGCGTACAATTACCTCTCTCGCCAGGTAGTTTGAAACAGGATTTGGTATCATCATTCACACTTTTCCTGGAAAAACCCTCGGATCCGTGAGCGTGTCTCTTTTGAAAAGATGAACATATTACGTTAGGCAAATTGGGTAAATACGTAGCTTGTTAAAAATAGTTTAGCCACCACTTCCCCATTTTTCGTTCAGTAGGAATGACGGAGGAGAAAAGGAAGAAGACATTGACTTTACAAAAGTATCGTGTTGTTCTGATTTTGATGTTTACTCTGCATGGGGTGCGTGGTGGATGACGAGATTGTAACTCTGGACATGAAGACGACCTTTTATGTAGCTTTCCTTGCTTTCCGTCATTCACGAGTTGTATTTTCTTCAGTTTTATCAAAATTCAATAACAAGGCAGGATTACTTTCACTATGAAGAAGAAATAATAAAACTTGTTTTCAAAATTTGCTATCTTGTTTGTAACATGTTTCTCAGATTCTCGCCTGTTACCTGAGCTGTGTCACTCTAGGAAAAAAGGTGAAAAATATTTTTTTTCCGGATTTTCCTGGGTTCGGATATAGCAGATTTAACGGGACACTTAAATTCCAACTCCTCGGTAAGAAAAAACAAGTCTGGGCATAATTAGTTCGAGATTGTATTAAACAATGAATAAAAATGTACATTTCTTTAAACAAATTGACAATGCATGAAATTGCAGATGCTTTTGTTAAACAAATAAATAATTGAAATACTAGCATTGATTTCATACAAAGAGTTAAGTATATGTTTTACTGAAGGAATATGCACTTTACGTTTTTGCATAATTTATAAGTTTAAATTGAAAGAGAGCTTCTTCTTGTTACAGTAGGTTAAACCAGTTTCGAAAACTTATGCAGAAATATCATGTCGTCCTTCATGCATACAGCTATTTATAAGATAAGTTTCCTAGGACCTATTTTGATACGCAACTCTGTTCTCAAATTTCTCTGCATTTTATACATTGTTTAACTAAACGGATGTGACATGTTCCATGGTATACATATTTACATACTTACAATATCAAGCATAACTATTTTGAATTTTTAAATATTAATGAAAATTTTGTCCATGGTGTGTCTTGGCGAGGATTTTAGAAATCAGTATCATCTTGACCTACGTACGAGGATATCAACCCGACTGACCTTGCCGATCTAATAGTAAGTGCTGTAGCACATTCAATGCAGAATTTGCATCATTTCATTTCCGCTACTTTCTTAAATTTGTTTTTCCCGTTCTTTGGTCTCATCCTATATATTTATTAAAATTAAATACTAAATGACATTCTATCCGAATCTCTCAGCCACACTGAAAGGTTACCCGTCCATCATAGTGCATTCAATAATATTTAAGTTTTCTGACGCTTTCTCTCTTCGTGGAATAATAGTCGAGCCTCCCGTCATTCAGTGGAAAACGGGCGTTCCGTGGTGAAATTCGACATGACGATGTGACAGTACTAAATTCGAGCCATTATTTCAAGTTTATGACAGTATTACAGAAATGAAAGGAAGTAATGAATGAAATGTCAATTAGTGACATGCTGATGGTGACGATAGAAGTAAACCAAACATTAAATGTAAAACGAAAATTCAGACTACCCGTCCATGAACTCGTACGTAGGTAGTTTCCATTTCTGAAAGTACTTGGACACAAAATTTGCACGTGCAAAATTTTATATCCCAATTTCAGAATAAGATTCAGACGACATAAAGCTAAGCAAATCATACGTATCCACTTATTTAAATATGCATGTATAAACACATGCTTAAATTTTCTCAATAACATTTAGTACTACTTATAAAGAAAGCTAAACAAATAATACGTATCTACTTAAATATGCATGTATGTATAAACATGAAAATGCTTAAATTTTCTCAATAATATTTAATACTACTTATAAAGACAATGACGAGTTTTGATTGTCATGAAGTAAAATATGAGCTGATTAAAGCCGTCCATTAGATCAAGATAGAAATACTAATAAGCATAAACATGAGCTCTAAGAGCTGCAGGAAATGATACGGATGCGACATTATGGCTGCTACTGCCTTGTTGGATACTTTCTTTTGAAGCTGTAAAAGTGATGCAGGTAATAAAGCATGACGACTGACGAATGCTGAGATTTGTTCATCTCAACGTTCCCCCACTGTTGTTGGACGCTTTTATTTTGTGAGATTGAGATTCCTCTCCTCATCCAACTCGTGTGCTCTACTCCCACGCTTTCTCCGGCCCACTCGCATGGTTTACATGCGTAAAAGAAGAAATATGCAGATGTTTATTTCCTCTTAAAATAGAAGTTTTCCAAATTCAAGGTTCTCAAATTCTCAAGTTGACGAATTATTTATCAAAATAAGTATGCTGAAAATATAACAGAGAACAGTGAGTACATATATCGAGATTGTCTCGATTTTGGTTTTAGTGTTATTTCATTGACTTGCATATTAGGCCTGGCTTGAAAGACTGACAGAGACAGAATTCATCTTCTTCAACAACAAAATTGCTGAGGGGAAAATTTGTAGATGTATATGGGAAGAAAAGTTGTGTATTTAGTGAAATAAGCAACTTTGAGTCCGGCAAATAATCAAATTATGTACAATATAGCTTCTCGTACTTGTTCTATGTAGTAGCTATATAATCACGAAAGGTAATGTGAGATAATACAATGAGCGCATATATTGGGACGGGACTACGGAAAGATTATGAAAGGGTGATGGGGGTTACAACTAATGCATAATAATTACACTATGGATCGACATAACGTATCATAAACAACATGTATTTCTTTATAACTCATTGTATTTTGTTACATTCAATTCACTTAAACTATAAAGCCTATGAGTGACTGAGTAGCAGCTTTGGGACACGTTGATTACTGAGAGGCGCTGTGCCATACAGAGAGAAGAGACACATCAACCATGCTTAAAGGAAATAAATATTTTTAAAATATACAAAATACATAGAAGTGGGAGCTCCTTGTATCTAATACTCACAATACACGTATCATTAAGAAAATAGATGACCAAGATAACCCCCAAATGTTATCACATTTAATTCAGAGTGATTTTTAGTTTTTAGAGTTTTATAGAGAATGGTGACGTTCATCACTGTTGATTATTCGGATTCCTGGGCGGACGATCAGCATCGTTATCATCCCCGGCAGGACGTTCAGGAGCAGCAGCAGCAGCAGCATCGTCATCTCGATTTGGTGCACCAGCACCCCAGTCAAATCCTCCAGGTCTATCTTCTGGCAAAGGGTTGTAGCCGGGATCTTCTTCAATTGGATCGAAAATATTCCGTCTATTCACACATTATTAAGATCATTAAAATCAGTTTTGAAGAATGATAAAATATCTAAATAATAAAACAATTCATACAAAAACCCAGGGGTCTTGAGAATCCTGAAGCCACCAGGTTGATTGGGAAATACGTCTTCCAGAAAATAGTAGATATGTCCTACCGATATTCCAATCAAATCAATTTGCACAGAATTCCCGAGTAACAGTGAAAATGCCAAAATCACTAATGGAAGATATGGAGCCTGGAAGGATAATATATAAAATTAAAATTTGGGAGATGTGAAGCTAAAAATAGTGCATAGATACCCACCTGAAAGTTCAGAATTCCAAAGAAATTCATACGAATCATTGGATTTCTACGAGACCAGACGTACACGAGCATAAGAGTAAACGCATGTCCAAGGAAGATCAGATTGGCAAAGTAGGCGATTATCTAAAATAGTATATTTACCATTGTTTATTTAACCCTGAATTTATTATATAATTTATCAATAATATATCATCATAATGCATATTAAACGTACCAGAGTCAGAACAGCTCCAAAGACGAACATTATTACAAAATCCGACGTTCGTCCACGAAACGAGGATTCCTCCAGAGTTCGGCAATAGCGGTACGTGAAGATAATGTTAAATACAAAGTTGAAGCTTAGCGTGCCAAAGAACAGAAACGTCGTAAACAGTCGCCACCACTGCAAAAAAACACGTCATTTAATTATTCTCAACATATATCCTTAAACTCTCCATAATACCGATAAGTACAATATCTACCTGGTGTTGGAAAATCACCAAGTGCGGATTGAAGTACAAATCGTAAGGGGAGACCAGCTCCATGTGCTAATACAACATAAAAAATCAAAATTACTCATAATTCCTACCCAAAATTAAAAACAAAAAATACACTAAACTACTTACCACTGCCAGTGTGGCGATGACACAGGCCGTCGTATACGCCCTCGTCACGATGGGGATGTCCATATAGGCGCTCCAAAATGACTGATAAGCCATCTTGGCGACGGGTCCTCACTCAATCCGGTGTCCCCTCAAATTCTGTCCTGTCACCGACCTAAACCGCCAAAAAAAGATACCCCCTCTTCAATCCTCAACAATCCCTCAGAACCCAGTAGACTAGACGAAGTGAAGGTGCAAAAGGACGGGTGGACCAGCAGGTCAGAAGCCACGACGGCCCAAGAGCGAGCGACAAGAGAGGAAAAAATAATGATCTGCTGGGCTGAGTCTGCTGATGATGAGTTGACTTGGTGGCGTTTGAATGTACCGGAGCCAGGCTGTCTTAACTCACCCACTCACTTTCACTCGATCGGCAACATATTTTCCTACATATTGCACTCTTCCACGTGTCTCAATTCGGACTCGAACGAAATCTAGTCAAGGAGAACAATTCGGAGTGAAAGTGCAAAAATCGGGAATGTGATGATATGGGCAAATTATAAATTGAGGTGATCTGCACATAATAAGATTAAAATTCAGCTGATGAAATATGTATGCGAAATATGCATACATGGGAAAGCATGCATTTTCATAAAGTGTGGAAATTTGTGATTTTAATGCTTATCATTTCTTTCTATACATATAAGTATAATCCCCAAGACGTTCTTCTGTACATGTATGTCTGTCGTAAGTCATTCATTCATCCCAATTCACGAGACGGAATTGACAATGCACACGCACATCAAGAATTGGTCTCGACGATTTGTCGAACTTGTTTTTTTCCCATACACGTGAGCAGATTTGATTGTTGCAGGACATGATCATTGTACTTTAATTAAAATGAGACACAATCCTGCTCAAGCAAATCAATAAAAGGTTCATCCTGAGACGATACCCTCTCTTGGAATAAGTGATTTGACATGGTGCCAGGTAGGAGGGCTGAGGTGAGAAAAGCCATCATTCAATTCACCCATTCTCCACTCTTCTGGACGAAAAAAGCGATGTGGATGGAATGAAGGTGCGACGACAGATTGAAAATGCAGCAAGTGCAACAGACCGTCGAATCTTCTTCTCATGCTAATTGCGAAGGTTGTATCAATGCAGCAACAATGCAATTGACCAGTGCACCATGTTGGTCCTTTTGCGGAAGACAATCTTCTTCTGGTAACAAATGGAGTTTGTGGGTGTGCATGTATGTGTGCATATAAGTCGTCCACAGTGAGTGAGGGAGAATAATGCTATGCCATGGGAAACACCAACTCGTCTCAAAGTGTATTACCACGTTTATTGCGTGTACTGGGATACATGTAACAATCAGCAAATCCTCCTAGACTTGGAAGATCTCTTTGTATAGCAGATGTGAAGCGAAGGAGTGTGAGTTAGAAGAAGGGGTTTAAAAACATAGAGGGTGAGGTAAAAAACGAGGAGACTCTCATCCGTCCACAGGTACAAGTAAGTATTATATTTTACCAAGAAGTCGTAGTGGATGCAACGCAACGTTACGACGATGCCTCGTCGAGGGGTTGCTTCATACATTATCATCGTAATTCTTACTCTTTTATACTCGCCTTAAGATTTTTAAGCAAGGAATGGCCAATCAGGGTTACTTTGCCTCCACTACCTGCAGAACAATTTCGTCTACTCCCCACACTCTTCTATGTATCCCTGCTGATGATAATAATATGAACATGCTGACGATGATGAGGCTGGCAAGTCAGGTACCTTCCGTGGACTCGGCTTTCAAATACATTTAGTCATAAGCCGTTCGGTGACAAGGAGAGACTATCATCGTTTGCGCCGTGCTTGCTTATTTATTTGCTCGCTTTTAACTAGTGATCCACTCCTACAACTTTTTTTTTCAAGACAACAACCCCGGAAAGTGATAGTGAATAATTTGCAACAACAGGTGTGGTTGTAGTTTTAGTGGTGCGACTTATTAAAAAAATTCCCCACCAATTGGAACTACTTTTTCAGGGAGGGTAGTAGTTTCTTAGTGATAAGTGTTGGTTTTTTATTGTGACCATTTCATACGAGGATAAGCTATAATCTAAATAGTGTGTGATTTTGTGTCATCCGCGCTGTGGTTCATGGCCGGGAAATGGCCATGGGAACAGGTAATTTATATAGCGGCATTATATATAATTTCCCCAAAATTTTGGTCAAGTGTTAATACCCCATTCATTTATTTGCATTCATTCACTCAAGTTTTATTACTTTGCGCAAAAATGCATGGGTTCAAGGGAATGTGTACAAAAAGTGTCTTAAATTTGCAATTATTCTTGATTTACATGAGTCGCAAAAAAAACGTATTTTCATTCCGCCCTCGTACTTCGTGAGAATGCTGGGAAACCACAATGTAGTCGAATTATGCGATGAGTATCATCAAATTTATTGGAATAATACGCATGAAGCTTCTCTCCTCGAAACACCAGCAGCACTTAAATCTCAGTCGGAGTCAAGTCGTCTTTTTGCAGCAGTTGTGCATTTCCTCCAAAGCTACCTTCATTATTTTTTCATTACGCGAAATTATCTCTTTGTTGTTGATTCATATTTATAAATAGGACGGATTAAATTTTCCTGCTGCTGAATGCATACCATAAATTTCCCAGTGTGATAAGACATTAATTCTCGGCTGCCAGTCACTCATTAAACATCACCCACCGTCGTCCAGCCACCCAACCAATGCAGTAGCACAGGGCTAGAATTGCATACATGCACATGTACATATGTACATACATAAATCCATCTATATATTATTGCATACATACTCTGCGAATACAATTTGTACTCCAATGAATAAACATATTTTCTACACATGAGTATCTATCTACCTGCTAATGACGACAATGAAACAACATTTAACAAACCAAACCAAAGGAAGAATTGTGAATACTTGGTGGTGTATTTATGATACAACAATTGTAATTTAACCGTCTACAATGAAACAAACAACAAACTATTATACAACATGCATGATGCTTCATCATCCTCTTTTTAAACCTCCTCCCCACTCATCATCTCCAATCCAATAATGAAGAATGGCTTAAATTTTATTCCTCCGTCCGTGAAAAGCAGAATTACAATGACACGCTGCAATTGTGATTGTAAGGGCTGGATATTGTTATAAAACACTTTAGCGAGCGCATATTAATTCATATCGTATCAAAAGAGTAGCAAAATATTAATTAAGCAGGTAGATAGTCCCAGTACGAATGGGATGGTGATGATATGAACGAGGGAGTCAGAAATCCGCCGACGCCGACGACGGTAATTAAAAAAACCAGGATGCTCTCCCAGTGATAGACAATAAGGAACGTGAAGTAGAAGGAAATTATGACATTGTTCTCACTCCTTACACGTTATTCTCAACAAACCACAATAATTCTGACAAAAAACGGAACCTCGACCATGGAGATGATGTCAGACAACACAACAGTGCGGATTCCATCATCATTCTTCTCTAATCATTTGTCCACCAACTAATGATAAATTTGACTTATCCTACATACTGCACATACTGGATTTCGTCTTAATGCTAATGGTATGAGGATGATGAATGAGATAGGATTTTTCTGGCAATCACGACCAGTTACGTAAGACATTAGCCACATGTCATACCCGGTTCCATTGAATGATTTGCTCATCCAATCAATCAAAAAATCATTAGAGGCACACACATACACACACACTTTTTTGTGTATAGAACCAGATGAAAAGATTCAATTTGTATCGTGAGTGGGCCAATTTTACCAAAATTGCATCTAGAATGGAATAAGATAATTTCAAATCCATCAAAATAATTGCAAATATTTATCACACTTTTTTGCACTTATGTACATATACACTTATACATATCTGCATATGTATACATGCATAATGATGTCTGAGGTGTGAACAAACCCGACGCCGTCGTACCGCAGTGCTGCTGAATGTCAAAATTTTTAATGAAAGTTGTTGACTGACTATAGTGACTACACATTATAGTTTCTGGAATAACCATCAAGTGTGCCCCATTATGTCACCCATTAAAAAACAATATTCATTATGATATTAAACGCCATGTTTTGTTCTTTTTTTCAATTTCAGCTCTACTGAAGTCACTGCTGCCTATATGGATAGTATGTGTCGGAGTACTAATTATCATACCAAATGTAAGACAATTTTCTATTATGTGTTTCTTTTAAGAGCGTCGAAATGGGTTTTTAACAAAATATGTACTTAATAGCGACGACCTGTTGCCTTTCTTTGCAATATTGCAAGCAAGGCACACATACACACACACACGCAAATAGCTATGCTAATAAATAGTAAAGGATATTTAGCATGGAGTGAAGTATGGAGTGAAGCACGGATTGCATTGCATTATTATTATTGACTAGAGTTTAAAGTTTTTTAAGACTGTGGAGCAGTTTCTAGACGACGTTGCATATATTAAAATATTGCAATCTCTGCTGCCTTTCACTTTTGGTCAAGCAACAGCCATATTAGTCCAGTCGACTAGTCAACACACTTTATACTGGCTGACTAACTGGTGCTCATACTCGTTCATCTCTCCGTTTAAACCACCACGACGACTGTTTTCTGTGTGGTGCACTGATTTGCAAAAATCTTGCAGAATATTTGGGGGTTGAGCGAACTTTCAATCATGAATACGGACCAAGCAAGCAACGAGTACTCTGGTCTGCCTTGCCCATTCTCACTCGCAATTTTCAGAATGCACGAAATTATGTGTCTGCAAAATTAGCATATTTTAGTTAAATATAAACCTTACATAGAATTATTATATGTACAAGTTTCCCACGGATTATTTCACTTTTTTACCTGGTTTCTTCTCCTTAGTGCTACATAAACCCACACAAATTGGTAATTTATGTTTGCTAAGTGGTTCCCTTTCTACTTAACTTAACATAATACTCAACTCACAATGTGTGCATTAGTACAATGACTCCATGACTCCTGTGTATAAAAGGTATAATCGTATGCATAAAGAGAATTGGCAAATAAGGCGATGAGAGGCTTTTGGGAAAAGTCGGTAGCAAAAAGAGGAGGAGGGTGTGGTGTGCAAACAATTGCAAAAATTAATACAGAATACTGAAAACAATGGGCGGTTTAAAACTTTACGAGGGACACTCATCCAATTAGCTCTGGATGCATAATAAACAAGGCAAGGTTTTTCGCACCACCGGGTGAACCTCATTGCCAAATGACCAGCAATAATGAAATGACGTTGGCCGTCTTGCTCATAGTAGGAAATCGGCAAGAAAAGTACCACACCATTCCACCACCACCACCACTACTACTCTATATATGGGTGTTTAGGTCATTGAGATTTCTGCAGGTTATTAAATTGTCAATCCCTCCGCATACGCTGGCAGTGATCTGACGCTGGTGGTTGGTGTGTGGAGTCTAAGATGTGAAGAGGTTCTTCTTGGGACAACACCACCACCACTTTCTAAAATCTTCATCCTACACATTTCCACCACACTTCTATATCAGTACAATGCTGTGGGTGGGTGTTTCGTCTTCAACGAATTTCATAAGCGATCTGGCATTATTCTGATGACTAGGACGACGACGACGACGACGACGACAACGATGCTTTATCGAGAGCAGGACAACGTATAATAATGATAATAATGTGGTACTATGTGGTATGCAACTTAATACAACCGAGTCAAATAACATCCTATGGGTCCTCATAATTGCAAAAGTTACTATCGTTTCGATCCATACTTTCAGCCTACTCGTTGTTCCTTTAAACTGTTGTTGTCCAATCTGCAGCCGATCACGACCTTTGCAATATAAATTTACATATATACAACCACGAACGAGAAGTTTCCTCATCAACTAGCAACAACTATCTGCATGAATATGCGACAGAACTTAAAGAGTTACAATATGCTACATATGAAGTTATAGTTCTATGACTTTATCTCATAAATTCCGTACCACAAAGTCCGGCTCACTACAGTTTTGCGACACCTCCCTTTTTCAGACCTTTCTTACTTTTTTTACCGGTTTTGTATCCTAAAAAATTCGCATTTAAATTCATTTCAAGTCTGATTATTAAATTGGAACTAATTGTTACTCGCCCTTCTTGTGTCGGGTTGTCGTCATCAGTCATCACCTCGCCACATGCGTACCTACCCAAATTTATGCATACGCTCAGTGATCCCACTAAATTAACTAATTTATTTCTGGTCATTTATATAATTTTTGCAAACTTTTCTTATCTTGGATTTACTGTCAAAAAGCCAATTTTTCTAGTGGGTACAAGACTTGTGTATGTATGTATAATATCCAGACAACTTCCTCTTATGTAAATTTTTCAGAGCTATTTGTTTAATTTTTATGCAGCAATTAATTAGACACGACATTTCTGCTGATTTTGGTATCATACTTTAACCAGCATTTTTAGAGAGTCTTGGCGTGTATTAAATATGCATATCGTATAGCTGCGGTCAATGCTAATTACAGTTAAACTGACGAAGATGGATTATCAACTATTTATTTAGTACGACGACCACTTCAGCTTCTCACTTCCACCATTATGGTGGAAATTGTTGGTTCGCAAATTAGCCAAAAATTCATCCTTGCCTTGGCCTGTAGTAGGGCTAACCCATCTCACAAACTACCACCATCACCACATCGAACATACTTTAGATCGTTAAGTTTAAAGACATCATTTCATTATTATTATTATTATGATTTTGTGCTATTGACCACCACGTAGGACACCACAACAGACATACACATACACACACTTAGATATTTCCATGCTGCATTTGTCAAGGCAAATCATCTCTCCTCATATCAAAGTCGTGTGCAATAAAAGTCATCGTCATGTCATACATACATACACGCAGCCAGAATCATTTGTTTTATTGGATAAGTTGGCTCTCATTCTCTCAAATTTTCGGCATTCATCCCTTCCATCCAAGAGCCAATTCCTCTGACTGAATGCTCATCACTATCTCAATCAGTGGATTCATTTGTTGAAATGAAGATGAGACGAAAGAAAACAAACGATGCAGGCAGGTAGACACACATAGTATCATTCCTCACTTTACTTGCACACATCATCATCTCGTCATCATCATCATCCCCATCAAAATGTGGTTTCGAGTACTTCTTGTCGGCTTCCACTTGTTCGTAATCATCTGCATCGTCCATCGTCGTCGTCATGCCGTATGCAGTCAGCTAGTTAGCGTATGGAAGAAGAAAATATTGTGCATTATCGTAACCTTGAGGGACTCAACAATCCACTGCAGAAAATAAACACGTCCTCGACAAGAACACAGGGAAAAAAATGGTGGATTCCATCATGTCATCAAACCATTGTAGCTGAATGGATGGTTTTAGCAGGAGCTCTCATCTCTTGGTATCAGTGACACATGCATGCATTCATACACGGTAAAATATTTTCATTCATCTGCTGAACCTCTCTTCCCAGAAGGAGAAGACGAATCATTTTGTGTCTAATGACCATGTTCAATTCTCTCGTGTCTATCGAATAATAGCCACCAGCCACCCACCCATCAATAGAGTTTGGTTTATTAATATCTCTGATTTAAACGTGCACAGCCTTGTGACAATGGGCTCCAAGTAGCTTTTGGTTTATAGATTTTGAGGTGGATTTGCATAAATGAAAGTGGGTAAAAATGAGTGATGCTGTTAGTGTTGGCTCTCCTCAAGAGATATCGATGTGCTGTTGCTTAAGTATTGGCTATTGTCAATCATCAACCATAATATGCATCATATCATGGCAGCTAATCATTGTGCAGCAGTACGGGGCACGACTATGCGAGAATTTTTCATGCAGGGTTGGGCTAGGTCTTAGAGAATTGTGAATTCTTAATCTTATTTAATGAGATAGAAAGATATGTGCATGGGGGCATATTGGCAATCTTTAATTTGAAATGTTGTGAAAACTGGGCACAGAACTTGCCACTGTTCTTCCTATGTACATACGTGTATAATTCTGCTGCTGGGTGTTTGTGTTTTTCACTCCAATTAAGCAATTTCATTCCATTGTTTGTAATTAGTGCTAGAAATTTATTTTTTCTCGAAAGATCGCTAATTAATTAATACATGTAAATATGTGCATATTCACATTATGCATTCAATTGCCGATGTAAGTCGATTGCGATTGCATGGTTAAGAAGATCCCAGATAAGATCTCCAGTTATTGATTTTGTACTAATGAGACACGTATTTCCATCAATCAATCAGTAAGATTGTGCTTTCAAGGTACCAAAACATTGTTGAAAAACGTTTAACAGCGATTATCCAATTCCAGAATTCTTTTCCGACACGAAAAATAAAATTTATTGTAATGAAGCATTATTATTCTCCAACTTACCTCTACTACTACCTGCGAAGCTGTACGTTTGTATAGCTCAGAGTATGCACTCGACAATGTAATTTGGACATTTAGCAGGGCTCATTTACATGACCCTCTTGATCAATAGATTAGATCATGATCAAAAAGAAGAACTGTGTTGATAGCTCCAAAATGCAAATTGAGCGCTCAACTTACTACTAAAGTTGAAGCGCATGATTAGGAAGTTTACAAGAATTTGCAATTTTATAGCTGCACGAAGTTCTCATTCACGATGAAAACCAAGAAAAATAATATTTATGTTGGTTAATAGCCACAACGAAACGTAATATTCAAAGATTTGATGTCATTAAAAAGAATTTTTGGTGGTGGTTGAATATTTATGAGCGCAAACAGAGCCAGCTTATCATAGATAGATAAATAAATGCGTAATATTACATATTTTTTAATACATAACTAAATAAAATTATGCACTCCTCCATCTGTCTTATGTTTCCTATCGCTCCGTCCGTGACCATTGTCGAGTCTCAATTTCAAATCTCTCGAAACAAGTAATTTGCACAGCACGGTTGACGCTCTGCCATTACAAAAATATTAAGTTGCACGCCATGCAGGAGGGCTTCTCATTGTCACAGCCATTATTTTAGCATTTATTTTCTCCCAAAAATCAATTTGGCAGGAATGTCACAACGTGAATGATCTCATCCTAACAAGTCCTCCTCCCTTCTTGAGCAAAAAACAATTTGCTACTCCTGCTGCTTACTTACTTATGTACTACTGCTTGACTCTGACACAAAGGAATAATTAATTTTTGTGCATTAAATTACCTGAAAATAATTGAAGATAATTGACAATTTTGATGCTTTAAGTCGAATGTTTTGTGTCTGTCTGGCTCTGTGTGTGTGTATGTGTGTGTATGAGTACTTTTGATTTATTTCCTAACTTAGCACAATCTTTTGATATCTGAATTACTACAAGTATACGTCACGTAGGACACATCGTATGGCCTTGCAAACTTAATTACTCATTAGAAATTGGTATGCAGTGTTCGTCATGCTTACACAGACAGTTGCGAATAAGTCTCTTTTTGTCCGTGTTCAATCTTCCTCAGAGAGAATCTTTTGCATCCATCTTCAGCATTATTCTATATATAAATATATTCTTCTTATGCATGTATATAAATATATATGGATAAGTATTTCAAGACACATTATACATGATCCTACTGCTGCCGCTGGTGCTGGTGCCAAGTTCATCGTGATGTCTTATTTTTGATACATGCACATTTACAAAGGTCCATTCTAAAAATGCACCTCGTTTAATTCCTACCTCACTACCACACGTCGCCTAACAATGCATTTTGTCCCCACCTTCGACACAACAAAGTGAATCGTCCCATTGAATGCAGTTGACTGTAAACGTTCGTTCTTGATATGTACATGAAACGATAAGTCGATTGTTCATATATATGATCAACTTATCGTCACATATTTAAATAAATGCAGTCGCTTAAACGTATTGTGTTTGCGTGGGCAGAAGACAGAGGTAAAAATTTCTTCATGACCTGCAATTGACAGTGAACAGCAAAAGTTACTTCATTTCGTATCTCTTTCTATATAACATAGCGCACTCGTCTGCTTGGCTTGGATGGACCAAGTCAACTTTTGACGAGGGATGTCATCCATTATTTTTGCTTGTTGCGTGCCTCAAACAATTTACATACAAAACAGACAGCCCAAAAGTACGCGAGGATTGTATTTACCTAGACAAATTGCTTGATGGGTAGATCATAATTTGATAATTTAAACCTTCCTTTAAAACTTTTAGAGTGAAGGGATGATACAAAATTGGACTCGAGACAAAACCAATACAATTAGAATTATTAATTGAGCAGTACAGCGGAGGAGTGATTTAACCTTTCATGCTATTTCATAACAAGAATAATATTTAATAGTGGACAACATGCAAGTTTATAGCCTTTAAAAAGTCACCTATCTTGCTTTATGATCTATAAAAATGCAGCGATGATGATGATCATCATCGTCGTCAAATGAGCTTTACTCACTCACGGTCTTTTCACCTCACTTTTGTTTTCCACAAACAAACAGGCATAATTTTGTAGAAAAAGAAGAAGGGTAACATTCTTGAACCCGTTTTAATTGTCATTTCGTCATTATTACGAGCACACGTCCACGAAAATGTGGATCTTCTTCACCAAAAATTCAAGCGCACTGCATTAATTGAGTGTAAACAGGTGTCAACTGTTTATGTATACTGTGGAGAGGACACGCAACTATAATTACACGATGCAAGTGTACATAGTTATCAATTATCACGACTATTGTATTAACCTAGAGAGAGAAATTGCAGCATTTAAATTATACATTTTCCTAAAAGTTCTTTGATTAAGAGAACTTGAGCACGAGAAAACGTGATGAGAATGAAAAGAAGATGAATTTTAACAACAACAACAAAACTTCAAGTGGTGGCAAACAGCATGTCGAGATTCATCGATGTAGGAGATGAGTCTCATCTCACAAACCTCTATCAACTTGCTCTCCTCAATCAACTTTATTAGCCGACAGTTCAATTATCAAATTAAAGCTTTGTTTTACTTTTTACCATTGCAAAATTGATTAACTGTTTAAGATGGAGTAGATGTACGTGATTATTAAGTAGATCTTTTCAATTGTAGTAGTCCAAGCACAACTTTGAAGGTAGCTTCATCGTCATATTTATGTATGTAGCAATTAATCCCATGAAATTAATTGCTGTTAAACGATCATGATTTTATTCGGGACCACTTTTCTCATCCATTTTCAACCTATTATTATCATATGTGCGTCACCTGAAGTATTTTATAATTTGTTTTGCTTGCAAGTTTTTTTTTCGTTTCAGTAGACTCAGATGAGATTCTGCAGTGATCTAATTAGACAAAAAAGTAGGCATGCAAATACAACAATAAGTTATACATGCACAAGAATGACACACTCTTCTTAAATGCTTTTATACAAATGTCTCTCTGAGAGTAATGATTATGCACTCGCAGGACGGTTGCGACGGTATGAATGTAACACACAAATCGTAATAATATACATGCCCATTTTTGGATAACCGGAAAACTGCTGTACCATAACAAGTTCGATGTCCCAATTTTTAACAGTTTGCTCAACGTTTTTCGCCACATTTTTGCCGTATATTTGCAAGAAGGCGTAGAATTTTATTTAGTAATTCTACTAAAAAGCAGTTGTTTATGGCTTTGCTGTATTTTATTATCCACTCGAAAATATTTCAATTTGGAGATCTTAGTCAGAATAAGTCGTTCTCTATAATTCAATCCATCTATCAGGTGACAAATGAGTTGTAAAAATTCATGCATTCTTTTCCCAATGATTTTTTTCACAATCGTCCATTGGCATTTTGTAGAGAAAGGGTTAACAACTCTGGTCGCATTCTTGCCTTTACTTAAGATGACCAGTGAAGAAGAAAGGTTAATCAAATCAAGTCAAATTTGGTCGTTTGAACTAAAAAAACTCAAGTTGAAAGATAATTGATGAACATAAACGAGTAGTGAATAAACTTTGATGGACAAAACTCGCCATGAATTTCTGGATTAGGGCGGGTTCCATGTGAATAAATGCACCACAAGGAGTCAACATAAAATAAATGATTACTTGGAAAAATCGTTGTTGTTGTAGTAGAGAGACAATGGCCGTGTGTGACTACAAGTTCCTAAATTTGGAGTGCATTTTTTAAAACAAGAATTGGATAAAGTACAAAATGCATTTTGTAGCAGAGGCGTAGATTATGGATTTATTAAGAAGGTGCACTGCCTTCTTCTTCCTACTGCTCTCTGCCACCTTTTCATGAAAAAATACATGTATAAAATAATGACGACGATTTAAAAATGAAAGATTTTATAGTAGTTGACTTTCATTATTCGCAAAATCCGTTTCCGCCTTGGATTTTAAAAAGTTACAATTATAAGTAAAAAAAAGAGTTAAATTATGATTGCGTTTATTCGTTGCGGTAAAAGACGCCAAAGTCAGTTTTATATGTTATGCGCCTCTATAACAGCAAATAATGTGTGCGCCGTCTTATTAAACTAACTGCTCAATGTATAAACTTTTTCCCAGACGAGGAATACATAACTGTGAAAAAATTATTTTCAGCGTAATTAAAACCCTCCAGGTTATAAAACTTGACATGTTGCTCAGTTAATTGCTGTCAGCCAGCAAGTCAGAAATGCTTAACCTTTCGAAACCTGATAAATAAATTGTCCTCCGGGCAGAATTTACTTAAGTGAAGTGTTGCTTTTATTACTGGGATCGTTTCCTTATTTGTGGAATTAGATGGCCTTCCCATCTTTTCCACTTTCAATGTATCAAAGTCATACTTATTTTTATACGCACAACTTGATTCAGTTCCCAAACAGCTTCTGCGTTCAAATTTGAGCTGAAATTTGCAAGTGCTGTTGGGGGTTCTTGTGGCGAAACGGTCGAGTCCATTCCGATTAAAAGGGTAAACAAAATTTGTGGTGGCGCTTAACGTTTCACAAACAAAGTACATACATAAGAATGGTAGTAAGTAGGAGGGTGTTGTCTTGGAGTGTCATGAAAATGGAGATCATACTGGGAGTTGGCCACGCCACTCTATGCAACTTTTGTGTGCATGAAACAAAAAATGTAAGCAAGTCGGTCTGAAAGGGAAACAAATATGCATTTGCATGTCAACAAGAAAATCAGGCCGTATGTGTGGTACAAAGGTCTTTGATACGTCGAAACTGCATATGAATAAAGTGGAAGCAAGTGCTCCAGGGTTAAAAAAATTATATCAGCCGTCGTTGCAAAGGACGATCTGATGGGATCAAAGAAGGCTAAATGAAGATTGTGGGTGGACGTGGAGGTTCAATTCACCCACATTCTTAATAATTTTTGATGCAATAATGTGATCCCATTAGTGACATCACCACCCAATTTTTATATCATCTCCAATATATTTACGCACGCATCGATCCTCCTCCCAAGATCAGAGTCGCTTCGTTATTTCGCTATAAATCATCCAGTTGATAGAATGCCAATAATAATTACGAATTTCTCAATTTGTACATCTGGGCCGCCATTGATTTGATTAGAGTAATAAAATTATTCATTGTCGCTCTGATTTTGATCTTCAATATAATGCAATTTACAATAACAATCTCACTTTAACCTTCACACTTCCGTTATTAGTTTCCTCCTTAAGATGCCATATTTATGTGACACTGAAAAATGGTCCCCAATGTCGTGACTGAACATTTTTTTCTCAATTTCTTTCTAGATTTATGCTCAAAGTAATCAAAAGAAGACTGGAGGTGTCGGGTTAAAGAAGGAAGTATTCTTCCTTAACCTCGAAGATGGATTTTTCGGCTGTCAGGTCAACGAGTCAGTAGATGTTCTACAATTATTCGAGCTATCAAAATTATGCGATGGGACGCCACAGTGCTTCATGGCATCTGATGAGCTCCACAGGGATCTCAAGTGTACAGGTAAGACCGACTCGCTCATCTCATCATCACCCATTAAGCACCAGTCGACTATAAACATTTATATTATGCAATTACTGCCTGCGCAACACCAACACCACCACCAAGAATCAATGAAGCGTAGTAATTGACACTAATCCATTCAAAAAATAAATTGCAGATGATTGCGCACAAGCGACAGGGAAAAAGTGTCAGAATGGTGCTTGCCTAGAATCACAGTGTCACTGCAATGACGGATTCGGTGGCAAAGGATGTGAAGTACCTGACGTCAACGAGTGTAAATCTCGACCCTGTGACATATTTGCCCATTGTACGAATACCTTGGGCAGTTATAAGTGCACTTGTTTTCCCGGATATGAAGGAAACGGCGTGGACTGCAAAGGTAAGCAGCGTTTTTGCTTTGATTAGTATAATGATTAATAGCTTTTCATCGCATCGCATCGCTTTTCTCATGTCCTTCTTCCCATCTCAGGAAATACCCTTCACGCTTTACGAGTTAGACCTGCCCTATGACATAATCTATTATAATGTCATCATCATCATCAAAATCGCGTGTATCACAGTGACTCAGATTTGTACCAAACAAAAACCGGCGATTTAATTATTTATGCACATACTCAAACAAGCCTAGTGACGTGTGGGGCCAATAAATTCTCACTTGGCACAAAATGCTTGGTAATGATAGCGACATATTTACATATTCTGTATGCTCCTATCCACCACGAAAGTCTCAGTCCGAGTCTTATTTATCAATGACATTTAAATTAATCTTGGCAGAGATTCGTTCTTCCTTTGATGTATAGTACCACTAACCACCTTTTACACTGTCGTCATACTTATCTGTATGCATGCATGTGTTCTTCATTCATTCATGGAACCACACACACCACACCACTTGAATAATAGTGAATCCAGTTATTATCTCCTATCCATCTCGTCAAACCGTCCCTATGTTAACGCAGACTCGGTTGTTGTTTTCTTCCACCACTTTGTACGAAACGTGGTGTGCGAAACAACTGTCAAAGGAGATCATCGCATATGCAAGATGATTGATATAATGTATACAATCCTTTTTTTGTCCTGTCCTGCTAAGCTGAATCATTTATCTGATCTGCCACTCACTTATTTTTACTAACTCGCCATCACCTGGCTGGTACTGCATTCATAAAAGTTCGAGCAATTGTTTGTTGCACCTCTTTTTTCTCCTATGTTTACTCCAAGTAAGTAATGCTAACGACTGACTTGACTGTTGCGGCAGTCCAGCCAGCATTGAAGAATATGCATTTGCGTAAAATGGCAGAGGATTGGAAGCAGGGGCATGGGAATTAACGGAGGAGGTGAATAGACGCCAAAGATAAATACAAAAGATTCTAAAGAGAGAGAAAAAAGAGCTCTTTCACAATTTTACACTTCACTGCTGAGTATGAAAGAGGGCCAACCACTTGACTTAATTCGCATTCATCTCCACTTTACAGAAATCCTGAACAAGATAGACTTGTGTATCGTACAAATAATGAAATAATAATAGTGTTACTACTACAGTAATAAAAATGAGCCAACCAACCTGGCCACTAGCTAGCTAGCTAACCAAAAAGTTCTAATCAGTATCTCCTTCATCTCCTTCTTTTCTTCCCTTTGACTTCTTACCACTCGCTATTACGATCATCCATTATTGCACTTGTCTAAGAAGAATTTTTGCGCACCGGTATTTATTATTGTAAGATTTTGCAACTTCTCTCCTTCTCTGCTAAATTGCTGCTCTCTTTCAAATTGGCTGGTCAAGAGGATTGATCAAACTGATTACTTTTTCATTCTTTTCGCCTGTCGAGCAAGAGACAATCTGGGAAAATCATATTTCATCTCTCTAACGAGAAAATTGTATAAGTTTATAAATACTACATGTTTTACGTAAATGGTGCAGCATTAAGTGCTTGATGGATGCATGCATGCATGGGACAAAAGCATAACTCAATGTCCGAAATAACCCGTTACTGTCGACGACATTGTGCAGAAATGCATTTATTATTTACTACCGACCAAGACTCCCAAAAGTGCACTGCATTTGATGATGTCACTCTTACAAACGTAAAGTTATTCGCATAACAAATAACAACCCTGGTCAAAAGGAATGCAGAGAGCATCGAGTTTCTAAACCCTTAATAATCATGAGTATTTATTATTTCATCATATTATTAGCAACTTGCTAATTGCATTCAGGGATGTGCAGGCTATACAATTTAATAATTTATGACAGCAGATGACCACTTTCAGTATGAACGCGTCAATGTTTACCCAGTTGCTCAAGTATGTATTTAGCAAATGACCACAATCCTAGTACTACTACTACTACGACCACCGTTAATAAGCAAATGACTGACTGACAGTTCGTGCAAATGCACTCATTCCATTTATTAAGTTTATTAATAAATGAATGAAATATGCTCATCATCACCAGAGTGAAATGCATACTTCTTTCTAACAAGTACCAATAACAAATCGATACAAAAGAGATGAAGGAATCCGTAAATTTGAAAAAAAATCTCAAGTCTCATATTTTTTCCTCAAATGACTCGACATCATTACGATGTCGTAATAACTCGGTATTTATTGCGTTCTTAATTGAACTTAATGATTTTTGTTTAGTGACATAAATTATCACGTCAAACCGCAAAACACATAAAAATATACAAGTCCTTCAAGTGTCGTTTCACAGTAAAAAACAAGAATAGGCTTTCAAGTGCCGATACGATAATTGTAAAAAGACGACCGAAAGGAAAAGTGGATTTTGCACACCTTCACTTCATCATTATAGAGAAATTGTCGGAAAGAGGCCCCACCGTCGTCCACCACCACCACGAACCAAACCAAACCACAGGTAAAAATCAGAGAGAGGCCTCGCCATCCAAAAGTGCCGTATTTAGTAGTAGCTTCTCGTCCACAAACAAGTCTTCCTTTTGCATCCCAAGCAGCAGCATTACTACATTTTTACTGCAGCATTTTAAAGAAGCGCAACACACACAAAGTAATAAGTCGACGACGACGACGACTACCTGGATTGGATCCACTAACTCTGGGTGGCGCACGAAGGAAAGTTGCGCAACCCAGAGGAACGTGGGAGTGTGAGGAGAACAATGCAATAATGTGACGAGAATTGAGATGAGATGCCATGCCCAAGAAGAAATATACATATTATTACGTGTCTACTGATACTGCTCTATTTTGTGACACACACACTGAGACTGTTTGTGTAATGGAATCACAATAGTCACGCCAATAGGTTGGCGGACGATCCATTTATTTTTACCTTTGTGAGGGCACCCAAATGTGGAAATTTTGCCATAACATTACGTCAACATTGGGTTATAATTAATTGCAAGAGTCATGATATCGAGTGGGGAGGAGAGGGAATGGGAGAAAGCCTCGATTTGAATTCAAGAGTGATTTAGGACGCATTGTTAAAGAAAATTGAGTGGATGGATTGATGGATGGATGGCAAAGGGAGAGAGAGGAAGAAGAAATTTGATTTCAACACAGCAATAATAACGTTAAAGCTGGCATTTCAAACGCTTCGTGGTGGTGGCTCAACAACAACAAACTTAACTTCCTTGCCATTTATTATCTGATTCTTCCTAATCAAACGACTTTAAAAAGCGGGACGTTGTGGCTGTGTACAAGTTGCTGCATCCACTATACGCCGAGGATGAGATGAGAATGAGAAGGACGACCAGGTAAGACTGAAGACGGTGTGGTGTTTGGTTTTGCTTGGACTGCGCTACAGAACGTTCACCTTGTTCGGTCGTTACACCTCCCAAACCAACCCAGAACTTGGGAGAAGAACTTCTCATTTCCACTCAAGCAATGCAATTTATGCAATCCCGTCAGTCTCAGTAGTCGGAGGATCTCTTCCCATTTCGTAATGAGAATATCACTCCAATTGAGTTAGATTAAATATATACCTGCTGCGCGAGAGGGGCACCTTCTTCTTCGTCATTCTTGCTGCATGACACATTGCTCAGACCTGCCATTGTTGAGCTAGTCGGCGGCTCTCATTGGAATGGAATCAACCCGTGCAGCAAAACTTTGCCAATGAACCTGTTTCTTTTAATTAAGCTCTTGGAGGGTGACATATAAATAAATACGGACACTGAACCTAATGAATGATAATCCACGGGATTGTCTCAAGGTTGGGGCAGGCAGAGATTATGAGACGGCTCCTTGTCTCATTTAGGAGCAAAAAAAATGTTTGCATAATTCTTTAAGATTTACTCAAAAACTTAAAAAAACTAGAATTATGTAAAAAGTATTATAAAAAAAGTATGAGGACTTTTTAACCACATCAATAAAACTTGTAAATTCACCTGCATTCCATTTCCCTTTCGATCATCGTCTTCGTCGTCGTCGTCTTCAGGTGAGCATCATCTGACTGAATCAGACCCAACATGCATTTATCAAGTCAAGAACCAGCAACACATTATTACATTGTTCGTATTCTTCTCGTCATTGTATCATTTCTTGGCAATCTCTTTACTTACTGCTTCCTCTCCCCAAACCACGACCGTGATCTACAGAATAGAAAGAAATGGGCAATTGGTTTGAGAAGAGAATGAATCTGAAAGTGGCTTTTTAGACGAAGAACACATCTACGGGTTACGTTACGACTAGAAGATGAGAAGAATGCACATTTTGCAGCCTCAAACTTGTAAAACAAGGATGGGGACGAACCCCATTATTTATGTTCAACAACTCATTTTTGATTTGCATGCTTTGGCGATTTACAGCAGCAGGTCATTTTTTGACTACACGATCCCATCCTGGGCAAAAGGAAGAATAGATAATTCTTTTTGTAAACCATTTTCATATTTTCATATTTTTGTGTTCACCAATCGCATAAATGTTTTGCGGACTAAAATTTGTTTTTATGAGATTTCAAATGGAACTGTGTAGGTTTTAAAAGTTAATTACAAATTGGAACATGGTATTTTATCTCTCGTGGAATGTGAATACTTGGCAAAGATCAATTTTTCATCTCACTCCTCCAAGTTATGTGATTTAACATGTGAAATAATCCTTCACGACTTGAGTTACCCCAATCGTGCACACGTTAATCTTTCTTTGTTGTTTTACATCTACTCCACACAATCATGTATAACAGAGAAGAACGATTGGATCTCTGATAAGAGCAATTTTCTTGTTTTTTTATCAAAAAACATTCTTAATGAGCAGAGTAATACGAGTTGGCACAAGAGTTATGCAGGCAAAGGCGGCGTGTATCATGCATTTTATTTTTACGAATAGAGACCGATACATTCTATGGATTTTCTGTTACATGCCATGTCCTTTTCTACTTGTAAAAGTCCATTTGTGAAATCCAGCCGAGCGACAAAATAATTTGGTTCTCTTCTTTGCAAATCTTTTTTTCTTTGCAAAAATGGGCGTGAGGGTCATTTGTCACCTTTGCATAATCACAAATACCGTGGTATGCACTGATTCATGCCGCACTGTAAAAGTCATCCTTTCCTTGTTCCATGTGCCATGTTACATAAGTACGTTCGTAGAATCTCAATATTCTTGATTTTGTATTTCGACACTTTTCTCACACAAATTAAATCTTGCGGCGAAAAGGAATGACCGTGCGTGAGATAACTTGAACTAATTCCTATAATCGATATTTTTTCTCGGGTGTAACATGCAGGCATCCGCTCCTAAACTAACTCAAATGAAAAATAATTTACACATTTTTTTTCACAAGTAACTTTTCACGGTCAATGATATACAGGGCATTAAATCAAAACGAATTTTCAACAGCCAGAAGCAATAAAAGATCTCAAAAATGTCACGCAATTTAGTCAAACTGCATAGAAACAGGCCGTTGCATAAAGAAGAATAATTTGCAAATCAAATAATTTGAAGCCCGTTGACCACCATGGAGGGGTAATTTATGTCCCTATCATTATTCCAGTCCCCCTACTCACTTACTCGTTTCAACAATTAAAATGAGCGCATAGTAACAAGATGACGAAAAATATGAGGAGGATGACAATGACCATGAGGACACAAAAAGAGCTTGTAAACATTCTAGTCAGTCAGACCTACGGACGACGGCCTGCCCCACCTTATTCAAAGTTAACGATGCTGAAAACCCTTATTTTTTCTTGTCGAGAGTTGTGAGAAGAGCGCGTCGCGTCGGATTTAATTTTACGACAGTATTAAAAAGCATCGATGGAAATGTCGGGTTAAAAAGTCGAGACTTGAAAAAAAGTCATTAATTTAATCGGCCGTTCCTCGAATATGTTCACATTCAAATACACGAACAACAAGGGAAGACTAGATTTTAGAATGGTTTCTTCTTGTAACTTGCACAAACAGTAATAAGTTGGCTGGGCTCTCGTCTTCTATCGGTTAGTTGGTGTAAAGAATCGCATGGACAATTTCAACAGGAAAGGATGCGGAGATGCTGCTGGGATGGGAAAGAATTTGAGTGAGTTGACCATCCTGAAAGGAAGTTGATGCAACGGTATCAGCTTTTGTTAGAGAAACTGTTCTACAAGAACGTAGAGGAGAGAGACCATGCATTATCAAAAACCTTTGCAATCTAACGCCACTTTGATGAATCTCACTGGTCATTTCCTCAATAGTGACTTTTTAGAAACGACACGATCGTCATCATCATCATCATCGCACCAGAGTCCGACAGCCAGAAATCTTGTGAACTTTGCCAAACGCATGTGATGGTCAATAATATGTGAAAAAAGAAGGCAAATCATTATTCCGCTTTTCTCTACTTTCTGCAATACTACGAATAAGCTATAGAAATTAAACTTATGCAGATACGTGTCCAATTCAAATAAAGGGTGTCTTCTTCGCCCATCATTACCACCACTTTTTTTTGCCACACAATGGTCGTGCAAAAGGAATACACACATTTTTTGTCAAACCGTCAAAGTAGACAACATAAGGCTTTTTATTATTATTCAGACTGAAAAAAAACGCGTTGGAAGGATACGAGTAATTAAATAATGATGCATATCATAATCAAGACTGAATATACAAAAATACTTAATCCGACTGATATAGTATAATAAGTACAGTAAGGGTTTACTTAATTTGACATTGCACACGTATTAAAATCCTCACAGGAAATGCAGGTATCGTATCGCAAAACCATCGTAAATCCACTAACTGTAATTGCATAGACGACGAATGGGAGAGAGACCTCATGAGCCTCGTTGAATTGTGGGAACCGCATTTTGTCTGCCATAACATCAACGTAATTATGTAAGGTGAAGTGCGTGAATGGAATGAGGGATGGAGACGACCAGGCGCTATTGGATTGCATATCGACAACGACGACCAGTTGCTGTTGTGGGAATTCATTTCAATTCATTTTCACCGTTATATAGCAAACTAAAAGCAAGAAATTGTTCTTCCATTTGCGAACGAAGAAAAGACAACGTTGACGGCATTTAAGCAAACAAAGTGAAAATTTTGTAAACAAAAATATGTAATAATCAGCGGAAGTGGTGTTGCCGGAAAAGGTGTACCAAATGAAGTGGGTGCCGGTGTGTGTGTTCCTCCCTCAGATTTAATTACGAACCGTTTTTTATAATGAAATGTCAAACAACTAGGTTCACACTAAACTGCTGCGAATGTCAAAATCCGATCCAGTGATAATGAAATGATGACAACGTTGATAAAAACTCCGTTTTTCAGACATACAAAGCAAGCCAAATGAGTTCATTAATATGCACGGACTCATTAAAAGAAGTGTGCAGTCAGTCATTCGTGTGATATGGATGGATGTATCTTCTCATTGAGAATACTGTTTGTTATACTGTGACAAATTTCCTCTCAATTGGTTCAACCAGTAAAATATTTTGTGCGACATGAAACGTTTTTGCAAGATGCAAATGTTGCCAAGATGTTTTCACTAGTACGACCATAAAAGGCAGGCTTGTCCCCTTTCCATCTTTTCATCTAGTAATTCTCTTATTAGCAACCTGAATGTGAAGTACATACAGAAAGCTCTACATATGCACGGCTTTTCGCTTGTATCTACAAATTAATGCACCAACCAAGCAGTTATGACTGCACTCGTGTTGTTGACAAAAACTTGATTTCTAATCGTGTTTCCTTCTATTCTATTTCCTTCCAGATATCGATGAGTGTGCAATTCCAGAGTTCCGTTCTCGGTGCGTGGAGAATTCTGAGTGTTGCAACTTACCAGCTCACTTTATTTGCAAGTGCTTACCTGGATATGAGGGCGATGGGGAAGAAAAATGCACAGATGTCAACGAATGTGCAGATCCTCATGCTTGTGGAGAGAATGCACTTTGCCACAACACTGCCGGCAATTATAGTTGTTCATGTAGTCCAGGTTTTGAAGGGAATCCGTACGATAAGGTATGGGCGCAAGAAAGCTGCTACATTTAATTTAGGGGTAAATGAAGAAATATTCTAATCCATGTAAAATACGTAGTGTGTCGATATCAACGAGTGCAATCAACGTAACGCGTGTGCGGAAGGATCTCGCTGCATAAATCTCAAGGGGAGCCATCAATGCGAATGTCCAAAGGGTTATCGAGGCAACGGTTTCGATAGTTGTGTTGACATTAATGAATGCGCCGAGAATCCCAAGGCTTGCGGTCCAGGTGCAATTTGTACAAATCTTCCCGGTACCTATCAGTGCACATGTAGTGAAGGAACAACCGGTCAACCGAACCAAGGGTGCTCTGGTAAATGAACTTCCATCAGTTGACGTCCTAATTATTAGTTTTTATTCGTATAAGACACGATAATTATACAAGAAACGCCAACTTTACAGATCTCGATGAATGTGCCGTTCTGGAAAATCCATGCGGTGAGTAATGACCTCCTCTGAACTCTGTCGCATCTTTTCCATTTCACCCCATCATCATTCTCATCAGTCATCATTTCAGTCTTAGAGAGCGCACATCACCTGTTATTGCTCTCAGAGAATTTAATCATTTGAAATATTAGTTACTTAATAAAAGTAACTAGTGACACAATGTCAAACCCGATAAAGTTAACTTCGCTCTTTTCTCCCCTCGAGCCAATGAATTCAAACTCTGTTGTTCCTTCATCATCATCTGAAATTGTAGAGGTGAGTTTTTTTAAATACAATGTTTGAAAGTAAGTATTGTTAATACTTTTTTCATGAAAATGTGTTCAGTTGGATAATGAAGATATTGAAGAGGTCATCCCTCCCAAAAGACGACTCATCTTTAAGGATGGAAAGAATAAAGTCAAGTACGTTTTCCCCGACGGGGTGAAAGCAGTGGTGTTGGCTAGTGGAAAAAAGATTGAATTAACCGAGTTAATTGTTTCCGGTTAGTTTTAATTTCTTTTTTCACACTTTCGTTATGTAAATATGAGTGAAATTTGTTTTTTGTCGCAGAATCGCCAGATAATTCACAGGAGGATGAGAATTGGCTACCACCTAAAGGAGCGATGCTTGCTGTGTTCTACGCCATAAAGTCTCACTTGGAGTACAACGGAAAGGACTCCGCGATGGACTCTACTCCTCAATTTTTGAAACTCATGAAATCGCTTCCTATTAGTGGAACATCAACTTTAATGACCAAGGGGAAAAAGGCTACACCAATCAAAATAAACGGCAACGAAGTCTTCATCAAGTGGAAGGATGGGACTGTTTGGTTTAATGAGCAGACTGCAAGAACTAAAACTAAATGGTATGGTGCGAGAAAGAAGTGTAAAACTACTTCATGTTGGACCTATGCCTCTGTAAGTTAAAATTCATCACTTAAAATTCATCACTTCCACAACTATGTTAATTATAATAATTATTATTAAGGACGTCGTAAACGCAGTGTGCGTTAAGCACTTAATCAGGCCACGAGAGTTGTTACTTATTTGGGACAAACTGAACGAAACCACCACTATTGCTATGTTCCATCCGAACTTCAAAGTATCGACTTCAACCGATAAATGGGTCAACAGCTACTTGAGTGCCAGTAATGTTGGCAAAAGGGAAGTGTGGCTAACGAAGTATTCAGCGTCCAGAGAAGAGTACGAGTTCACTATTCTGAAATCGTGGCAGAGTGTGAATTCTACTCAAACATATCATAATTACTCGGTTAGTGTTTTGATTTGAACACATACATATATATTTTTATGCCAATATTAATATTTTCTCTGTTTAGATCGCCCTGGGTATTCTTGTGCTACTTCACAATATGAAAGTGAACGGTGAAAGTCACAAGATTAAGTACTGTACGAGACTGATTCATTTTCATGAAGCCGATTGGGGAAAGGTTCTCAAAATTCTCAATCTGAACGGTGTCTCTTTCCGGATTGGTGAGAAAGACGAATCGATTGACCACAAAAAGTGTCCTCTACTCCCTCCTGGCAAAAAATTCTCTCCAACTCAACCCCATACGTACCAAGGGTGGGATAAAAAGGGAGGCTATTATGATGGCCTGTCATTGTCAAAGAGGAAATCATTCAAGGGTAATGGTTCAAAAGATCACAGAAGAGTAAAAACAACTATGAGAGGAGTGAAAGACGAGGATATCGTCAACGTGTATCAACTGCCAGCAGAGACCCCATTCGAGTTTGATGATGATGATGAGGAAGAAGATTTGAATGAGGAGGAGGATGAAGATTTGAATGACGAGGAGGATGAAGATTTGAATGAGGAGGAGGATGAAGATTTGAATGACGAGGAGGATGAAGATTTGAATGACGAGGAGGATGAGGAAGAAGACATGTGGTCGGAAAAGAAGAGACGAGCAAAACACGCCGAGTGTATAGGTTTTTTGGCCACAATGATTGCGACAATGATGGGTGTGGAACGGGATGGTTTTGTGATCCACCCAATGACTAAAATTTGGCCTTTCTTTAACACTGTTTTTGATTTGGATATTTTACTCGACATTTTTAAGTTCAAAACTCAGTGTTCTCTCGAGATAGTTCAGGATAAGATGTTGGAAATGGTGGATGGAAAGTTGAATGTAATTTGGTGTGATTAGATATTATAGATATGTCTGTTCGATTTGTTTATTACACTGTTGAGTAATTTTAATAAAAACTGAAATATTTACGTATGTACTAATTAAGTGAGCAATCCTACTTGATTTGCATGAACATTATATCAAAAAGCGTATTTGTTTAAGAAAAGTAATTTGAAATGTTTGAAATTGCTATATTTTGTTCGTAGGAACTCATGCAATTTGCGAAAATACTGCACCAGGATACAATTGCTTGTGTCCTCAAGGTTATGCTGCGAAACCTGACCCAAAAATTGCATGCGAACAGGTTCGGAGTAGAAAAATCTGTTATATTTCGAAACACGTGAATCATCAGAATTTTAATTTGTTGTCTCCTCTTTCTTCTTAAGACTGATGTTACCACCCTCTGTAAATCCAATTACGATTGCGTCAACAATGCCGAATGTATCGAAGGACAATGCTTTTGCGTGGACGGATTCAAGGCGAAAAAATCAGAATGTGTCGACGTCAACGAATGCGAATCTCCTGAAAATCCATGTGGACCCAATTCAGTCTGCATCAATACGCCTGGAAGATTCAGATGTGACTGTGATTTCGGATTTATCGGTGCTCCCCCAAGTCGTCCATGCAAAGGTAAGGTTATCATCTGCACAAAACTTTCACACATTATTATTCACAACATTATCATTCAATCACATTGACACTAACTTTACATTTCTAATCAATTTCGAAAACTCACCTCACTCACACTCACACTTAACACGAACACCAAACACCACCATCAACATTACTAACCCCGCACCACAGATGTAGACGAATGTCGCAGTGATTTGTTCCCATGTGGCACGCGAGCAAAGTGTGTTAACGTGCCTGGAACGTACCTTTGCGAATGTCCTTCCCCCTTACTGGGGGATCCATTCAAAGCTTGCATGCGTGAGTTACTACATACACACAATAAACCAATTACACATATTTATTTTAAAATACACACACAAACATATACAAAAATTGTACATACTACTTGTAAATTCGTAAATTCGCTCACCACAAATTGAACCTTCAACTAATTACCATTGACACAATGATACAGCACCGTGTGAAGGAGTGCAATGCGGACAACACGCATTTTGCAGACCTGACGGACCTGAAGCTTACTGCGTTTGTGAAGATGGGTGGTCATTCGACCCTAACAACATCACTGCTGGATGTCTGGATGTATGTCACCATTATTAAATGTCCAACCTGAAAATTTGTCACGTTACGTTACGTTACGTTGGGTTTCTTGTAGATCAACGAGTGTGATGTGTCCCATGGACCTTCGGGAATGTGTGGTACAATTGCAACCTGTACCAATTTAGAAGGAGGATTTTCTTGCTCTTGTCCTCACGGTTTTACCGGAAATTCACAAGTCGCTTGCATTGACGTAAGCTGTTGTACTTTGAGTGGTTTTTCATTATGAGGGTTTCAGGCTAATTTAGTATATTTGCATAATAACAATAGATCAACGAGTGCAACAATCCAAAGGGTACCGCATGCGGAGAAGGTAAAGTTTCTTAACCTTAATGTGTATGAATCTGATGAATAGTTCACTAATTGAATAACCTCATTCATTCGTAGGTGCAACCTGCATCAACTCTCCGGGAAGTTTTGAGGTAAGTAATTTAGAAATTTTCAAAATAGTTTTCTCATCAAGACAATAAGTAACGGGTTTGATCTACTTAATCCTTCCTAGTGTGCCTGCCCTGATGGAACTGTACCTGACCCCGACCCAAGAACGAAATGTATTGAAGTCATTAAATGTAACAAGGATGACGACTGTCCCGGAAATGCTTTTTGTGATTCCGACGACAAAAAATGCCTTTGTCCGGAACCCAACATTGGAAAAGATTGTAGACGTAAGGCATAATAATTTACGCTAAACGTACATATTTGACATTAGTGGGGATGACATTAACGTTGATTCATAACGTATCACATTGATTATGCATTCCATGCAGATCCTTGCGAAGAAATCCTGTGCTCCAAGAACGCAGAGTGTATGCTTATCAATGGCGAATCCCGATGCTTATGTCGACCCGGCTACACCGGAGCTGCCAACAATGTTGGCGGTTGTGAAGACGTATGCCCTATCAAATCGTTTAAATAAATACGTCAGGCTTGATATCATCTAATTCATTTTGTATCCATTAGATCAATGAGTGTAGTGAAAGCAGCCCTTGCGGAACTGGAGCTATCTGCAAAAATCTTCCAGGCAGTTTTAGTTGCGAGGTATTTAATTAAAATTATCAAATTTGCAATGACAAAAATATTTGACACAATCACAAATTCTCCAATTCTAGTGCCCCGGAGGTTCACAACCAATCAATGCCACCGTACAAAACCCATTCCAAACCGGGTGCAAATCCATCGTGGCCCATGAATGCGACGCCCGACAGCCCTGTCCTTCTGGAGAACAATGCGTTGCCAGCGGAAGTGGTCAAAATGTGTGCATTTGTCTTCTAGGTTTCGCTCGTGATCAGTCAAGTGGAAAATGTCGCGATGTAAGACCTTCATTTTTAACACATGCTTTAAATATGTGTCTTAATATTTATAATAAAATTTGATATTTTGTTAGATTGACGAGTGCCTCGAAACCACAGATAAGCTTCCCTGTGGACTTAATGCTGGTACATAAAATATGATCTAAGCAGTATGAATATTTATTACATGAATTAATCCTAAAATTGCATTTATTTAATAGTGTGCAAAAATCTACCTGGAAGTTACGGTACGAGTTTAACGAAATGCAAATCAATGTTACATAAAGATCTTGGTTTAGTACTAATTTGTATTTAAATTATATTTAGCTTGTAATTGTCCTTCCGGATATAATGGAAATCCATTCTTGATCTGTGAAGGTAATTAGACTTTTTTAAAAGAATTTTAAATTAATACCTTAATTTTTCCAGCTATAATTTAACTTACGTCCACTCTCGTTTACAGAATGCACAAGTGAGGAATGTAAATGCCAGCCACCTTACAAGGTCGTCAACGGATCATGCGTTTTTGGAAATTGCTCGTTAACCTCACCTTGTCCCGAGGGCGCCAACTGTATCACGGTCACGGGAGGGTTGAGCTACTGTGCTTGCCCTGCCGGATCCGCGACAAATCCTGACGGATCTTGCACCGACGTAATTATTTACTTATCTTTTAAATTTTATTTTTCTCATCAGAATTTCACAGCCTACGTTTCATTTTTCAGATAAATGAATGCGCTGGACCCAATAGACCTTGTTCTATCGGTGCTGAATGTCACAACAAGATTGTCCACGTCGACGGAGTTCCATTTGAATGTATTTGTCCCGACGGAACGAATGGTATGCGCCATAAACAAATAAATGACAATTATATTTAAAATTACACACAATAATTTGTAGGTGATCCCTACAACGGAGCTTGTTCCCCATCACAAGTCAGATGTGCGGGCGACTCCCAGTGTCGAACGAATGAGAAATGTATTCAACCAGGAGAGTGTATTTGTCCTCCACCGTTCTTCACCGATTCTGCAGACAACAACAAATGCAAGAGTCCTTGTGAACGAATGAGCTGTGGAGTTTATGCTAAATGCATTCCGAATGACGTTCCAAGTATGATTTGATTGAAAAATATTATGCTTTGGAACAGTTTGATAATTGTTTTTTACACACAAATTTAGTTTGCGTATGCGAAGCTGGATTTGAAGGAGACCCGAATATTGGATGCATTGATGTATGTATTTATTTCATGAAACTTATTCAAGATAATAGAGATTTTATTTGGAAAGAGTTAAAAATGCAACTTTTTGGTAGACGAACGAGTGCGGAAAATTCCCCAGCCCTTGCGGTGCTAACTCCACTTGCGTCAACACCATTGGAGGTTACGAATGTAAAACTGATCGAAACATTTGTCGCGCTTCTGGTGACTGTCCGGCATCGCTAATCTGCAAGTCTGGGACTTGTTCGGACCCATGTTTGGCTGGTACGAGAATGCACAAATGATGCAAGTGTTCTTCATTCTACAGGTTTTAATGTTTTTCAATAATTTAGGCAACGGATTCCTCCCATGTGGAGAAAATGCAGTTTGTGAAGCCGAAGATCACGCCGCTTGGTGCAGATGTTTACCTGGATACGTGAAAGGAGCTAATGATGCCTGTATATCTGTCTGTTTGGGTGTCCAATGCGGTACCAACGCCTATTGCGCCCCCAGCTCGGAAGGAGTTACGTGCAAGTGTCAAGAGGGGACGACCGGAAACCCATTTCCTGGTGGTCAATGCAACCCCGAAGTTTGTGCCACCACCCACGCCTGTCAAGAACCCATGGTTTGCATTAGTGGACGATGTAAAGAAAAGTGTGGAGACAGTCTTTGCGGGATTGGTGCGAAGTGTGACCGCAATAGTAATCAGTGCGTCTGTCCAGAGTTCTTTGTTGGAAATCCAAAATATAAATGCGTTGCTCGTAAGTGACGAATTCTTATTTTCATTTTTTTAACACATTGTAAGAGCTAGTTTAAAAACGTTAAACCTTTCAGCGGCCGTTCCACCCACCTGTCAACCAAACTGTGGAACGAATGCTCACTGTGAATACCAGGCGAGTGGAGCAGTCTGTGTTTGCAATGCTGGAACAATTGGAAATCCGTACGAAACTTGTGGAGCGGAGGAAAGATCTTGCAACGCAGCGTCATGTGGACCACATGCCGTTTGCAGGGATTCTGGATGCGTTTGTGAGACCGGATATCAAGGAAACCAGCACACGGGATGTGTCGATGTGGGTTTATTTATTGAATTGGATTATTTATTGGTTTAGGGGGATGGTAATGAATTTTCTCATATTTATGTGTAGATTAATGAATGTGATCAATCTACTGGAGGAGCAAGGCCTTGTGGAGGTAGGAATTTTTTCTTCATATGCAAAAATATAATAGCGATACAGTTAGTTCAAGACTGATTATTTTTTAAATTTTACAATAGCGAACGCCATTTGTATTAACCTTCCCGGAAGCTACAGTAAGTATTTTTTCGAACTTTGATCTTCTGGTACTTTTAGAATTCCTTTCACTAACTAGTTTTAATTCTTCAGGATGTTTCTGCGGTGAGGGTTACGAAGGAAATCCGTTCGAAGGATGCACCAAACCACCTGTCGACCTAGTCGACTGTTCCAAAACGCAGTGCAAATGTACCACGGATCAAAACTGTCCGACCGGATTTTCATGCCAGAATCGCATCTGTAAAGATCTCTGTTCCACCGTGACCTGTGGATTGAATTCGGTTTGCGTCAGCGGAAAATGTGAATGTGCACCCGGATATGTATCGTCAGACCAAGGATGTAAACCACAAAGCTGTAGGAACGATGGTATGCATACACGACGTGTTTGAAAAAAATATAAACAAGTAAATTTAACAAATAATAATAATAATTGTAAAAAAATCCAGGCGACTGTACTTCTCAAGACATCTGTTTCACTGCGGCATACGGACTACGAAAGTGTGTCGATGGATGTTCTCGAATCCAGTGTGGTCCGAATGCTCTTTGTATAACGGAGAACCACAAACCAGTCTGCATTTGCCAACAGAATTATGTAGGAAATCCATCCAATCTGCAAACCGGTTGTACCGTCGTTGGTGAAACGTTAGATGCGTGTAAAGCCGACAAGGATTGTTCAGATCAACAAATATGTCGCCCCGATCTCAATGGAATCAAAAACTGTGTGTCGCCATGTCTCAGTTTCAGCTGCCCCTTGGAAAACGAGTTTTGTGTCACGAAAAACCGGAAACCACAATGCCAATGTTTGGACAACTATATTCGCAACCCTGAAACATCGCTTTGTGAATTACCTGCATTCCCCAACTGCAATACGGACAAGGACTGTGCCGGACATGAAGTGTGCAAACCGGATGGCCTTGGCGTTTTACGGTGTACTTCCGTCTGTGCTCCGGTGAACTGTCCTTCATGCAATTTCATTAGCTGTTCTCTAAATGCGGAATGTGTCGCGGTCGATCATACCGGAGGTAATTAATGAGCAAATTTCTATCAATATCAATATCTGTGTGTTACATAAATATAATTCTCTCCTGTAAATAATTTTAGTTTGTCAATGTTTGCCTGGTCATACGGGAAATCCAAAGGACAGAGTCGGATGTGTCAAAATATCTCGGGATCAATGCCAATCTGATGTTCAATGTAATGAGAATGAAGTTTGTTTGCAAAAGGATGGCCAATTTTCTTGCGTCCCAGTCTGTAACACAGTTCAATGTGGCCCTGGTAATAAAAATTCCGTGATTTTTAAAATATTGGGTGCCATTTTTTAAAAGATCATAGCTTAAAAAATTATTTAAAAAATTAAAAATCAGGTGCTGTATGCGTTTCCAATAATCACGCTGCAGTGTGCAAATGTCCCAGTGGAAAGTTTACTGGTGACCCCAACGACATGTCCAAAGGATGTATTGAAGTGCCTTGTGTGTACAATGGTGAGTACATTTTTAAATGAAATTTCTACCAAAATGCATGTTACGTATTAAGATTTTAAAATTTACAACCATCTTCTATTCAGATGACTGTCCACCCACCCAACTTTGCGACCGTCTCGCTCACAAATGTATGGATATTTGTGCCGAAGACACCTGTGGTACCTCTGCAGTTTGCATTGCAGATAATCACTCATACCAGTGCATTTGTCCCTCTGGATTTAAGCCAGATCCACACCCGGACATTGGCTGCACTAGTGAAGGTACTTGCGAGAACCATCCTTGTCATCCTTCCGCCATCTGCGACAACACGGCGCAAGGCGTCGTATGCAAGTGCGCTCCAGGAACAACTGGTAAGTTGGTTACGAAAAAACGTTGAAAATGATTAAAGTCTAAATCACGTTAGTTTCATCACGATTTCGATTATTTTCTAAACAGGAGACGCTTACCGATCTGGATGCGTTGCAACTGGTTCAAACACGTGCGCTTCGGATGAGACCTGCCCACCAGCCACAATTTGTGAAAGTGGAGTTTGTAAAAGTGTGTGTCAAAATGCTTGTGGTGCTAACAGCGTGTGTTCCGTGGAGAACAGGAAGGCCAAGTGTTCTTGTGTCCCCGGATTTGAACAAGGTCCAGGAGGGTGTGTTCGCCAATCCAAAAATTGTACCAGTGACGCCCAGTGTGATGGAAGTTTGTGCATTCGAGATCAGTGCAAAATCATCTGTAGAAATCCAAATGACTGTGCGGATGGAGAACGCTGCGTGTCAAGCATGTGCATGCTTCCTTGCATTGGACATCTTCAATGTCCAGGAGGTCAAGCTTGTGCGGGAGGATTTTGTAAGTTGCGATTTTTTAACTTTGCAATTGTGGATATTTTAAAACTTTAAAATTTTGTAATAGGTGTCAGCGGATGTCGAACTAGTGGCGATTGTCTACGCGAAGAAGCTTGTGTGCACCATCAATGCTTGAATGCTTGCGAGGTTGAAGGGGCCTGTGGAGCCAACAGTTTGTGTCGTGCCGTGTCGCACAGTCCACGTAAGTTCAGTAGACGCCTGAATAGGTATTAAATTTACCTGAATTAAGTGCATTCTCTAATTTATTTATTATTCTGCTCTTTAGTTTGCCACTGCCCTGAAGGGTTCCAAGGAAATCCGACCCCGTTGGAAGGATGTGTTCGTAAGCCATCGTACTGTTCCTCCACTCAGGACTGTTCCGATGGTCAGCTTTGTCTCGGAGGTCTTTGCGTCGTGTCCTGTACCAATACCGCTGATTGTGCCAGAGGAGAACGTTGTCAGAACAATGTCTGCGTCAAAGTTTGCTACACAGATTCGAACTGCCAGGCAGGAGAAGTTTGTGTCGAAGGAGCTTGTCATCCCGGGTGTCGATCGGATTCTGGTATTTTATCATAAATTAGTTAATTTTAATTGTGTGTGATAACTAAATTAAATTTTATTATATTTTCAGACTGTAAAGCGGCTGAAGTTTGCATTTCCAATAAGTGTAGATGTGGAAATGGATTTGATCACGGTCCTACTGGGTGCAGAGATGTAAGTTGTGTAAATAAATAATAAATCAAATGACTGATATTTCAAGAAATATTATTTCATTCATAGATCAATGAGTGTGATAACAAACCATGTCATCCAAGTGCTTCTTGTCTCAACACTCCTGGAAGCTACAAGTGTATCTGTCCTGCCGGATTAATCGGAGAACCATACGAACAAGGTTGCCGAGATGGACAAGAATGCCAAACCTCAGAACAATGTCCAGAAAACATGGCGTGTCTTGCACTACCCGACGGAAAACGTAAATGTTCTGACCCTTGTGTAGACATTTTACCAAAATGTGGACCAAGAGCCAAGTGTCAAGTTTCTAGTCATATAGGTACATCTTCATTTCAATTCACACAAATAAAGAAAAGTCACTAATTCTACTAAAATATTTTAAATGTCCAGCCTCCTGCGTATGTGAGGATGGGGAGCTGGGTGACCCATTCAACAAAGATACTGGATGTTATGTCGTGGAATGCACAAATTCTGACGATTGTTCACCCGATCGTCAATGCGACCAAGGTTTGAATCGCTGCGTTGACCCCTGTTTGTCAATCGGCTGTGGAAAGGGAGCTTGTCAAGTTCACAATCACGCTGCTTCATGCATTTGCTCGCAAGGATTCGAATTCAGGGGAAATCTATGCGTGGATGTGTAAGTTGCGAACTATTGAAATAACTAACATGTTGCAGTAACATGAAATCTAATGTATTTATTTTTATTATAGTGATGAATGTGCCGCAAGTCCATGTCATCCTTCTGCTGTGTGCAAGAACACAGTCGGAAGTTTTTCATGTTCCTGTCCAGCTGGAACGGTACGAGATCAATTGGGATGCAAGAAAGCTGGCGAATGTTTCACAGACGTTGAGTGTCCGGATTCTGCATTCTGTAAAAACGGGAAATGTGTCGACGTCTGTGAGGGATCTTGTGGAAAGGTGGCACTTATTTTTCATTCACTATTTCATAATTTGTAGTCAAGAACTTTACTAATATAAAATCCCGTCTTATTCTTTAGAATGCCCAATGTTCATCTGAAAACCATCAGGTACATACATATAATTTGTGTACGATGTAGTTAATGCTCACATATCTGAAGCTTTGTTTTACAAATTGTCTTTGCCTTTTTAAACGCAGTACACCTGCAGTTGTCCTGAACACACGCAAGGCGACCCTGCTCGAGAGTGCGTTTCTCTGGAATGTGTCGACGGTGGAAATGACTGTCCTTCCAACAAGGCTTGCTTCGGGAATAAGTGCATCGATATTTGTGCACTCGGAAATATTTGTGGGGTGAGAGAGAAAGAGAAAAAGAAATAACTTTAAAAATTCACCCAAAGAATTTAGCTTAATAGTTATTTATGTAATTGTTCGGTGCAGAAATTCACCAACTGCAGCGTCGTGAATGGAAGACCAATTTGCACCTGCTTGCCTGGACATTTGGGTGATCCAAGGTTGGGCTGTGTTCCAGTTACGCCATGTTCCGAAAGCTCCCTTTGCCCACCATCATCTAAATGTAGCAACGGAATTTGTCGCCCAATTTGTAACTCGAAACGTGACTGCATTGCTGACCAATTGTGTATTGAAGGAGTTTGTCAAGCTGCATGCAAAGCCAGTATGTCTCATTTTTCTCATCTATCTAATTCATACAGTTTGTGTGCTGTATTAAATATTACTTCCTAATATTTTAGACACGGATTGTGCTTCTTTCCAAAAATGCTTGAATGGAATTTGCCAAGAATTGCCAAGATGTCAGAAAGATGATGATTGTCCGATTGATGAAATGTGTCGAGAAAATAAGTTTGGTCAATTGGAATGTCAGCATGTTTGCAGCAGTTGGGCCTTGTGTGGTAAGTTTTTTTTAAGTTTATTGAGTTAATAGTTAATATACGTAATTGACCTTTCGAATTTATTTTTCCGCAGGTCGAAATGCTGAATGCAGTGCTCATGAGCATCAACCAAAATGTGAGTGTAAGCCAGGATTCTTCGGAAACGCTCATGACGATCGACTTGGCTGTCAACCGATTGAATGTAACAAGAACGACGATTGTTCCAAGGATAAGGTCTGCTCTGAGCACAAGTGTCAAGTTGCGTGCAGAGTTTCAAATCCTTGTGTGGAATTTGCTGTCTGTATTTCTGAAAATCGTACGTTCGCCTATTTGACAATATTATTCTGTCAATGTATTGATATTAAAACGCTTTTGATTTGAACGTTTAGATCAATCCCAGTGTCAATGTCAACCAGGTTTTACTGGTAAATATTTTTCAATGTTTTATATTATATCACAGATGATCACCAATATGCGACATAATTAATAACTAATTAATAACTAATTAATTAATTATTTATACAATAAATAGGAAATCCAGCCGAAAAGTGTACATCCATTGATTTCTGCTCCCAAAAACCTTGCGGTCCAAATGCAGGTAAGTATATCAGGGTGTATAATTTTCGAAATTGTTTAAACTTACAATTCATACTATACATTTTATTTTTAGTTTGCGACAACACGAGAGGATCTTTCAAATGTTTCTGCTGTGAGTTTTTCACTTTATATTATTGCGTGTATATTATTACCCTCGTAAATATTGAATAACTAAATTTTTGCATACTTTAACCAATTACAGCCATCGGAACCGTTGGTGATGCCTACACTTCTCAGGGATGTCTTCCAGTACCTGAATGCAAAACAAATGCCGACTGTCCTGAAGCAACTAGATGTGTCCGTAGATCAGGAAGCCTTAAGTGCACATCCGTGTGCGAAGATGTAAAATGTGGACCCGTAAGTTAATCTCCAAGTAAATATTTACGATCGTAGTAAGAGTCGTTCAAAAATTTGCATTATTCAGAATGCCGAGTGTCGTGCGAGGGGTACTGAAGGAGTCTGCTTGTGTCGTGACGAGTACCAAGGAAATCCGAAAGATTTAATCCAAGGATGCCGACCCAAACCGAAAGCATGTAAATCCAATGCTGACTGCGGTTCCAACACGTTCTGCGATGGACAAATTTGCAAACCCCCATGCGCCGCGGATACTGACTGCAACGCCTCCGAAGTGTGTGTTCGAAGCCAGTGTCTCAACGCTTGTGATGCTCCCGGAGCTTGTGGTTTGAATGCGGGTGAGAAAATAGAGCAAAAATAGGTCAGAGATTGGAATAAGTAGTAAAATAATTTGCACATTGTTTCAGCATGCACGCCAACTCTCCACCGAAAGGTGTGCAACTGTCCTCCAGGATTCACTGGGAACGCAGAAGTGGAATGCGTTCGAAGTAAGTTTTTTTTCGATAAAATTAATAACATGATTTTTGAACAAAACTTGTAAAAAAATGACTTACAGTTGCCGTCCCATGTCAAAACAAGCACGAGTGTGCTGCAGGATATAATTGTATCGAAGGTCTTTGCCTACTAGAATGTCGAGAAGACGGAGCATGTGCCATGAACGAGCGTTGTTTAGAAGGAAAATGTTTATGTGAGTGTCATTAAAAAAATTAAGCTGTTGTTTAAAATCCAAATTAATTTGACGAGTGATATTTAATAATTTTTACAGTGACATGTCGTGTGGATAATGATTGTTTCTTGAGCCATATTTGTCTTAACAACATGTGCGTCCAAGGGTGTCGAACATCAGATGACTGCAGCGGAGGTGAATCATGTATTGGCCAAAAATGCGCTGGTAAGAAATTTATTCTTAGCAACGTTCACTTTTACTTTGTCAGATTTTGCAGTTTATCAATCCAAATTTCGTAATCATTAGAATGCATGATTAAATGGAATACTATTTTGTTTTACCCAAATTTTCAGATCCATGCAAATCCCAAGGATGTGGTGCCAACAGTGTTTGCAATGTTGTCAATCATCGTACGTATACGCAGACTAAAATACCTCAATTTATGCATATCTTAAACAATGTTTTCAACCCCAGAACCACAATGCTCTTGTCCTGGGAGTACCATTCCAAACCCGACCCCACTCGTTGGATGCGTTCGAGAACCCAAAGTCTGTACCGGAAACAGGGACTGTGCCGAAGGATATTTCTGCGAGAGCGGATCTTGCCTTCCAATCTGTTCAACGAACGGCAATTGCTTCTCAAATGAAATTTGTGATAAGGGATTGTGCAAACCCGTCTGTCGGGTGGATGGAGATTGTAGGAACGGCGAAGTCTGTGATGGCCTTAGTTGCATTCCTGGGTGTCGAAGTGATGACGCCTGTTTGGACTCACAAGTTTGTTCAAGCAACAAATGTGAGACTTTTTATGGGATAAATTTTACTAAGAATTAATTAACTTGACAATAAATTTGTATTTTCTGCTAAATTTTAGGCGTGGATCCTTGTGCCTCGCCGATTGCTTGTGGACTGGTAAGTGAAATGGAATATGATGAATATGAATAATTATTCGGAATAATGATAATTTTGTTTCATCAAATTTTATAAAATTACAGAACACACAATGCGCTGTGAAAGGACACGAAATCACCTGTCGATGCCTGCCTGGTCTCGTAGGAGATTCCCGAGTAGGCTGCAAAGTGCCCGAAGTTCCTTGCGATTCTGGAACCTCTTGTGCCAAACCGATGGTCTGCATTGAAAAGATGTGCCGAAAAGCGTGTCGAGCGTAAGTTAATAAATACAGTAATCAACAATAAGAAATTTGTAATTAATTATGTTCATAAAATATTAGGGATGCCAACTGTCTTGCCGATGAGAGGTGTATCGGAGGTGTGTGTAAACCCTTGTGCAGTGACGACGAACAGTGTGGACCAGGGTACATTTGTCAGCAAAGAGTTTGCCTTGCCGGATGTAGAAGTGATTCGCAGTGTGCCGAGGGATTTTCTTGTATCAATCGTCAGTGTAAAGGTAAGGAATTAACGATAATCGACAAAGGTGGTTATACAGTCTAATGTGCATTTCATTTTATTTGTGATAGATCCTTGCAAGAATATCCTTTGCGGACAATGTGCCACTTGTCAAGTTGTGAATCACGGTACGCAGTCAAACATTGAACTCATATTTTCAAATGGGTATCAAATTGCTTATAACTAATTTTTTCTTTAGCTGCCTCATGCTCCTGCCCGGCGGGGACAATTGGGGACGCTCTAATATCCTGTGTGAAACCACCTCAACGGTGCACGGCGGAAGGAAAGTGTCCTCGAGGGTCAAAATGTGACGGTGGCTACTGCTCAGTAACTTGCACTTCGAACGGAAACTGTGCCTGTGGTCAGACATGTACTAGCGGAGTTTGTCGGTCACAGTGCTCCGATGATGCTGGATGTCCACAGGTGGGTGGTGTCACTAATTACTGGAAAAGAATAATTCATTAACAGGGAAAAAATCTTGTTACAGGGTCAATTGTGTCAGAGAGGTCAATGTGTAGCTGGTTGTCGCCAGAGTTCAGATTGTGCACCAGACTCAGCTTGCTCAGAAGGGGAGTGTATAGACCCGTGCCAACATCCAAAGTCACCTTGTGGGAAATCTGCCATTTGCAAGGTAAATACGGCGAATAATTCAGAGAGATATATTTACTTGCAAATATGCACATGGTTTACGTTGCTATTTTTCCTTAGTTGGACAACAAGAGGCAAGTGATCTGCCTATGCCCGAACGGGTATTTTGGAGAGCCCAGCAAGGAATGTGTACAACTCGAGTGTGGAAAAGACAGCGATTGCAGTGCTGTCCAAGTTTGCCATGAAGGCGTTTGTGGTAAGTAAATTTGAAACATTTCAAAATTCAAACAGAATTTCACCCATTTTACTCTTTTATAGTGAATCCCTGCATAAGAAATGGAGCTTGTGGTGTAAATGGTATGTTTTCAACAACACTATTTGACTCCAATAGTAAAAAAAATTCAGAAGTGCAAACTATTTTTACATAATTTTATTTCATAGCCGTGTGTCGTGTCGCAAATCGACGGGCTGTATGCTCTTGTCCAATTGGTCATACAGGAAATCCACTTGATCGGTGCAATAAAGGTAGAAATACGAATTTTGATCTTTGATTAAACAGCTATTTAACTCGGAAACGTTTCTCACGTTTAGATGTCGACGAGTGCCTTGAAAATCCGTGTGGACAGGTAAATTTTTATATTACTTTAAAATGTCGTACAATCTTGAATGAATAATAATAAAAAATCCATCACAGAATGCACAATGCATCGATACTCCAAATGGTTATAAGGTATGTCCATAATTTTTACCCAAGTACCCAAATTTTGTGATTAATACGGCTTCAATTATTACGTATAGTGCACTTGTGCTCGGGGATGTAGTGGAGATCCAACAAGAGGATGCGTCTGCAAAATACCAAGTGCCTGCTCTGATGTCAGATGTGGAACAAATGCCATTTGCCTGGTTGACTCCAGTGGCGTTGGGAGATGTTCCTGTCCATCTAATCACCCTCTCGGAAATCCTTTGACCGAATGTATGTCACAATTTTTTACTCGTAAAACTATATTATGTAACCAATCCTTAAAATTGATTTTATGAATATTTGGGCCACACAGGCAAAATTGATCGAATTGATGACTGTCGAACACTTGGTTGTGGAAAAGGAGCTCTCTGTGTCAATATTACCGGACAATACACCTGCCAATGTCCCGTGGGCACTTCGGGTAACCCTGCCGTGTTCTGCGTGCAAGGTAAGAGCAACTCATTTTCTTACCATTACACACATTTTCAGGAAACACAACAGATTCATCAGGTTTCATTGATACAACAATGCGATAAAATAACAAAACACTATAATCAATCGATCAGACAATTATTGAGCATGTTAAATTCTACGACTCAAATACACAAAGAAAGAACAAGGACATTGTCAAACGGCATGAAACAGTTAATTCAGAACAACACCTAAATACGAAATAACAAGAGTCACAAAACGTTAACAAAACTACAAATAGAACAAAGATTTGACATATCTATAAATGTATTTAATACCGTTTAAATAATGCATTGTATTCCTCTTGTAAACGACCCAGAAATTCAATGTACATCGAATCAAGAGTGTCCCAACGAGCAGGCTTGTGTTCGAACTGCCTGCATCGACCCCTGTAAAATCAGGGGAGTTTGTGGTGAAAATGCAGGTATGGGAATTGAGCGTGTTAGCGAATACTTCACTCCTGTAACCAGATTTACTACAAGGTTTACTCTTTTTCAACTAACAATGCAAATAAAATATAGTCGCGATTAGCAGTTTGTAAGCTACTCACATTGTTAATCCGTGTATAGCTAAATGTTTTGTATCCCGTAAATTCGGCGTGGTCAAGTTTATCAGTCAATTGAAACATTAATGAGCTTGTTTTAAAATGAATTAAACAAGATTATGTAACTCTCCTAATTTTTTAAAATCCTCCCGAAATTACTAAACTTGTTTCAGAAACTTATACCTGTTGTTAATACATATGAGCCTTAATGATAATTAATTAATTCGTTTCCCTGCTTCTGCTTTTAATACCTTGTATTCTTTCACTCACAACGAGTCTAAACAGTAATTTTCCCCTAATGTTTGATTGTAGTAATTTAAGTTGAGTTATATCAATTGACTGGGTTTGCTTAGTGTGTCGAGTCCTGTCACACAAACCTTGGTGTTCATGTCCACAATGTCATCTTGGAAAACCAACGGAACAATGTCGCCCAGACCCACGTTGTCACACCGAAGGAAGACCAATGTATCCAAATCGACAATGCAGCTCTAGTGAAGATTGTCCCAAAAATCTAGCCTGCAACGAGGCAATCGGAATGTGCGAAAACCCATGTCAATGGACAATTGGAACCCAATCACTCTGCACTCCTAGTCATAAATGCGAAGTTTTTGAACATCGAGCAACCTGTGTGTGCAAAATGGGGCTAGTCATCAACGAGAATATGGAACTTGTCTGTCCATTACTGAATGTGGAAGGATGTCGCAGTAATTATGATTGTCCCGACAATTTGGCCTGCATTGGAACTCAGTGTCAAAGTCCCTGCTCCCAGCGTCACTGTGATAATGGGAAAGTGTGTAAAGTAGTAAACCACGAAGCTGCCTGTTATTGTGAAACGAAAGAGTGCACAGCCGTGGTATCAATATGTTTGAAAGACGCTGGCTGTCCAGACCATCTAAAGTGTGTCAACTATGTTTGCGTGGACCCATGCATAACGGAAAATTGTCCAGCAGGATGTTTCGCAAGAAATCATAATGCTACGTGCAAATTTTGTCCTGAAGGCTATGCCCCAGATGGTACGCGAGGATGCAAAGGTAACCCAAAAGTCGAGTGTTTTAAGCTTTTACTCACGACTAATAGCAACTGTTCCATCCAAGAACAATTTGCACTTGGACGAAGAGTGACCGTCATGGTACATCTTAATGAACCGCGTGTCCATCATCCTAATAATCCGCCTAACTACTGACCACTAAAAAGTACACAATCCTTCTTCCTATCTGGGTAGAAGACATGCTACACCTTGATGCTTTCTCCATTGTTACACATACTTATACATGCCCTTCTATAATAAGTGTATTATTAGGTTAATACGTAAGCAATAGTAGTAGTATAATAATTTAGTTAGTGTAATCAGTCGTATTTGTCATTGGTAGTTCGCACACCGTCTGTATTCAATGTATACGTGATTATGACAATTTAGAAAGCTGGGAGACGATTACCACACTTCGTAATTGCACGCAAACGTAATTTACGACAATTCAGAGACCACAGTAACGTTAGTGCATGCAAAACTACATAGTAATAACATGGTAAACTGTGTTCCTTGATCAAGGAATCTTCTACAAAATACAATTTTATTGCATGCGTATTAGCGAAATACTTTACAGTGACATAGATGAACCTTAGATTGATCTTTTCATTTGATTGTGGAATAACACAAACTTGCATGCCTTACTCGTACCGGAGAGCAGGAACGCCTTTCATTCCTTCACCGTCGGGACCACCTGCAAACAACACAGAAACAAATGGAACACTAAATTTTTATATGTTTTTAGTGAGGGTCATTGAAACAGGAACACCACCCATCCAAATCAATATTACCCAACCAGTTCAAACACACTGCACAAGAAACTACCATTGTTCACAAACAGAGGCGTGCATAGACAACACGTGCATTTCACCTTGTATCGTTCCGGATACATGTGGCATAAGAGCTTCTTGTAGAGTAGTGAACCACAGGCCCGTTTGCTTTTGCCCACCCAATTATAGAGGCAGCCCTTACGATATATGCATTTTAGCTGACGACCAACTTCTACTGTCTGACGAACCTCATAGACAAATAAATGAATCCCTACCACGACAGTTTTACATGACACATAACAAAAGTACAACAGAATATCCCACTACAACACCAACCCCAACTATAGAAGGCGTGCATAATGCAACTATCAACTTCACCCATCCATTCCCTATTGTGAATGAAAGCATAAGTGACCATACAGAATCTTCCAAAACAGAAATCACAGAATTAACAACAGGTACAATGAAGTTCATCGAAACGTCTACAAGTAAGATTTCAGACACTACCCTTGGATTTGAGGCTTCAAGCAGCACAGGAGCCCCACGAATGCAACCCTTTACGACCGATGCAACAACTGAAGGTTCAACAGATTTTACAACATATGAGCGACCAAGTTCAACCGTCCGATTGCCAACAATCAAGTTCACCACACAACGAGGCACTGAAGGAACAACGAGCGGTGTTACCGAGACTGAATTTTTCACCACTGGAACTCGGCAATACTTTGAAACTTCCACCTCAAAAATGGGAGAAACTACTTTGGGTGCGACCGAAAGATCCAGCACAACTGGTCTACCACGAATGCAAGAGTTTACCACAGAACGAGGTACCGAGGGCACAACTCGAGGAGTTACCGAAACTCCTGCTTTCTCCACCGGAACAAAACAACAGTTTGAAACTTCCACCATGCAAATTGGAGAAACCACTCTTGGCGTGACGGAAAGACCAAGTAGCACTGGAATGCCACGAGTTCATCTTGGTAGCACAGAACGAGGAACTGAAGGAACAACGAGCGGTGTTACCGAGACTGAATTTTTCACCACTGGAACTCGGCAATACTTTGAAACTTCCACCTCAAAAATGGGAGAAACTACTTTGGGTGCGACCGAAAGATCCAGCACAACTGGTCTACCACGAATGCAAGAGTTTACCACAGAACGAGGTACCGAGGGCACAACTCGAGGAGTTACCGAAACTCCTGCTTTCTCCACCGGAACAAAACAACAGTTTGAAACTTCCACCATGCAAATTGGAGAAACCACTCTTGGCGTGACGGAAAGACCAAGTAGCACTGGAATGCCACGAGTTCATCTTGGTAGCACAGAACGAGGAACTGAAGGAACAACGAGCGGTGTTACCGAGACTGAATTTTTCACCACTGGAACTCGGCAATACTTTGAAACTTCCACCTCAAAAATGGGAGAAACTACTTTGGGTGCGACCGAAAGATCCAGCACAACTGGTCTACCACGAATGCAAGAGTTTACCACAGAACGAGGTACCGAGGGCACAACTCGAGGAGTTACCGAAACTCCTGCTTTCTCCACCGGAACAAAACAACAGTTTGAAACTTCCACCATGCAAATTGGAGAAACCACTCTTGGCGTGACGGAAAGACCAAGTAGCACTGGAATGCCACGAGTTCATCTTGGTAGCACAGAACGAGGAACTGAAGGAACAACGAGCGGTGTTACCGAGACTGAATTTTTCACCACTGGAACTCGGCAATACTTTGAAACTTCCACCTCAAAAATGGGAGAAACTACTTTGGGTGCGACCGAAAGATCCAGCACAACTGGTCTACCACGAATGCAAGAGTTTACCACAGAACGAGGTACCGAGGGCACAACTCGAGGAGTTACCGAAACTCCTGCTTTCTCCACCGGAACAAAACAACAGTTTGAAACTTCCACCATGCAAATTGGAGAAACCACTCTTGGCGTGACGGAAAGACCAAGTAGCACTGGAATGCCACGAGTTCATCTTGGTAGCACAGAACGAGGAACTGAAGGAACAACGAGCGGTGTTACCGAGACTGAATTTTTCACCACTGGAACTCGGCAATACTTTGAAACTTCCACCTCAAAAATGGGAGAAACTACTTTGGGTGCGACCGAAAGATCCAGCACAACTGGTCTACCACGAATGCAAGAGTTTACCACAGAACGAGGTACCGAGGGCACAACTCGAGGAGTTACCGAAACTCCTGCTTTCTCCACCGGAACAAAACAACAGTTTGAAACTTCCACCATGCAAATTGGAGAAACCACTCTTGGCGTGACGGAAAGACCAAGTAGCACTGGAATGCCACGAGTTCATCTTGGTAGCACAGAACGAGGAACTGAAGGAACAACGAGCGGTGTTACCGAGACTGAATTTTTCACCACTGGAACTCGGCAATACTTTGAAACTTCCACCTCAAAAATGGGAGAAACTACTTTGGGTGCGACCGAAAGATCCAGCACAACTGGTCTACCACGAATGCAAGAGTTTACCACAGAACGAGGTACCGAGGGCACAACTCGAGGAGTTACCGAAACTCCTGCTTTCTCCACCGGAACAAAACAACAGTTTGAAACTTCCACCATGCAAATTGGAGAAACCACTCTTGGCGTGACGGAAAGACCAAGTAGCACTGGAATGCCACGAGTTCATCTTGGTAGCACAGAACGAGGAACTGAAGGAACAACGAGCGGTGTTACCGAGACTGAATTTTTCACCACTGGAACTCGGCAATACTTTGAAACTTCCACCTCAAAAATGGAGAAACTACTTTGGGTGCGACCGAAAGATCCAGCACAACTGGTCTACCACGAATGCAAGAGTTTACCACAGAACGAGGTACCGAGGGCACAACTCGAGGAGTTACCGAAACTCCTGCTTTCTCCACCGGAACAAAACAACAGTTTGAAACTTCCACCATGCAAATTGGAGAAACCACTCTTGGCGTGACGGAAAGACCAAGTAGCACTGGAATGCCACGAGTTCATCTTGGTAGCACAGAACGAGGAACTGAAGGAACAACGAGCGGTGTTACCGAGACTGAATTTTCACCACTGGAACTCGGCAATACTTTGAAACTTCCACCTCAAAAATGGGAGAAACTACTTTGGGTGCGACCGAAAGATCCAGCACAACTGGTCTACCACGAATGCAAGAGTTTACCACAGAACGAGGTACCGAGGGCACAACTCGAGGAGTTACCGAAACTCCTGCTTTCTCCACCGGAACAAAACAACAGTTTGAAACTTCCACCATGCAAATTGGAGAAACCACTCTTGGCGTGACGGAAAGACCAAGTAGCACTGGAATGCCACGAGTTCATCTTGGTAGCACAGAACGAGGAACTGAAGGAACAACGAGCGGTGTTACCGAGACTGAATTTTTCACCACTGGAACTCGGCAATACTTTGAAACTTCCACCTCAAAAATGGGAGAAACTACTTTGGGTGCGACCGAAAGATCCAGCACAACTGGTCTACCACGAATGCAAGAGTTTACCACAGAACGAGGTACCGAGGGCACAACTCGAGGAGTTACCGAAACTCCTGCTTTCTCCACCGGAACAAAACAACAGTTTGAAACTTCCACCATGCAAATTGGAGAAACCACTCTTGGCGTGACGGAAAGACCAAGTAGCACTGGAATGCCACGAGTTCATCTTGGTAGCACAGAACGAGGAACTGAAGGAACAACGAGCGGTGTTACCGAGACTGAATTTTTCACCACTGGAACTCGGCAATACTTTGAAACTTCCACCTCAAAAATGGGAGAAACTACTTTGGGTGCGACCGAAAGATCCAGCACAACTGGTCTACCACGAATGCAAGAGTTTACCACAGAACGAGGTACCGAGGGCACAACTCGAGGAGTTACCGAAACTCCTGCTTTCTCCACCGGAACAAAACAACAGTTTGAAACTTCCACCATGCAAATTGGAGAAACCACTCTTGGCGTGACGGAAAGACCAAGTAGCACTGGAATGCCACGAGTTCATCTTGGTAGCACAGAACGAGGAACTGAAGGAACAACGAGCGGTGTTACCGAGACTGAATTTTTCACCACTGGAACTCGGCAATACTTTGAAACTTCCACCTCAAAAATGGGAGAAACTACTTTGGGTGCGACCGAAAGATCCAGCACAACTGGTCTACCACGAATGCAAGAGTTTACCACAGAACGAGGTACCGAGGGCACAACTCGAGGAGTTACCGAAACTCCTGCTTTCTCCAC